CGATTAGCAACACAGACGCCCACGTTCAGCGACCTGTCCCATGACTTGTGGGGATACCCAGACGATCACCGCAGGCATGGCGGTGTGGGCATGTCCCCAGCGGCCAGCAGCGGTGTAGGCGTCGCAATCGCAGTTGTGCCCCATGAAGCCTGACGACCGCACATACAATAGGACCGCGTGGATGCTACCAGTAAGACCAAGGTAACCTCACCAGCAGAACCCCCACGAAAGCAGCCAGCCCTCAATGAACATATCAAACCCGGACGGACAAGAGAGATGCCTGTATGGCTTCCTGAAAGCCAGCCTACACAACAACGAGCCATGGGGTTGAAGACCCACGACCAATAGATACGCAAACGTATACAACAACGGCCAGTCCAGCACCGCAGGTGTGTGGCATACAACCCACAGTCGCTAACCAGGGCATGTCAGGACGTATTAAAACAAGTGGGTAGCATCCGCACCCGTAGGCAGCAGTCCGAAAGGCCACTGCATAGCAGGTCAGCGCGCCGAAATTACAATGACGATGTTGCCGTACGTTGGCGTACATGCCACTTGGGAGGCATGGGCAGCACATGCGGCATGCATCGGGCTGGACATGCATGGCAGCTGGACACGGGCAACCTTGCCCTGTGAGCACGCCGTCCGTGCCCCAGATCCCCGCTTCTTCCCCAACGCAAAGGCTTGCAAAGCCAATTGCATCCAAGATACAGTCGGGCGTGCTACCACCGCTGCATGCATGAGTACCCCAGCTCTATGCCCCCAACTACCTGCAGCCGCCTGGAATGGCCAGCTATTCAGCCGAGGTAGTGCTCAGCAACTGGTTGATTGGCCCAGTAAGCGTGGTTGGGCAACCCCTCACAGATTGCAACCTATGTGTAGTGCCAGACCCTTAAGATGCAGCTCTGCTCCTCACGCTGCTTTTCCCCAGCTGCCCCACTACTCGGCATCCCACTCTTCATCCTCCTCCGCCGCCTGACACCGTTTCCTATGTTTCTTCTGGCGCTGGCGCTGGCAGTACACCCGCTCCCGCCGCTCCCACCTGCTCCCGCTGCTGCTGCTCCTGCTGTGTCAGCCACTCGATCAGCGACTCTTGTCGGGGGAATATTGCTGCCCGCCTGGCAGCCTCCCAGTCCACCGGGCAGCCCTCCTCCAGCAGCCAGGCCAGCACCGGGACGAGGCAGCCGTGGAAGATGCAGTTGCTGAACGTGTCGGCACCCGCCCCATGACGCCAGGGGACGCCCAGTCTCCGCAGGCAGCGCAGTATGGCCATGTCTCCTTCGCGGCCGGACACCATGTAGGGGTCGTGGTCGCGTGCGATGAGCCAATGGTTGATCCCTCGATCCTAGTGTAGGACGGGGAGGAACACAGGGCACATAGTCATGGTGCTGTGTGGGTTTGCATGCAGATCCAGCCAACAGCAAAGTGCCGTGGTCCCAGGCGCGCAAGCTAGTAAGCCTCTCCGTAAATGCCCACCCTTCAACCCGCACCAACCACTTACATCGACAGGCCAGCCCTGCTGCACCATCCACTCCATCGCCTCCTCGCAGCCCCCCAGCGCTGCATCACTCAGGGTGGCTGAGCCCCTTCGGCAGCCCCGCTCGTGCAGCCACACCAGCAGCTGAAGGTTGCCACACTTGGCGGCGGACGCCATGAGCTCACTCCGGCGCCTCAAGTCTATCCCCAGCGCCTCCACCAGCCATGCCACCACATGCAGGTGCCCGCCTCGCACCGCCGCCTGCAGCACGGGTTGCGTCTTCAAGCTGCAGCCAGCCGCCTGCAGCACCCGCAGCATGTCCAGGTTGCCGCTTTCTGCTGCGACCTGTGCAGCCAACTGCTTGGTATCAATGCCCCGATTCTGCCGCAGCAAGTACTCCAGCGCTGCCGTGTTTCCAGCTGAGATGGCCGCATTCGCCACTTCCGTGTTCACAGGGTAGCCCCGCCCCTGCAGCCAGGCCAGGCGGTCCGCGGCATCAGGACAGGCAGCAGCGCCCCTGCAGACGTCAGAGCTGCGTGGGCAGCCCTGCGACTCCAGCCAGGTGACCTTGGCCTGCCAGTCGGGAGTGGGGCTGGCGGCAGCAGCGCTCACAATCTTCACCATCTGGGATGCATCGCGCCGGTTTCCCAGCATGGTGTAGAGGTGCTGCAGTGTGGCCAGGTCGCAGCCCTCTGCCACCGCCGCCAACAGCATACTGCCATGAAGTGCAGCAGACGTGGGAGGGCGCCGCCGCTGCAGCCATTCCGCCAGGGCCACGTGTCCTCCCTGCACAGCTAAGTACACTGCACCTGCACCCCAGTCGCAGCCTTGGTCCAACAGCCACTCGCAGACGTCCTGATGCCCGGCCCGCGCGGCTGCCTCCAGGACGCTAGGCCACATCGGACAGCCCTGCTGCCGCAGCCATTTGCACACGTGCAGGTGGCCGGCGGATGCGGCAGTAGCAAAGACCTGTATGAAGAGGTTAGCGGATAAGACGAACTCCGCGGCCGTCACAACCAGGGCCAGGTAGTCGATGCTGCCGCTGCGAGCAGTCAGGCACAGCAGCTGCAGCCGCTGATTGAAGGTGAGACCCCGCATGGCACCTGAGGCGCCCCAGCGACGTTCGAAGGCATCGTGTGGAACGGGCTCGGATAGCCGCACGGTGTTGAACTCCGGGCAATTGAACTGAGCTGCGGTGGCCTTGTCCACCAGACGAAGCGTGCAGGCCACTTCATTGCGCGGCAGGAAAGTGGCGATGCGCTGAACAATGCCGGGAAGCCAGACGCGCGACGCTGATGACGTGGTCGCTTCGTCGTGGCGCTGCCGCGATGGCTGTTCCATACTTTGTAGGGACGAGGATGGGTCCGTTTGATTTTGCGCTGTTAGGTATCAACTAGCAGCCCTGGCCGCTTTGTGGCGGCCTGGTGACGAGACACCTGAGGGCGCCCGAAACGTTTTCCTAACACCTGGGCAGCTTAAAAGTAACTCAACTAATTCAACTATTGCCCACACAGACGCCCTGCAAAGGTACGTTATGGGTGGCCCTCAAGGTTGGCGCGACGTGTAAAAGCGCACAGCAATGTACTATTTCATATTGTGCTATTTGGCACTACTATACTATCTAGTATTTATCTCTGCAAGGGACTGCAAGACCTTGGACGCTTGGATTCCGCGCGGCAAATTGCGACCCGGCACTCGCATATCGGAATGACCGCTGCGATGCCGCCGGGATCCGCCGTAACATGAGCCACGTGCCCCAGGTCATTCCACCAAAACTGGTTAGTGATGTCTCTAGCCCTGTTAAGGCATCGGAACGGTCTTATGGTGCCAATGACATTGCTGCACTTGTGGTATCTTGTGTGGGTGCTGGACGCACGCGCCTGCACCGAGCAGAAGTGGAGATTATGGTGTTGCTTGAGCCATTGCAACAAACAGGTCTACCACGCGCCAGCTGCTGCCCAGCATAAGACCAACGAGCCGTTGCCAGAAAAAAGTCACCTTCCAACTCTTGCTTCTTGCATGTGACCCACGGGTCATTCCAGCAGCATTCAAGAAACAATTAGAACCGTCAGACCCGAACCCCGGACCACCTACCGTGCAAGCAATGTGGCAAACCCTCTCACAACCTCCACATCATCGCCACGAAACACATTCGCCCATGCGTGCCCACCCGGCTCGCGCACCCGCCCCGCTCTCCACCTCTCACTGCTCGCCCCCCAGCTCACCACCCAGCACCCCTGTGTGCACACACACTCATACAGTATGTTCCGGCTCGCGGCCAGTTTCCCTAACACACCCAGGCGGCCCCCACTGAGATGTGCTCTCACATGGTGGGCTGCCGGCCGCAGTCACTACCTCTCAGGCTCTCAGGCTCTCAGGCTGTCCAGCACCGGCCAGGCAGGAGCTACACATGCGCCTGCTGCCCGCAGCATCCTACCCTCAGCCACCCCGCCCGCAGGCCCCCATGTGCCTGCGTTGGGTCAACGTCCACCCAACCCAACCTACACCCCCCTAGCAGGCTGCTCCCAGACCTCCCTAGCCTGCGCCGACGGGGCTGCTAATCACATTATATAACTGGGGCGCCTGTTGCGGCGCTCCGGGCCACCAAGGCCCCGTCCATACTCTGTCGTCCAAGCAAACGTCCCCAGCCGCCGCACTACACCTGCACCGCCTGCGTACCACCGCCCAGTCACGTGCCCGGCACCCAGCACCCCCCTCCACCCTGCCTCGCCTCTCAGCAAAGTCAGCAGCGGCAGCACCACTGGCGGCAACAGCAGCAGCAGCACTGCTAGCAGCGGCAGCGAGGTACCGCAGGCCGGGTAAGTTGCCGTCCGCTTACGTCGGCGTAACGATGAATGATACATTGCCGTCTCTCATCTGCTGGCATCACACCGCATCACACCACTAAGCGAGCACACTAGATAGAAGCAGTACACTACAAGCCATAGCCTAATGATAAAGACGACATCACATGAAAGTCATGAATGCTGGCAACATACGGAGCTGCGTATGTTGCCTACCTCGAGAACAATACGCAATCAATACGACTCAACCGAGCAGCACACACACACAGGCAGCTGCTGGGGACTTCATCTTCCGACATCCCAGTACGTTCCTACTCGCGGCCAGTTTCCTTAACACACACGTGCAGCTGCATGCGTGGAGCTAGGGAGCTGCTGTTGCCCCCTAGCTAGCATACCCACACAGTCCTACATTGTCACGGTCCCATCTAAATCATACTACAAACAAGTACTTTATTACTAGCTTAATGTCTTACCGCTACTATTACTACACGACGAACGCATTCCGCTCCTCCTCCCTCCTCTCCCCTCCCCTCCTGCCCCCACCACACCTCTCCCTCATCCTGCCCACTTCGTCTGCGGCAGGCCGCGTGCCACCCAGCCTCTTCCCCCTCCCCTCCCTCTCGCGCTTACCGCAGCTCACTTTACCCAAACACCCCGAACCATGAGAATCTGTGGTTTCCTATGGCTCGGTATGGTCTTTGACCCCCTCCCCTCCTCCTGCCTCCCTCCTTCACCCCCTCCACTTCTTCTGCAGGTCGTGTGCCAGCTTGGCCTGCGTGCGGCGCCACTTGCGGTCATGCTCCAGCTGCCCCACCAGCCAGCTCTCCAACTGGGCGGCGTACAGCACCTCGATGTAGCACTTGGAGTGGCTGGGGGGGTGGGGGAGGGAGGAGGGAAGGAAATATGAAGGATACCCAATGTGTTGAATGAGAATGGCAAACAAGCCGAGGGGAGGAAGGGAGGAGGAGGGGAGGGGAGGAAGGGAGGTGGGAAGAGGAGGAAGGTGAAGAAGAAGATGAAGAAGAAGAACACGAAAACCCCAGGGAAGGGAGAAGGGAGGGAGTGGAGTTGGTTGCATTGGTTGGGCCCACATGAATGAGTCCCCTCCCTCCCTGCTTCACTTTTCATCTATCCCCCCCCGCTCACCGTTTGAACAGGTTCCAGGCCATGCCCCTCAGCTGCCGTGCATCCTCCCGAAACATCTCCCGCTCCAGGATGTCCGCGAAGATGACCAGCAGGTCCCACACGCGCGCACTGTCGCTCACGTAGGCGGCGGGGATGATGCGGCGGCACATGTCACCCGGGTAGAAGGCACGCAACACGGACTGGGAGGGCAGGAAGGGGGGGAGGGGGGGAGGAGGGGGGGTTAGCTTTTGCTTTGCTTTCACCGCCAGCTCGCCTCTTGTCTCTCTACACTCCCCACCCCTTCCCACTTCCGATACAAGCGTACAACCCTATCAGCACACGTCATCGCCACCACCGACATCCTCCCCTCCCCTGCCCCTTATACCGTATGCTAACCCAACTATACAGCGAATGCGGAAACTGTATCCCTGTTAATCCCCTCCCTCCCCTCCACCCCCCTACCGTGAGGTGCTCCCTGCACGCCGCCAGGTTCCTCTCGTACCCCTCCGTGTCCAGCTGCCCCGGGTCGTGTCGCAGCAGCTCCAGCGTCACCCGCAGCTGCTCCCGCCGCACCGCCAGCTGGGCAGCGCGGGCGGAGTTGGAGAGGCGCAGCGCGGCACGCAGGGACTCCTCGGCCGCCGGGGTGCCGCAGCTGGTGAGGACCTCCTGGTGTGCGGGGGGGTCAACGACCATACCAAACCATAGGGGGGGCGGAGGGGGTAGGAGGGGGATTAACAGGAATACATATTTCGCTTTACTTCGCTGGATTATAGGATTGGGTGTAGTCAAATTGGGGGAGAGGGAGGTGGAGGGATAAGAAGGAAAAAGGGGAAAGGGAGGGATCGGTGAGGTGTGCACAGGAGAACAGCACACGTAGGAGGCGGTAGAGGGGTGGCTGACCGTAACCACAACTATCCGCACTCCCAAACCCCACCCTGCCCACCCCCCTGCCCCCCGCACCTGCAATATGCCCACCCGGTCCGCCTCGCAGCTCGCCCGGCTGGCAGCAATGCTGATATCCGCCACCGCCGCATCCCACGCAGCGTCCCCACCGTCACCACCACCACCACCACCACCACCACCACCACCACCACCACCACCAGCGGGTGGCTGCTGCTGCTGCAGGCCTCCTCCTCCTCCTCTGGACCCCGCTGCTACCACCCCCTGCTGTCCCTTCTGCCCCACTCCTCCCTCCCTCCGCCCCACCCCCACCCCCGCCCTCGCCACCTGCAGGTGCCGCTTGCACCTGACGCAGTGCAGCAGCTCGAAGAGGCACCAGGAGCGGCGCAGGGCGGCCAGCGAGGGGTCCAGAACCAGCAGCGTGGCGCCGCAACCCACCACAGTGCGGGCCACCTGGGGGGGGAGGGGGGCGGGGAGGGAGGGAGGGAGGTGGGAGGCGGGGAGGCAATGACGAACAAAGGAGGTTCATTACCGGGCGGTAGGCAAACGAGGATGTGTTGTTAGGGTTGGGTTTCACTTGCCCCCTCCCCCCTCCCCCTCCCCCCCCACCTACCTTTTGGAAATCCTTCTTGGCCGCCGAGTGCTGGTTGGCACACACCAGGTCCACCCACACCACCTGGTCGAGAGCCCGCTGCAGCTCGGACTGGGGGGGGGAGGAAGCGGGAGGGGGGAAAAGAAGAATACCCTATTTGTTGAATGAGAGGGGGACAGGGAGGAAAAGAGAGGCGGAGGAGACGACCAGGGAGGTTGATTGATTAGAGGGGCAGAGGGAAGGGTGTGCAAAGGATAGGGAGGCACAGGCTCCGCCGCTCCGGGCGGCAGTGACGACGCGAGGGGGCAGCACTCCTGCTCATGACCCTAGGGCTAGCTCCTAAGCAAACCGAAGCAAACCCCGCCCTGCTCCCTCCCCCTCCCACCCACCCACCCACCCCACCTGGTACGCCTCGTTGAGTCGCTCAAACTCCCGCAGGGCCGCCTCAGTGGCGGAGACGGAGGAGCTGTCACCGCTGCCACCGCCACCGACGTCGTCGCCGCCACAGCCCCGGACACCGGGAGCACCCCCGCTGCTGCCTCCGACTCCACAACTCCTGCTACTGCTGCCGCTGACGTCAGCCCCACCACCACCACCACCACTGCCGCAGCAGGACCTGCCGCTACTCCTGCTATCCGTACTATCGCGGCCTCCGCCAACAGCAGCAGCAGCAGCAGTAGCCCCGCCGTCGCCTTCATAGGCGGTGGCAGCGGCGCCGCCCTCACTGGCCGCCGCCCCCTTTCTGCCGCCGCTGCGGCTGCTGTTCCTGAGGAAGCAGCTGCCGCCGCCGCTGGCGCCCCCCTCGCTGGTGACCCTGCGACCCACGTCGCCGCCGATGCTGCAACGCAGGCGCGGCAGGAAGCCCCGCCTCGCTGCATGCGCCTCCTCCTGCAGCCCCGCCTCCACCTCCGCCACCACCGCAGCTGCAGCAGCAGCTGCTGCTGCTGCTGCCCCCGATGCTGCCGCGTCAGCAGCAGAGGCGTCTTCAACATGCCCTCCACCGCCTCCACCGATGACGGATCGAGAGATGTACGGCAATAACCCTGCCGTACTGCCTGCACCGCCCTCCTCCCCCGCTGGCTCCGAGTACTCCACCGTTGTTATCGTGGTTTCCACATGCAGACGCACGCTCTTTTGCCCCCGGGTCCCCGGCCTGTTGCCACAACTACTGACCAGCAACCCCGACCGGCGACCCAGCGTTCCCCCGCCTCCGACCCCCGCCTCCTCCCCAGCCCCACCAAGGGGTGCTGCTCCAGGGCTCGGTGGGACTGAAGCCGCCCCGGACGAGCCCACCAGCCCCCCCTGCAAGCTCCTGACGCTGCTCCGGGCGCCCAGACCCGACTTTCCCCTTTCATGCTCGCCGCAGCTGTCTCCTCCACCACCGCCACCGCCACCACCGCCGCTGCTACCACCGCTATGCATCCCACCTGCGCCCGCAGCAGCACCACCCGCACCAGCAGCAGCAGGAGCTGCTCCGTGCCTGAAGCAACCGCCGGAACGCCCTGTCGATACCGTCAGCGACCTAGCTGACGGAAGCAACGGCGGCGGCGGCGGCGGTGGCGGAGGCGCCGCTGCCCCCAGCGCCGGCGGCATGGAGGGTGGCGGCGGCAGCATCTCCCGCTGCAGCGTCGTCAGCAGTTGCCGTACATCGCATTGCCAGGCGTGACAGATGTAGTGGTGCGGCTGCCCCCGCTGCTCGGGGGGAATGAGGTCCAGCAGGCGGCACTTGCGGTCTGACGTCAGCGGTACGACAAAGTTGTGGACGAGGTCGGCGGTCGTACGGCACAACTCGGGGTGCGGCTCGATGGCCTGTGCGGGTAGGGGAGGGAAGGGGAGGGGTGAAACATTGGGGGTGATAACACAGGTGGGCAGAGCTGGGCAAAGGAAGCACGAGGCATGCGCGAATGGGGGACCATGCTGCTGTGTGACAAACACCGGCCTCCATCCTAATCTCCTGCCTCCGCACCTTCCCCGCCTCCCATGCCCTTCTGGGCGTCATGTCACCTGCCCCCCCTCCCCCTCCCCCCCTCCCCCCCTCCCCCACCTCCAGCAGCCCCATCAGGAAGCGCAGCCGCACTCCGGTGAAGCGGATGTCATCCGGGGGAACCTGGCAGCGGGGGAGGGAGTGGAGGGAGGGGTGCGGCGGAGTACAGGGGGTGTAAGGGATACAGGGACAGGGGAGGGAAAGGCCAGCCGAGGGTAGGAGCTGAGGAGGAGTTCAAGGGACAGCGGGCATCACAGGACAACGGCAGGACCAGGCATCCGGAGGGGGCCTCCATGCGTGCGTGAGGTCCAGGAGGTCAGGGGCTACGCACTCCACTCCCTTCCATTTCACAATCTCTCACGATCTTCGGTCCCCTCCCTCTGTCCGTCCTCACATAGTCACCACCACCACCTCACCCCCCTTCCCCCCACCTTGAGTTCCACCCCCTGCGGCGGCTGTGCGGGTGTGGGTATGACGGACCGGGTCAGCTCCTCCGCACTCAGGAACTCCGCACCGCCCTCAGACAGGACAGCCAGGCTGGGGACGGGGGCGGGGACACCGCCGCTGCCGCTCCCCTCCCCGGCAGGACCTCCCGGCCTCGTGGCGCCTGTAGCGGCGCTGCTGGAGGGGGGGCAGTGCGGCAGGGAGCTGGAGCCGCCAGGGGTAGTGGGCGCGGCAGTGTGCGAGGCGGCGGCGGCGCCAGCAGCTGCTGCTGCTGCTGCGGTGGCGAGGGCCGCTGTGAGGGCGCTGTTGGAGGAGCAGGCAGCCGTGCTGCCGCCCCCCGCGGTACTGCCCGGGAGGGCTGCCGCCCCGCCTCCTGCCTGACCCCCGCCTCCCGCATTACAATGCGCCAGCAGACCCCAGTGGCGGCGCTGCGAGTGCAGCAGCTGCCCCACCTTGCTCCGCACCCCAGCCAGCCGCCGCCTCTCGCAACGCACCAGCGCCCCCATATCCACCACCTCCCCATCCTCGTCGCACTCCACCTCCTCCTCCCCCTCCCCCTCCCCGCCATCCTCCTCCCCCTCCTCGCTGCTGCTCCCGCTGCCGTACATCATGGCGGCGCCGCGACTGACGAGCGACGGCAGCGTTGTAAAGCTCTGCCGGCTGTCGCGATTCCTGCCGCCGCCTCCGTCGCCGCCGCCTCCGCTACTGTCGTACCCACCACCCGAACCCGCACCGCCACCCCACCGCACTCCGCCACCAGTGGTGCTGCTGCTCATGCTCAGACCGCTACAAGACACACCACTGGCAAACGTCGGCCGCCGGGAAACTGTACGGCTGGTGCTGCCGCCGACGTTACCCGCCGCCGCCGCCGCTGCCGCCGCCGCGAAGGGCCCTAGCTTGAGTCCGCTGGCGCCCCCGGTGGACCGCTCCTCCAGCAGACAGAGCTGGCGGTGACGACGGCGGGCGGCGGCGGCCGCCATGGGGCTACTTAGCAGCGGTGGAGGCGTGGGGGAGGAGGCGGCGGTGGGGGAGGAGCAGGCCGAGCCCGGGTGGTTGGCCTTTACGGTGTGAACTGACAGCAAGAGGTGGGGGGGCAGCGCATGCTGTGCTGCTGCGGACTTGGAATGAGACGTATGGGAGTGAGACATCGAGGAGGTGAGGGAGGACAGGTTGCCGGTGTTGCTGCTGCTGGCTGCGGCGGCGGCGGCTGCTGCCACTGCTGCCGGCCCCGCTGGCGGCGCCCCCCTGCTGGCCAGCAGTCGGGGGTCCAGCAGGCGGCGGGAGAGCAGCGAGTCGCGGACCGCCTCGCGGGCTCGCTCCAGCTGGGCCTGAGGGAGGAGAGGGGTAAAGAGGAAACAACTAACGAACCGTGCGATAAGGCGTCATCATGGTTTACAACATGTGAGCCAGCCCGACCCGCCCAGCCGGAAGGAAGGAGGAAGGAGAACAACACCAAGTTGGTAAAGTTTAGTGGCACACAAAGGTGAAAGGAGCCAAGGAAAGGAGGAAGGACAGAGGTAAAAGGAGCCAAGGAAAGGAGGAAGGACAGAGGTAAAAGAAGCCAAGGAAAGGAGGAAGGAAGGAAGGAAAGAAGGAAGGAGGGAAGGAAGGAGGAACTTGCATGGTGGGAAGATAGGGAGAGTGTGGAAAAGTACGTGGATCGCTTGGACCTGGGAGTGTGAAGGGCATCGCACAACACCCTCCACCGACACACGGCCCCCAGAGCGGATCGGGCTCCTCACCATTCTCCGCTCATGTCGAGCAGCAGCGTCCCGGGGGTTTAGCACCCTGCGGCCCGATGCACCCACTTCCTCATCATCATCCTCATCCGCCTCGTCGTCATCGCTTTCTCCGCTGCTGCCACTCCTGTGACCCGCGGGTCTGTGCGCCGAAAAACCTGGATCCAGATCCATAGCCTCCCGGGCTCCTGGGCCCATCTTGTCTAGCAGGTCGGACAGCGGCGCCCCCGAGCGGGAGCACACCGAGGACCGCCTGCTGCTGTGACTGAGGTGCTGCTGCTGCCGCTGTCGGACTGACCGGCGGTTGGCCCGGTCCGCATCATACCCGCCTCCGCCTTCGCCGCCGGACTCGTCCGCGCTGCTGCCGCCGCTGCTGTCACCCCTGTCACTGGCGGGATCATGGCTGCGGTGGCGGTGGTGGTTGCTGGGGCTGTGGCTGCTGTGGGTGTGGCGATGGTGATGGCTGCAGTCGCTGTTGTCGTCGCTGTTGGTGGTTGTCGAGGCTGGGTTGTGGTTGTGGTGGAGGCTTGATGTTGGTGTCCCGGTGTGCGAGCCGAGGCTGGCAGTGTTGAGGCGGAAATGGCAGCGCTGTGGGGAATCGGGAGTGGCGTCGCTGGCTGTGCTGGACGTGTTGGGACCTGGGGTGTGCGGAGAGAATAGTGGTTCCTCAAGCGAATAAGAGAATATATGAGGATTTAAGCTACATGAGCAATATAAAGCAGGGGCACGCTGCTCAGGTGAGCATCGTGCATATGGTTGATGCAGGCATTCGCGTGGCGGAGGTTATCGTAATGTACGTAAACGTCAGACGTAAGCACCATATGCAGCAGTCTTACGTATGCTAGGCGCTTGCGCTGTCAACTTCCTGCCAATCCTATGACATGCCGTTTAGCCTCACTTAGACACACCCGGCGCAGGTTGTCGATGCGCTTTCTAGGTATCATAAAGATAATTATTAATTGATACCCAATAGTAGTCAAGCGAGCGTAGACAGTAAACATCACTTACTTCCTGGTCCAGCTGCTGCCGTTGTATGGTTTTGGGCGGACTCGTCATGTAAGTGGAGTGGTTTGGGAAGCTTTAGTTTCAGTAAATGCGAGCTTAGGCCGTGATTTGGCCCCGCACGGGCAAGACCTCCGGTCGGCATGCTCGAAGGCTGGCTGTAATAATAAGTTCGCTATAGCAACTTTGGACAGGTCCCCTAACATTGCAAAGTTTGTAGGACAGGTTTTGTCGAGGTGCGCCTTGCTGGTGGAAAAGTGTGAACCTGTAAAAGTAAAAGCAGGTGGTAAAGTTGTTTACGATGCTATAGGTGCCATGAAGTCATGTCAGTTTATATGTTTGCTGTCCAGGTTTACTTGGTATGAAGCTGTTCAGCATAATGAATTAGTCACATTTCAGATGTACGGTGCTGTACATTCTAATATGTACGCTGCTGTACATTCTAATATGTACGCGATACGGCGCTACTGCACCTGACACTCGCTACACACGATTGTTGCTTGGATGTAGACGCGTGTTCAAAGTTCGACGATGTCGCCAATGCCTTTTGGGAGCGTTTGGCGTGCTGGCTGCGCCCGCGCTGTGCACGGGACGCCGGTTGAGTTGGGAGTTGGCAGCATATCTTTGACCTGTGTATCCATTGCACTGTCCGCAAACACACCCGGTACAGATTTGAGGCTGCGAGCATGACTCGCGATCAATCGGGTATCGCCAGCGGTATTGCTCGTAGCAGCGCCCTGCATTATTGGGCTCCGCGGGGCTCTGGCGAGGAACACAAATGCCCACTAAGGGTTGGGATGGTAAGGGATGCCCTGAAGTTTGTAGGTGCACGCGCTACAGAGGAAGGATTGTGGGTATCTCTTGCCCAACCGCAAGGTCACGTGAGGTTCCCGCCAATCAGCTTCTGCCGTACCTTCTCTTGATGGCACCTTTCCCAATTGCAGCCTATAGTCTTGAGGCATAGGTGCTTACTGTATATTCTACAGAGGCTCACAGGTCACGGCCAGGCGTTTGTGCTTACGCTTTTGTAGAATTTAAGCCGAACTTAAACCCGACGAGCGTGAACCGGTACCAAATCTCTATCAACTTCACCTCATAAATTTAGGTTTGGTTCATCTGCAGCACAATGCCGCCGAAGCCAGCCGATGTGGACATGGACGAGGAGGATGCGAACGTTGATGTTGCCCCGAAGGACCTTGACGACAAGTCTCTACGAGCGTTTACTGGCTTTTTCAAGACCCTCAGCGAGGTGGGCTCAAGTTGTGATAGGGTTGGCTTCAGGGTGCAGCTGTCACCCTGTCACCCTTTCCGCGCGCCATCGGTACCTGCATCGCAAAGCTTGAGGACTACTTTGTTAGTTCCGCGCAAGCACGCTTCAGGACTGGGCATGACGTTGTCTTGTTCATGTTATCTTGAACCCGTTTACCTCCCCCGCAGGACCCGCACATCATCCGCTTTTTCGACCGCAAGGTGCGCCGGGGAAGCCGCAGAAGGGAGGAAGGGGGCGCCGGCAGCTTGCCCGGCATCGTGCACACCAAGCGCCATCATGGCCCTTGGCATAACCCCATCCCATGCAATACCAGAATGCATTCATGCAACAAAAGCGGTGATCGATTTGCTTCACCGTTCCACACTCTTGATGGATGCACCCTCCCGACCCCCACCAGAGCGAGGCCCAAACCCCACCCACGCCACCCTACCCCTCCATCCACCTGTTGTCACCTAGTGTGTTGCAACCGTCCTTCACCGCACGGTTCTTATTCTCCTCTTAACCCCCTTCCCCCGCACGCAGGGCTACTATTCGGTCCACGGCGCCGCAGCCACCCTCATCGCACGGCAGTTCTACCGTACAACCGCTGTCGTACGAGGGTCCGAGAGCGGGCTGCCGTACGTGAACGTGAACCGCGCCATGTTTGAGACCATCCTTCGCGAGCTGCTGCTGGGCGGTACGGCACACGTGGTGGAGCTGTACGAGGCGGCGGGGACCGGCTGGAAGCTGGCCAGGTGGGGAGGCGGGGGTGGGGGTGTGTTGGGGGCTTTTGATACCACAATCGCCTTTCCCCCGGTCTTATTCCTCTCCCTTTCACCCATCCCCTCCTCCTACCCCATCCTCTCCCCCCGGTAAGCTTTCCTCCGATGCGGAGCTCTACCGCACCGCCTCCCTACCTGTCCCCTCCCCTTTACTTCCCCCCATCTTCATCCCCACCCTTCTCCCCCTTTCCACCTTTCCCCCCCTCCCCAGGTCCGCCACCCCCGGCAAGCTCTCCGCCTTCGACGAGGAGCTCTACCGCAGTGCGGAGATGGCGGAGGTGCCGGTGGTGGCCGCCCTCACCTTTGCCTGCAGCGAGGGGCAGCCGCAGGCGGGGGTGGGGTACGTGGAGCCCGCCTGCTGCCGACTGGGCGCCTGCGAGCTGCTGCTGGATGACTCGCTGAGCGGGCTGGAGGCGGTGCTGGTGCAGCTGGGGGCGAGGGAGGTGGTGCTGAACAAGGTGGGGGAGGAGGGTCAAACGACTAACGAACCGTGTGATAAGGCGTCATCATGGTTTGCAACATGGGGCTGGGTTGGAGGAAGGGGGGGAAGGGGGAGGAGCAGAGGGGCCTGCTTGGCTCCTGTTCTCCCTCCGACCTCACATGAGGACACGACCCTCCATGGTTTCAGCCTCCCCACCCACCCACACGGCCACAGGATTCCCTGTCGTTACTGGACGCGGGTCAGCGCTCCCGCTTGAATGGGCTGCTGGAGAGTGTGGGGCTCATGGTGACGGAGCGACCCGCGGGTCTCTTCAGCGCCAAACACCTGGAGGCGGACCTAGCCAAGATCATCAAGGTGTGTGGGGCGGGGGAAGGAGGGTGGGAGGGAGGGAAGAGCGGGAGGAGGAGGGAGGGGTTGACCACCAAAGGGCACTCAAGCGCTTCCCCACCCCCTTACCTCACCCGCCCCCACCTGCTTACCCCACCCCGCACCCCCCACCTCACCTTCCCCCCACCTGCCAGGGTGGTGCAGTGGAGCAGCACGGTGACGTGTTGGAGCGCCGTACGGCAAGTGCGGCCCTGGCGGCCGTGGTGTCGTACTCGGAGGTGATGGCGGAGGCAGCGGCGGCGTCAGGTGGGGGGCGGGAGGGAGGGAGGGGGAACAAACCGCGGCCCTCTGCATGTTGCCAGCATGGCCCCTCTCGCACAGCCCCCACCCGGCCCCACCCTGGTTCCCTCTCCCCCCTCCGTTGCGAACAACTCAATTCCATTCACCAGGAGCTTGTCGTCTTGTCCGCCATCCTCATTCAACACGTTGGGTATTCTTCTTTCCCCCCCCTCCCCCCCAGGTGGCTGCAGCGGCGGCCGCTACTCGCTGTCGCTGTACAACCCCGGGTGCTACATGCGGCTGGACGCCACTGCGCAGCGGGCGCTGAATGTGCTGCCCACACGGCAGGTGGGGTGGGGGTCAGGAAGGAGGGGGAGATGAAGGGATGAGATCCACAGGTCCCGGGGGGCGGGAGGGGTATGGACGGGCGGGAAGGGCCGACGCACCAGCCAGCGATGATGCGCCTCCTCCGTTCCCCCCCTCCTAATCCGCCGTCCCATCCCTCCCCCATCCTACCTACCCTCTTACCCTCCCACCTCCCACTCTGCTGCCCCCAGGACGCCAACGCCACCTTCAGTCTGTACGGCCTGCTCAACCGCTGTCGTACCGCCATGGGCAAGCGGCGGCTCAAGGTAAGGGGGAGGGGGCTGTAGAGGGAGGGGTGGGGGGGACCTAACACACCATACCTCTCTGGGCACGAATGATGGCATTATCCTGTTACAAGCTTACAACCCCTCTCGCGTTCCCCACATAAGCATCCCTCCCTTCCCTCCTCCACCTCCCCCTTCCCATTTCCCCGCCCCAGAGCTGGTTGAAGCAGCCGCTGGTGGACCTGGCTGCCATCCGGGAGCGGCACGACGTGGTGGAGGCGCTGCTGGCGGACGGGGAGCTGCGGGGCAGGCTGAGGGACCAGCAGTTCAGGGGTGAGGGGGGGAGGGGAGGGGGAGGACAAGAGGGAAAACAAGGTGGAGAAGGTGACGAAGAAAGGAATGCCATGCCACGGTGCACATGTGGCAAAGTGGATGTGGTGTTGCCGCATGCCGCTTCTGCCCTTCCTCCCTTCTTCCCTCCTTCATCACCCTCCTCTCCCGAACCCCCCCCCCCAGGCCTCCCCGACGTGGAGCGGCTGACCCGCAAGCTGCAGTCGCGGCGCATCTCGCTGGCGGAGCTGCACCAGCTGTACCGCGCCTCTGCGCGGCTGCCGCTGGTGGAGGAGGCGGTGAGGTGCCACGAGGGGCAGCACGCGGCCAAGCTTGTGGAGAGGTGAGGGTGGGGGGGGGAGGGGGGGAGGAGGTAGGGGGGGAGGTGGGGGTGGAGGCTGGTTGCAGGTGGCGGCCTCGTTCGGTCGCGGTAGAGCAACGCAACGCAACGAGTGCCGGCCCCAACATCGGCCTCGCTTCCTCGTCATCCCTGCATGCCTAAACATAGCCCTGTACCCGCCTTTTTCCTTTCCCCACGTCCCTCTTCCTCCCCTCGAAAACCCCCCCAGGTACGCTGACCCCCTTGCCCAGCACCACGACTCGGAACACCTGCAGCGCTTCGAGGAGCTGCTGGAGGTGGGGTGGGGAAAAGGGGGGAGGGGGGGCCCGGGTTTGATGGCACTTCCGAACAGCATTTCCCTGTGCAAAGGATGAGGGCAATGGGGGGAAACCTGGGTGGGTTTGCGGTACCCGTGCACCGCTACAACGCACGTGTGCTCCATCTCTTTACCCCTGCACCCTCCTCTTACCCTCTTCCCTTCTTCCCCCCCCCCCCACAACCCCCCTCCCTCCCCTCCTCCAAAGGCCGCCCTGGACCTGGAGCGGCTGCCCGAGGAGTACCTCATCTCGCCCTCGTACGACAGCCGGCTGGGGGAGCTGGCGGAGGCCAAGGCGGCGCTGGAGGAGGAGATTGGCGGGCTGGCGCAGGTGGGGGGGAGGGGGGTGGGGGGAGGGGGGTGGAGGGAGGAGGTTCGACAGACGGGCGCCGGCAGCACACACACCGGCCAGTTATTTTAACACACCGGCTTTTGTGGCTTAACATCGGAGTGGGATAAGGGGTGTGTATGTGTGTTGTTGTTGCCGGAACACATGGCGGGGCCGCAGCTTGCTCAACGGTGCTCGCCCAGCCAGCTACTCGACCATTTTGGCAGATCCCGGCTGGCACTGCGCCTCTCTGTCCCACTCACTCCCCTCCCCCCTCCCCCCTGACCCGCCAGTCCGCCGCTGACGACCTGGGCCTCATCCTGGACAAGAGCATCAAGCTGGAGTGGCACCGCGCCGCCAACACGCGCACCCGCTGCCTGCGCATCACGCAGAAGGAGGAGAAGAACGTGCGGGGGAAGCTGCAGGCAAAGTGGGTGGGGGGTGGGGCGGGTTGGGGTGAAGGGGGGCGTGGGGGTTTGGATAGCGTCTGTGTGCTGTGTGACCACTAACACGGTGCTGCTGTCAGGGTATTCCTAAAATGACCTCCCCTCCCTCCCCCTCCCCCCCTCCCCTCCCCTCCACTTATTTAAATTTTTCCCCTCCCTCCCCCCCAGGTACGTCATCATTGAGACGCGCAAGGACGGCACTAAGTTCACCAACCGGGCGCTGCGGGACGCGGCGGAGCGCCTGAACGCCGCCTCGGGGCAGTACCTGGCGCTGCAGGGGGAGCTGGTGGAGCAGGTGGGGGGGAGGGGGGCAGTACCTGGCGCTGCAGGGGGAGCTGGTGGAGCAGGTGGGGGGGGGAGGGGCAGTACCTGGCGCTGCAGGGGGAGCTGGTGGAGCAGGTGGGGGGGGGAGGGGCAGTACCTGGCGCTGCAGGGGGAGCTGGTGGAGCAGGTGGGGGGGAGGGGGGGAGGGGTAAAGAGTAGGAAAACCGACAAACTGGATGACGAGGCTGAGGAAGTGGGGGGGGGGGAGGGGGGATAAGGAATGGGCTGGCCCTGCAGGCTGGTCGAGTGGGGGCGCTGTGAAGAGAACACCGCCATGTGTCCCCGTTGGCCGCCTTCTGGCGCCCAAATCGTCCGTTTGGAGTAACACGCACATGAAGGTAACCCCGCCACCCATCCCACCACCACCCCCCATGCCAGGTTGTGTCTGTGGCCTCCACGTTTGTGGAGGTGTGGGAGGCGGTGGGGGCGCTGCTGGCGGAGATGGATGTGCTGCTGGCCTTTGCGGAGGCGGCAGCGGTGGCGCCGGTGCCATATGTCAGGTGGGGGGGAGAGGGGGAGAGAGGAGGGGAGGGGGAGGGGGTGAGAGGAAGAGAAGAACAGTTTGGTAGCGATACCGGCAACCCCTGATGGAAGCCGCCCATCGGGTGGTGGTGGTGTGGGGCATGCTGGAAGGGCGACGGAGTGGCGCCCCAATCCTCATGTGTGCCCTTGGGATGGCGTAAGACCCCTTGGGTGTCGACATGTTCTGAGACCTCGCTCCTCCGGCCACCACACCTCCATGTCCCTTTTCTCCTTCCCGCCCCTCCCGTCCCTCCCCCCCCCCCGCTGCTAGGCCGGAGATGTTGGGTCCGGATGAAGGCGTCATTGAGCTGCGAGACTGCAGGTGGGGGGCGGATGCGGAGTGGGGTAAAAGAATAATGAGGGGGGGCGAGTTGTGGGTGAGCGGGGTATGCTACCTTTCCTGTCGTGCCCTGGCGCATCGGCGCCTCCCAACCCCGCCCTCTGGCTGCCCCGCTCCTCCCCCCTGACTAATGGTACGTCCCTACCCGCCTTCCCCCCTACCCGTGCAGGCACCCCAACGTGGAGGTGCAGGTGAGGGGGTGGAGGGCTGGGGTGCAAAGGGAGGGGGGTGGAGGGGGGCTGTGGTGGCTTGTGGGGTCTGGCTGCTTGCGCTTGTCTGACCGATACCTCGCTAGGGGGTAGGAGGGTAACCCGCAACCCCGGCCCCTCCCACCCCCTTCTTCCCCCCCCCCCCCGATCCAGGACGGTGTCAGCTTCATCCCCAACGACTGCCTCATGCGGCGCGGGGAGAGCTGGTTCCAGATCATCACCGGACCCAACATGGGCGGCAAGTCCACCTACATTCGCCAGGTGGGGGGGAGGAGGGGGGGACTCGTGAGATAGGAGGTGGGGAAGGGCGGGGTCGGAACTCGCAGGGAATTGTATTCCCTTTTTAATAATCACTAACCTACCCCTCCCTCCCTGCCCCTTTTCCCCGCCCCACCTTGGCTTGCAACAATTGTTCTTGCAACATCGTTTCTTTTCTTTTCCATCTCCTCCCCGCCTGCTAACCCCCAAAAGCCCAAATAACAACTACAATTATACGCTAACCCAACTATCCAGCCTAATGCGGAATACCTATCCCTCCCTCCCTCCCCCCCCATCAGGTGGGCGTGTCCGTGCTGCTAGCCCAGGTGGGGTGCTTCGTGCCCTGCAGCTCCGCGCGCATCTCCGTGCGCGACTCGCTCTTCTGCCGGGTGGGGGCGGGCGACTGCCAGATGCGGGGGGTGAGCACCTTCATGGCGGAGATGCTGGAGACGGCGGCCATACTGAGGGTGAGGGCGGGGTAAAGAGGAACCAACTAACTGACTGAGGAATAAGGCGTCAACATGGGTTGCAACACGTGAGCCAGCCCGACCCGCCCAGAGGGCGGGGGGGGGCGGGAGGGGGGAGAGGGAGGAGGAGGGGGGGGGAAGGGGGAGAGGAGGAGGGGGAGGAGCCGCTATGGGGCAGGGGTGCGGGGGAAGGAAGGTTAGAAGGGGATGCACCGGGACTTGTTCCTTATTGCTAACCGTTGCTGCTGACACCCTCGCTCCACTCCCTTCTCCAGCTGCCCCCGCCTGAGCCTGTCTGTTACCCAATTCCTCCCCTTTCCTCCCCTCCATGCGGGTTTAGGAATATGTATCCATCCTCCTCCTCCTCCCCCCAGGTTTTCATTTCCCGCACCTTGCCGCCTCCTATCCCCCTTGCTTTGCCATAACCTGTGGTCACCTATAGGTTGGTATGGTCTTTGACCCTCTCCCTCCCTCCCGAATGTGACTATGCGCAATTGTAATATCCAGCGTAATGCGGAATGTTCATCCCTATTAATCCCTCTCGCTCCCCCCCCCAGGGAGCCAGCAGCCACTCACTAGTCATTATCGACGAGCTGGGTCGCGGCACCTCCACCTACGACGGCTTCGGGCTGGCGTGGGCCATCAGCGAGCACCTGGCGGGGCCGCACGTGGGGGCACCCACCCTGTTCGCCACACACTTCCACGAGCTCACGGAGCTGCGGGCGGAGGTGGGGGTGAAGAACATGCAGGTAGGAGAGGGAGGGGGAGGGGAGGGGGGAGAGGGAGGAATACCCAATGTGCTGAATGAGAATGGCAAGGGAGGGGGAGGGAGAGGGATGCGGGCATGCGGGTTGTCAGACCACCCTCACGGTTTGCCTGTATACAGTACCATGCCACGGCGACCTCCTCCTCGTCTTTCCGCCCCTCCCTCCCTCCCTCCCCCCCCCCCCCAGGCTGCAGCCATGATCGACCCCGCCACCCGCCGCCTCACCATGCTGTACTCCATTCGGGACGGCGCGTGCGACCAGTCGTTCGGGGTGCACGTGGCGGAGAGCGCGGGGTTCCCCAAGGAGGTGGGGAGGGGGGGGACGGAGGTATCCAGGGAGGTGTGTGGAGGAGAGATATACAAGGGTGTGGGATGGAGGTGGAGGAGGTGAGAGGGGAGGAGGCAGCAGTGGAGGGTGGAGGGCGGGACTGTGTTGTCTACACAAGGGGGGTCTCAGGGCCTGGCTGGCTACTGCAATTGCAATGCGCCCCGTCCCTCCGCTCCGCTGCCACCTGGCATATACCCGCCTGCTCCGGTAACCCCCCTCTCCCCTCCCCTTCCCTCCCTTCCCTACTCACCTCCCCCCCCCCTATCAGGTGGTGGCGATGGCCAACGAGCGGCTCAAGCAGCTGGAGGCGGGGCAGGCGCAGGTGGGGGGCCAAAGGCCATACCAAACCATAGGAGACTGGGGCGAAGGAAAGGAGGAGAGAGCTTGCTAGGGCACATATGGGTCAGGCATGGGGCGTGGCGCTCTTGTTGAGGCCGGCTCTGCGTTACCCGTGGGCTGGGCAGTTCAGTGCTCCAGTGGTCGCCATGTCTCGTGGGCTGCGCTTCCCTCTACAGGAACTACTGCCTTCCTGTCTTGTCCTTCCGTCTTGTCCTCCTGTCCTCCACCCCGCCGCTGCTCCGCTGCCGCCCGCAGGTTCGCGGCCCCGCGGCCAAGCGCCAGCGCACGGAGCAAGAGGGCGGGGGGCAGCAGCAGGGGCAGGAGGGGGAGGAGCGGGCGGAGGAGGTTGCGGCGGATGTAGAGCAGCTGCAGGTGGGAGCGTGGGAGGGGGGAAGGGAGGGCCGGGGTGGAGAGGAAGGAAGGACTGGGAGGGGCCTGACCGCTGTGTAGCCGACGGAGAGGGCTGGCGCCGGTCTCCCAACACTTCCCGGCTGCCGGTATCTTACAATGCCTGCGCATCCCTCCTAGCTGCCGACCCATCCTCCCGCTTCCTTGACCCTCTCCACCTCCCTGTCGGCACTCCATCCCATACCCTGTTATACTCCCCCCTCCTCTCCCCCTCGATCCCTGCCGCCTTATTCCCCGATTTGTTGCCCTTTTGTGGTTTCTTATGGTTTGACCCCATCTCACCCCCGCCCCCTTCGGCTAGACTACTTCGGGTAGGGTGGGATGGACCGGCTACCATGTTTGCACCCCATGGTGAAGCCTACATGTCATACAGCTCGTCAGTTGCATCGTCAGTGTCTCATTACCGTATTTTTTTGCCCTCCCCCCAGTCCTTCCTGCGCCACTTCTCCTCCCTGCCGCTGGACTCGCTGCCCCCGGGCCGGGCGGTGGAGGAGGTGGACCGACTGCTGGGGCAGCTGCCGCCGCGGCTGCTGCAGGCGGCGTCGTGAGGCGGGGTGGGGGGAGCGTGTTGAGAAGTGGGGCAACTGGAGTCCCAATCCCATATCCCGACTGAGGGGGGAGGAGGGGAGGGGAGGGAAGGGGAGAGGGGGCATGACAGCAGCGGCAATGGAGGGGAGGGGTATACTTCGACAGCCAGGGGAGGGCGCATGAGGTCACATGGGGGCTAGGTGGTCAAGGCCGCAGCATGCGAGCTGCTGCCATTGTAACACATAGCTAGGGGCAGCACGGTAGTGGCTTTAAGGTGGGGTGTTGCTACCGGGTGCATGGAGGGGAGGGGTGCGTTGCTTTGTGGGTCCCCTACACGAACCAGGTTTATTTGCGGGTGCTGTTGAGGGCGAGACAAGGCAGGCTTGCTGTGATGTGCAATCGATTAACAGGGTGCGCATATGGACCCCTCTGGGCGCTGACAAACCAGCAGCGGGCTGCTACGGTTGGCGTGTGCCCCATCTGCAACGCTTTTACCGTCCGTTGAATAAGGATTTGTTTATATATGAGGCATGGAACAGTCGCGCTCTAACGGCTGCATGCGATGGGTATTGCATGTATATTGTACGGCGGGCCGAGCAAATAGCGCGGGAATAGATAAAGCGGTTATTCCTTGCCTATTAGGGTGTGTTCACATGTAACAGGATTCGTGTTAGGATCCATAGTTAGCTTCGCAAGTGATTCCCAAATCGCGTTCACAACGAATCCGAAGGAGAGTAAACCAACCCACGGATTCCTTGTCCGTCGCCCCTTCTAACCGTTCCAGACCGGTAGACATCAAGATTTAATTGCAGTAATTACTGTTTTAAACTAATGTGGCATCGCCTGGTCACCAGGGACATACCTGCCCAATGGTCGCGAAATGCCGCTGTGCAACTTTCTGGCAAATTAACAAATTACTTTAATGAGGATGTTTTGTAATTGCTATCTTTCTTATTTGCAACTGAAAAGCTTCGCGAATTCATCTCAATCAATCTTGGTTGAATCGGCCCCCCAGACCCCGATTGGGATTCAGGTCGGATTGGCGTCAATCCGACTGCCAATCCACCCCGATTCGCCCCGATTCGCGCACATGTGAACACGCCCTTACTGCTAGCATAGACGAGTTAATTCGTTTCTGCTCACCATATCCTTCCATCGGTTTAGCGCGGCCATCTGCCGAGCCGCTTTCTGCGAGGAGGCGCCAAAACGAGACAACTACAGAATCGCGTTGCCACAGGAAAAGGCTATAGCCGCAACACCCTTTGCAACTGTATCAATGGACAAGCCTCCTACCAATCAAGGGCCCTTGGGCGTGTCGCTGCCGCGTATCTGGCTTCCCGGCATTGTTCAGCGCATCGCCACTTTCCTGCCGCGAAATGAAGTGGCCTGCACGCTTCGTCTGGTGGACAAGGCCACCGCAGCTCAGTTCAGTCGCCCGGAGTTCACCACCGTGCACCTATCCCAGCCCGTTCCACACGATGCCTTCAAGCGTCGCTGGGGCGCCTCAGGTGCCATGCGGGCCCTCACCTTCAACCAGCGGCTGCAGCTGTTGTGCCTGACTGCTCGCAGCGGCAGCATCGACAACCTGGCCCTGGTTGTGACGGCTACAGAGTTCGTGTTATCCGCTAATCACTTTCAACAGGTCTTTAATGCTGCTGCAACTGCCGGCCATCTGCACGCGTGCCAGTTGCTGCTAGAGCGGGGATGCCCATTACAGCCCGGAGTCCTGGAGGCAGCTGCGCGGGCAGGGCACCAGCACGTTTGTGAGTGGCTGCTGGACCAAGGCTGCGCATGCGATGAGTATGCAGTGTATGGAGCTCTGCAAGGGGGGCATGTGGTCCTGGCAGAGCGGCTAAAGCAAAGGCGACAGCGGCGGCCGTTGCGTCACCGACACTCTGACAAGTCGTTGAATACTGTTAGGGTGCTGGCGGCGGTGGCAGAGGGCTGTGATCTTGCCACCCTGCAGCGCCATTACACCGAGCTGACGGACCGGCTCAGTGCAACCGATATGAAGTTCGTCGCCAGGGCTGCTGCTACTAGCCCCACTCCCGACTGGCAGGCCAAGGTTGCATGGCTGGAGTCGCAGGGCCGTCCACGCAGCTCTGACGTCTGCAGGGGAGCCGCTGCCTGTCCCGATGCCGCGGACCGCCTGGCCTGGCTGCAGGGGCGGGGCTACCCAGTGTACACGGAAGTGGTGATTGCGGCCATCTCAGCTGGCAACACGGCAGCGCTGGAGTACTTGCTGCGGCAGATGCAGGACATGTGTTCATTGCACCATGAGGAGGAAGGGGCGAAGCGAGAGGCGGCGAAAAGCGGCAAACTGAACGTATTGCGTGTGCTGCATGCGGCCGGTCGCCTCTTGGACGGTGGAGTGCTCACGTTGGCGGTTCTTGGTGGACACCTGCATGTGGTGTCCTGGCTGATGGAGACGGTAAGGATAGATCTGAGGCAGCGGGGTAACCTCACAACGTTTGCTGCCATGAGCGGCAACCTTCAGCTGCTGGTGTGGCTGCACGAGCGGGGCTGCCCAAGGGGCTCAGCCACCCTGAGTAATGCAGCGCTGGGGGGCTGCGAGGAGGCGATGGAGTGGATGGTGCAGCAGGGCTGGCCCCTGAGGGTGAGTGGTTGGTCTATGTTGGGGGTGGGAACTGCAATGAGGTTCCAGGAGGGTGTGAAGCACAGACAAGGATGAGGGGTTCATCCCATGTATACACCGAGTAGGACTGGCCAGGCTTTTGTACACAACGTGCACCCCCGCACAGCATCATGACCTTGTGCATCTTGCTTGTCCCCTTCCTGCCCTAGGAACAACAGCCTGGCAGTTTGGCTTTGTTTTGGCAGCCATGACCCATACGCGTTGGCCGGCCGCCAAGGAGACATGGCCACATTACGCTGTATGCGGAGACTGGGCGTCCTCTGGAGTCATGGGGCGGGTGCCGGGACGTTTGTATGCTGCATCCGTTCCCGCAGCCCGCTGCCGGTGCTGGCCTGGCTGCTGGAGGAGGGCTGCCCGGTGCAGGACTGGGAGGCCGCCAAGAAGGCAGCGAAAGACTCCCGACAAGAGTCGCTAATCAAGTGGCTGACGCAGCAGGAGGAGCAGCAGCGGGAGCACCAGCGTCGGGCGAGCTGGGGGCAGCGACATTGGGCAGTGGAGGACGACGAGGAGGTGGAGGAGGAGTAGCGAAGCAGCACGAGCGAGGGAAAGCAGCACGGGTGTACAGGGTGGGTATGTATCATAGCCTTGGCCGCAGTTTGGCGGTGCCGTTGCTATGGATGTGTGTTGCAGGTCGTGCTGGCTTATTTGGCTCATACCGGTACCAGCCAGGCAGGGCGGCAACAAGGCGCTGTTCATGACCGGTTGCCCAGGTAGAGGCAGATGGGCACCGCCCTACATGTGGGCTCACGCTGCTTGAGCCAGCCAGACACATGAATGCTGCTGCAGCAAGCAGGCAGGCCTCTGTCAAAACAAGGTGCACGATGTGGGGGCTTGGTGCTACAATGCCACTGTTGCATACTGACACTGTCTGAGATGGCTGGGTGCGGGAGATTCGGCTGGGGTCACCCACACAGTGTGATTGTACAGGCGGTAGGCTGGCGGTAGATTGAGACGGCTCCTTGGCAGCCCGAGAGGTGGGGTGGGTAATGGCACTGGGAGGTAGCATGGCTGGATAGGGCGGTGGTCGAGGATGGTCGATGATGGGAGGAGAGATGATGTTGTCCCATGCAAGCAAAAAGCATGGGACAACAAGGGATCTTGTCAAGTAGCAGGTAAAACATGCGTCGCTTGCTGAGGTGTACAGGCCGCTATTACACAGGTGGGGCTGGGGTTGACAGTTGGCTACGTACTGATTTGCGGTTTGGAGAAAGTGGACGTGTTCCTCGAAGTTACAGCGGGATAACGTGTCCTGCTGGTAACTGCCAAAGTTGACCGCTGTGACCGCGTTCCTGCACTCTGTTGATTTACAAGCAGAGTCATGGTTTGTTCGCAAGGTTCGTTTTGATCGTTGAAATGCCCCTCTGCAGCGACATGGGAGAAAGGGAGTGCGCCAGGGTTTGGGCAGCAGCATTGAAGAAGGCACATGAGCAACACAAAATGCTGTGCGTGTGGCAATCCAGACCACAAAAACACAAAACGAGGGTGTAACATCTCTAACAGAGGGGACTTGACTAGAGCTTGGTGTGGTGTCTGTACCATGCAGTACAGTACGTGGCATGGGTAGGCAAGGAGTGAAGTTGCCTGTAACCATACCGTGCCAGCATAACGCCGAGAAGTCTGTATGGTGCGGGGATAAGTTGCAGCGGATCCATTCCGCAATGGGTAGGATGCTGCACCCGCCTCTGGACTTGCGTCACGCGCAGGCCACATCCTGTACGACAGGGCCACGTGAAATTTTCCTGCTTACTAGGGATGCAATGTCCTTATAAGCATTAAATGCAAATCTGCGCTAAAGACTGACCCGATTCGTAGTGAGTAGCTGAAGTCGAGTACCCGGGAATTCCATTAGCGTCCAGTGTTTCGCGGGCGTCAATCTAAATGTCGGCCCTCAGGGCCCATGCTCTTCCTGTACGGAGCGCCCCTTTTGTAGGATACCAGGTGCGCTATATAGGGCAGCAGACAGCCAAGGCCTAAGTAGTAATGACAATGACCGGTGACTTTTTGCGAACTTGGTGCACCGCTTACGATCCTCGCAATCTTATGCGCTCTTATACCGCCTTGAGCAGGCGCGGTCTCGTTGCGGGAGACGGGCTTGCTGCCATCCTCCTCGCTCAACTGCAGTCCACACTGCTAGCGAGCTGGTCTGCTGGTTAAAGGTAAGTCTGCCCTAATGTATCAAATGCTTAAAATCACCGGCGCTACTGTCTGCCGGTACGAGCGGCGCGGGTCATCTGCTTGCCGATCTAGGGCTTTGACGTCTACGCCCTTACGGACCGCAGGAGAATGGCGCAAAGATTGATCCAGTTGAGGTGAAGACGCTGGATGTGCCGTCGGCGGGTCGGCCCCTGGACGTCGTGGTGGCGGGTGAGCGCTGCCCCTTGGGGCGCCCCACACGGCCCCAATCCTGCCCCTCGCCCGCAGCTCCCTTCCACGACCCTGCTGCTTGCATTCCCTTGGAGTTGGCAGTAGTGCCACATGGGAGCCCCGCCTCCTGCGTTGCCTTTGCCCTGCTTGCTGGAGTTGCGCCGGCCGCTGATGGCACCAGCAGCTGGAGCCACCACCCACCCTTCCCCTCCTCCCCCTCCCCCTCATCCCTCCCCCTCACCCCTCACCCTCCCCCTCCTGCCCCTTACCCCTCCCCCGCCCTCCCTGCCCCCAGGCCGGCCGCTGGCTGCCGGCGAGGTGGCCCTCAGCATCCCCGAGCACCTGTGCGTCACGCTTGACCGCATCTTTGAGAGCGAGTTCGTGGGTGAGGGAGGGGGAGGGTCGGAGAGGGAGGGAAGGGAAGGAGGGAAGGGAAGGATGCCTTGCAGGTTGCACCCGGGGAAGGGAAAGAAGAGGGAGACCCACCCACCCCTCACCCCACCCACCCGCTCCCCCCCTCCCCCAGCCGAGCTGCTGACCACCGACAAGCTGAGCGAGCTGGCCTGCCTGGCGCTGTACCTGATGTACGAGAAGAAGCTGAAGAAGAAGTCCTTCTGGTACCCATACATCAAGGTAGGGGGAGGGGGTGGGGGGTGTGATGGGGTGGGGCAGGGGAGGGGGCAAGCACTCGTACTCCTCCTTCCCCCCCCCACCGCGGCCAACCCAACCCAAGTATGACTACCGTATACGCAAAATGCTGTGCACAGTGTGTGTCCCTCATTGCAGCCCTGTGTGGAATATACCCATCATCCCATCTCCTCACCCCTCCTCTCCCCAACCCACCAACCCCCAACCCCTCTTTCCCACACCAGGAGCTGGACAAGCAGCGCGCTCGCGGCCCGCAGGCGGTGGAGTCGCCCCTGCTGTGGAGCGATGAGGAGCTGGGCAGCCTGCTGCAGGGTACGGGGGGGGGAGGGGGCGGGAGGGAAGTGGGAGGGGGCGGGAGGGGGCATAGAACACACACTAACCAAGGCCCAACGCTGAGTAGGAGCTAAGAATGGCTGCTCAAACAACGGGAGGAGTGTCGGTGAAAAGAGGATATGGTATTACATTGGGATGCTGGATGCGCCCCCCTTGTCACAGCAGCAACCTAACAAGGAGGGGAGCATGCAGGGGAGGGCTGCGGACGGCCGCCTGCCGGCGGGCGCTGGGTGCGGCCCGTGGGGTGGTGGTGTGCGGGTCTGCTGTGCGACGGTTGGGTGGGTGCGGTCCCCAATGGTGTGTCAGAGGCCCCTGCAGCGGATTTCCCCATCTACAGTGAGCTCTGGCTCCGGAGCGGGGCTTGCCGGTCATGGGGGGGAGGAGAGAGGGGGGGAGGGAGAGCAGCCACACCAGCAGTAGCAGCAGCAGGGGTGTGTCACTGAAGGGGGTGAGCCCTGGTGGGGCCTTGGTGGGGCGGCGGCTGGCTGGGAGGCGCCTCCCGGGGGGGGCGGCAGCAGCAGCCGGGAGGGGGGGAGGGGGCAGTGCGGCAGCAGCGGGGAGTGGCTGGGAGGGGGAGAGGGCTGGGTGGGTAGGGACCACCGCTGTGCAGCGTCAGGGAAAGTGGGGTTGAGAGGAGCGCAAGGTGGTCAGGCCCCCTCTGGGCCCAAACGCCTCCATCCACTGAAGCGCGTTGTGCAGAACCAGTACCACACCCCCTTTTAACGCAGCCCCTCCACAACTCCCGCCCACCTCCCTCCCCCTCCTCGCCACGCCTCCCCTCCTCCCCCTGGCAGGCTCCCCGCTGCTCCCCGCCGTACGGCAGCGGCTGGCGGGCATCCGCAAGGAGTTTGAGGCGCTGGACACCGTGTGGTTCATGGCGGGTGGGTTTGGGGGGGGGGAGGGGGGGAAGAGGAGGAGGGGAGGGGGTGAGGAAAAAGTGGAGCAACCGGAGTCCGGGAGGGGGGGGTTGAGAGAAACCAACCCCTCATCCGCTTCCCGCCTCCCGCCTTCCCTTCAGGCTCCCTCTTCAACAAGTACCCCTTCAATCTGCCCACCGAGACCTTCACCTTCGAGCACTTCAAACAAGCATTTGCTGCCGTACAAGCCTCCATCGTGCACCTACAAGGCGTGCCCATAGCCAAGCGCTTCGCCCTGGTGCCCCTGGGGCCCCCCCTGCTGGCCTACTCCTCCACGTCCAAATCCATGATGACATACGATGAGGACGCGCGGGCGGTTCGGTTGGTGGTTTCGGGGGCGGTGGCGGCAGGGCAGCCGGTGGCGGCCTGGTGCGGGCCGCAACCGAACAGCCGGCTGCTGCTGAACTACGGAATTGTGGACGAGCATAACCCCTTTGACAGGCTGCAGGTACGGGGGGGGGGGCAATGCCAGGGGCTAGGGTGGGCTGGGCTATGGGGAGCGGGGGAGAAGAGCGAAGCAAAGCGGCCGTATCTGGACTGGGGAAGAGAGAAATCGCGGCTTACTTGATTACCCCAGACCCTAACCTGCCATACCCTCTTAACCCCTTTCCTCCCCTCTCCTCCCCCTCCCCCCCCCCTTCCCCCCCCAGATCACTGTCACCCTGCCCACCTCCGACCCGCTCTACCCCGCCAAGCGCGCTGCCGTACACGAGGCGGGCCTCGCCACCTCGCAGACGTTCGACATCTCCGCCGCCCGCCCGCTGCCCGACCTGCTGCTGCCGTACATGCAACTGGCGCTGGCGGCAACACCGCAGCAGGTGGGGAGGGGGAGCTGGAGTGGGGGAGGGGGAAGTTGCTTAACGCAGCCTCTCCTCCTGGCCCTCTCCTCTCTTAGTACCCACCACCCATGCGCCCTGACCTCCGTTTGCTCTGAAACCTCACGCCCCAAAGCCTATCCTGTCATTCGTTCCCCTATACCCCCCCACCATAACCTGTGGTAATCTCTTGACTCCAACCCAACGCCCACCCAACCCTCCCCGCCCCAGGTTGCCGCCGTATCCTTCGTCCCCGGCGCCCCCGCACACGACGCGGAGACGGACGCCGCCGCGCTGTCCGCCCTCATGTCACATCTGCAGGGGCGGCTGGCGGCCTACCCGCACCCTCTGTGGAGGGACCTGGAGGTGTGTGAGGGGGGGGGGGGACGAGGGGAGGGTAAAAGTAAGGAAACTGATGGGTGGTGAGGGGGGGCGGGGAGGGCCCGAGGGGAGGGCCCGAGGGGAGTTTGGGGGCGGGAGGGGTGTGTGCGGTAGGTTTGTAGGAGGGAGGAGCAGCAGCAGCAGGTAGCCGGGGAAAGACTCCTCCATCCCACCAGACGGCTGGCGTGTTCCTGAGCGTTCGGACAGCTATAACTCCTCCTCGTCCGGCAGGCGCGGCAATCCTTACCTCCTCACCCTAAACTCACCTCCTCGCGCGTTTTCCCAAACCCACCCTCCCTTTCCCCCTCCCTTCCCTCCCATTCCAGATCATCGACGACCCCGCCGCCTCCCCACGTCAAAAGGTTGCTGCCCGCCTCACCAAGATAGAGAAATCGCTGCTGGGGGCGGCAGCGGAGGCGCTGGCGGCGCGCGGGGCGCCCTCCTCCCCCGCGGCGCTGCAGGCGGCTCAGGAGCGGTTGGCGGCTTCGGGGCTGCGGCTGGGGTCGTTGTTTGAGGGGCACTGCGGGTAGAGGGAGGTGAGGGAAGGGCTGGAGGAGGTTGGAGCGGAGAGGTGATAGAGGGCGGTAAGGGGTTGGTGAGGAGGCGGGTTAGGGGTGCGAGGTGGGGGTGTGCTGGGTGGGTAGGTGAGGAGGAGGTCGGTGGTGGGAGGTGTGGAGAAGGGAGGTGTAGACCCCGCAGGTAGCAGGTAGCTGGTGTTGTGGTGTATGTGTTGAAGTGGTAATGCAGATGTAGCTGCAGGAGAGGAGGTGCGCTTGTATTTGTTGGCGGCGGCGGAAGGAGTTGTTGTTGCGGAGGAGAGGCGGCGGAGGAGGAGTGGATGAGCTCCTGGAACGCGGCTGGTTGATTGGTTGTGGCCGGCTCGCTTGTCAGGTTCACTGGGGGGCCTTACTCTTGGGGGTGAGGAGGATGTTGAGGTGGGAGCTGACTCAACACTGTGGGGTGTTGTTTGGGGCCACTATTCGCTTTATCCTCTGCTAACCGCAGCGCATAGTGTTGTGTCTTGTGCGACCGTTGTTGCCGTACACAGCAATCACAGCGAGTGTTGTTTTTTGGAGGTACCGTTAGTAGAATTGCGAGTTCCAACTGGATGTGTGAGGTGTAGCAGATTATTGAGAGAGACAAGGGAGGAACACGGTGGGAGGAGGCTGTGGGAATGCAGGGTGGCGGTTTCAGTGGCACAGCGGTGTCATGGCAGGGCTTGCTGATCGCCCCCCGCCCGTAGTGGAGCGGGAGGAGCGGGGAAATTCTGGTGATGATGATGGTGATGAACGACAAGAGGGTGTTGCGATGCTTGCAGAGCGTGAAGGTGCAGGGTTGCTTGGCTGCTTGTACCTGGCTTATTAACTTTTTGTCTAGTGGAAGTCTGCTTCTGGGTTGGCGCTGATATGGCCGACTTGGCAAGGTATTTGTCTGTTTCCGCAAAAGCCTAGCAAACATGAGCAGGGGTAGGATGGAACATGTGTGAGCCTCGGCAACCTAGGCCTAGCCTAGTTGAAGTTGTCGGGACGGTCCACTATTTTAAACCGCCAGAGATCACGTTGTACTGGACGGAGTCTTCTTTGCTGCCGTACTTCAAAGCCATGTCGTATACCCATGCATGTGGAGTACAGAGTCGTATTTTAGTGTTTCTTCGTGGGCTTCACTATCAGCATCAGTTTCCGGTCTGTAATTGGCAGAACGCTTGCATGAATAGGACGTTGATGCGACTGTGGGCAGACCTTGTGCCCTTGCATGTGTTAAAGAGGGGTTGCAACACGCAACAAAGTCCACATCGCTGTAAGCTGTATGGAGACACGTTGCTGACGCGTGGCTGTCGATTACGTAACCGGTGGGCACTGCTAACAAGCGAGTACGGTAGAGGCAGCCCGCGTCATGTACCCTCAATGACAGCCAAAAGTACGGGCCGCAGGTTTTTGAACAAGGGCGGATGGGTGTGGAAGGCAATGTGGGTACCGGTACCCTACGGGCAGCTGTGTGGGTGTGGGCTAGGAACTGGAATTGAATTGCGGCGCTGAAGCCTTGAAAGGGCAGCACAGACGAGAGCACCAGACCCTTGGATCTTCATGGGTCTCACACTGGACACTGGGGTATCACTGCCTAACACACCATCACAACAATGGCAACCTGCCGATCCTTTACCACGAATTGTTTACACAGTCTCCAGCGAAACCAGCAGTCTAACAGTTAGGCTCAATTTCCAGGGCGTTAGCCCGGATGTGCCAGAGTATAAAAAGCCGACATTCAGGCCTGGCAGTTGAGGTTGTGCCAGAGTAATAAAAAGCGGCGCGTGTGCGCGCCTAAGGACGCCATGGAGCACAGATTGAAAAGGAATAACATATACCTGGAACCACCACAGACACAGCAGCATGCATCACGCCTATAGGCTGCAAGACGGCACTGCCACAATATCATATTGATGTTCACGCTAACCACGAGGGATGCAAATCCAATACGCAATCAGCCTCGTGCAACCCGCGGCCGGGTTGCACTGGCATAACCGCAATAAACCTGCAAGGCATCAAGTGCTAGGTGGGACAGGCCAGCCCATGAAAACAATTGAAAACAGTTGATCACCAACGACCAACCAACAACCAGCAGCACCCAACCATAGCCGTAGCTGCATGTTCGAATCCAATGCCATATGTGCTGTATAACCCGTGTCTCATTGCCATGGACCCATATAACCCTTGGCAGCACTACCACTCGCAGACACTTGACCACATCGCAATCCAGAAACCCACCCTCTCTCCTACCCTGCTGAATAGGTCACACCCCTCCACGCCGAACTCTCACACCTTGCTATGCTAGCGATAAACAGCTTCCACTACAGCTGCCAGGTAGTTGATCACACCCGCTCTCTCGCAAGTCTCCACAGCGCTGCTCTGTACGCGTTGACAGCAGGTACTGCAACGCGCGGACTGGGTCCTTCCCCTCCCCGGGACTCCGGGTGCCGTCCTCCGGCCCGCCCTCCTCCACCCCTGAGCGAGCAGGCAGGTGTGTCACCACGTCTCAAGGTCGATCCGGGGCAAACACCAGCCTGGCATGCCCCTTACCTCTGCCTCCCAAGAGGCCCCAAGCATGCAACATCCGCCTTCCACAACCAACCCCCCCTCTCGCTTTCACGTCTCCGCCCGCCATTCGCCCACACGGACAAGCTCTTGGTCCCCTTGCTCTTCCCACGGCCAGCTGCGACCTCCCTGCCGGCCAAGCTGCCTTCACCCTTTAACGAGGACCCGCGCACAAAGCTGCACGACGCCTGACCGAGATACAACGCCTGCCGCGCCGGTTCCCCGCCCCTGACACTCATCCACCTCTCCTTACAACGACCCCAAGAAGGGGGGCGTACTGCGCCGTACACCTGCCGTACATCGCCTGCGCCGTACATGCGCTGACTTTGATAGGTCATTGCAGCCGGCGACGGTGACGGCGCCCGGAACCCGAATCTGGGGCCGGCGATGGCGGCGGCGCGGACTGCTGGGATGTGGGTTGCGGAGATGGCTGTGGCTCCGGTGACGGTGGAGACGGCGATGACTCCGGCGGCGAGGGCGGAAGAGATGGTTCTGGGGAAGGTGGTAGAGGAGATGGTTCTGGGGAAGGTGGTAGAGGAGGCGAAGGCGAAGGAGACGGAGGAGGGGGGGGAGCAGGTGTTGGCGGTGGTAGAGGCGGGGGTGACGGCGGGGGCGAGGGCAACGGGGATGGTGAAGGCGGCACGGGAGGAGAGGGTGGCGATGGGGGTGTCGGCGGAGGAGAGGGTGGCTGCGGCAGCGGGGAAGGTGATGGGGCCAGCGGGGAGGGAGACGGTGGCAGCGGGGAGGGTGACGGCGGCAGAGGGAGAGGTGACGGGGGCAGCGGAGGTGGTGATGGGGGCATCGGGGGTGAAGGTGGCAGCGGCGCCGGTGAGGGAGGGGACGGGGGCGAGGGGGGCGGCGAAGGCGGTGCAAGGGGGGACGGAGATGATGGAGGTGCCGATGTGGGCGGCGACGGGGGCAGCGGAGGTGGTGATGGGGGCAGCGGAGGTGAAGGTAGCAGCGGCGCCGGTGAGGGAGGGGACGCCGGCGACGGGGACGGCGAAGAAAGCGGCAGCGGGGGGGAGGGTAGAGGGGTGGAAGACCCTCCAAGTGGGTATGGCGGTGGGGGCGACTGGGGTGGCGGAAGGGGCGTTGGCGGAAGAGTCGGTGGCGAATACCCCCAGCGCTGCGAGAACGAAAGCCAAGGAGAAACCAGTAAGGGGTTAATGACCACAGGAAATGCAACACCATTGGCGGGCACAGTACCACACACACACACAGTGAGGGTTCGGGGTGAAAGGAGACGCCACATCCGGCTGACCCTGGGTGATTGTCAGTATCCACGGCATACGTGCTAAGGCTCGCTATCAAGCACCCAGATGCAGACCAATAACAGCGATGCAAGAGGCGCCCCTAAGTGCCTTAGGGTTGCGTTGCCCAAGCACACCCCGTTAACATTAAACAAATAAGACGCCCCATTTGTCCTCATACCGGGCTTTTGCTCTTATCGCATCCGCCTTCACCGCAGACAGAAGTTGTGACGATCAACACTAGTAAACCAGCCCCGACAGCGCAAGCAATTAGGAAGCTGAGTTTAGGATGGTCGAGGACCTGAAGAAAGGCAGCCACACAGTCAGGACGACCGCAACTCGTTGATCGCACATAAATCAGCGACTTACCCAAAACCTGGCTTTTTGATACAGTGAGACCTTCCTTGGTCGCTCGAAGTCAACATCAAAGGAACGGTAATCTCTAAACGCCGACATTGTTGAAGAGTATCCACACTTGTAACCCCAGATGCCTCAAGACCAGCAAACAGACACCAAGCGGCAGTTAACTAATCTGCACCATAACTTCTAGCTAAGGGTCGACGTCAGGGGCCTTTGAAGAAAGCAGCCCGATTCCAGTGCCTACCTAGGCCTTCAGAATCCAAATTTGGACGAGCACGTAGCGGGGGGCTTTTCCAGGTATGGCGTTTACGTTTGACTTCAGCTTTTGTATGCCGTTTGCGAATCACGTTCAGCGGAAACCTGATTCCGTCAATGTGGCAAGCTAGCAGCTACCTACACTCGACTAAAAACAAGAATCAGTATGAAAGAATGCCTGCTAGTGAAGCTCTAGGCTTTCAGGATTTATGACGCTGTCATACCTGCTAGATACCCCGGCAGACGTTTCATCATGCTTCTGCAGACGTATTCCAAATGACATCGGGTGTTCGGCAACCTCCCGCACAGCATTTGCAAAGCTTGCTTGCTTGCGTATGCATGCAGGACGTTATATTCAACGCCATGCGTAGACGGCTAGTGCTTACACTGACTTTTTATTCAGGCGCGCTCTGGTTCGGCACGTGGCTCAGTTCCAGCTGACAATGTGGGGCGCAATCTGGCGGTGCTGAAGCCGGCAAACCCCAATCACGCAAGTGAACATAAATAACGCCTTGCAATGTTAACCAGTGAGATGCGTTCCCCGCATCAAGTCCTATTGAAACACATAAGCACCTAGCGTGTGTGTGACGCCTTGAACCCTTCCCGGCTTGCCCTTCCCCCCTAATCTTTGGATATATGCCCTACCCACAGCCTAACCCTCTCGATAGGGAACGATTGCCACCTCCCCTCTTGACCTTGGGATCCCTACTGGCCCAACCCTACAGAGGATGACGGGCTGCTCCTGCATCTTTACCCTCCCTGCCCAATCCCTTCCTACTCTAACAGCAAACTGGCTGAAGCTCCCAACCCGTTCTTATCACTCCATAGCTTCCATGCAAAAGGGAACAGGGCAGCGGTGTACAGCATTACAACAACCCCGTACAGTAACCTCCTCATAGTAAGCTCGGCGGCTTCTTACTACCATACATTGGTCAGCAATCAGCATGGAAAAAGTCCAAACTGGCGCAGGGGCATGCGTCATCAAAGTAAGCACAACCGGTAGTTACGCTATCAAGAACGAAGGGTCCATCGGTCTATGGTACTTACCCGTCGGTGACCTGCCTGCCTTTCATAACCCCGCTACGCTGACGCTTTAAGAGTGTTGCCTCTTGCTCACTGTCCGAAGCAAAGAAGGTACATAAGTAAGTTCGCACCAGGAGAAGTGCCAGCTCATATGACTGAGCCTAACGAAATTATCATAATGATTGCGCGCTTTTACACTGCTAGCAGAGCATGAGAGGACAATTGAGAGCTATCCAGCCTATACTTGCACTGCGCTGGTTTGACTTTCCCCCTTCAAGGTACCACTTAAACCTTACGTTTGCTATAGTATAAACGGACCTTCGTAGACGTCAAGAACGTAGCATATCGAGAGCAAATGACGGCGGTTGCTCGTCAGCAAACTGTGTCGTACGGGAAGACTACGATTATGAAAGCTGTATCGCTTCCCATCAGGGACCCTCCTGCGTTCCGCGGCTTCTTGCACAATCCCGGTTGGGGTTACCGTTTTGCACGGGTATATCCGTGGGTTTGTGTTCTAGTAACGGTGCGCTGTCTGCGAAGGAGGAAATAGTTTAACAACAATACAAAATGGCCGTTCGCACCGTTCCCGGCGTTTCGATTCTGGCGCCCGTCTCAGCGGAGCATGCTGCTATCCTGACTCCGGAGGCTCAGGAGTTCGTCGCGACCCTGCACCGTGTATTCAACCCCCGTCGTAAGGAGCTGCTGAAGCGCCGTGATGAGCGCCAGAAGGAGCTGGACGCTGGCAGGTGTGTCTAGTCACGTTGCGCCGTCATGGTGATGTCCGAAACTTAACGTTGCCGGGACTGGAGCTTTATCGTCGCTTCTTTCTTTAGAAGGACGGGGCCAATACCTACGATACAGCAATTTATCTTGAGCTCTTCCTCTTTCTGGGTTTATGCGGAATTTTTATGGGGTCTAGAAGACACTTTCGTGGGCTGCAGGCAGGGATCAACATCTTTTATACAGTCATAATCTAAACAAACCCTCTCAACATTTTGATGTGAATCTTCGGTTATCATCCTATCCTCTGTAACTATATGCTTGGGGTGATCATCAACTCAACCCAAAGGGTTTTCTTGTACCGGTCTTGTACCGGTCCATAAACATATGGACCTCGTCATCATTGCAGGATGCCGGACTTCCTGCCGGAGACCGCTGCCGTGCGCGCTTCGCCCGCTTGGCGCTGCGCCCCGCCTGCGCCCGGCCTGGTTGACCGCCGTGTGGAGATCACCGGCCCCGTCGACCGCAAGATGGTCATCAACGCGCTGAACTCTGGCGCCACCCAGTACATGGCTGACTTCGAGGGTAGGACCCCCGCATGGATCTTTAAAGTGAAGAGGGCGTGTGGTGTGAAGAGGGCGTGGGACCATACCCGTGGCCGTCACCCCTACTACGGTACCCTTAGTTGCCACGATGTGGGTCGGGCCTTGCACTAGAACAAAAGTCGGCCGAACCCTATGAAGCAATGCGATAGCCAGTTGCAACCTACAGCGTCATTGAAACAAGCCCTGGCGTATCGCACAGTCGCATGACCCCGTGCCGGATCTCAATTTGTTTCCCTTCCCACCTCCCTTCTCCCTCCCTAGACTCGCACGCCCCCACCTGGGCCAACAACCTGGACGGCCACGTGAACCTGGGCGACGCCATCCGCCGCACCATCAGCTACACCGGCCCCAACGGCAAGCAGTACAAGCTGCGCACCGACGGCAAGCTGGCCACCCTGCTGGTCCGGTGAGTGTTTACGATGCGGTAGAAACGATACCCCGAATCTACGGTACCACCTCGCGCGCACACCATGGCACCGGCATGGGACTGCAGCCGCTTCTGGATTCTTACACTCAGCTGAAGGCCTCGACGTGGTCACATGCCCTACCGTCGTATAGTGGCAATCCCAGCTGCTCCAGCTGCCCCGGCTACAGCACCAGCACCTGCATGGCGATGTACGCATGCCCGACTTCACTAACCCCATACACCCTTACACCCCTACCTGCCCGCCCGCTCAGCCCCCGCGGCTGGCACCTGGAGGAGGCTCACTTCCTGGTGGACGGTGAGAACTGCTCTGGCTCGCTGTTCGACTTCGGCCTGTTCTTCTTCCACAACGCTCGCGCCTGCCTGGACGTGGGTCTGGGCCCCTACTTCTACCTGCCCAAGATGGAGAGCCACCTGGAGGCCAGGTGAGGGCAGGGTAGGGGTAGGGGCGGGTGGTGAAGGCTGGGGGAGGTTGCGCATGAGGAAAGGGGTGGACGGACCTGGCAGAGTGTATTAGATGCAGGAAAGCGCAGCCTGACGAAATAAAAGATCCAGGCGAAGGTCTGATTCGCTGGACGAAGAGAAAAGACAGCGTGAGAAGCGCAGCTCGCTGCTCCATTTTTTGGGACGTCCCTGTTTGATCCGCAGCAAGCACCCTACCACCCCTTCACCACCCCCACCCCCTTGCTCTCCGACTCCAGGCTGTGGAACGACGTCTTCAACGCCGCCCAGGACATGATCCGCCTGCCCCGCGGCACCATCCGCGCCACCGTGCTGATTGAGACGCTGCTGGCGTCCTTCGAGATGGAGGAGATCCTGTTCGAGCTGCGCGACCACTCGGCCGGTAGGTGGGGGGCGGGTTGGTGGGCGGAGGGGCCGCCTCCTTCGCCTCACAAATATGTTTGCGTAATGAAGGTTATCGCTGCTAATATGCTCCTGCGTTTCTCCCCGCCCTGCTGTGACTACCAACACCAGGCCTGAACTGCGGTCGCTGGGACTACATCTTCTCCTTCATCAAGAAGCTGCGCAACCACAAGCAGTTCCTGCTGCCCGACCGCGCCTCCGTCACCATGACCTCGCCCTTCATGGACGCCTACGTGCGCCTGCTCATCAAGACCTGCCACAAGCGGTAGGTGCGGGAGGGGGAGGGGGGGGACATCCATCACCGAAATCCCACCTGCTTCCTTGCAGCATATCTTGCCTCCACGCACACATACACACACGGCTTGTTTCTGCTCAATTACACACTGATTCCCCGCTTGTCGTCTTCACCTCACCTCACCCTTGCCTTCCCCACTTCCGCTCTCCCCCTTTTCACAGTGGTGTGCACGCCATGGGTGGCATGGCTGCTCAGATCCCCATCAAGGACGACCCCGCTGCCAACGCCGCCGCCATTGCCAAGGTGCGCGCCGACAAGTACCGCGAGGTGACTGCCGGCCATGACGGCACCTGGGTGGCGCACCCCGCGCTGGTGCCCATCGCCATGGAGATCTTCAACAAGTGAGAAAGGAGGGCTTGAGGGAACTGAGAAGTGAAACGATTAGGGAAACTGGGGGCAGTTGATGGAGTTGGCTGTACGAAGAGTTATGGGGGGACGGATTACGGATGCCTCGCCGAGATTGATACGGAACTGTTAGAACGGAATGATAATGCGTGATGAGCCAGGGCGCTTCCTGACCAAACCTGCTCTGGGTCTGCGGGAAGGATTGGTACAGCTGCAATCCAGATTCAGCAATCCGCTCTCACACACCCGCGCCGCCACGCCCCCCGCAGGCACATGCCCCAGCCCAACCAGCTGCACGTGCGCCGCGAGGACGTCAACGTGACCGCCGCCGACCTGCTCAACGTGCTGGGCGGCAAGCTGCTGGCGGACGCCGGCATCACCGAGAAGGGCCTCCGCGACAGCATCTTTGTGGGCCTGGCCTACATGGAGAGCTGGCTGGCGGGTGTGGGCTGCGTGCCCATCCACAACCTGATGGAGGACGCGGCCACCGCCGAGATTAGCCGCTCGCAGCTGTGGCAGTGGGTGCGCCACGGCGCCCGCACCACCGCGGGCACTGAGATCACCGCTGCCTACGTGATGAAGCTGCTGCAGGAGGAGCTGGACACGCTGAAGGCCAAGGTGAGGAGAAGGGAAGGGGGGGTGGATGGATGAGGGGTGAAGAAGGATGCGATGCGATGCCGATGGGTTGCATCGTGGAGAGGGTGGGGCGTGGAGATGAAGGAACACGAACCGGTACTTGGTCATGCTTCTTGTGAGAGCCAATTCCCATCGTGTACATCTTCCCCTTACCGTCTTTCTCCTGCCATCATTGTGTATTCGCAGATGGGCGCTGAGAAGTTTGCCCGCTCCAAGTACTCCCTGGCTGCCAAGCTGTTCTCCAGCACCATCACTGGCGGCCCCTACAGCGACTTCCTCACCACCCTCTGCTACGACCACATTGTCAGCAAGCCCGCCGCGCGCATGTAAGCGGCCACAGCTATGTGGCGGCATTTGCGGCTTCAAGCTATAGCGGTTGTTGACGACTATGCACTGGAACCGCAAAGACAGCGTTGCGTAAGGAGCTGGAGGTTGGGATGCGTTGGGCAGAGCCGGATGAGGCTGCTGCGGAGTTTTTGTTTGGACCAGCCGCAGCTGGTTGAATGGAGGTGAATATTGAATAAACGCTTTTGCGTTCTTCGTTGGACGATGGTGAAAGGGAAGGGGTGTACGACCTGTAAAGGGTGGGCCTTCCGCACCTCGTCACGTGATATGTTGGTTCCCTGGCGCCGCCTCTCAGTGGAAACGGGTTGGCCTGGTTGGCAGTCAAGGAATGTTTTGTTTGACGGATATTTTTGGGGGAGTCTTTTCGAGAAGCTCATCTCTTTACCCGGAGTATGTAGCGGATCCCTGCCCTCACGATGTACTTGTGCAACTGAGCTTTTCCGTTGGTGTTCGGCTTGTGTAGTAGTAATAATGTTGGTGCTACCCTTCCGTGCACGGATCTTTGCCTATCAGGCTTGTTACGGCGACCCTTGTAAGGCTTGCATCGTATACCGGTATACAGCCGTGCCTTGCCTTGTGACACAGCTGATCGACGGTCAACATGTTCCTCCGTCGCGCCCAGTATAAAGGGCTGCAAAGCAAGTGGCAAGTACTTGTGTAGATTGTACACCTTCCTCCTGAAAGACACAATCAACCAAAATCTGTGCCAGGCCGACTTTAATAGCTTAGGGACAAGATAAAAGATAACCCTGGCGCGTCTAACTTAGTCATCCCAAGGTATGTGCGAATGGATCTGCGCTTGATGGGGTCACGTTGCCACCTGAATGACGTGATCTCCATTCAACAGACGTCTCAGAGCAGCAGTGTCGCGTTATTCAAGAACAAGCAGGCGCGTACCGACGATAGCTCGGTATTCATTACTGCATATAACGCGCAAGCGCTGCACAATAATCAAACCGCTGCAAGCCGAAACCAGGAAACGCCGGAAACAATTAGCACTCAGGGATAAAAGTTAGCATACTAATCATCCTTGTTACTGTGCACACCTTCGGTTTAACTCTCAATAGCACTCTCGCAAGCAAACCGCGCGGTGACGAACAGCAATGGCGACGCATGTAACCCTGTCATCGGGCCACCAAATGCCAACTGTCGGGCTCGGTGAGTTAAATATGCCAGCCCTTATTGTTAAGCAGCTTTCGGCAGCCAGTGTCATCATTTTCGGGGTCTGTCGCGCGCTTTCCTCGTTCGCGTCGGTTCGAGTCAGCGCTGGTTGCGCCCGGGTCGCTCGCATCATCCCGCCTGCCCGTATCCCTTGACGTTTCGAAGTGCGTAAACTAGCTATTCCCGAAATCCAATTGCAAAAGCGTACCCACCGCAAGCGAACACACCTCCACGCCTATTGTAACATTCGGAAGAAAACGGTTACGGCATGCTGCAAGCGCTATGCCCATTTACTCCACCGTACCCGCCTGTTGCAGGCGTGTACCAGTCGCGCCCCGGGGAGGAGACGTACGATGCCGTACTGAGCGCCCTGAAGCTGGGTTACCGCCACGTGGACACGGCGCAGGTGGGCGGCTGGGGTAGGACGTGGGGGAGGGGAGGTAAAGGAGGACATGGGGCTTTATGTTCCACAAAGATAGGGGGGTGAAGTAAATGTGAAGCGGAGCAGCTGCAGTCTCACGGAAGGATACCGATGCGTGGAGGGGGATGACAGTACCTGGGGCTGTTTCAACGAGTCGATTCAGGTTGTCTTCGCCAATGCGAGACGTTATTTACTTGCTGCGGCATTAGATTCGGGGAGATTCCCAAGACGACAGACGAGTCATCGAGTCTCCCTCTCCCATCTTCACTCCCCCTCCCACCCCCAGTTCTACGGCAATGAGGCCGACGTGGGGCGGGCGGTGCGCGACTCGGGTGTTCCGCGAGAGGAGGTCTTCGTGACCAGCAAGGTGCGGGCGACGGAGGGGGGTAATGCGCGTAGGGGGACGGGAGGAGGAATGGTTGGCGCCGCAAGTACGGCAGGGGGGTGGGCTTCAACGGAATTGAGCAACTCACCTTAAATTTGAAAGGAGGGGCAGCAAAGAGGGTGGGGGTTTGTGCGTCTTGCTGGGCTGCAGTTGGAGCCGCATAGCGCCTCGCACCTTGTTTGTTTGCTGCTGTCATTGGTCAGCGTCAGCGGAAGCAGTAGCGGTAGGGTTGCGTTTCTCCCTGAACCCCAACCCCCGCTCCCCCACCCCGCTCCCCCCCATGCAGCTGTGGCGAGTGGACTACGGCTACGAGACCGGGCTGTCCTCGCTGCGCGCCTCGCTGTCCCGACTGGGGCTGCCGTACCTGGACTTGATGCTGCTGCACTCGCCTGGGGAGCCGGAGGCGCGGGAGGGGGCGTGGAGGGCGCTGGAGGAGGGGGTGAAGCAGGTGAGGGGGGGAGGGGAAAAAAGAGGAAACAACTAACTGACTGAGGGATAAGGCGTCAACATGGGGGGAGGGGAGGAGGGGGCTGGGAGGGGAGAAGGAAGGCCCGGCCGGTGTAAAGGGTCTTACCACCTTCTAATCCCTCCCGCGCGCAGGGCCTGGTACGCAGCATCGGTGTCAGCAACTTCGGCATACCGCACCTGCAGAAGCTGCTGCGGACCGCCAGCATACGACCCGCCGTGAACCAGGTAGGCAGGTAGATAGGCATGTAGGTAGGTGGTTGCGGCTTTGCCTGCTGGCTGGGGCGTTGTTGTTTGGGCTCCCTCTGTTGGTGGTTGGGAAGAGCTCCATCATCCGGTGTCCAACCCCTGAGACCTCGTCCCATAATTGCGGTTGTCTTTCCTCTTCGCACCGCCTCCCCCGCCCTCTGGCTCCCCTCTAGTAACCGCATACCTCCCTGGCCTCCACCCCCAGGTCGAGGTGACCCCCTTCCTGCAGCGGCGGGAACTCGTGGAGTACTGCAAGCGGGAGGGCATCGTGGTGCAGGTGGGTGTAGTAAACTGTCCGCGAGGTGCAGGTGTGTTTGTGGGGAGGGGAGGCAGGAGGGGCGGGAGACCGTAGCAAACCATAGAGGGGGCGGGGGGGGGGTTGGGGTTGGGAAGGCGTGGGGATTCTTCTTCATACTCACCCGTTCTCCACACGTTGTACGACAGTCAAACTCCTCCATTACTGTGTTGCCGTACACCCGCTTCGCATTCCCGCTGCCGTACACCTGCCTGCTTACTTCCCACCCAGGCGTACTCTCCCCTCAGCAAGGGCCAGCAGCTGAATGACCCACGGGTTGTTGAGATAGCGCAACGGCTGGGCGTGTCGCCGGCGCAGGTCATGCTACGGTGGGTTCGGGGTGGTTGGGGTGAAGCCGGGCCAGCTGGGAGCACATGCGGGGTACATCTCTAGTTACTAAACAGCACGGCAGAAGCACGGTGGAAGTGCCGGTGAACGGTAACACTCTTTTGTCCCCTCTCTCCTTTCACCCCAGCTGGAGTCTGCAGCAGGGTCTGGTTCCGCTGCCCAAATCGGTTCACCCGGAGCGCCAAGCTGCCAACCTGGCCGTCTCCTCCTTCGCACTGAGCGAGCAAGACATGCGGGAGCTGGGGGGGCTGGAGGCGGGACTAGTCACCGGGTGGGACCCCGTGGCGCAGGACCCGGTTTGAAGAGAGGGAGGGCGCGTTACGACGCATAAGGACAGGCATTTGCACTTGCATGCATGGGGCGTGGATGGATGAGGGGAGGGAGAGAACAGACGAGAGGAAGCTGTGCAGCAAGTCCCTGGCTTGTAACTGTTCAGGTGTACAGACCGTAAGTGGGTAACTGTATACCGTATTTATGTGGCTGCGTGGTTGGCCCTGCGCCATTCCAATTGACGGGTGTTGGTGAAGGATGATTGGATGTACGGTAGCAATCTCGCAAACGGGCGTGTCGTTAGTGGCCCACTTGGTGTGGAATGCATACTGTACGTGTGTTGACGAGTACGGGTGTTCATGAGGTAGGGGAAGGAGAGGCGCTGATTTCCATGTCGGACGATGGTACGTGAAAGGATATCGCGGGGTTGGCTCCAATCAGGGCGATGGGATTTAAGCTGCGAGTGGGAACTGCCGTATTAAGTTGTACTGCAAGAGATTTAACTGACAAGCGGTTTGCATGGTTGTAACTGATTGGTAGAGAGCATGTTGCATTTGGACTAAGGACGATGTGCTAGACATAAATTACGCTACACTGCCATAATCACCTTTGGCTAGGTAGTATGGCTGTCTGGACAGAATTTTTAACACATAAACTGTCGATTAGGGAGCGGTGACTGAGTTTGAACTTGGCTAAAGATGCTGCTATCATGTTGCTTTAGTCCACGTGCAAAAGAACCGGAATACTCCAAGCCTGGGTCGTCGCCTCAGCGTTCTCAACCGCAAGTTATAACGCAGCCAGAGGCACCAGTGCTCTCAAGAAACAGCAACAATGTCAAGGGAATCTTAACAGCTGCATTCAATCGGGTGTCCCTTTCAAAGGTGGGCACACCGGATATGTTGGGCATGCATGATGCAAAATACTTGCTCGCCCATGACTGCTCCACACGCATTCCTGGTCATCGCATTTATTTTCGTTGAAGGGCGCGTGAATGTCCTGAATGTTGGCTAGGCTTTCACTCGACTTTCTGTCCGCTTTGAGGCCAGCAAGTATAATATCTTGTAAGGGTTATCAAAAGAACAGGTGTACCATACTTAGCAGATCACTGTGCAAGGGCGGCCAAATATCTTGCAAGGATAACAGATGCGCATGCCCCACACCTAATCAAGTTGACAAATTCCCAGCTCCTTGCTATTTCAACGGTCCTTAATACATATCCAACATTCGTGATGTATGTCGCTTTGCTAACACCTTGTCCCTTGCCGACCCTCTTCCCTTATGACTTGTCCAGCCTGACGACCAACACCAGAACTCCACCGGTGCCCAATCCCAGCACGAGCCGCTACTGCAGCTGCTGCCCGTGTTGACTTCCTTGGAGGGCGGATGGTAGGCGATTGGGGGATGACGGGAGCTAGGCGCTCCAGCTGCTCGGCGGTTTGTGGGGCTCTATTGTGAATCTCCAGAGCGTACCTGGTGGGCAGGTCATGCTGGGTGCTGCAAAGCCTGGTGTTATCGCACCGCTATGCTGCATCGCCTCCACACCCTCTTCACACGCCATGTCTTTAAGGCCACGAGCCCGTCCACCTCACTCCCCGCCCCTCCTCCCTCCCCGCCCCACCTCCCTCCCCACCCCACCCAGGTGGGATCAGCTGGAGAGGGCGGTGGCGGCCGCCGCGCAGCACCTGGCAGCCACACACGCATGGTGAGCGGGTGGCGCATGGAGTAAAGAGGAAGACACTAACGCACCATGTGGCAGGGGGGGCGGGGGCGGGCTGGAGGATTGCACCATAACCATAGGAAGCTAGGGGGCCCCGGCCCTGCCCCGCCAGCCTTGTTAGGCAGCCTGCCTGGGCCCCTAGCCGGCCTCGCTGCCTCCGGGCCCTCGCTGCCTCCCCGCGCCCAACCTTCTCACCTTCCCTCCCTCCATCTTCCTCTCCCCCTCTTCCCCCCCCAGCATCTTCCTCATCTCCGGAGATGCCACCTACGCAGCCCCGCTGGCGCTCATCGGGCCGCCCGCTCCCCCGCTGTCAGTCGGCGTGCCGCTGCCGCTGCCGCCGTTGCCCTCGGGGCCGGCCACATCATCCCCCGGGGCAACAGCAGCTACTGCTGCCGCTGCTGCGGGTCGCAACACCCCCGGGCCCGGCGCCAACAGCGGGCACTGTTCGGGCGGTGGAGGTGGTGCGGTGGGGGCTTCATCCTCTCTGGCGTCGTGCTCCTCCACTGGGGAACTTGGGGCAGCAGGAGCAGCGGCAGGGGTCCTCCCGGGGCGGGGAGAGAAGGGGGCGGGGACAGGGGTGCTGCTGCCGCCGCCCTCGTGTGCCGCCGCGGCCCTCCTGGCGCAACAGGTGTGTTAAGAAAGAAAACTGGCCGCGAGTCAGGTGTGTGTGTTAAAATAACTGGCAGGTGTGTGTGTGTGTGTTAAGAAAACTGGCCGCGAGTAGGAACATACTGTGATTGTCGGAAGATGAAGTCCTCCCACCGAAAACGCCACAGGTGAAGTGAAGTCCGTTGGCTATGTTGTAATAGAGCTATCGAGTAGTATCGGAACCAGTGTGTGTGTGTGTGGTTGCACGGTGGTACCGTTGGGGAGGAAGATTGTGAGGGTTGGGGCGCGCAGCAGGTGTATGCCTTTGTGTGTTTGTACGGGGAAGGCTGTTAGGGAGGCAACAGGGGAGGGGCTGGGCGGGGCGGAAGGAGGAGGGATTACCGTGTTGTGTGGAAGATGGGTTGGCACGGGCTGGTGTGGGAGGTTCTGCACGCCAAGCAGCCAGTCCTGATGTGGTAGTGCTGCGGGCACCCGCATGCTCTGTCCTTCGAGTCGAGGGAGCTACCTCCCCTGTTCACCTCCCTCGTTCACTGCCACTCCTCTTTACCCTTCCCTCCTCCCCCCTTCCCACAGCCGCACCCCGACCATCCATCCCGCCTGCTGCTCCTCACCGATCTGCCCCCCAGCAGCAGCGGCCTCTTCAGCCACCTCCACCACCACCACCATCAATCCCACCAGCAACAACAGCAACACCACCACCCTCAGCACCAGCAAGGCGCCCCCTGTAATGGCATCGACTCCCATGCAAGCAGCGCTGCAGGGGGTGCTGGTGGCGGCGGCGGCGGCGGGCGCAGGTGGAGTCAGGGCGGTGGAGGCGGTGGAGGAGCGGCGGCGCTGTTGCCCCCCGAGTGGTCCCATCTAGCGGCGGCCCGGGGGGGCGGCTGCTCGCACTTTGCAGCGGTGGCCATTCCCTGGGGGCATGTGCCGCTGGGGGTGCTGAGCCTGGGGGCGGAGGGTGAGAGGGGCGGTTCTTCGTGCGGAAAAGGGCTTACTGCATGCACCCGACTTGCCCTTTGTTGCCACAGCCTCAACCCGGCCTCCTCGCCTCTGGCGTCAGCCGTGCAAAAGCAGCTGCTTCGCCAGTCATTCCTCGCCTCCCTCTGCCTTCCCCTCCCCCTTCCCTGCAGGCCCCCGGCGCCCGCCCTGCTGGACCCCCGAGTCGCTGCACTGTGTGGCAGCGCTGCTGTCGGCGCCCCTGCGCACCCCGCAGGTGCGTGTGTTAAGAAAACTGGCCGCGAGTAGGAACGTAATGTGATTGCCGGTGTGCGTGTGGGTGTGGGGTTCCCCTGGGGCTTCCCTGGCATGCACTGCAGTGCTGGGAAGCTTGAGGTGGCCTGAGAAGGTTAGGACCCCTTAGGAGCTGCGGCCGGGGATCTGGCTTTGGCCGTCGCATAGAGCATCGCCTGATCCTCACACCCGCTCCCTGCCCCTTCCCTTCCCCTTCCCCTCCTCCCTCCTCCTTCCCCTCCCTGGGGAATTTCTTTTTTTCCCTCCTCCCCCAGGTTGATCTGGCCTGCCGGGCGCTGTCGGAGCTGTCCGCCGCCGTGACGGTGCACCAGGTGGTGCGGGTGCTGCTGGGGGCGGCGGAGCAGCTGGTGGGGGCGGTGAGCAGGATCGACACGCAGGCGCGGGTGGCGTTCCTGCTGCCGGTGAGGGGGAGGGGGGAGGGGGAAGGGCACATGCGCCCGGGCACGTGTGGGGTTAGACAATAGGTCAATAGCAGTAGACGACTACCGTACTCTATTCCGCCCGCTCGCTGGATGGTCCACAGTTCATCGCCACCGCGGACTCGGTATCGGTACAGGGGTTTCTAGACCCACACTCTGTATTGTAGCACCCTGCCGCCTCCTACACCCTCTTTGCTTTACCCTAACCAGTGGCTTCCTTCCTATGGTGTGGTATGCCTTTGGACCCCCCCATCCACCCTCCCACCAGGACCTGGACTCCGCCGCGGTGTTCCGCTCCGCTGCCACCGATGTGGTGGGTCCGGCACTGCGGCGGAGGCTGAGCGAGGTACTGCTGGTGGACACCACTGCTGCTGCTGCTGGGGGTGGTGCGGGTGGGGGTGCTGGGGGTGGTGCGGGTGGGGGTGCTGGGGGTGGAGCAGCAGGAGCAGGAGCAGCGCCGGTACACTCCAATGCCTCCACCACGCATGGCGGCGGAGCAGGCGGGGCGGCTTCCAGTGCCCCCAACACGGGTGCTGGCGGCATGGGCACGGGTGCGGGTGCGGGTGCGGGTGCTGCGGCGGGGGCCGTGGCGAATGGAGCAGGAGGAGCAGGAGGGGGGGCAGGAGCAGGAGCAGGCGGGGGTGTGTTGCGGGTTCGTCGCAGCCTGGGCGGCAACGAGGGAGTGGCGTCTCGCTCGCCGAGTGTGGCTACCTCGGTGCTGGCAGGTGGGGGGAGGGTGCGAGGGGAGAGGGAGGGGGGGGGTAATGTTGAGGAGGGGTTAGTTCGTGAGACGTGAGGCAAGGGGCGCTGGCTTGATACCCCTTTCCCCGCTCCCTCACTCACCCCGGCGTTCGCTCCTCACGCGCACGAGTAGGCCTGGCCGCACCCGCACCCGCACCCGCACCCGCACCCGCACCCACACCCGCACCCCTTCTGCTTCCGTACTCCTAGAACGATTCCAGTCCGTTGTTATTCGCCCCGTTGCAATCAGCCCCTTACTCCCCTTCCTCCCTCCCTGCAGAGGGTGCACGGGACAGCTTCGGGGGCCGGCTGCAGGGCGGGGACGAGGTGGGTACCGGGGGCGGGGAAAGAAGGATACCCAATGGGGGCGGGCGGGTGAAAACGTTGAGCCCGTTCTAGTGGAAACCACAAGGGAGAGGGCAGGGGGGCAAAGCGGGAGAAACCAACTGCTAACCGTGTAACGCGGTGGCGGTGGGATGGAGGTGAGCTGCGGGGATAACTGAGGAGGGTGGAGGTGCAGTGCCCAGGAGCACATGCTGCCGCACAGATATGGCGCGATACATGCGTCCGCACATGTCACCACCCATGCCAGCGGAGGAAGGGGAGGGCTTGGAGCCAAGCCTGCCGCTCCGTCGCATTTTACTCTCTTGCTCACTCGCGTTCAGAAGGACCCCCTCCCCCCGCTTTCCTCCTCCTCCCCCTCCTCCTCCTCCTCTTCTGTTCCTCCTCCCAGTTGTCCGTGTGTCGCGGTCACTCGCTGCCTCTGAAGCACACGCTGCTGTCGGAGGCGCTGTCGCGGGGGGCGGGGCTGTGCATCGCGGACTGCAACGCGTATGTGCAGGTGGGGCCGGGGCGGGTGGGGGCGGGGGCAAGGGCGGTTGGACTGAGGGGAAAAAATCCTGATGTGTGGTGTGATAGTGGTAAACTGAGGGGAAGGGGTAATGTTATCTTCAGTTAACCACACCCTACATTGCCCTCCCGCGCCCCACACCCGCTATTTCGTGCTGCGCTGCTACACACACCCGCAGGACAGCAAGGTGTATCCACACGACCTGGCGGTGTCCCGTGGGTCGGCGCCGCCCCAGTCCCTCGCGCTTGCCACCTGCAGCGGCAGCGAGGGCGGTCGGCCGCTGCTGGCGCTGTACGCCACCTACAACAGCGTGCTGCCGCAGGCGCTGCTGCAGAGCGTGGTGCAGGAGCTGGGGCAGCTGCTGAGGGTGAGTGGGACAAGGGTCCCAAAAGGCATATTGAGACGTCGTTGGGTTCCCTGTGGGGACCGTTTTCCCCTACCTCCGTAAGGCCTTGCCCTCATTTGTGGTTTGGTTTCTCCCTCCCAACCCCCTCCAATCCAGGCTCTGACCCCCTGCGTGGCGGCCAAGGTGACGGGGCCCCTGGCGGTGGAGTGGGGGCAGCTGCGGAGGCAGCTCATGGTGGGTAGTGAGGGTGTGTGTAAAGAAAGCTGGTCGCGAGTAGGAACATGGGGGGGGGGGCTAACTACCGGTATGTAACAGGCTAGGAGGGTGGTGGGTGTGGAGGGATGGAAGGCGGGAGGCAGATATCCCCTCCCAGCTGCACCATGCATGGTGACATCCTCGCTCCCTCATCTCCCCATGGCGCGATATGCGCTTGCTCTCCGTCTACCCTACCTTTCCCCCTGATTCTCACCTTCGTACCCCGCCCCCCTGCCCTCCCCTGCGCCCCCAGGACTCCTTGCGCCACCGCAGCACCCGCAGCATCCCCGGCTCCACCGCCTCCCAACGCTACGTGGCCTGCGTGGCACAAGACGATCTGGGCCAGCAGCCCCAGCAGCAGCTCCAGGCCCCGGCCCCGCAACCAACTGGCCCGCAAGCACCACTCCCACCACCCTCACCGCTACCACCACCACCCCATGCAACACCCGCTGCTGCTGCAGCTGCTGCTGTTGCCGCGGACTTCCCAGCTGCTGCTGCCGCTGCTGCTGCTGCCTACAGTATCCCAGCCGCCGAGTCCCCCTCCCTTGCTGGGGGCCTGCTGCAGCTGCCGCTGCCGGGTATGGGTTCGGAGCCGGGTCCCCGGGGTGGGAATGGTGGTGGCGGTGTGGTTGGGGGCGGGGGAGGAGGAAGAGGGGTGGGGCCGGGAGGGGGTGTTGGGGCAGGAGGAGGAGTGAGCTGCAGTGCGGGTCAGCTAGGGTGGGCTGAGCGGTCGACTGGGGAGGTGGTGATGGGGGAGGGGGAGGGAGGCGGAGGCGGAGCTGGAGGAGTCATGGGAGGGGTGGTGCGGCGCGCGTCGTTCAGTTTGGAAGCGGTCAACAGCCCGCGAGGTAAGGAGGGAAGTGGGGCAGGCGGGGGGCTACTGTGTGTAGGGTTATCGGGTGCGTGAGGGGGGGAGTATTGCGTTTCCCGCCGCGATTGGTCCCGCCCTAGCCGCCACTTTCTGCCTGTCATACGGTACCTCGCAAGCCGTACACTCCTTGTCTGCTTTCATCTTTCAACGTAACGTGCTCACCCCAACACCGCACCTCATGCCCGACCCCACCATCGGCTCCCCCACCCCGTTTCCCTGCCCTAACGTGTGGCTTCCCCGAAACATAATGGTTTCCTTCACTCCTGCATTCCCCCTCCCCTCAGGCTCCTGCAAGCTGGCGCCGCTCATGGCCACACTGCATGACCGACTCAAAGCGGTGCAGGTGGGGTGGGTGGGCGGGTGGGGGGGAGGATGAGGGTGGGCAGGGCGGAGGGTGTGGTGGGTGTATGTGCGTTGGCGGGGAGTTGCGCCGCAATGCATGCCGTCGGGACATCGGAGCAGACCCGTAGCACCGAGTTGCGCTGCCTGCCTCCCTGCCTGCCCCGCTGTCTGCTGGTACCTCTTATCCTTACCCGACGCCCCACCCCTCCCCCCATACCGTCCCTCATCCCTCCCCCCCCCTCCCAGGCCGAGCAGATGGCCAACTGCCGGGCCGCCTCCCGCATGCAGGACCTGGAGAGCATTCGGATACTGGAACAGGTGAGGGAGGACAAGAAGTGGACTAGGACGTGGGAAATTACAGGTTGGGGCAAAGCAGTACACTGGGACACAGGTTGGGGCAAAGCAATGCCCCAGTCATTGTGTTGAGGCATGATAAATGTTGCATTTCTCTAGCCTCCCAACATCGCCACCTTCCCTCCCTCCCCCCCCCCTCCTTCCCTGCAGATCGGCCGCGGTGGCTACGGTGTGGTGTACCGGGGGCTCTTCCACGGATCCGAGGTGGCGATAAAGCTCATACAGGAGGTGGGAGGGGGCGGGGTGGGCGTGGGGGGCGCCTCTTGTTGCCTTCTATATTCCTGTCTCGTTACCCTACCTCACACTTTCTTGAATACCCTCATCCACTGGCCCCGTAGTTGGCCCCACCCGTCAGCCGTGTATGGCCTTTCTGGTTCTCAGTATCCATCTCTACATGCTAAGCCAATAGGGTTGGATTTCCTTTACCTCCACCCCCCTCCCTTCCTGTATCCCTTCCCCAGGCCGAGGTGGCGGCCGTGGGCGCCTCGGGTGCCTCGGGTGCTGGCGACAAGGGCGACGGCCCGCTGCGGCGCATGAACAGCGTGGCGCTGCAGACCAAGCACCTGCATGACGCCATTGAGCTGGTGGCCAGTGTGGGCATGGGGGGACACCCCAACATCGTGCAGGTGGGTGGGGGTGTTGGGGAAAACTGGCCGCGACTTGGAACGTAGGGTTGTATGGGATTTGGTGGTTATTGGTTTGATACTTAATAGCCATGGGTTGTGGATGTTGTGCATGGAATGCACGTGCCGGTGGAGGGGAGCACGGGGCGGAAGAGCAGCAGCAGCAGCAGCGGGTGCGTCTGTCGTTCCTTCCTGTCGTCACCACCACCCCTTCCCTACCCCCCCACCCCAACCAGTGTCTTCCTATGGTTCCCTATGGTTACCTGTGGTCTCCCCCCCGCACCCCCCCCCAGGTCCTCACCTTCTTCACTGACGCCCGGGTACTGCTGGGCGAGGAGCCGGTGGACCCCCTCACGCGGCGGCTGTCAGGGCTAGACGGAGTGGCGGAGTGCATGCGCCTCACTCGCATGCCCTCGGCGCTGCCGGCGGAGGGAGAGGAGGGGGAGGGCGAGGGGGGCAGGGGAGGCGGGGGTGGGGGGGAGGTGGAGGGGGAGGATGGCTGGCTGGAGGAGGAGCAGCCGGAGGCGGGGAGGCAGAAGCGAGGTAGGTTAAGATGGGTCGGAGGGGGAGGGATGGCAGAGGATAGGGCAGGGAGGCGGAGGTGGGAGGGTTGAAGGGCGCATGGGTCCTCTGATGCTAGGGCAGGTGGCGAGTAGCAGGTAGCAGGTGTTAAGAAACCTGGCCGGTGCGTATGCTGAGGTAGGCTCTGCTTCACAGCGGTGTGCAGTGTGCTCACAGCCATGTCCACCTCCTTCATTGCCCCTCCCCCCAATCTGCGGGTTATTACGCAGGCGGTTCCAATCCGGGTGCTGCTGCTGCTGCTGCTGGCGTTATCGTGCTGGTGCAGGTGAGCGGGCGGGGGGCGGGGGGAGGGCGAAGGTGAGCGGACGGGGCGGGGCCTGGGAGGGGAGCAGGGGGCCGGGTTGGGGCGTGCCCAAGCAACGCATGGCACGGTACATCCGCCTAGCCCGCTGGTGTCCCCGGCTGCTTCGCCGCACCCCTTGTTTTCACTCCGTTACTGCTTTCGCTCCGTTGCTTCGCCCAAACTGCTACTGCTCCGCTGCCGCTGTCCCCTCCTCAGGAGTTTTGCGACGCGGGCACGTTGAAGACCGCCATCAACAACCGAGCCTTCTACGATCGGGGCACGCATGCGGCTGGGGGTGCGTGCGTGCGTGTGTGTGACAAGATAACTCGCCGCGAGTAGGAACGCACTGTGATGATGGCGCCACCAAAACGCCACGGGAGAAGCGGGGGTTGTCCGGAGGGGATGGATGGGTGTTGCGCACTGAGCTGTAGGATGTCGAACGCTGGGAATGCGTGTAACGGTTGGATACCGGTGTACCCCAGCAGCGCTCCTACCGCCTCCTTAGTCCTCACGTCTACTGCCTGCCTGCTTTCCCTCCTTGCGCCACTGCCCTCCCTCCCGCTTTCCTTGTTGCGTTGCAGACAGTGGAGCCGCCCGCGGGGGTCCGCTGCAGCTCAACATGCGGGTAGGGGGGCGTGAGGGCGGGCGGGCGGGGGCAGCTGGGTCCGGGTGCCTGGGGCGTGAGGTTTGGGGGATTAGATAAACTGAGCCGCGGAAACACGGTTGGGGGGTAAAGGAGGTGGCGGGCGGCTGGAAGGGGCGAGGAGCGATGCGAGAGGGAAGGACATGCACCGTGGGGGGTGACGGGTGCTGCCTCTCTGTATGAGCTTGGTAGAGAAGGGGTTGGTGTTGAAGGTCTCTCCTCCCCTTGCTCCCTTCCCTCCTTCATCCCCCCCCCACCCCCACCTGTGGTTTCCTATGGTTTGGTGTATGGTCTTTGATCCCCCCGCAGGCCGTCTACTCCACGCTGCTTGAGATCGCTCTGGCGCTGCGCCACATGCACTCGCTGCACCTGGTGCATTGCGACCTCAAGCCGCAGAACGTGCTGCTCAAGTCCAGTCCCAGGGACCCGCGCGGCTTCACCGCCAAGCTGAGCGACTTTGGCCTAGCCAAGATGATGGCGGCGGACGAGGAGGGGCAGCTGGTGATTGACGAGGCAGTGGGGAGCGGGTAGGGCAGGATAGGGCAGGGTATGTCTGCAGGGTAGGGTAGGGGACAGGGTAGAGGGTTTCAAACATTCAGGATAGGTCAGCAGCAGGGCAGCAGCATTTAGGCCTGTAGCGCTGTAGCTACGGCATTGCTTGGTTGGGCTGCGAGATCAGGGTTGGTGTGGATGCATGCATGCATGTGGTGCTACTAGGGGGGTAGTAGGTGTCCCACACGGGTGACCCCGCCTGGCTGACCCTCTCCTCCATCCTCCCCACCCGCCCGCCTGCCTTTGCCTTACCCTCACTTGTATCGTATTCCTTTGACCCGCCCGCCTCCTTCCTCCCCACCTCCTTCCCCCCCGTGCTTCCCAACTGCTCGCAGCACACTGACCCACATGGCTCCGGAGAGCCTAGCAGGTGAGGGGGGCGGAGGTAGTGCAGGGGAGGGGGAAGGTCGTGAAGGAGTTCGGTGCTAGTAAAGGGGTTTACACCTCCAGATGAGGGGCAAGCTGGGGAACCTCAGGACCGGATCCCCCAGCCCTGAAAGTCCCCAACACCTCCCACTTCCCCCCGCCCCCCCCTCCCCCACGCACGCAGGCCAGCGCCAGTTGACTGCCCGCATCGACATGTTCGCATTCGGCATCCTGATGTGGCAGATGCTGTGCGGCACGCGGCTGTACCAGGGCCTCACCACGCGGCAGATCATCCGGGGGGTGGTGCGCGAGAACCTGCGGCCCGCCTTCCCCGCTTGGGTGCCGCAGGAGTACAGGTGGGGGGGGGGTTTGGGGGAGGGGGTTTGGGGGGGGGTAAAGAGGCATGCACGTTCATGAGAGGAAACATCACCATGCGGCTAGGCTCCGCCTCATGGTTTGCATGGGCGGGTAGGGCGGAAGGGGGGGCACAGTCCGTAGGGGCTGGAGGGTTGGCTGCGATGCCTGGGCTGACCCAGCTGACTCCCCTTCCGGCCCCTGTTATCTTCCCGCGCTTCCTTGCCAACATGGGCCTTCATACCGGTATCCGTCGTTTCCTGCTGCCAACCCCCCAGGCGGCTGGCAGAGCGCTGCTGGCACGCCTGCCCCGCGGACCGCCCCTCCGCCTCCCTGGTGGTGTCGGAGCTGGAGGGCATGGTGGACGCGCTGGTGCGCTCGTCCTCCGCCTCCTCCTCCGCTTGGAGGAACTGGTCCTGGCGGGGAGCAGCGGGGCCGGGGGCGGGGACGGCAGGGGGGGGAGGAGGGGGAGGCGGCGGGGTTGGGGGTGCGGCAGGAGGAGGCGGAGGGAGCTTGGAGCAGGGGGGCTGTGCGTCTCCGCGGATCGCCGCACACAACCACCACCATGCCAACCAAAACAACCCCCACCACAGCCCTAATCCACGTCCGGTGTTGCAGCACGCGCATGTCAACCACGCCCACGGTGCCGCCAGCCCTCGTCCCCACCCGCACCCCCACCCCCACCAACACCCCCATCCTCATCAGCCGCACCCCCAGCACCCGCACCCCCACCAGCACCCTGCCGCCCCCTCCTACCCGCACAAGCCACTGCACGGCATCAATCAGCCGGGTGCCCCGCAGGCGGGCAACACGGGCGCGGGGGCGGGTCGCAGCCTGCTCATCATCTAAGCCTGCCCGCCAGCGCCTAGATCCTAGATCCCTGAACACGCCGGTTCGTGGGGCCTGGGTCGTGGTGTTGCACCTCGCCTCGCCTGCACCTCTGTATGTCGGTTGCTGCAGCTGGCATGCACGTAGATGGTATTATTCGATGATGTGCTCTGATGGGCCCTGCGGCGGCGGCAGAGGCCTTTTGAGAGGTGTGCTGCAGCCCCATGGTGTGTGTGAGCCTGCTGGTGGCGGGTGGTTGTTGCACCCTTGACACATGGCGGGTCAATGGCGGGAGAGAGCGTGACTGGGATGCTTATGTATCTGCATCGGGGAGGGCGTTAAAATTGAGGGCCCTATCCCATATACGCGATTTGGGGTTGGTTCTTATTGCAATCGGCGGCGCGTGGGGGGCAATCTTCCGGGAGTCTGGTTGGACAACAAACCATTCTTAGCTGGAATGCAAAGCCGCCTCCAAAGGCAGAGCCGCAAGGATATCTGCTGTGGTGCGAGTGAGCCACCTTGCACATGCGTTTACTGCGCAATGCCTTTATATTTGGTTTGGGTCTGGCGTGATGGATGATATTGATACTATTACCGGTTTCGCGGCCATCTTGCGTATTGGGGGGCCGCATTGGGGGGGGGGAGAGTCCCGAACTGTTTGCCATGTTGCAATGCGTTACCTGCGTCATGCATGGTTGTTGGCTGTTGTAGAGTACTGGTGCATCCTTGCATGCGTGCGGTTTGTATGTGCTGCAGATTGTTTTTGGGCGGGTGGCTGAACGCAGCGGATTGCAGCTGCACAATGGCTAAGGGTTGATGAACCGTCCGTCGCCGCTGATATAAACAGTTGTCTGTCATTTGAAACACACAGGGCTCGTATCTCCATACGAGATCCTCCCTTTCCGAACCTTAATCGGGCTTGGCGGTCCGCATGCTTTTCTGATAGCAGGCAATGCAAGCCTGCTGGTCCGTGACACTCGCCTGTTGCCTTGGATGCCCTAAATGCCAATGGATGTATTTGTGCGTTGTACGAAGTGCTCCCTGCATCTTTCATTGTTAAGGACGGATATCCATTTCGATTGTGATCACCAAGCTATGTTGCGCGGGCTGGGTGGTGGTGACGGTGGGGTGGTCGCGGAAACCGTAGTGGCGGAAAGAGATGATGGCTGTTGGGCTTTGCATGTCAGTTACAATTGGCTTCCTTTGGCCTGCCCAAGTTGGTCCCAGTGCTTGGTGCGTGACTGTTGTCCTCCGCTACAACCACACACCTACATAGGGTGGAGCTAGGGTGGTAGGCTTGTAGTGAGTGTGATCCCATGCTCGTGGGTATGCGCACCTGTCCTGTTGCAGGCTGGGGTATGAATACGATTTTCGCGATTAGGTGAGCATATAATGAGCGCGCCGACGGTGTAGCAGGGCGTTGGTGGTTGGTCTTCTTGTTGTTCTTGAGGGTTGTTTACTTACACGGCGTGCCGTAAGGCTCGTCAATAGTACATGATGATGCGTGACACGGAGGGTCGGTCTGGGCTGTTGTTTATTCAACACGTATAAACCTGCATGTATTTCTAATGGACCTTGTTATGTTGTTGTTGATATGGTGGCCCCGCGGCCCGGTGACGCCTGGCTCTCAATACGCTATAAGGGTTTTGGCCACACCTCCCAGCCCCACGTGTTCATCAGCTGCACAGCTGAGCTACAGAACCTACTTCGCCTGCCGTGCGAGGGGCGGACCTACGCCAAACGCCAGACCTGCTCAATTATTAGGCACACTTAAGAGGTAGCCTGCTGGCAGGTTGGCTTGACAGATTCGGTCACATTTTCGTGGACCGTGGCGTACACACGTGGTTCGTGCAACGAACTCAGCAAGTCCCCAAAGTAGCACGTCCCAGCAACCATGTAAAGGTGTGTCCACCTTCGTTACTGACTGGTGGTGCGTGATGGGAAGGGTGGGTTTAACCGGGCTCGCCTGTGACAACATGTCAATAGCCTGCTGTTGTGCTTTTGCCCCGCTGGCACCTTACTTTCGAGGCACACGTGTTCCTTACGCCACGGCTAGCCGACCACACGTCCTTACCATGCACCGAGTAAGCCTTAGGCAACGCGACAGGATAATAGTAATTGGCGACGCGCCTTTGGGCGTGCGTTGCACGTACCGCCCGCCAGAGCAAGCAGCATACGGACCGGCGCGGCCGCTCAAGCAGGTTAAACCCCAGTGGAGGGCTCCACATGTCAGTGTTGAGACGAACGTAGATGCAGCGCTGCGTCATGTGTTTTCGGAAGTGCGATGGGGGAGTTTGTTGCAGGATTTGCGGCGCGTCGAATAATGTCCGTTAAGATTTCTTAGCATTAACCTAACGACCTGGCGGGGGATGGTGTTGTACGCTTGCAGCTTATATTAGTTGTCGCTTTACAAATAGGGCTCCAGTAGCACCAAAATCAATGAATTAGCATTCCTTCGGACGCGAGGAGCCCGGCCATCCCATGTGAAGTTGCTCTACATGGTAGCAAGATGTCTTATCCCGCTCCTATTTATTAAACCACTTGTCCAATAGCTGCAAAACTGATGAAGGTTTAGGTTGAGCGCGTGTTCTGGCCCAATCGAACGGTACACAATGCGCTGCTTGGCAGCTTGCTTTGGGGCCCCACATTCGCTGGTAGATGCCAGAAGCTGTAACAAGCGCATTTCATCTGGTTTAGCGAGCAGCGCTGAAGAGAAATGTGGAGGAAGGACGGTTCAACGCAGCGCGCAAGCGGCAACTTGCGAAACGACGGTGGTACGCAATGCGCTACTGTGAAATGTTACATGATGTATTATAAGGTTCCGAGCATGCTTCATGCATAGCGTCGCATGGACTCGACCGCCGCAGTATACTTGCTTGGCTAAAGTACTTCTATCCTATGTGGAACTTCACAGGAATGGACTACGTTGTTCCGTATTCTTACGACCGATGCATCAAACGGGGAATGGTGGGATATCCTTCAAAACGCTGCTGCAGCGTTCACTACATGTCTACCAGCCGACCACGCCAGGTACGCAGACAAGTTGCCTTCAATTATTTACATATAAACTGAAGGAAAGTTTAGGGTTTGGCGGTACCTTGCCCTTCTCGAAACAAGATAAATGACGGTCCATATTCTACATCCATACTGCATAAGTATCCATCGTGCTCATCTTGCCTCAACCGACGTTTCTCCTACAATACTGAGTGGCTGCATAACATTGTAAACCTTCCCTTAAAGCATCTTCCTTCTTGCGGGCGCGGGAGCTGCCGCAACACTCGCAACATCAGGTGCACCGCTGTTCGGGATGCGGCTGGGCCAGCTGCTGCTGCCCAGCAGCGCCTTCGCCTCCGCGCCCAACAAAACACACCCCGAGGTCAACATGGGCAGCTTAGCTGCTGAGCTTCAGGCGCAGGAGGTGGGTGCTGCAGGAATGGTGGCTGCTGGGGGTTACGAGGGGGTAAAGATGAAAACATCCCGGCTACACCTTCACTTAGCTTTATGCACGACCCTATCCACAGACACGCGACCATCACTCACAGCTGAGGCCCTGTGACAGAATCCATTGAAGCTCCTCCCCATGCCTCCCGCTCCCTCCCAGGGCCTCGCTCCCATTGTGTACCGGTCCTCCTCCATCCTGCAACCAACCAACACCACCGCGTCCCCACTCAGTCACCACAACCACCACCTCCGAACTCATTACTCGAAGGACGGCATGGGAAAGGATGGCAGCTACAACAGCAACGTCATTACCACTGCTGCTGCTGCAGCAGCGTCTTCTTCCGGTGTCGTGCGGCGGCATTACGTGGCTGTTGGCATCCCCGGCGGCTCAATAACAGCGGGAATGCTAGTGCTTTCCGCCATAGGTGGGGTAAAAAAATATAATGAGACACTGACAAGCAACTGACGAGCTGCCATAGGTGGGGGGGCCTGCTTTCAAGACAACACATACCAAAACCGTGTCGCACGAGAGAATGCACGTACGGACATGCAGGTCATTTGGGGTGAGAGGTGGGCGAAGGTGGCCGCTTGCATTTGCGAATCCCGCGCACCACGACCCAACCACCCACGACTTGCAACGGCCCCGCCCCTGCCAACCCCGAGCAGGCCCCTGCGCCCCCTCCGCCTGGCAACCCGAGACGCTGCGCACCCTAGCGGCCTTACTGGCCCCGCTGCTGAGACCTCCCCAGGTGGGGGTGCGGGGAGAGATGAGCCAGGATGGGTCTAAGGACTCCGGTGCCCTCTAGGGTCAGTGGAGCCCAACGGTCCCTCACTCTACCACTCCTCTCACTCCAACTGCTGCTACCGAACGGAAAGGGTGCAGCCCCGGCTAACTGCCATCAACCTCCTCCTTCCCTTGATGCGGCCCCTCATGCCATGCAACCTGCTGCTTAAGGCTGGACACCCGACCACCCTTCCTCTTACCAGTACCTCCCCCTCCTTTCCCCCTTCCCACCAGGTTCCCCTAGCTCGGCGCTGCCTAGCCGAGCTGGGCGGCGGGGGCACAGCCACCATCCAGCAACTGGTGTGGCTGCTGGCGGGGGTGGCGGAGGCGCTCACGGGGCTGGCGGTGAGGGTGACGCTGAGCTGCCGGGTGGCGCTGGTGCGGCAGGTGAGAGGAGGGGAGGAGGGTGGGGTGGGGAAGAGGTGCTGCTGCTGCAGCTCCTGAGGCTCTTGAGGCTCTTGTTACTGTACGTGCTGGCATGCGGGTGCAAAAAAGGTTGCCCCAGTCCTTGCCTATATCTGGATGGACTGGCTTAGATGCTCTGGTGAATGTGAGAATGGTGACGCGTACGGCCGCAGGACGGTACGGCCGCGGCGGTGTTTTCCGTGCCTGATGGCGGGGGCGGCGGAGGCACCTCCATGTACGGCGCCTCCATGTCCCGGCGGCGCAGTCAGGAACTGGTGCTGGTGGATGCCACGGGGACGGGGGGCAGCAGCTTTTGTGGCAAGTCCACGGGAGGTGCGTGGCGCGCTGTGAATCGGGGTGATGGGCGGGTGTGTTTCGGGAAAGGGGGGTGCGCCGGTTTGGCAGTGGGTAGGTGCGACGGGGGGTAGTGGCTGTGCAAGATACATGCATGTACATACATATCACGCGGGCAAGCAAGGGCAAAACAAAAAGCGCTTGTCCAGCGCTTTGTCCTGGATGAGGTGCACGCCCCTTCGTTCACATGACTTACTACCATGCATTACCGCCAGCATGCATGGCATGGTCCGAATGCATGGCCTTTTAGGGCTCCTTCCCTTCCTGTTACTCTCCTGGCACTCTCCCCCTCCCACACGGCACAGACTACTACATGACAGTCGACCGGGACAGTTTGCTCACCGGGGCCAGCCGGGGTGCCTTCGCAACCGCACCCGGCCCCCTCAGCGCCTCCGCCACCCCCACCACCGGCCGCAGCCCCCACATGGGGATCCATCCGAGTGGGGCACCAGCGGGGGGCGGCACCAGCGGCGGCGCTGCTGGGGGCTGCCGGGCGCAGAGCCTTCCACTGCAACATACGCTGCTGTCGGAGGCGCTGTCGCGGGGGGCGGGGCTGTGCATCGCGGACTGCAACGCGTATGTGCAGGTGGGGGCGGGCGGGTGGGTGGGGTGTTGGGGCAAGGTCGGCTGGACTGAGGGGAAGGGGGAGGAGGGTGATGGCTTTGCTGTGTTGTGTGGTTGGGGTGGCGGAGGAGTTGGGGAAGCCAGGGCTGTGGGCGTGTGTGGAGGCACGTTATGGGGATCCTCGTTATGGGGATCCTCGGGGATGGCGGCGGATTATCCCTTGGCTGTAGCTTGCACACCTTCATGCCACTCGTTGGATGCTGCCCCAACCCTGGAATACCCTCCCTCCTCCCATTCTTTTCCGCCCCCGCAGGACAGCCGGGTCTACCCTCGTGACCTGATGCTGTTTCGCGGCACCGCGCCGCCCCAGTCCCTTGCGCTTGCCACCTGCAGCGGCAGCGAGGGCGGTCGGCCGCTGCTGGCGCTGTACGCCACCTACAACAGCGTGCTGCCGCAGGCGCTGCTGCAGAGCGTGGTGCAGGAGCTGGGGCAGCTGCTGAGGGTGAGGGAGGGGGAGTTAGGGAGGGGGGGTGCAGGAGCATCTTGAGCCTTTGGTTGCAGCTGGGAACGCGGTGCAGCAAGCCCCTCTATTCCGGCGTTTCCCCGGTTGGCTTACCGATATCCTCGTGCCCCCCTTATGCTCCCATGTCTTCAGGCGCTGACTCCCGCTGTGGCGACGCTGCTAGGCCCCGGCGGTCCCCTGGCGGCTGAGTGGCGCTATCTGCATGACGAGCTGCTGGCACCCGCAGCCGTGGCGGGAGGGGGCAGCGCGGGAGGGGGCGGTGCCGCGGCACGCCTGCGGAGCAGCAGCAGCAGCACGGCGGCAGCAGCAGCAGCAGCGCGACAGCAGAAGTGCAGCTCACTTGTTGTGACTGCTGGTGCTGCAGGGACGCGGTGTGGGCGGCCGTCTGCGGAGGCAGGTGGTGGGAAGGAGGTAGCAGGGCCGGCACCGGTACATGTGATGGCACGAGCTACGCCCCCGGGAAGGCAAACGCAGCAGCAGCAGCCAATGCAACCGCAGACGCCCGCTCCGTCGCATGAGGCGGCTGTCGCGACCCAAGGGTCGGCCTGGACCACGCAGGTGTTATTCAGCTCTAGTCCTCCGGCAGTGGGAGCAGTGGGAGCAGCGCCGATGAATCCCTCATCTGAGCAGCAGCAGCAGCGGCACAGCCCCACGACGCCGGCGGCAGCGGCAGCAGGGGCAGGGCCAGGGGCTGCTGTTGTTGGGGGCAGTAGCTTCGTGTCCCGGGGTATGGCTGCCTTACTCCGCGTACGCAACGTTTTGCAGTACCAACAGCAGCAGCAGACGCCAACAACGGCCACAACAGCAACAGGCACGTCGCCATGCAAGCAGACGCAGTCGAAGTCAATTGATGAAGGAGGTGGAGGTGGCGGCGGGGGGGCCAGCAGCTATGGAGGAGGAGGTGGTGGCGCTCATACGGAGGCTGCTCCTGACGGCGTTGGTCTGCTCATTCCACCACCACAGCCGCAGCCATCAGCGCCCGTAACAATGCGTCCTCCAGCACTGGTGACCGTAGTAGACGCAGCAGCGGCAGCTGCAGCAGCAGCGGTACTCAAGTCCGATCCAGGCTGCGAGGAGGTCAACATTGCAAGCAGACGTCTGGCGGCATTCGTGGCGGGAGGCGGTAATGGCGGCGGTGGTGACGGCCGGAGCAGCGGCGGCTCCGAGACCGGCAACCGGTTGCATCATCATGAACACCATCCTACCCCGGAATCGAACCTGGGACCTCCGAACTCGCAGTTGTCCGGGCGGACCTCTTTCCTGCTGGAGGCGACGGGGCCGCCGAGGGGAGGGCTGAGGCTGGCTCCGCTGATCTCCACGCTGCATGAGCGGCTGAAGAGTGCGCAGGTGGGGTGCATGCGTGTCACGGTAACTGGTCGCGAGTAGGAACGCACGCACGCACTGGATTGCATGCGTGCACATGTGTGTGCGAGGCTGGCATCCATGCGGGGAGGCTTTCACAGCAGCGCTGGGATGGCGGCACGCAGGGTGCCCTTCAATCCTCCGCACACACACATTTCCTGCCAGCTTACCCCTCCCCTCCCGAACCCCGCCCCTCCACTCTGCAGGTGGAGCAGCTCACCTGCAGCTCCCGTGCCGCCTGCAGGCTGCAGGACCTCAGCTCGCTGCGCCTGCTGGAGCGGGTGGGGCAGGGCGGCTACGGCTCCGTGTTCCGGGGGCTGTACCACGGGGCGGAGGTGGCGGTCAAGGTGGGGTGCGGCGGCAGCTGGTGGGGGGTAAAGAGGAAACAACTAACTGACTGAGGGATAAGGCGTCAACATGGGTTGGGTGGGGGGTGGGTGGGAGGCAGGGAGGTGCGGTGACACAGGGGGTGTGGAACGTCATTGTCACACGGGCCTTTTGCCGCCGGTCGCTATCCCACCCCCCACTCCCTCTCTCATGTCCCCCAGGTGGTGGAGGACCTCACAAGCCAAACCACTACCGCCACCCCTGCTGCTGCTGCTGCCCCTGGTGCGGGTGGTGGGGCCGGAGGAAACGCGGGGGCAGGGGCAGGCGGTGGCGGGGAGGGTCCCAGCTCACTGCTGCGTCCCAAGCACCTGCACGACGCCCTGGAGCTGGTGGCCTCAGTCAACATGTGGTGGGTCAGGGGCGGGCCATGTGTGGGCAGGGGCAGGGCGAAGTGGGACAAGGGTTGAACATGCATGGGAAGGGGTGTAGATGGGTGTTGTTGCCATAGGGAGGGGTCATCGGCAGTGAGCCTTGTGACAAGCAACGTAAGCAGGCGCGTACTCTTGATGCTTTGGGCTCCACTGTCTTCCCTCATTCATTGGATTCCCCCCACTATCGTTACTAACCTGGTCCCACCCGTCCCCTCTTTCCACATGCAGCCACCCCAACATTGTGCAGCTCATCACCCACTTCGTGGACGTCAGGGCCCACCCGGGTGGGGGCATCAGGATCGGAACCACCCCCACCACCACCCGTAACAGCGGCCCCGCTGGAGGGCCCCCCGGTACCCCCACCGCCGCTGGGAGCACACCTGCTACCCCGGGGGGCCCGCATGGCGGCTGTGCTGCTGTTGCCCTCGGCGAGGAGGGTGGGGCGGTTGATGCGAGCAGGGTGCAGCAGCAGCAGGGTGAGGAGGCGGTGGTCCCACCGCATCACCCTCACCTGCCGCCCGCAGCAGCAGCAGCAGCGGTAGCGGCTGCCGGCTTTGGTATTGGTATTGGTGTTGGCTTGGGCTGCTGCAGCTGTTCAGAGGAACCCGAGCCGCCGCTTCAGCTGGTGCACATGCGGTCATCGGGTCTGGACTCCATGGATGGTAGCGTGTCAGGTGGGGAAGAGGGAGGGAGCGGGGGGCAGAAAGGATGTGCAACGAACACCGAAGCAAGTGGGCAAACGCGAATTCTTTCTTCTACTGAATTCCCATTGCCTGCTTCACCCCTTCCTTCACCTCCTTGTCCTCCATTGGTCCCCCCAGGGCCCATTGGCAACGAGGCGATCGTCCTTGTGATGGTGGGTGATGAGGGTTTCGAGAAGGGTTGGTGTGGCGGGTACTGTACTGACCTGCCAACTTGCCGTACCAGCCTACGTGTCCTGTCCTGTTGTACTCAATGCCTCTGTAAACATGGAGGTATTGTCGTCGGGCGGGGCTGACAGGCTAGCAGTTGGCCCCGCGGAGTGCCCCGCGCACACCCGCTTCTTCTCTTTTACTTCCTCTTCATGTCGACCTTGCCCTCTATTCTTCCCCCAACCCACCCATCCACCCCATCTACCCCTTCCTCAACCTCTCACTCTCATAACGCTTTCCCCCCTTCCCAGGAGTTTTGTGACCGCGGCAGTCTCAAGGACGCCATCCTGGGAGGAGCCTTCTGGTCGCGCCCCAGCAGTAGCAGCAGCAGCAGCAGCAGGATGATGATGACCATGAAACCCCTGCTGGGTGCCAGCAGCTTCAGCAGGCAGCCGCTGCTGCCGCTACCGCCCATGCAGCAGCAGCAGCAGCACAAGACGCAGCAGGCAGCATGCGGAAGCGGCGGTGGAGGGATGCAAAGTGGCGGTGCAGGGGTGCAGGGTGGTGGAGCACCCGGGGTGTTGAACCATGCTGGGGTGCTACTTCCGAACATGAAGGTGTGGGGAGAAGGAGCGGGTGGTGTAAAGATGTTGGTGTTGGTGTTGACAGGTCGCCTGTTTCGGAAGGAGGGGCCTATGTGCGCGACTATAATGTACGTACGGTGCATCTTCGTTGGCAAGCATGTACGGTAATTCCGCATGCGCACATTCCTTATACTCACCTTGGCGCCCCATCCCCCACCCAACCCCCAAAGGCCGTCTACTCCACACTCCTCGAAATCGCTCTGGCGCTGCGGCACATGCACTCGCTGCACCTGGTGCACTGCGACCTCAAGCCGCAGAACGTGCTGCTCAAGTCAAGCCCCAGGGACCCGCGCGGATTCACAGCCAAACTAAGCGACTTTGGGCTGTCCAAAATGCTGGAAGCGGATGAGGAGGGGCAGCTGGTGATTGACGACGGAATCCAAAGCGGGTGCGGGGGCGGGAAGACAAGAAGTATGTCACTTGTACGTATGCTTACCTTGCTTTCTCCGCACATGTGTCCAATGACAATGGTAACATGTGGCAGCAGCGACCCTCCATGGGCCAGGGTTGACCCGTCACAGTTGCATTTGCCTTCCATTTCGTTCTGCTCCCGAGCTCCAAGCGTGCATGCCTCACTGAGGACATGCACGGGGCTCTCATGCATGACCTGACTTGGCTCAGCTCGTCGCACCTCCTTGTCTGCCTGCATGCAGGACCATCACACACCTGCCGCCGGAGGTGCTGCAAGGTGGGTTGTGGCCAACCAGTCAAGGGTTTGGAAGGGCTTGCTGATGTATGGCCAGCGTACTGCGAGTGCGCAAAATGTCAACCCTTTAGGTGTAGGGCCCCCTTGGGCGTTTGCTTTGCACCCTGTTGCCTCCCGTATTCCCACTTACCTCGGAGGCTTTGTGAAGGACTGCTACGTCACTGTCCGTTGCTCTTCTCTCCCCGTTCTCTCTCACTTCTCCCTCCTCCGTTCATTAGGCCGCCGACAGTTGGGCCCTGCGGTGGACATCTACGCCTTCGGCATCGTCATGTTCCAGGTGAACCAAGCCTCCAATGAGTGCTTCCAGTGCTTCCGCGCGCACAAAGGAACTGCAGAATGGCCGGTTCTGGTACTGGGATCCCGTGCCTCTGCGAGTAATGCTGATATCACCTTGCCATTACCGGCGTTCTTAAATCCACGGTGGCACCACTGCCGCGGCCGATGCACTGCCAGCTGCCACCGCCCCACCAACCCCTCCCTCTCTCCGCCTTCCGCCCCCTCCCAGATGCTGTGCGGCATGACGGTGTACCGCGGTCTGGACATGAAGCAAGTGATCCGGGGGGTGGTGCGGCACGGCTTGCGGCCTATCTTCCCCTCCTGGGTGCCACACGAGTACAGGTGAGGCGAGGAAGTCCCTAGGGTGGTGCGGCCCTACCTACCTAGGGCTCTATCCATGATGTATACCGGTAGCCCCAAGCAGTTCTAACCACGGCTCGTGGTTAACCCTCTTAGCCCAACCTGGCTGCCCGGCATGTGGGAGGCTGTATAGCTGTCTTGAATCATACTCCACGCAGCATGAAGACTGCAGCTCGCTTAGTTGTACCTGGATATATCAATCCTTCCCTGAGGAATCCACGTTAGCATGCATCACATCCTCCTGCTCCTCCTGCTCATGACTCTACCCCTCCCACTGCCCACCGCCCACCACCCACCACCCTGCATCCAACACCCGCCCCCTGCTGCGCCCCTCAGGGACCTAGCTCAGCGCTGCTGGCAGGTGCAGCCCTCCCTGCGCCCCGCCTCGCTGCAACTGGTAGCCGAGCTGGAGTCGCTGCTGCAAGCAACGCAGCAGGCGGCGGTGGCGATGGGGCGTGGCGGTGGCGATGGAGCATCACTGGCATCACTGCTGACCACGACAGCCAGCAGCAATGCCATCAAAGCAGCAGCAGCAGCAGCAGCAGCACCAACACTACAAGCAGCACCAGCAGCAGCACCAGTAGGGGCAGCCACTATTGCGACGACGATGACTACCACCACTGATGGGATTCAGGCCGGTCCTGCTGCTGGTGCAGGTGGTAATGGGGGTGGTGGTGGAAGCGTTGCTGCTGCAGATCGGAACGCGCCGTACATCGTGTATCAGCCCCCACAGCAGCTGTACCGTCCCGCCACTACTGGGGGAGCTACGAGGAGGGCGACGGCGACGGGGACGGTTCCGACGGGGAGTGTGTAGAGTGGAGGTGAGTGCGGCTTAGGGCCTTAGGCATGGGGTTACAAGCTGCATGACATGTGGATGAGGAGGAGCTGGAGGGTGGATGTGTTGGGCAAGGCGGGCAAGGCACCGGAGCGAGTGTGCTGAACATTGGGCAAACCAATGGCAATGGGAGGTTGTTGTACGGGTTGGACGCGACAGTGTGAAGATGATTTGAAAATGGATTTGGTACTGTCTGGACAGAGAGAGAGGAGGCGTAATGGAGGGGATGGTTGAGCAAAGTGCTGCGTGGTATGGTATACCGGTATTGTTTAATACCTCCAAGATGTGTCATGCTGTTCATTGCCGTTATTGTGGAACCGGGATGCCTATGGCAAGCGGAATATATCTAGATTTCAATGATGTGAAGGACACATCACTGCAGAGTCCGTAAAAGCTATTAAAGCGGTACTGCCATTCCCTCAGGTATGGCTGGTACGATTGTTGCCGTTTGAACGTTTTGTTAAACACAATGGCCGCTAGCGCGTAGGCCGCAGCGAGCTCGCAAGCAAGCAAGAGACGTACATGAGTTTAATACATCACAAGATACGCAGATCTTGTGATAATGCTTACGTGGCGAGGTAGGAGTCAGTTGCGCTTCAGTGTTGTACCAGTTTTTTGAGGTTTTATTTTCTGTCGTGGAGACTTAGAGAAGAGAAAGTGCTTTGAGAACGCGGACCTATTGAAAAGTTACTGTTGCCAGTAAATCCTTTTGTTTGAGCGCTGTGAACAGTGAGTTAAGATGTCACGGCATGGGTCGTGCGTTTAAACATCCGCCTGGCGGGTTAAATTAATACTTACTTTCATGGCGGTAATTTGGTAGATGGCTTTGAAGCGTCCGACTGAGTCCTCTGCGGTTAAGTTGTCATTTTCGGTTAGGAAGGATCCACTCAGCTAACATGCGCAAAGTTGTGATTCTGGATCCTGGTCGGACGTTTGACACCTGGTTCACGCGCCATAAAGTCTCGTGTGTTAATTGGACGTCGTCACGCCTGAGGGGGATTACTGAACTCTGTGGTGTCGTACGGAGGGTAATCCAGGAGGCTGCCTGGGAACGGGGGAGCAGTTTGGATGTACTTGCGCAGCCTGGGGGAAGGAGGGGAGGAGGCAGTTGGGACACTGGCCGCGCCGTAGTAGGAGTGTGCTTACGGTCGCCGCCCATCCCATGCAGGTGTGCAGGACCGGATTGGTTTCTCTTCAACCGTTTCGATTGCTGCTTATTGAGGCCGCCCTTACACTCCATTCGTGTGGTTGGTCTTGCAGAACAGAGATGCGAAGTGATATTACCGTACTGGTGTCGGGTGTCGGAATGGAAGGGGCGCATGCCTGTGGCTGTTAGCATGGCGTAGCGCTAGTTCCGTATTGAGAACTTCAGGATAGGGACAGTGCAGCGTAATGGTACTATGGTAGTGTGAGGGTGAAAGGCGGAGCAGCGTGCTGTATGGTTTATGGAGATAGGTGTCAACTTATCACGAAGTGGAAAGTTCACTTATTGCGCAAGCTACCGATCAGCGTGTAAGCGATGTCGTACATTTCAGTGGTCGGTGGCTTTCTCGCAGAGGCTGTGCCTGGTTTCTTAACTTGCCACAGTACCACTTCATAGGCAAGAGGTGCCGTCCTTCTGCCATTCCGCTGTTCCTCGTCCGAAAATGTACACACCCCTCACAGAGGAGGTATCGTATCGTGTACCACCCTTCCATAGTGGGTAGCCATTCCAGCTGGCCTGCAAGCGTCACCGTGCCGTAAGCATGCATACACGTGCTCATGTACCCGGGCAGGGGCATGCGTCGTCCTAGCGAGCAGCCGTAGATACGGTACCGGAGACTCGGAGGGGTCGTGTGAACAATGTACGCAGGGTACACACCCGCATGCCCCTTAAGGGTCGTCACCTCCACCAACAGCCCCGTTTGCATCAATGCACGCGCAGCGAAGCGAAAATAACATGACGCCACTCTAGCCCCTAACCAGCCCGTAACTTGATCCACTGTCCCGTCCATTTATGTCGCCTGCGTATAGACATACTATTATTTGCTATACTTAAGGTCACACGCAAGGACATATACAGGTACTAGGAAACGTCCGAACATTCGCGCACCCTGCAAGGCCGGCCATGCCACCCTGCAGTATACAAAAGCACACTCCCGCTACCTCCTACGGCAGTGCTTATTACCAGTAGCCCCATCACCCCACCCTGATCCCAACTCGCTCCTCGTCCCCGCCTGCGAGCTCTCATGCGTTTCCCTTCCCCGCCCTGCAGCTCGGCCCCCCTCACACCGCCGCCCCCTCCGCGTGCATGTTCTCCTCACACACGATCAGCTGGTGCACCAGCTGCAGGTAGGGCAGCTTCTCCTGCCCCAGCGCAGCCAGGAACTCAGCGGACACGGCCGCCTCGTCGTCATCAACGGACAGCGACTCCAGCCGGCGGTACACCCTGCGAGGGGGGGGGGAGCCAGACAGCAGCGGGACAGCATCAAGGTAAGAATGGTTTAGGGCTTTCAAGGGGTGGTATGGCAGGAGGTATGGCCCTAGTCCGTCCATGACTATTAGCTACTTGCTTTGCACGCCCCCTGGCCGTACGGTAAGCATGCGGGTGTCCCTTTCTGCCCAAGTCCTCACGTCTCCCCCACCCCCCCCACCCGCGCACCTGAGGAAGGGGTCGGTGCCCAGGTGTGTTTCCAGGAAGACCCGCAGCGCCTCCACCTGCAAGAAGGAGGAGGGAGGGCCCATGTCCCGCAGTTAGAAGCGTACCATATTAGAGGGGGCGCCGCGAGCGCCCACGGAAAAGCGGCTGGCCTTCACGTCAAGCGCACCCGCCTAGCACCTCCGTCTAGCAGCCTACCCGCCCTCCCAGCCCCGTGCCTCTCACCTTGAGCGCCAGGCTGTCCCCCTCGCGCACCCCGGGCAGCTGCACGGCCTGCCCGTTGAGCATAAACTGACCCGCCAGCGCCTGCAGGTGTGGGGGGCGGGAGAACGGGGATGGGAACGGGGAAAGGGGGGCAGACAGGGAGGGTAAAAAATATATAATGAGACACTGACGAAGCGACTGACGAGCTGTATGACAAGGCTTCACAGGGAAGGGGGGGGGCAGGGAGGGGGTGCCGGTGATATCACAGAGGCGGTGGTCACCGGTACTAAATGCACCCCGCCGCCAACCAACCCACCGCTGAGTGCTTGTCATCGTTGTAGATGTCATCCTCATCTTCATCGCTGCTGCGGCAGCCTGCTCCGCCGGCGGCATCCTGACAGGGGGTCAATTGAGGCATGGTGGGTTAGAAGGCTGGAGTGCAAAGAGGATAACTAGCCATGTGACATGTAGATCCAACGCGTAACCAGTTTTCGCAACGCTCACCTGCAGCAATACATCCTGCATATCCTTGACCATGGCCGCAAAGTCAATGTCATCCTCCTCGGGGCCTCCGGCAGGCTGCTGCTGATCGACTGCTGCAGCTGCGGCGCCCCCATGTGCTCCGCCGTTTGCCCGGCCCGCAGCGGGGGCGGCGGCAGCAGCGGGAGTGGACTGGGCAGGCGGACCACCTAGACAGTAGCAATGTCAGCAGGGAAATGGAATTTGTTACACAAACATAGTTATATTTAGATGCAATACATCAGCAGTTAGCTGCGCAACAAAACGATCAACTCAGTTACGGTATCCCTCCTACCAACTTCACTTCATGCATGTGCCTTGCCGCATAAGGGCCGCTGTCATAACACCCTCCCCCCAGCCCCCTCCGCTCTCCCCCTCACCTGCTTCTGAAGGCGCATCCGTTCCGCGCACCTCCGCAAACATCTGCCGCCGGTTGCGCTGGCAGGCCTCCCGCATCTCCTGCGGGGGGTGGGGTAGCGACGGCGATGAGCATGGCAATCAAGGTACCGATAGGCTAAACGGGATGCGACAAAAATGCTCATCCCAGCCACGCACCCACCCACCCACCTCCCGGTGCTGCCGCTGGAACTCCAGGATCTCCAGTTCGCGCCGCCGCCGCTCCTCCTCCAGCCGAGCCATCCGCGCGGCCCATGGGTCGGTCGGGGCAGCAGCAGGAGGAGACGGAGGAGGGCGGGAGGGCACCTGGGGAGGCGTGCCGGCGCGACTGGCTGTCGAGGGGGTGGAGGGCAGAGGGATTGTCGGGAGGACGCATACGGGTGAAATCCAAGCGACGGAACTCTGTTGTACTGGAGCTCTGTAAGGCCTGGTCTCAAGGTATGCAGCAAGCAATACAGGTATGCAGCGGCCCGCCCCGTCATCATACCGCCACTACGGTATGCAGGCACCCCATACCTGGCGACGCATGCGACACGGGGCGGCCCCCGCCCGCTGCTCCTGCCGCCGGAGGTGTCGCCTGCCCCCTGCCCGGCCGGTCCGAGCCCTCCACCGCTGCCCGGTTGCGTTCCGCTGCGGCCCGCATCTCCAGGTAGGCTGCACGCCTGAGCGGAGTGGGTGGCGAGGGCGGGCGGGAGGAGGAAGATACGGTGTTGGGTAACGAGAGTGGCGGGGTGGGGAGACAGCGCGTGTGTTATCGATTGCATGGCTACACGTGTAAACAGATACCACAGCGGACGGTGCGAACTAACTCTTAGGCCCCGTGTAACACTCCCATGGGAGAGGCACGCAGCAGGCTGACGCAACAACACAAGGTCCCAGGACGCGCCAGCTGTGCCTCTACCGGTACCTTGCGTCGGGTGAGATGTCTGCTCCCGCAGCAGCAGCAGCAGGCGACGCACGCGGTCCCCCTGCAGCCGCAGCTGCTGCTCCCTGCGGCGTCGCCTGGTGGTGGCGATGTCGGCTGCTGGGCCCGTGCCGCCCCTCGTCCGAGTCATCGCCCCCACGCGGCACCCCCAGGAACTCCGCAAGGCCTCCGTGGCGCTCCGCCTGGCGGGTGTGTGCAGGGCAGGAGGACATGAAAGGGTGGAAAAGGTTGAGTGGAAGAATGGTAGCGCCAAGAACGGTAGCACTAGACGGCTGTGTCGCGGCAATGTTTGTGGAGTCCGTTCCTGCTTGCGCTCAACGGAACGAAGCCCACACGCCCAAGGCCCAACCAATGGAAAACCCAAGCGACGCCTTCCGCAACGCGGGTTAATGTCCCTTAACACTTCAAACGACAGAACATGACCCCGCGGGCAAGGCATTCCCAGCCCCCGCTCAAATCCCCCCGCCCAGCCCCCCGCCCTCCCACCTCCTGTGCCGCCCGCTTGTTCCTCTCCGCAGCTGCCCGCTGCTCCTCCCACACCGCCCGCCGCTGCTCCGCTGAGAGGTAGTCCTCATTGCCTCGCCGACCCGCACCCGCACCCGCACCCGCGCCTCCCCTCCCCGCTGCGCCCTCGTCACCGTCCTCCCCTGCTGCGCCCCGCGCCCCCTCCTCCACTCGGGGCGGCGACCAATGTCGACGTGAGGGTCGGCCACCACCCGCCAAGACCTGCACCTGCAACACCGCAGTAGTCGGCAGTATCGCAGTCGGCAGTGTTGTGGGGGTAAACAGTGTGCGCGGCCGTGGCGGTAGAGGAGGTGAAGGAGGAAGCAACAGGTCAGGTAGAGCCGTCACGGCATTCGCAGCAGAGGCAGTGGTGAACCCCTCACACACACACACATCCGCGGTAGCTGACTTCCACATTCAGAACCAAGAGCATGCAGCCAGCCTCAAGGGGGGGCGCTGTGAGGTGGGCAGCTGCCTCACTCACCTCCGGCGCACCTCGCCCCAGTTGGTGCTCCGCAGCCGCCCGATTGCGAGCCGCCTCAGCCTGGGGAAGCGCGGCACAACAGGAGGGCGATTACAACACGGCAGTTCACAATCCTTGGCATACAGGGCTTGATGCATACATAACCGTACATAAGAAGAGCGAGGCGCTCCTAACACGACCCCAAAATGCCCCGCACAAGCAAACCACGACCTAACAGACTCCAGGCCTACATGCCCCATACGTTAGACGTCGTTGTGCTGAATGGCGGCACATCCGCCGCTGTGTCCCACCTGTCGGTCTTGGAACTCCTTGCGCTGAGCCGCGATGCGGGCGCGCAGGTCCTCGCGCTCCTTTTCCTGCGGGACCAGCAGGGGAGCAGAACGACATGAACACATGAGGCGAAAAAGATAGTAACACGAGGCGTAAAAACATGAGGGTACCGGTAAGAGGCGTGCAAAATATAGGACGCGGCACAGCGACATCATCCGGCCGCCCTTCAGTGCAGGGACACCGGAGGAGGCCCACCTTGGCCGCTCGCTCCGCGTCCTTCTTGCGCGCCTCCTCCTCCGCCCTTCTCCGCCGGGCCTGCGCAGACACATACGGTAGAGGGAGAAACAACTCGCTTGAAGTCCCGTGAAATCGCGGGCCGAGTACACCACATGGGGGCAACAGACAGGGCAGAGAGGCGGGGCCATGGGATCCCTACACCGGCAGGGAGCAGGCAGCATGCAAAGCAGCACCCTTGCCCCCCTTTATTCCGCACCGCGCCGCACCGCTCACCCACCTCTAGTTCCTTCTGCCTTCGTGCCTCTTCCGCGCTCTGCCGCGCCCGGGCCTCCTCCGCCGCCTTGGCTCGCCGCACCTCCTCCGCCTGGGCCGCCTCGCGCTTCCGCCGCTCACCCTCCATACGCACTCGGTCCTGCGGGGAAGCCCGGGCGTGGAAGCCCCACGGCATGAGGCGTCAGCATTTGCGTGATGTTCACACCATGCGTGATGCTAACATAGCCCGCGAATGAGCGTACACACACCCGCAAGATGAGGATGAGGGGGGGGGGGAGCAGTTGCACACCGCGTGAAGAGGTGTCAGCTTTGCGCACCAGTTTCAAGCACTGTAAGTACACAACGCTCACGGCTCCTTCCAAACGCACGAACGTGCTGCCTGCAGTCGAGTCCCTGCAACACCCTTTGCGGCTTTACCCCACTGCACTACCTTACGCACCCTATGCTCCTTCTTGCCTCCCCCTCCCACGTCCTCCCTCCCCCTCCCACGCCCTCCCCCCACACACACACTATCCCCTCACCGCCTCCAGTTTGCGCCGCTGCTCCTCCAGCTTCAGCCGCTCTATCTCCCGCTGCGCGCCCAGAGCCGCCACCTCCCGGGCCCGAGCGCGCTCCACCTCGCGCTTCGCATTGGACTCCGCCTCAGCCGCCCGCTTGGCCTGGTGGAGCAGGAGCAGGAGGGAGAAGGGAGAGAGGCACTTCGTGGTGAAGGCTGATGAGATGGGAAGGTAGAAGGCAATGGGGTGAGGAGGGGAGGAGGAGGAGGAGGAGGAGTGCTCAGCAAAGCGTGAAGCTCGACAAGGTGAGGGGGGAGGGGCGATGGGTCATACTGGGTTGCATGCTGTCTGCCATGGGCAGCGGGAAGCAAGCCACCTAATCATCAGTGCGCTTTCCGTCGGCCCTGGATCTTGGGTTGCATGTACTGTAAGGATGTCTGCGGTGCCGTCCTAACCGCGGCTGCTGCTGCTTTGCCAACACCAATCACAGTCGAAGCGGATGGAGAGGAAGGTATACGGCTACCGGGGGTTCCGTACGGGGGAACATCGCTTGCATGAAAGCCAGGACTGCATCAAAGCACAGCCGCTTGGCAAGGGCTGCTTATAAGGGTTATAACACTTCCTGTTCGCGGGGCTCGGAACGGCACCAACCGAGGAGGTGGGCAGGCGGGGCAGGCGGTCGGCTTCTGGTGCGGGTGGGGACGGAGGGCACTGGCGGTGGGCCGAGGCGGGGCGAACCCAGGGACATGGGAGCTGGGGGACATTGGGCTGCGCTTTACGCTGCGAGGGGGCACGTCGGAGGAGCACATAGAACACACGGGGGGCGGCAGCAGAGGCGGGGCCGAGAAGGGAAGGGGGCATGGGGGCGATACACTGAAGCGGAGCATGCAGCCGGCGGGTGACTTGCTTTTTCGTACGATCTCTCAGCCAAACCCTTCGTGGCTTTTAAATTCTCGTGCCTTCGGTTGAATGCATTCTGCCTCCAGATTCCACTATGTACAACCTTGGTGCAAACAAGTTATAAGACTCCGCTTCTCATTACGATTTCTCGCCAGAGTGTACAAACACCACAGCTGTGTATTTCGGTTCCTCCTAAACTATACCGGTACCACATGCCCGTCCTAAACCCCTACCACCCCTACACCCCCAACCCGCCCACAAGGCCCTCACCGCCAGTGCTAGCATGGCCTCCTCCCGCAGCTTGGCCGCCTCCGCCGCCTTCGCACGAGCCACCGCCACCGCGTCCTGAGCCTGACCACGCAGGCCCACGAAGCCCGCAACCCCACCCGCCGCAGCTGCCCCCCCAGCGGCCCCAGCGGCAGCGGCGCGACTGGGGTTACTGGGACTGGGCACCCGAATGGGAGCGGGTGAGGCGGCCGCTGAGGGGCGAGCAGCTGGAGAGGGGCTGGCAGCGGCGGAGGGTCTGTGAGGGGCAGCTGCAGCAGCTGCTGCTGCCATGGCTTGCGGTGAGGGTGAGACGCCGCCGGGCTTGGGAGGAGCTGCTGTGGGAGGGCGAGGAAGCGAAGGGGGGGTAAGCAGGGTGAGGGGAGTAAGAGACCTCATACCAAACCATGGGCGGGCAGGTGTGTCAGTAGCTCAGTGCTGGTTGGGGGCAGTGACGCCACAGTTGAGGTCAGGCCAGTTGAGGCCAAGTGTGAGCCATCCCCCGCTGCCGCTGCTGCTGCCGCTGCTGCTGCTTACCAAGTCCGCCCGCCATCCCGCCAGCTGCTGCAGCAGGCGGCCCCCCACCCGGAGCCGGCGCCCCCACCACCAGCTGCCCTGGCCTGGGTCGTCCATGAATGATGGTGTGACTGAACTCATGAGCCTGGTGGAGGTGGGGTGGGGGGACAGCGGGTTGTCACAAGCGGGGCCGACGCGGCGCGGGCGGTGTTGAGAGAGAGGCATGAGGTGAAGGTCACAATGCCCTCCCTTCTCCCTTCTCCCCAGCCCAGCGGCCCCTCCAGCCGGCCCCGCCCACCTGCAGTGTGGAGGACAGGAACTTCTGGATGCGCGCCTTCATGACGGGTGTGGCCAGGATGTCGTTGATTGAGGGGCGCTTCTGCCAGTCCAGGGTCAGCATGCGGTCGCACAGCTCGCGGAGGTCGCGGGAGCGGGTGGGCGGCATGGGCGGGTAGGAGCCCTTGATGATCTGGAGGGTGGGGCAGCAGAGGAGGGGTTGGTAGGGGTTGCGTGTACCCTTGGTTCCTTAAGACCAGATGCTTTGCTTTGGAATGCACGCAAGAATGGGCACGGAAGGAACACATACGGTACGTAAAGGCGCAAGTTGCGAGGCGTAAGCCATCCCCTTAGCGCCACCCTGAAGGCAGCAGCAGCCACCCACAGCAGCAACAGCCAAATCAGTTAGCACACACGCACGCGCGACAGCTGAATCACATGCCCGAAGCAGCAGCACCGACACGACACCTTTTGAATGAGAGCCCGCATGTTGGGCGCCTCAAAGGCGTGCTTCAGGGTGGCCAGCTCGTACAGCACACAGCCCAGCGACCAGATGTCGGACTGCAGGGCGGAGGTGAGGGGTAGCCGAGGGAGGTGACCAGGAGAGTTAGCGGAATGGATTGGGTCTAAGGCTAAGGTGTAAGGGCTGGATTTTGATTGAACATGTGTGAAGGGTGGGCAGACAGCACAACAACACATGGTTAGGTAAGGTCGGCGTTCGGGTCGCGTACCTTTTGGTTATATTTCCTGTTTTGGCAGATCTCTGGAGACAGGTAGTACGGCGTTCCCACGGCAGTGGTTGCCAGCTGGAAGGTGGAGTTGAGCACCTTTGAGACTCCGAAATCACCCAGCTTGAGCAGGCCCCCGGCGGACATGAACACATTCTGTGTCTTGATGTCTCTGTTTTAAGGGAAAGAAGGTGGGTTGTGTTGGAATGGGGAGCGCATGGCGGATGAGTTGATGCCAGGGCGAGACACACCCAGGTGCGGGCCTGTGGGGGCTTTAGGAGCGCGCCGAGGGTAGTCACCAGGGCGAACCAGGGGCAACCAGTCTAACGACCACCAGCCCACCTGTGCAGGATCTTCCTGTCGTGCACGTGTTTGAGTCCCAGACACATCTGCACGAACCAGTCCAGGATGGTGTCCTCGCTCAGCTGCTGGCCCCGCCGCTTCTGCATCATGCCGTACAAGTCGCCTGTGAGGGGAAGGCAGAGAGGAGAGGGACGGGTACGATCGGATGTGGTCGGATGCGTTGTAAACCATGTGCGCGTCGCATCTGGTTGCGTAAGCCAGAAGTTCCACCTCCTTGGTTTGGTTTCTCTCTAACCCCCTTACATGTAGCCAACCGGTTCCCAACCCATGCAACACCGACCCACCTTCGGAGCACCAGTCCATGACAATGCATAGCTTGTTTAAGTGGGTAAAGCATTCGATGCACCGCACGATGTTTGGGTGGTTGAGGGCCATGAGAAGCTACAGAAAGGGGGGAGGGCAGCATGGCCAGGGGGCGCACGTAAAAACGGAATCTGCAGGGACTGCACATGTTGCAATAGCTGTACAGTTGCTGCCGGATTGGGTGGCAAGGAACTCAACGCAAGGAGGTCAGTGCAATCCAGGGCCAATAACTAGCAAGTAAATAGCGCTCCGCGATGGGATGCGGCAAAGCCACGCGCATAGTTTCGCCGCGCCCCATGTGTACCTTAGCTTCCTGCTCCGCGGCATCCCTCTCCGTCTTCGGCATCCGTGATATATCTATCTCTTTGATCACATAGTTCTTGTTATCCAACTTGTTTGTGACAAGAATGGCACAGCCAAAGCTGCCTTTGCCCAGGACCTTGCCCCGATTGTATTTCTCCATCTTCAAGGTGCGTCAAGTTACCTATACGCTGATCGCAGCTACGCAGTTACGTGTGAAACTCTCCAACCAAGTTCTGGTCCGTGCCTCTTTCACTCATTTAAATGGTAACTGCATGTACGTCCTATGTATAGGCCTTAAGGGTGTTCCACGCCATCCAAATGTAATATGAAGATCATATCAAACACCCGTGGTATTAGATTCGTTCTGGGTCTTTGGGGCAAGGCTAACGGTTGTCGTATACACAACATGCTAGCATTCTACTTCACCATAACTTGTAAATTCTGTCTGTCAATCACTCGGAGCTATTGCGTCAAACAGCTACCTATTGTCTTTAGGTTTGTTTCCTAGCTAACCAACTTCCCGTAGGCAGTGTTTGGCAAGACAAGCTCTATCGAATACAATATAGTACTTCAATCGCTCGTCATAATGGCGCTCAGATACGGGCCGTTAGCTAACTGCCAGGGGCCCCGACCTGCTTGCAAGCGTGCAGCGGCGGTGCTTGCGCTACACAGCGTAGCGACTCCTCAGGTTTGTCGGACATTCTTTACCCTGTTATATTCCATACTAGCCACTGTGCTCACGCCCTCACATCGCGCGTATTTGCTGCATATGCTTGCCAGCCACGAGACGGGGATAAGGACAACTGACCCGGCGGGCAGCACTCGCACGTGACGTTCCTCAGACCTCTAACCCATCCCGTATACCTCTACGATATCAATATTCCATAGATGCAAATTCCCTTGCATTACGTATCTCGCACTCGCAGGCGCCTTCCCGGCTTCCATCCGCACGCCCATTACTCCCGGCCTTCTCTCCCAGCTCCTTCGGAGCTGACTCCCGTGCCCCCCATGTCCGAACATCCGGAGGAACGCGACAAGGATCGCACGTGTGCGCGGCCTCTCGCAAAGCAAGCAAGGAAGCAGACAAGGAGGTCCAGGTGCGGAGGTCACACACACGTGCACACCTGGCGAGTTAGCTACACCTTTGCAGCACGGTGTCGTTGTTGGGATTCTACGACAGTCAAGAGAGTGACTCCACTCCTCATCTCTTACACTTTTGGTTTCTGCCGCTACTGCTACTGCTGCTGCTCCTGCTCCACCCTGCTGCTGTTCCGTTCCGTTCGGCAGTTTGACGTAAGCGTAGCAGTGGAGGAGCTGTCGCTGTGTCGGCGACGCGCCACCGTCACCGTACCTGCCAGTGCTGTGAAGGAGGTCTTCAAGCGGGGGGTGAAGCGACTGGAGGTAGGTGCCGGGGTGTGTGTATGTGTGTGTGTACGTATGCGGAGGGTCGGGACTTGTTGTGGTGAGGAGGCCGCATCAGGGGCTCCTTGCCCTGGTGGCCTCTGAGGCGTGTACGGCGTTGACACTTCTGCTTTCTTCCCCCCTCAGCCCGGTTAGTTGTTTCCTCTTTGCCCCTTCCCCTCCCAGCGTGACGTGGTGGGCTCCCTGCGCGGCTGGCAGGCGGGCAAGCCGCTGCCGCTGTCCATGATAGTCACACAGGTGGGGGGCAGTGAGGGACGGAGGGAACGGAAGGGAGGGGCTACGGTAACCTTGTTACGCCAGACTCCACCATTGACCGATTGCATCATAGGTGACCGGAGGGTTATTCTGTTACCATGGGAGTAATAAAAGCTCGGTCCCAGAGGTTTGGTTATTACAGCCAGAAAGTTTACCTCCCCTCCCCCCCCTATAGTTCAACTTCAGCGTGCTTGACTATTTTAGTTTGAAAGCACGATCGGGATTTCACCCCATGCTGGTAACTTACCTCCCCGAAGGCACTCACTGCATGATTCGGGATATGGGATTGGGACTCTAGTTGTTTGCATTTATTATATAATTCCCCCCCCCGTCCCCCTCCAGGTCGGCGGGCAGGCCAAGTTCAAGACGTACTGTCTGGAGGAGTTGCTGCTGGAGGCGCTACCCAAGGTGAGGGGAGGAGGGATGGGAGGGGCGCGGGAACAAAAAGGGAAATACAAACTAACCGTGTGACGAGGGGGGAAGTGGGGGAGAGTGCGAGCCGAGGTGAACCGCTTTCAAACCTGGAACTGGGACAAACCAACAAGCGAAACTGTCCAGCCCCTCACCTTGGTTAACACTTGGTTCCCACTCCTTGCAGCTTCTCTTCTCCTGTCCATGTTGATGCAGTGTGCATGTGACCACGTGCATGCGCCCAAGTGTGTACGTCCGCCTGCAGGAAGTAGATGCCGCCTTTCCCCACATCCACCTATCCGCCTATCCGGCTATCCCCGTACGGTATGCATTTTCTTATGTCCTGCCCATGTGTCCATGTGTGTGCATCCGCCTGCAGGGAGTGGAAGCCGCAAGCAGGGGGCAGGCGCTGGATCCAGAGAGCGTGGAGGTGGGAGCAAGGAGGAAGCGTGGGGGGGGGTGGAAAGGAATCCGCTGCGGCGTCGACGTAACCGTTTTTTTCACAGTTTAGTTGCAGGACCACCCCACTCGTCTGCCTGTCCCCAATCTACCTGCCACACGAAGGTGGTGTCTGCAAGTCCGTGTGTGCGGCCCAACCGAACACCCCAACCAACCCCCTTCCCAGGTCCCCAGCGTCGTCTAGGTTTTCGCCTTCTCCCTCTCTTTACCCCCCCCCCACCCCCATCCATTCCACCCACCCAGGTTCCCCGCGCCGACTACCCCTCCATGCTCGAGCGCTACGACCCCGCCCGCGACTTCTGCTTCACCGCGCTCTTCGACGTGGCTCCCCCGCTGGTGTGGCGCACGCCGCTGGAGGCGATTGAGGTGACCATCAGGTGAGGGGGGAGGAGGGGGAGGGGGGTGCGGAGACGCTGTATGCGGGGAGGCAGGGGATAAAGGAGGTAAGTTATGGGACATACGACAGGGCTGTACCCATGACGCTGGGTGACTTTGTATGCATGCTCGTGCATGCAGGGGTTCCATCAACGTCGCCCCTGCCCTAGTCACCCCTGCCCCATTTCACCCCCGCTCGAGTCACCCCTGCACCCCGTCCCTTTTTTCTTCTCTCCCCCTTCTGCCCCCCCCTCCCCTTCGCCTTATGCCCCCCCATCCCCATTGCTTTGCCCTGACCTGTGGTTTCCTATGGTTTGGTATGGTCTTTGACCCCCGCGCTTCCCACGCAGGGACACCGGCGACCTGGCCAGCGACACCGCCGCCGCGGACGACCTCATCCGGCAGTACCGCAAGCAGCACGGCTTCAGTCGGGTTGTGGCGGGGCGGGGACTGCAGCGGGGGGACACACTCGTCATGGACATGCAGGTGGGGTGGGGGGTGGGGGGAGGTGTGTGGTGGGGGGGGGGAGGAACTAGCTGCAGGTGTGTGTTGCGACAACTGCTCGCAAGTAGCGTGCGTGCATGCGTGTGGGTGGTCTGGGGTGGGTGGGTGAATGGGTGGGTGAGGTGGTTACCGGTATCCTGCATGTACCAGCCCCCACACGCCTACCTCTACTCCCCTGCACAGGTGGTCACCGCCGCTGGCCAGCAGCCGCTGCCCGGTCTCACCAAGAGCCGCATTTCCTTCGACACGGAGGAGGATGCGCTGGATATCACAACGGGTGAGCGCGGGGGGGGGATGAGGGGAGGCGGAGAGCGGAGGCGAGTCGGTATCGTCAGTCGCTCTTACAGGACTTCAACCCCTGCTCCGATAGCATGTTGGCTTCGGTGACATCTGTGACATTTCGCATCTGCCGCCCGCTCCGCCCCCGCCAGGCATGCTGGGCATGCGTGCGGGTGAGGTCCGCTCCTTCGATATGTCCCTACCTCATGACTACCCGCTGGAGGTCTGGCAGGTGGGGCAGTCCTCTGCACCCCACCCCACTTTGATGCTGTGACACCAGCCCGCTGCACACCTTTGTTGCCCCAATGCGGCGGCTCCTCCAAACGTGTCCTGTGCCTTCATGTGTTCTCCGCTCACAAAAGGACACAGGCGCGCGCTTCCCCCCTCGCACACACTCGACCGCTCTCTACTTACGTGACTGACTGTTCTCCTGACTGCGCCTGACTGACTGGCTGGCTGGCTGGCTGGGACTGACTCCTCCCCAGGGTATGCCGGTGCGTGTCAACGTGCGGGTGCACGAGGTGTTCGAGTGGACACTGCCCGAGGTGAGCGGCAAGCAGCAGGGGTGGTGCTGCGTCCCACGGCATCAGGGGTTCTAAACAGGACACATCAGGACACAAGGGGCGAGGAGATGCCAGAGGGAAGGGGGAAGGGAACGGAGGGATGCGCGGGCGAGGGGTGCATCAGGACGGGGACTGCGGGACTAGTTTGGGTGGGCAAATGCCCGATTTTCCTACTCCTAACCCACCTCCCACCTCCCACACCTCCGGCTCTCCACCCAGTTCGACGACGCCTACGTGGCCGCCCATCACGGCTCCCAGTGGTCCTCCGCCACCGAGATGCGGGAGGCGCTGGTGGCCTCCACCGCCATGCAGCGCATGCAGCTGCTGGACCAGCAGCTGGGGGAGGCGGTGGTCAAGGTGGGTGGGGGGAGTGTTGGGTGTCTATCCTTGCCCCACACTTTCCCTTTCCTCTCCTCCCTGCTCATGATGTCCGGGTGTTTCCTCACCCACTTGCCTCACATCCAGGCAGTAGCAGGCGCGCTAGACATGCCCGAGGTGCCCCCCCGCATGGTGGAGCGGCTGGGGGAGCGACAGTTCCAGGCGCAGCTGCTGGAGATGATCAATGACGTGAGGGGGGGCGGGGAGCGGGGGGCGGGGCGGGATGGGGGACGGGATGGGCGGGAAGATGATTGTTGACGTGATGAGGGGGCGGGTCGGCGCGGGAAAGAGAGATTGCGGTGCCGGTACAACTAACCTGTCCTCATCCGCAACCTGCATGCCTTTTTGTCGCACGCGCTAGGACTTCCGTCCCTGGGATCGATCCCCTTTCCTCCCCTGCGAACCACCACAGCCCCGTCCCCTCCACCCGCTGCTAACTTTCCACCCGCTCCGCGCCTCCCCTGCTAACCCCACCCCGCCCCGCCCCTCCCTCCCCAGCGTGTGGGCACCCGCGAGGACATTGAGAAGCTGGCCACGGAGGAGATGGCGGCGGAGTTCGTACAGCAGCGCCGGAGCGAGCTGGAGGAGCAGGTGGGGGGGTTAGGGGGGCAGGGGGTTAGGGAGAGGGTGGTGAAGGGGAGCAGGGGGTGCGGGGTTCCGGGAGGGGGGTTGCTTGCGGGAGGGAGGGAGGGAGGGCAGTAATGCAGTGGTGAGGGAGAGGATGTGTGGGAGCAGCCCTCCCAGCCGAGCCCAACCCAACCCGATCTCCCACCTATGAGCTACCACCCATGCACGATACCCACGCTAGCTCCTCGGCCCCATCCCTCCCCCCAACCCCATCCCTCCCCCCAACCTCATCCCTCCCCTCAACCCCATCCCTCCCTCCCCCTCACCTCCACCATGCAGGTCAAGTTCAACTTGGCGGTGGACGACATCTTCGAGCGCCAGGGGCTGACACTGGACGAGGAGATGGTGGCGCAGGAGTTTGCGTTGCGGGAGCGGCAAATGCAGGTGAGTGAAGAGGAAACAACCAACTGACTGTGTGATAAGGCGTGACTGACTGCGTGATATTGCAGGTGGGTGGGTGAGGGGGTGGGTGGGTGAGGGGGTGGGCGGGTGAGGGGGTGGGTGGTGTTAGGGTGCTTCCCTGGTGCTCCATGCCCACCCGTTTCCGGCGTCTGTAAACTCTCTGCTTCGTGCGGTGGTCCACCGTTTGCCGTTCTTGTACGCATCTCAAGCGTTACCCAAACCCTAGGTTGGGTTTGGGTAATTGGGTTTGGGTAACACTTAAACCCCTCTATAATCGTTTTACTTAACTCCTTCCGTTATACACCCGAAACCCCCTCCACAACCGAATGCAGGCGGTGGGCCAGCCGCCCTCCAGGGAAGAGCTCATGGAAGATGTGCGGGAAACCGTCAAGACCGTTATTGTAACGGAATGGCTCAAAGATAACATCAAGCGACACGTGCTCCCGTACAACAGCGGCGGCCAGGATGGGGCTGGGGAAGGCGCTGCTTCTGGGGAGGCTAGCAGCAGCAAGCGCAGGGAGCCGGTGGCTGCTGCCTAAGCCTTGAGTCTAAATCTTGAAAGCAGGGTACTTCATAAGGGTTGAGGAGTTGGGATTTGGGTTTCGGGACGACTAGGCAGGTTGGTGTGGTTGTTTGTACGGCTCGTTGAGGTGGGCAGCTGAGGTCGCCGGGCATTGCCTACCTAGGGACACTTGTAAGGGGATGTACGAACAGGGTGCGTGCATGTGTACATGTACCATTGAGCAATCGTTGGATGGAAGTGTATTTGCCTTTTTGTCACGGCTTGTACCACAACGCTAGGTAGGCACAGTAACTCAGTGTATTGACCACTCGGGAATAGCGCTAGGAAAGGCTCTGCATTGTATATGTGTGCGGGGAGGATTAGCGGAGGCAGGGGTGGGGTGTACTTGTGCGGGTGAGTAGAAACAGCTCGATGCCGATAGGCCTGTGCAGGTGCACAGAATATATCGTGTGTGCTGGCTTGCAGCATTCGGCTGCTTGGAGTATAAATGTAACGTTCAACTCGGAACACGTGTAACGTGCCCCTTCATGCACTGGAAAGGGTGCCGCCGCCGTGTAGTTCGTATATACCATGGTAAAACCAGCTGAATGTGGTGTCCAGTAGCCGTGTCCATAAGGTTGGTTGTAGTGAAAACTACCGTTTGGGGGTGGGCAAAGCCCGAATCAGTGGAGCCATGGTGCTGAGGATGTCGTACTGGCCTCAGTTGCAGGTGCCGATGAAGACAGACGTAATAGTTACATACAGCAATCGGTGGGCAGTAAAACACAACGAGACCGGCAACGGCAACTGGAAATTAACGGGTAAAATCACCTCCCTCCTCCAACGCGTCTGCCGTGTATGTTACATTAGGGGTGTGGCCTTACGCCAGTCGCAACCTCCATCGTGTAGTCAGGCACTCAGCAATGCCAACGTCCCGCTCCTGATGCCATGCTATACATAAATAGCTTTTTCCACAAGTCACACCTTCCCACACGCCAGTTCAGCAATGCAAAGGCTTGGTAACACCCCCCTTGGAACGACCTGGTTTTCTCAAGCGCACCCTGACTGGTTTATGTACGGCACCTCTTCATTACACGTCAGGGGGCAGGGCGAAGGGGCTGAGCTCGCCCAGCTTGTCCGCGTGCTCCCCCAGGACCTGAGGGTGGGTGGCGTGGGTTGCCCCGGGTTGGGTTGGGTTGGGTTGCATGGAAAGGGAGGGAGGTGGAGGTGAATGACGTGTGTACAGTAACCGGGACAACACACCCTCTTTACCGGTATTTCGAACCACTGATCAGGATGTAACGCGTCTGTCCGGGCATTGCTAATCGTTGCCAGCAACCAATGCTTCAACAGCGGGTGGAATTGCTTGTGTAACTCTCTATGAATGAGCGGTTGCTTGATAGGGCCCCCATCGCCATGGAACCCCACATCACATTGTGCCGTACATTGTTCCACACAACAGACCAAGTAGACAGCATGCATCCCTGTGTCCAAACCCCAACCCAAACCCAACCCCATCCCGCCCACCTGCTGCAGCGCAAACTCGTTCCTGAACAGCAGCACCGGCCTGCCGTACACGTCCTTCATAACGGTCGTACCGAACAACCGCCCGAGCCCCTCTAACCGCTCCCAACCGCCCCCAGCCGCCATCCAGCGAGCCACGCAGTACGGCAGCGGTTCCAGTGTGGTGTCTACACCGTACTCGTCCTGAAGCGGTTGGTAGGTGTTTTTGTTGGGACACGGAGTTGGGATGGTAAGAGAGCGATTCACATTGTTTCTAGGCAGAAGCGAAGGCAACGCCAAGAAGTGGGATGCGCCATGTTGGAAAGCGGCGAGGGAGATGTCTTGGTGAAATGCATTGGCACGGTTGGATCACGCAAGGGGGGTACCATCACACGCTGCTCTCACCCAGAGGGCTAGTCCAGGGTATTACGGTAGCGGCAATAAGCATGCATGGTTTGCCCTTACGACACAGCAGCAGCGGCAGGTCAAGCAAGCTACCGATATACCGGTACCGCTCATCACCAACATCATCATCATCACCAGCGTACCGTTTCCCTACCTTCATGCGGTATTGAACCACCTCGAATTGCAGCTGCCCAACGGCTGCTAGCACCGGATCCGTTATATACTCATCCGTACTGTACAGCACCTGTACGGCGCCCTCACCAAGCAGTCCTGCGAGACAACAAGCCAACCAAGGAGCGAGCCAGCGATTAAGTCAACAGTGGGTGGATGGATATTAACCACATCATGTGTGGCGGAATCATGATTCATCATGCGAGATTGCCGTGCTTCTTCTTCTTCTTCCCTCGTAGCATATGTGCTAGAAACCTATATTTCAAAATCCCCAAATGTACGCCCCAGACCCCACCCCATGCATGCATGCACCCCCCCATCCGCATCATGGCTCACCCTCCACCCCCTTGAGGAAGGGTTTCTTCTGGTTGGGCGGGCAGCGCAGGTAGGCGAACAGCTCGGGGGAGAAGGTGGGGATGGGCGGGAAGGCGAGCAGCGGGCCGGTGACCAGCGTGTCACCGATTGCGAAGGCGCCGGGGTTGGTCAGGCCGATGACGTCACCTTTGGGGGAGTGGAGTGGGAGCGGGGGGTTGGGATGGAGTGGGGAGGAGGTGGTGCGTCAGGGCGTAAGGGCGTGCAGAAAAACAAGGTAGGTGTTCTTTACGTTGATATAAACGTTACGTAGGTAACCATCTTGCTTTGCCCTTGCAGCCGTGCTTCCACCAACCACCCATCCACCCCAGCCACGACAAGCTCATAGCAGGGCTTTCCAGGTCAGGGGGCGGCATGGCGAGGCAGCAGACCTCGAGGCGCATGTTGAGGCCATGTCCGCCAAAGTCGCGGAACGTATCAAAGCGCTGCGCCCACACCATTTCTTTGTGGACTGCCAGGGCATGCCATGCTTTTTTAACGTCGGCGCGGGCCACAGGGGCTGCAGGAGGGAGGGCGTCGGCGGGTGGGGCGGGGGCGGGGGGTGGAGGAGTGCCTGGTAGAGGCGGGGGTGGGGGAGGGTAGGCGGCTGCGAAAGCGGCGAGGGGGGCGGGAAGGTCTTGGAGGAGGACTTTTTCCAACGGGACGATGAGGAGTCGGTCGACTGGGGTGGTGATGCTGTAGTCAAGGTAGATTATGATGTCCTGGCGGTTTTTGGGGGCCTTCTGCATGTTGGCCTTGTGATGAGCCACGACAAGCTCATAGCAGGGCTTTCCATCAAGGGTTCCCTCCTGGAGATAGACCCCCCTGCACTTCTTGTCGTGGCAGTCAGGGCAGCCACAGCCCCACATATCATGAGTTACTGCAGTGACCACGCTTTCGGCCCTAATTGGTGCATGGCCGGAAGTTGGTGAAACATAGTAGGCTGCCATGGCTTTCTCAAGGGCGAGAGCAGCTGCATAGGTCCGATGTTTGAGGATGACAAGCTAGTGGACGACCTGGTGAAGCTACTGGCAGAGAAGTTGGCGCCAATTCTGAAGGCTGGTTCCAAAGCAGCACAGCTACAGGGACAACATCGGACCTATGCAGCTGCTCTCGCCCTTGAGAAAGCCATGGCAGCCTACTATGTTTCACCAACTTCCGGCCATGCACCAATTAGGGCCGAAAGCGTGGTCACTGCAGTAACTCATGATATGTGGGGCTGTGGCTGCCCTGACTGCCACGACAAGAAGTGCAGGGGGTCCTATCTCCAGGAGGGAACCCCTGATGGAAAGCCCTGCTATGAGCTTGTCGTGGCTCATCACAAGGCCAACATGCAGAAGGCCCCCAAAAACCGCCAGGACATCATAATCTACCTTGACTACAGCATCACCACCCCAGTCGACCGACTCCTCATCGTCCCGTTGGAAAAAGTCCTCCTCCAAGACCTTCCCGCCCCCCTCGCCGCTTTCGCAGCCGCCTACCCTCCCCCACCCCCGCCTCTACCAGGCACTCCTCCACCCCCCGCCCCCGCCCCACCCGCCGACGCCCTCCCTCCTGCAGCCCCTGTGGCCCGCGCCGACGTTAAAAAAGCATGGCATGCCCTGGCAGTCCACAAAGAAATGGTGTGGGCGCAGCGCTTTGATACGTTCCGCGACTTTGGCGGACATGGCCTCAACATGCGCCTCGAGGTCCGCTGCCTCGCCATGCCGCCCCCTGACCTGTCCCCCGACCATACCCCACCTGCTGAGTTCAGTCGTCGACGCCGTTGGTACGGATCACGCGACGTCCACCGCCGGCTTCTCTACCTCCAATCCCTCTTCCGCACTGGCCCCTTCGACGATACCTACTTTCAAGCGGCTGGCTATAGCACCCCTACCCTCCACCGCCTTCACTCCTACCTCACCTACTACTCACCCCCCGAACTCGGATTGGACCCCGAGTTTGCTTCCTAGCTGGTTACCCCGCTCTCCGCCGCCCTCAGCGCCGCTCTCCCTGCCACTGGTGCCCCCGACGTCTCTGCCCGCCTGTGGCTTCCCGCCGGCCTTCGACAGCACCTCACGGATACCACTATCCGCTCGATCCTCCACCACCCTGAGCTCCACAAGTGCCTCCCCGCCAACACCCTCACCCCTCCCCTCCATTGGCAAACCGACCCCACCAACAAGGAGCTCCTCTGCACCACCCCCGCCCTCGCCCGTAGCCTTACTGGCGACGCTTACCGCGCCCTGCTTTCCCGCCCGTGCGTCTGCGCCCAGTACCCCGAGCTCTGCGACCCCCAACTCGGCCACATCCTCACCACCACCCCGTATGCCCTCTTCCCCGCCGAACACCGCGAGGCACTCACGATCCTCTGGAATAACGGCGCTCACTCCCGACCTCACCGCCCATCACCCCCCGTCGCGGAGCTCCTCTCCGATGTCCATGCCTGTGCCATCACCTTCACGCGCCACTACGAGCGACGCCATGGCTTTGGACCCGGCGATTTGGCCGAATGGGCAGGCCGATTTACCGACATGGTGCGGCAAGCCATGGCCACCGGTCGTGAAAAGCCATTCCCTTGGCCCATCCTCACGGACGACCAGCTCGACGCTTTCCATGCCGCTCTTGGGCCTCACTTCACCATCACCGGCACCGACAAGAGCTCTGCGACCCTCCAAGCTTCCTGCACCCGCTTCTACGTCGAACGCTGTACGCTGTACCATACCGGCCTCGTCCCTCCCTTCCCCCCTGGACCCCTGGTTGTCCCCGCTGCTCCCTCCCCACCCCAGCCCCCGCCTCCACCACCAGCCGCGCTACCTCCTGTCGCCCCCGCCGCCAATCCTGCCCCACCACCGCCACCCCCGCCACTACCCCCTCCCCCCCTCCACTTTTATATAATTTTCCCCCCCTCCATGACCCCAGTTTCCCGCCCCCTCCACCTCCGCCAGCCCCATCCCCGTATTACCGTCCCTGCAGCCCCGCCTTCATGCGTGATACACTCCTCCATCACAACCACCTGCTCGCTCCATGGCACCTCGCCTATACTTCCGCAACCCGCCGCGATGGCCTTACCGTCTTCCACCCCGCCTACTACGCCGCCACCGTCAAGATGCACAAGGACCCTCCCGCTCTGCGCTTTCTTGCCTGCTCCCACGCCTGCCCCTCCACCACCATCAGCGACCTCGTCCGTAGCATCCTCAAGGCTGTCGACCCCTCTTCCGGCAACTGTGGTGTAAGACCCTCCGGCCAGCCCGTGACTCATTCGAGCCCTGGCACTGCTTTTCCTCCGAAGCAGCCGTGCAGATGGTCCACCGGTACAATGCTGGAGACTACCCAGCCGCCGACGTCGCCCCCGCCCAGGCCTACGATTTCACCCGCCTTTATACCAATATCCCTCACACCGAGCTTAAGCAGACGATCTCCCAGCTCGTACGTGCCTCCATCACCGCCCACCTTCCCCTTCCCCAGCCACCTCCCCACCCCATCCCCGCCCCCTACATTGTTGTCACCACCACCACGGATGCCTCCAAGCCCACCGCCAAGCCCCGCCATACCGTCACCTTCTCCCGCGAGCAGCCTCGGCCCCCTCCCTTTGCTCGCAGCACCACCACCGGCAGCCGACTCACTACTATTAAACGTGTCTTCACCCTGGCCGACTTCGACACCCTCTTCACCACGCTGCTGGAGTCCACTTTCATCCGGTTTGGCCCTGCGCTCGTCCAGCAAATCTGCGGCATCCCCATGGGTATCTCCGCGGCACCATTCATCGCCAACCTCTTCTTGGCCTGGTTCGAGTTCCAGTTCATGTCCCAGCGCGTCCGTACCCATCCACCTCTCAGTACCACCGCTCGAGACATCCTGGCCCACTTCCGTGACATGCAGCGCTTCCTCGACGACCTCCTCTCCCTCAATAACCTCCACCTCCAGCACCTGCTCTACAACGACACCGTCTACGAGGGCTTGCGCGGCATTTACCCGCCCGCGCTTACCGTGGAGGCCCAACAGCACCCCCACTTCCAGGCCGGGGAAATGCCTTTCCTGGACCTCCTGCCTGTCCCTTCTAACCACGGGGACCGGAGCTATCTCGTTACCCAGCTGTACGACAAGCGTGAACAGCCGGCCTTCGACGGTGTCCGTCCCACTCGCTTCGTGAACCGCGATTCTAGCGTTAATGAACCGAGCAAGGCCAACATCTTCGTGGGGCAGTTCCATCGCCTCCGCCGTGTTTGTACCCGCGCGTCGCCCTTCTGCCGGGTCGCCGCTCGGTTCATCTTGGACCTCATCCACTCTGGCTACTCACGGCAGCGCCTCTTCCGGCAGTTCGCACGACTCCTGGATGCTCAGCCCTTCTTGTACGCAGCGGAGCGCCGTCCCCAGCATGTCCCCGGCCACCGCCCTCAGCCCGGCATCAACCTTTACCGCCAGACACGCGCCAACTTCCGGGAGCTCCAACGCCAGCCTCGCAGCTAAGGACGCCATCATTGTTTGCTTCCGGCCCCGCGCGCTTGGCACTACGGGTTGATGGGCTGGTTTCGGCTGACGTGCGCCGGCTTGCTCGACGGGTATGACGGGTTGGTCGTGATGGGGTTGTCCTGGGTTTCGTGCTGCGGGTCTCAGGTTGGTTGCCGTTTATTGGGAGCGTGGGGCCTTGGGTTCCGGGTCCTCGTTGGGACGGTGGGGCCGTGTGGGTTGAGTTTGGGTTTGCGGGAGGTTGGGTTTGGTAGGTTCGCCGTTTTTGCGTTGGGCCAGTCGGGTTTCGTGTTGGTGTGCAGCCTGGTTTCCGTGTCCGGGGGTGGTTCGCACGTCCTGGGCGCGGGTTGTGTGTGGGGGGTAGGGTTGGGTTGGGTTGGGTGCGGTGGGGGGAGGGCTGGGGCTGGGGCAGGGGAATGGAGGCGGGGCTGGGCGTTGGGGCTGGGGAATCCCGAGGTTGCGGGTGGGCTGGGGGTGCGGCAGCGGTGGGGTTTGGGCTGTTGCTCGGGTTGCGTGCTCGTGTTGTGGGAGCAGGGCCTCGTTCACACTTCGCTGGACGCCCGGGGTTGGTTGTGGTTTGTTTCCTTGGTTGTGCAGGCTCGGGACGTGGGCTTCGGCGTGCAGGGTGTTGGGTTCCGTTGCCCAGCCCGTCCAGGGACGCGGTGTCGTTCCGCGGTGGTCTTGTCCGTGGCTGTGCGCCTGCGTCGCTCTTGTAAGACCCCGGCTTCCGTCATGTCCCTGTCCCGCTCCCCGACCCACGGGTCCCTCCAACGGCAGCCATCCGCACTCCGCCATCAGCCTCCGTTGCCACCCTCCGTCGCCCCCACCATCATGACGCCCTCCTACACCTCCCGTTCGTGGTTCCCTGCCGCGGTGCTGCTTCCTTCATTCTCCGTCGCTGGACGTCACGCCAGCTTCCCAGATGTACTCCCTCTTCACGCTTTGTCAGATGGTTTGTTCGTTGTTGCCTCCCTTCCCCCGCACCACCCGGGAACGTCCACACTGCAGTGGACTTCCCGTTGCCCGACAGTGCTGTGGGGAGCTGGTAACAGCCCGCACACTGTCCGCCCTTGTTTGCCCCTGTCTCCCCCTGTCTCTAACTAGCCCCCCTGTTCCCTGCACCTCCGCCCTGCCGTTTCCTACCCTATGTTCCTTCCCCCTTGTTTCATCCCCCGCCCTTCCCTTCCATTATTCATTCATCTTCTTTCCCTCTTTCATCCCGCGACCCTGTCCCCATTGCCACTTGCCGTACTTGCATATATCATATTCTCTTCCTTGGCCACTCCCTTCCCTTCCTGCCGCGCCGTTCGGTCCGTAGTTTACCATACCTACCTTATGGTAATGCGATAAACAACGACACACTCCGTTCACAGGGAGTGTGTCGTTGTTTATCGCATTACCATTTGTCGCATGAACAACGTAACTGCCTGGTCCTCCCTTACCCTACCGCTATTTTTGCTCGCATGTACTCCTTCGTGGCTGGTCTCCTTCCATCACGCCGGCCTGCTCTACGTTCTTCCGGTCGGCGGCTCCCTTTTTTCCGTTTCCAGGTAAGTCCACCAGTGCTGCGTTTTTAGTGCGTCTCTAGTGTTTTCGGGTCTGTTCTTTGCGTGTGGGGTTGCATCCTAGTTGGCTCCCTACGGACCGTCGGCGCGGCTGCTGGCTACCTCGATGTACTGGCGACGCTACTCTTTCTCTCACTCTCCATCTTCGCTCTGGCTTCGGTAAGTCTTCATTTTTTGGTAAGTGCATTACACGTACTGGCTTCACTAATTCGGGTTGGGCGGGTCGGGCTGGCTCACATGATGCAACCCATGTTATCCCTCAGTCAGTTAGTTGTTTCCTCTTTACCCATCCACCCCCCCACCTGCGAAGCCCTCGTGCACCGTCTGCCGCTCATTCGCAAACATGCGCTGCGGGGCCGCCAGTGTTACGGTGCGGCCGCTGCGAGCCACCCGCACCTTCATGCCCTTCTCGAACTTGCCTGAGCAGGCAACACAGCACCGCACCGCAAAGCACCGTGATTGGGTAGTGGGGAGGTGGGGGCAGGCGCGGCACCAATGGGAACAAACCCGCGAGGTGGATGGGGAGGGCAGATGCGTGCAGAAACACAAACAAAACACCCGTTGATACCGGTAACGAAGCAGGGTTCCCATTGCCCACTACCCATCACACCGCAATCCAGCACCCCGCCCCCCCCCCCTCCTCCCTCGCCCCCGCTCACCCGACACCACCCGCACGAAGGCCACCTTGTCCCGGTGCTTGGGGTCCATGTTGGCCTGGGAGAGGGGGGAGGGGAGGTTAGGGGTGTCGGAGTGGGTTTGAGGGGGTAGGCAGGGGTTTGGAAAGGATGGAAAGGCGCTACGCCACATGCGAACAGCGCCAGCGCGGGGGGGGGGGCTAACAGGGACTAACAGGGCGCAGGGGTCGCCGTACTTGCACCAGATGACAAGCCCAGATAACCTTTCACCCGTTCCCTCCGCTCCCACGCTCCCACCCCTCGTTACTACCAGCACCTGCAGTTTGAAGACCAGACCGGTGAAGTTGGGGGAGGTGGGCGACACGGCCACACCGCTGCGGGTCGGGGCGGGGCCTGCGGGTATGGGGTAGGGTAGGGCGGGGGGAGGGGCAGGGTTTCCTTGGAGATTGAGTGGATACCGGTACATAGAGGGGGTGAGCAGCAGCAGCAGCAGCAGCAGCCCCCAACCAACAACCTACCCCCCGGCGGCTTACCTGGCTTGGCTGCGAGTTGGATGAACGTCTGTGTGGGGCGGGCAGGCAGGCGGGTAGGAGGGTTGAAGTGTAGAGGGAAGAAGTTGCGTTGGTTGATGCGGGTCATGGAGGTAATGGTGCACCCGGTAAGGTAATTCACGTGCGGCCAAGCTTCCTTCCCCACGCACGGGGCTCGACCTCCGACCGCATCTTGCTTCCTCCACTTGCCCCCCCCCTCCCACTCGCCATACAGTTTTGTCAGTTTCCTTATTTCTTACCCCCCACCCACCTGCAGGAACAGCTCCACTCCGAAGTTGTTCATGGCAGATCCGAAGAACACGGGGGTGACCTGGGGGGGAGGGATAAGTGAGGAGAACAGGGGTCGGGGGGGTGAGGCGCAGGCGTAGGAGCGAGGGGAGATGCACCTGAGTGACGTGCAGCATGGGGCGTCCCTCAGCGCGTGTTTTCGCTGGACAACAGCAGCAGCAGGCGAAGCGCTGCACACCTACCGGCGGCCCCCGCTTACCTCCCCTCCCTGATCCCTGCCGCCCTACCTTCCCTGCCATCACCCCCTCCAAGTCAAGCTCATCACCCAACACCTGGGGGGGGGGCAGGCAGGGGGGGGAAGGCTTGGGCATGTCATCAGCCGCGGTGAGGGCAGGAGTTGTCATTACCTGACAGCGGGAAGCTGTGGAACACCCATATAATGCAACCCGGCGTAACAGTCCAAGAAAAGGCGGGTGCGCACCCTCCACACAACACATGTGTAACCCCCTTTGTCACCCCTTTCCAAGCCTTGCGAGTTGCTACGCTTCCACGCCCGCCCCCCCTCCCCCTCCCTTCGTTAGTCTTTTTCCCTTTATCCCCCCCACCCCCCCCCACACACACACATACACACCTCCAGCAGCTCCACCTCCTCCCGCAGCTGCTCCCACAGGTCCCCCTCCACCAGCCCCGGCAGCTCCGGGTCGTCAAGGTCGTACGCGGCCTTCACGGAGGCGCCGCGGGACCGGCCCGCCTGGCCGCGTTTCTCGTACAGAATGACCTGGGGGGGTTTGGGGGGGGGGTGGGAGGCGATTGGGGGCGGATAGGGGGCGGTGAGGGGCACGGGGTGTGTGTGGTATAGGGTTGTGTATAGGGTATAGGGTATAGGGTTGTGTATAGGGTATAGGGTATAGGGTATAGGGTATAGGGTTGTGTATAGGGTACACTTGTCAGCCCGTAAGCGCCAGCGCGCCTTGTCACTTCGCAGCACGCAGGGTTGGACTCATTGATCGCCGGAAGCAGGCAAGCCTTCAGGCAAGCCAGCAGGCGACTCATCCCATGCACATCGGCACACGCACACGCACCCATACTCACCTTCTTGCTGGGTCGGTGGTACACCCCCATGAAGCGGTCTCCGGAGCCGATGGGCCAATTGACGGGGTAGCTCTGGGGGGGGTGGGGGGGGGGTGAGGAGGGTGGGGGCAGGGAGGGATGGGGTGATGGGGTAGTCAGAGGGGGTGCGGGAGGTATGGCGGTGAAAGAATGCGATAGTGCGCCCACCTGCAACCCCCCACCCCGACCCCCACCCACGGCTACTACGGCCAGGGTCAGTGTTTCGGTTCATCCAACCCCACACCCCCACCCCCCTACCTGCAGCCCGAACTCCTTCTCCAGCTGCTCCACAATCTCAAACCCGTTGAGCGCGGGTCTGAGAGGGGGGGGGGAGGAGGGGAGGAGGGAGGTCGGAGGGAATGTGGGTGGGTGGTTAGGGAGGGAGGGAGGGAGGAGTACCGATAGTGAGGGAAGGTCAGGGAAGGTCAGGCATGGAGCTAGAAAGGAGGCGTGCGACGTATAACCAGCTCTACAGAAGTAGAGGTCTGAACGAGCTAGGACAGCACCTCCTACTTCACCTGCACCGGTGCCCTTACTCTTCGGACTAGGAACGGGCGCGCTTTGCCTCTCCCTCCCTCCTTCCTCCTTCCCTCCCTCCTCCACCTACCACACAGCCCCCTCCCCTCCCACTCCCCACTCCCACCTATCCATGCAAATTTCAAATTCCTCTTCCTCCCCACCTGTCCATCTTATTCACGAAGGTAAACACCGGCAGCCCCCTCAGCCGCGCCACCGCGAACAACTTGCGCGTCTGCGGCTCGATGCCCTTGGCGCCGTCCACAAGCAGAACCGCGTTGTCGGCAGCAGCCAGTGTGCGGTAGGTGTCCTCCGAGAAATCCTTAGGGGAGGGGGGAAGGGAGGGTAAAGAGGAAGCAACTAACTGACCAGGAAGTGGGAGGAAGGAGGGAGGGAGAGAGAGGAAAAGCAAAGCCGTGAAGCCCAGAGCTCTCGTCCCCCTGCCGCCAGCACCCTCCTCCTCCTCCCAGCCACCCCACCCCGTGGTAGAGCCTTCACCAGTCGTGTTCCCTTCTACGGTATACCCCATCCCGCCCTCATCCTCCTCCTCCTCCTGCCGCCCTCCTCCTCCTCCCACCCCGCATCTCTGCTCCTCCTCACCACCCCGCATCTCTGCTCCTCCTCACCCCCCAACCTCCCCCCCTCTCCCCCCCTCCCCCACCTCACCTGGTGTCCCGGCGTGTCCAGCAGGTTCAGCTGGCAGCCGCTGTACTCGAATGTGAGGGCGGTGGAGGTGATGGAGATACCTCGCTGCTTCTCCAGCTCCATCCAATCGGAGGTGGCGGAGCGGGAGGACCTGGGGGGGGTGGGAAGGAAGGAGAAAGGAGGGGGGGAGGGGAGAGGGTTGGCAAGGAACAAGGGCCATTGGTTGCCCCTCCGTATTAGGTATAGGTACTGAGCTATCGGGGACGTCCCTCTCGCGAGTCTCAACCACCGAGCGCCCATCCATAGCCATCTTCCTCTGTTCCCTTGGCTGCCACCCAAACATCTTTTTCCCAAGCATCCCTTTCCCAAAACACCCCAAACGCCCCCGTCCCTCACTTTCTGGCCTTCACCTCCCCCGCTTCGTGGATGGCTCCGCCGTACAAGAGCAGCTTCTCCGTCTGCAGATGACAGCGGAGGAGAGGAGTTCAGGAGGGGAGGGGAGATGGTGCTGGCACGTTAACAGAGTCCAAGAGACCCACGGGTCACATTGGGGGTGAGGGCAAGTGGAGCTCAGCCACTTCCTGGGCCTACAGCTCTTCGCCTTTTCCTCCTCCCTCAACCCCCAACTAAAGCCCCAGCACACCATGGTTGTCTTGCCGGCGTCGGGGTGCGAGATGATGGCGAAGTTGCGCCGCCGCCCCACCTCCCGCTCCAACACCTCGGCGGTAAGCGCGGCGGCAGCCTGCGGAGGTGTAGGGAGGGGGGCGGGGTGAAGAGGAACGACCAACCGTGTGACACCCGGGCTCCACCAGCGGTTAACACCACCCTCACCTTCACCCGTTTCGATCCCTGTATTCCATCAGTTGCTCCTTCCAACCCCAGCAGTGCCCCCACACACCTGCGTGGCTGCCTGCTGCGCCTGCCCCCATCCGCCACCCTCACCTGCGCTTCCACCCGATCCGTACCGGTATTATCTTGCCGCGACTTCCTCTGTGACCCCCGCCCTCACCTGCTCCGCCGCCTGCTGCGCCTGCACACTCCTCGCGGCTGCCGCCGACCCCACCTCCTCCGCCAGCTGCTCAGCTAGGGGGGAGGGAGGGGGAGGGGGAGCCGCCTCCACCTGGTGGGGAGGGATAGGGGCCGGGGGGGTAGGGGCCGGGAGCGGGCCGTAGGGTTTGGAAGGGAGGGTAAAGGGGTGCAAACGGGTTGAAGAAGGGAAGGCGTTACGGGAAGGATGCGGCTGCAGGCGGCTGGAGGTCTGGGCTGAGCGCAGGGGGTGGGATGGGGTGAAGGAAAGCGAGGTGGCCTAACGTGCTTTGAAGGGCCCCTAGCGCGTGACTTTGAATCCCTTGGTTCTGGCGGTCCGCTGCGTGTGCTTAATCCTCATGTTAAACCACCGCAAGGCAAACCCACGCCCACTCTCACAAGCATACCGGTGTCCCCGTGATTTTTAGTAACAACAGGAATGAGGGCGAGCACTCCGGACCGGTGACAAGGGTGACGACGCGTACCTCAGCGGCATCGGCTGTGACCGGCCCATCTCCATCCGGCAGCCCAGCTGCAAGCGTCTGTCGCCGCTGGAAGAATTGAGCGCGTGATGTAGCTGTTACATTTGGGTTACCTGGAGTTCGCGATGTTGTAACGCTAAGCGCGCGTGGTGCGCCCCGCAAGTTAAATGAGCGCATGGGGCAATTTCAGCTCTCAATTTGTAAGCGGCCCAATTCAAGTCATAGGAATGCAGTGCATCTATTAATGTATGGGATGGGATATGAGGCTTTGTGGAATTGTGAACTTGCATTCAACAGCTGCCGACCGCACGACCACAACCGTACTCCTGCGTATCCGTTGGTCGCTAGTTGGCGAGTGATGAGTGTGAGGCCTTTGGGATGCGGGTGAATGTTCGTAAATGTGAATTGATGGTTTTCCACCCTCGTGCCAATATCCGCGAGGCTTTTGCTGCCCTTTGCCCCGTGGTGTGGACTTCTATTGAGGGAAATGCGCGAGTACCTATGGTTATTCCTTGGGTACAACGAGCCCGTTACCTTGGTTTGCACTTTGGTCCTGGCACACCGTTTGTTTCCTGCACAGAGGAACTGTTGACCTCTGGCCGACGTGCTATGTTTTCTCTTCAGCGTAAATTAAAACGCCTAGGTCTTTTGGTCCCTGCTGTTGCAGTTAAGTGCTTCGACGTGCAAGTCCGCTCCATCTTGTCGTACGGTGTCCAGGTGTGGGGGCCTGATGTGGTGCTGAAGCTAATGACGGACTGCGAGAATTCCGCGAGGTACTTTGACAGATCCTTGCGGGACCCAATGGTGCAGTTACAAAGGGAATTTCTTCGGGAGATTGCGGGTGTGAAAGTCTCGCCTGATAAGTTGCTGTTTAAGGAGTTTAACCAGCGCCCCTTGCATGTCTTCTGGCTGGAACTGTTTCTGAGGTTTTGGAATGACCTGGTCAAGCAGAAGGACACGGTCTACCACCAGACGTTGCGAGGTGAAATTCGTTCGGCTCTCAGTACTGAGCATTATGATGGCTGGGGTTCTAAGGTGTTGAAGATTCTGAAAATGTTAGGGACGGATTTGACGGCCTTGGGGGGTGAATTGGACTTGAATGCGCGTGTGGAACGTATTGCTGGCACGGAGCTAAATGTGTCTGCTCTCACTAAAAAGTTTGCTGATAGAATGGATGCGGATTGGGAGGATAGGAGTTTGGAAGATGACCCGCGGCTTTTCAACCCAGTAGACCCCGTACCAGGGGTTGGAGTTAAGATGTGCAGGTACAAAAATTGGATGGGTGACCCGGTTGACAGGGGGTACATTACTCAGCGGCAGCATGTGAACCTGATGCGTTTTCGGCTGTGTGTGTGGGGCATTGAAGCCAATCGCCCTAGGGGTAGGCAACGAGTAGCGCGTGTCTGTCCTATGTGTGCCGTGCAGGGGTCGCCGGGGAGAGTGGAAGATGAGAAACACATCCTCATTGAATGTCCCGCTTACGATGATTTGCGTGATAAGATATGGGAAAGTGGTGTCCCACGGGATGCTGATATGATTGCTGTCATGGGCATGGAGAATCAGGCATTGCTTGCTAGCGTAATCACTAGCATGCGAAGTCGCAGGATTGCGCAGACAGGGTTTATCATATGATTAGCGTTCTGTTTGTTGTCTCTTTTGTTTACTTTTCTTCTTTTGGTTGTTTTCGCGTTTTGTGCTCGCGATCCATGAGCCTTCTGGCTCGGACGGATCTTACGAGCTCGGTACGAAGCTTGTAACACATACACATACACACGCTAGTTGGCGTCTGCGACTTGAAATAGGACTACACCCGGGCCAAATTGTATTCATTAGAATAGAGCTGATTTATATTGAGGTTGTGGACGACCGTTCGGCAACGTAATTAGCTACTTGTCACACCGCGCTCGACGTAATCTCTCTGGTTTATCACGAATGTCACACAGTTACTTACGAGAATCCCTTGCTGTGGGGTTTAAAGGCTATGGGTATTGCAGTCGAAGTCATTCGCGCCGCTTGGGACACACTTTCCCACAGCAGCTAGCCACGTCGGTGCCACCAACCACCAGCTCCGATGCAGCTTGCACCGCGTTGTCGACGGGCCCTGCGACGTCTGGGCCGCGTTCTTTGGCAACCTTAACATCTGTCCGCGGCACATCCGTGTCAACGGCATCCACGGATTCCGTGACGGTCTACTTCAGGTGCGGCCACGTCGCTTGGAGGTTACATGGTTATGCTTGACCGTGCTTGGGGGCGCTTAATGAACTAATGAATTAACGGTTCTATATAGCGGCAGCAGTTAGCAATGGCAGCAACCGTCCGCCCCCCTCCCCGCAGGCAGGAGGGCCGGTCCACCCAGGCTCGACCCGGGGAAAACCTTCTGGAGGTGGGTGGCTGCTGGATGCCGGCTGGGTTGCACGAGAGGGAAAGGGATGGAGGGAGGGGCGAAGACGCGGGTTAGGAACGCCCACCAACCTTGCAGTCCCCACCTTCCCACCCGCCCCCACCAACCCCACCCCACTCGCACGCTCCCTCCCCCTGCAGGTCGCCTCCCGCGTGTCCGCCGACATCCCCACCGGCTGCCTGCACGGCTCCTGCGGCGTGTGCGAGGTGGAGCTGTTCAGGTACCACAACAGCAGCAGCAGCGGCGGCGGGGGCAGCAGCAGTGGGGGCAGCAGCAGCAGTGGGGGCAGCAGCAGCAGTGGGGGCAGCAGCAGTGGGGGCAGCAGCAGTGGGGACAGCAGCAGCAGCGGGGACAGCAGCAGCAGGCAGGAATCCCAGGGGGAGGGAGGGCAGCAGCAGCAGCTGCTGCAGCTAGCGGCAGGGGAGGAAACGACAGCTCAGGGTGAGGAAGAGGCTGGAATCCCTTTATCATCAAGCTGTTGTGATGCGGGGTCAAAGGGGAGAGTGGAACAGGGAACAGGCGTTACAGATTCGGGAGCAGAGGAGGGAGAGCACCAACGGCAGCAGCAGCAGCAGCCACAGCAGGAGGAGCAGTGGGTGTGTGACGGGGGCGCAGTGGTACGGCGTGCGTGTGTGGCCCGTGTACCCCGGGGTTGGGGTCGGGTGGAGGTGGGGATGATGGCGGTTGACCAGATCTGGGGGCAGGACGGATGGGACACGTGAGGGGAGGAGGAATGCCGGCGGGTGGGTTTGGGCTTGGGGTTAGTTAGGATTCAGGTTTGGTGCGGGCGGGTGGGTGATCTGACCTTGTAACATATTAGGGCTGTGTACCAGGCTTGGTGTTAGCGCTGGAGCGGGGCATGTTGTTTGGCACGTTGCCAGGTGCAGGGGTGTAGAAAGGAAGTGCCCAGCTTATGCATGCGTGCATCCAATGCGTCTTAACGGTGATGGTCGTATGCCATTCGATAGCCCTTAGCCGTGAACCTGTTCATAATGGTGCATGTGTCACGCATGTCATATTGTCATTGCAAAGAGGTGTTGGTTACTGGAAAGGTGAGCATTGTCGTTGACGGTATATCCTGCTGAGGGTGGTGGTGGTGTGGCGTTTCTTGCATTCCTGTTATGTTAAGGATTGCATGTGATAGCACTAATCGCCGGTTCAAAGCAATCTGCCGTACCATAGTTCTGTCCATCGTACAGTCGACATATTCCACACCGTACCATCGGTTGTTATACACTCCCCTCCACTGCCGGAAGGAAGTAAGAGAAACAAGCAGTACTGCCGTATCAGTCAAGACTCACAGCCAACCTGTAATAGAGCAACAAAGCAGCAGCTCACCCCTACACGAGCAAAGTCTTCACACCACGCACATGCACACACGCACTCATGGCAGTACAAAAGGCGCGTTAATCTTCTCAGCCCTACTACGTCCCTACAAAACTCCTAACCACCTGCATACAACATCGCAGTGCCAGCATCCTCCCCCCCGCAAACCCAAGCCGGGTAAGGGCACATGCAGACCAATATCCTAAACAAGACCGCCCTCACGCCCGACATGTGGGTTCGGGAAAGCAGCAGCTCGGCGACCCACCATCACACAGCCCGTAAGAGCGCCCGCCTGACCAGGTAGACGTCAATGTGACGCCCCCGCCAGGCCACGCACCAAAAGCATACACCGCTGGCAGCAAACACGGCGCCCCCCACCCTGGGAAGCTCCGGAATCTCCCTCAAGCAAGCTCCCCCACCCTCAAAAGCTCCCAATCACTGTGCACATGTCGATAACCTACCTAGGCAACATGTATAACGAGTCTCACGAAAGCAATCACATACATACTTGAGAACATGACCTCCCCTCCTCCTCCCTCTGTAACCACTCACGACCCTTCATTCCCATCCCAGCAGCACCCCAAGCCACCCCCAGCCACCCGGGGCTCTCTCCCCCCCGCCAGCCGCTGCCCCGCGCATGCACTCCGCAACGCCACCTCCTCACAGGCGGCATCGAACCGCCCGCCTTCATCCACCCCGCTTGCTTACATGCCCCCCCACACCCCGCTCCTCCCCTTCCCTGCCCCCAACCAACCCGTCCCTGCCCCCACCCCGCAAGCACCCACCCCTGCACCGCTCCCTCATGCATCATACATCAATGCCCCGCCGCCCCCCCTGCTGCCCCCGCCGCCCCCTTTATCGAGCTCACGCTGCGGTTGAACCGCCGCCCGCCGCTCTCAATGTCCACAAAGGGGTTGGCGGACAGGAACTGCACGGGGGCGGGCTGCGCCGAGTCCGCCAGCACTCGGGTGATCTCCGCGTCGCGACACACCTCGCGAGCCGCCTTCTCAGCCTCCTCGTCACCGCCCACTGTGTTTGCAGGTGGGGGGCGGAGGCAGGGGGGCAGGGCGTGCAGGGAGGGTGAGGGGGTGGAGGGCGTGGCGCGGAGGAAGGTGAGGGGGTTAAGGTTGTCGGTTGGGGGGTAAAAAGAATTAAAGAGACACTGACTGATGATGGGGGGCTGCTTGTGCTTGTGCTAGTGCGAGGAAGACCCTGCTCTGCGCGAGCCTTCCTCCACCCCTCCTAACATCCACGCAACCCTCTTCCCCTCCTCCACCCCTCCCCAGCCCTCACCCAGTATGAGTGCTCCGGTGGTGTCCGGGTCGTAGGTGAGGCTCTGGTCGTCGTCGAACGCGTCCTGGGGGGCGAGGGGTGGGGAGTGGGAGAGTGGGTGGGAGTGGGGGAGGTGGGGGTTAGGTGCAGGTGGCAAAGGGGGCAGGAGGAGGGGAAAGAGGGAGAGAGAATGAGAAGGAGGGAGCAGGCCGCCAGAACAGCCCCTCCCTGTTACGGTCCGCTAACACGCCCGCCCTCTAACCCCCACCACCCCGCACCACCTCCCGCCCCCGCCCCCCGGTACCTGGAATGACACGGTGGTGGTGAGCACCCTGACAGGCCCCAGCGCCTCCCACTCCTCGAACCGGTCACCGAACACTATGCTGGCGGAGTTGGGAACCTGGAGGGGGAGTGGGGGGGGAGGGTAGGAGGTCAGGAACGGAGGGTAGTGGGTAGCGGCGGGTTGGCGTGGGTGTGTAAGGTAGGGGAGAGAGAGGAGTGGCGATGCTGTAGAGGTGAGACAGCACGCCTGCTGAGGGGTTGGCAGGGTGCACGGCCCATCCACTCTCTTTCCCTCCCCACCTTCCGCCTCCCTGCCCACCTCCCACCCTTCCCCTACCCATGGTTTTTCTCCTTTCTTCCCTTCCCTCCCGCTCCACCCCCCCTACCTTGTAGTACACCCGCACGTCCCTCCTGAAGGCCAGGTTGAGGTTGGCCACGTCCGGGGAGGACTCCAGCAGCGCCCGCAGGGTGGCGATACCGCGGCCTGACACGAAGATGACGATCTGGGGGGTGAGGTGAGGTGAGGGAGGGGGGTGAGGTGAGGTGAGGTGAGGTGGGGTGGGGAAGAAGATGCGGGCTAGCCGCAACGTGTTGTATGTATACAGTATACAGGTAGTATCTTACAACTAGTGAGCCATGCATGCTGAAGACCATGTTACACAAACCATCACTCACTTCCTATCACACTCCTACCCCACCCCCGCTGTAATGGCCCCCCACCCCTTCCCTCCCTCCTCCCCTCCCCCCCCCTTACCGTGGGGCACTGGTAGATGGCCATGAGCGGCGAGCCCCGCAGGTCCAGCCCCTCGCCGCCGAAGGGGCCCACCTCAACCACGTCATCGGGGCCCATGCCGTACAGCTCGGGAGCCTCCTTGCGCGTAACCAGCAGCGTCAACTCGGCCTGGGGGGGCGGAAAGGGGGGGGAGTGGGTGGTTGGGGAATGGGTTGTTGGGGCATGGAGGGTGATGTGTATAGGGATTATTAAACCCACTGGACAGGAAGAATAGTAGTATAGAAGGGATATGGGTTTGGGCAAGGGATGGGGCAAGTGGGGGTGAGGTACATGGTAACTCCCTCCCACACCTCAAGCCGCGGTGCCTGGTCCCTTACCTTCTCTCCCTCGACCGCTATACCCCATCGCAACCCCATTGCAACCCCATCAACCTCCCCCCCCTCCCGGTGGCACTTCTTCCCCTCTCCCTCACCTTGACGCTGATGGGCTCCCGGGGTAGCTTGATTTCATGAGCGAACAAGTCACCACGAACCTGAGGGGGGGGAGGGAGAGGGAGGGGGGGTAAAATTATATAAGAAATGCAATGGGTGGGGGTTGGGGGGTGAAGAGCGTGATAACTCTGATAACGCGAGGAAGAGAGAGGACAGTCGAGGATTGGCAAGATGGGTGAAGAGTGCGGGCTATTCATTGCGAGCTAGGGTGTGGTGGCTACGCCTCCCAGCCAACCCAGACTGAGATTCCTTCATTGACACCCACCCCTCACCTACCTTGAACAGCGGCAACTCGTTCACGGTCTCCGGGAAGGGCGGCGAGGCGACTGCGAGGGGGAAGCCAGGGGCGCAAGTTGGTGTTGGGCGTCGACGGCCAGCTCATGAGGCGCCACCTCCCTCCCGCCCTCCTCTTCCACCCCTGAAGGACCCCTCCCCACAAGCCCCTCCCTCCCTCTCCCTCTCCCCCCAAAACACAAACGCACACACGCAGCCCCCGCACCCGTGCAGTGCCGCTCCACTCCGTTGTTCACGCGCACGCACGCGCGCTGCCCCGCCGCCTTGTAGGCCGACCGCAGCGGGATGCGCTCGCGACTCACCTCCGCCTCCACCGTCACCAAACGATACTCGGGGGAAACCTGGTTGGGGGGGTGGGGTCGGGCGGCAGGGGAAGGGAAAGGGGAGGTTCCTCTTTAGACCCATGGGTCTCCTCCCTGAGTGCGCCGCCCACACGGTTCTCTTTGCAACCAGGTGGTGGTGTAACGCATGGTGGGGCCTACCGGTATCTGTCGAACGGTTAGTAAGTTGCTCCCTCATTGCCCCCTCCCGGGTCCCCCTCCCCTGCATGCAGGCAGCTAGGCACCCATCTGCGGGCAGCTGACCCCAGTCCCTCCTCCCTTTCTTCCCGTTTACCCCTTACAAGCAGGCAGGCAGGCAGCCCCACCCACCATTCCCCCATTGTCTTGCCCAATCATGGTTTCCTAAGGTTTGGTCTACCGGTATTTTGACCTCCACCCCCCCCCCCCCTTCCCTCTATTGTTACCCCCCCACCTGCTGGCTGCTGACGAAGCTGCCAATGTTCCAGTCCGGCTGGTCCTCGGCACAGAACTTGGGTTCGTACCACTTGTGGCGGTCCTTCACCTGCAACAGGTCCTGAGGAGGGGAGGAGAGAGGGAGGAGGGAGGAGGACGGGAGGCACGAGGGAGGGAGGGTTGAGGAGCGGGTGTGTATGGAGGGTTAAGGTAATGGGCTGGCGCGGTGGTTGGCATGCGGGGCGATGTGGGTCGAAGGAGGGATGCCGGAGGTCGAAGGCTGGACAGGGCTGGGCGGAGGTGGAGGGAGAGAAGCGTGGTGGGACATAGAGTGGGGGTTGAGCTTTTGGTATAAGTATGAGCGGGGAAGGGAAGGGAGGATGGGTGGGTGGATGGAGGCTTGGTATTTGCGTGCGCACGTGGGCAGAAGGGAGGTTGCTTGCATAGTAAGGTCAGGGTGTTTAAACCTGCGTTGATGCTAATAGGAGGTGATCAACGGGTGAGATTAAAGAAAACTCTACAAGAGTCAGCCAGGGAACGCAGCACTTGCCTCTTCCTCAATATCTACCGAAGCTCGAACTGCTACAACGCTGGCCCGTCCAGATTTTCGATAGGATCTGCAAGAAAGAGTCGAAGAATTCATATAGGCTTGTGCCCTTTAAGTGGCCCGTTGTTATGCGGCTACGCGGCTGTCGACAAAATTAGCGTGCTCGACTGCCATACGGCCGTGCGTGCTGACCTGCTCCAGCTGCATCTTGGACGCCGTCCTTGTAACGTTCCACAGATACATTGTTGCTGCAGGAAAAGGCGTCAATTTCTCTGTCGGCCACCGACCATGGCAACGACAACTCGCGGAGAACTCGGTGCTGCACCTCACCTGTCCTGGCCGACTAAGCCTCTGCTTTGCATGTTGCCCTAGCATCTTTTCAGCGAAAGTTCTGGGTTCTAAGAATGCTTTAACGTCGCGCGTCGAGGCTGTTTGGGTGTCGGGAAGGAAATTCACCAGCACCGCAAGATCGTAAAAATGTACATTAGTTGGAGATCCCCCTTGTTAGCATGTAAGTCTGTTTACTAGCTACACGTTTTCACTGATATGGCGATGCTGTTAAGGAAAAAGTGCAATTACCTTTCGGTTGCCCGAATCGTGGTTTCTTTTTCTTCGAAATCCCTGCTCAACTGCAAATACATACTGCATACGATTGCTTAGAGCTATGCCAATCCATAGCCTTCTATAGCATCTTCTTTTCTGCTAAGTAGAAGAACCATGGATCCTAGCGGATTGCACCCGGAGCTGACGCCTCCGTGTTGGGCACATGTATTCAGGTATATAGACCGCAAAGCACCTAGATCAGGCATATATGGTCCGCCTGATGCAAAGCTGACGGCTTTTTCTAGCAGTTGTCCGCTATGGTTAGCCAGCTGGACCTCATTCCCCGCGATCAACCTCATTTTGTGTACATTGATGTTTGCAGCATGCTGCCTTCTAGCGCGGCAGCCCGGGTCGCGTGCGTGCAAAAGCTTTGGAAGGACCTTGTCAATAACGATGAGCACCTTTGGAAGCGCGTTATGGCTGAGGAATTGGGCTTGTCATCCAAGCGGGGTGCGGACGGCGCCGAGAAGCTTACGTTCAGGTTAGCGGTCTGACTCATCAAGGCTGACTCACAGCATGCCCCAAAACACAACTTAGCCACTTTGGCCATTTTTTCCTTCCTCCGCCTCTCTCTCTCCAACTTGTTCACCAGCCGACTTGTTTCCCTCCTGCAATTGCATTTATTTGCCCTCGGCACGCCGGAGATTGCCACCCTAACTCTCCTCCTTCTTTCTCCTCATGCCGTACCCAGGGCCGCGTACGTCAGCTGGCGTCAGTCGTACGGTCCCGAGTACTGGCCCTTCCTGCCTCGCGCCATTCGAGCCTGGCAGCAGATCAAGGTGTGGGGGTACGGATAGTAGGTGGGGAAAGGGTGCGACGTGGGGAGGTGGGTGGTGTACCGCATCGGGGGCTTGGGAAGCGTGGGCTTGGGGACCTGGGATGTCCCTGCAGACGAGAGCTGCCCATGCCAATGTGTATGTCCCCCTCCCCCACCCACTTCCACCACCCACCTCCACCACCCCACCCGCTACCACCCGCCCACCCGCTCCACCCCACCAGGACTGGCTGGCGGTGCACTACCCAGCCATCCTGCAAACCATCAAGGTGGGGGGGCACTGAGGGGGCGAGGGGCGGGGGGTAAAGGAGTCCGGGTAGGCAAACCAATCCACCTCTTCCTCCGCCCCTTTCCTCGCCCTTCCCTCCACCTCTCCTTCCCCCCCTCTCCCCCATCACCAGCCCGGTCTGAGCGAGGCCGAGGTGGGCGCTGCGGAGGCGGAGCTGGGCTTCCGCCTGCCGCCCGCACTCAAGGTGATATACAGGTGCGGGGGGGGCTGGGTAGGGAGAGGGGCGAGGGGAGGGAGGCAGGGTAAGGAGGAAGGCACGAACCGAGATGAGGAGAGGGAGGGGTTAGGGTATGTTACGAAGACTGGCCGCGAGTAGGAACATACTGGACTGTCGGAGGGTGATGACCCCACTGCAGTAAGGCACGGGGGACGAGGAGGTGCGTGCAGTGCACAAATAGGCCTTTAAGCTAGCGAAATGATGCCTTGATGTTTTGCTTTGCTTTCTTCCTCTCCCTACCCTCCCTTTTCCCTTTCCCTTTCCCCCCCCCACCCCCCATGCATGCATGCGCCCACCCCCCAGGCTGCATGACGGCCAGGACCTGCTGCTGGATGCCGCCCTGGAGCGCCACTGCCGCGCCGTCGCAGCAGCGCAGCAGGCAGCTAAGGAGGCAGCAGCCGCAGCAGCTGAGGCAGCAGCGGCGGGGGGAGCCCCCCGCCCCCCGGTGTTGCTGCCGCCCCCCCAGCTGCCGCAGCCCCCGGTGATCGAGAGCGCTGGCGAGCTGGCCAGCATCTTCCACGGACTGTTCGGGGGGTACAGCGTGTATGCACACACGGTGGTGGGTCGCATGATGCCGCTGGGGAGGGCGGTGATGTGGAGCCGGGAGATGGAGCTGGTAAGAAGGGGGGGAGTACCGTTAATAGGGATACATATTCCACATTGGGCTGGGAGGGGATGGGGAGGTGGAGGAAACGGACAGCTCGTGTGTAAAAAGCCGGGAGAGGGGGGATGGAGGTGGTGAGAGAAGGAGATGGGGTAAGCTAGTGGGAAGGAAGGCGGGCAGCAATGCGAAATGGGGATGCGAGGAGGGAATGGAAAGGGGGAAAGGCCCAAGGGAAGGAGCTAGGAAGGGTTGCGAAGAGAAGGTTGGGAGCGAGATCTGAAGACAGTGGCAGGCGCATGGCAGCCCCCCTATGCTCCTCAATCCGTTTCTCCTCACCCTCTCTCCTCCGCTTTCCTCTTTCCTCCTCTCCCCTCCCCCCAGTCCAAGCTGGGTCCCCGCGTGTTGGCCTTCGCCTGCTCCTACCGCGTGCGGGACAAGCTCATCGTGGCTGACCTGGGGCCGGAGGAGGAGCAGCAGCAGGGGCAGGGAGGGCAGCAGCAGGGAGCGGGGAGCAGTGCCGGTGCTGCCGCCCCCTCAGCAGCAGCAGCAGGGGCAGCAGGCGGGGGTGTGCGCGGCGGTGGGCGCATGGCGGTGCTGCGGCGGGGCATGCGGCGACCCGTGCTGCAGCCCGCGGGGCCCACCGAGTCCTCTCCGGGTGAGGGGGGAGGGGGAATGGGGTGGGAAGGCGGGTACAGATGGGGGACGGGGTGGTGTTGTGAAGTGGATGGGCTCGAGGCGGGTGGTGCTTTGGAGGCTTTAGGCGAAGAGAAGTGGGGTCATGCAATAAAGTACTCGGACATCTCTTGTCAGCCGCGCCTTCATTCCCGCCACATCTTGAAACCCGTATCCCTCCACCTTCACCTTCCCCCTCCCCCCCCAGGCGCCCGTGACGGCCCGCTGCGCTGGTTCGAGGAGTACGGCAGGAGGCTGGCGGAGGGGTACTACGAGGTGGGGATGGGAGGGGGGGTTTGAGGTGAGGGAGAGCTGCAGGGGAGGAGGTGCTGAAGTAGGTGAGCGACGGATTGTGGGAGGGCTTAAACACATGTGGTTACAGTGGCTGGGTAGGTATGCGGTAGCACTACCGGTGCATACCCAGGTAACACCAAGGCACCTTTCCCGTCCCTCCCTCGTCGTCCTTCCTCATCCCTTCCCTCCTACACCCCCTTCCCTCCATCCCCCCTTCCCCCCCAGGTGGCCTGCCTGGACGAGGACTACGAGGGCAGTCGCGCCATCTGCCTCTTCCCGCTGCAGCCGCCGCTGCTGGCGGAGGCGATCACGCGAGGAGTGAGGGTGAGGCGGCATGCGGGGGCTGCTGCTGATGCGTGTGTGTGAGGGGTTGCGAGGAAGAGAATACCTGCGTCAAGATCCCACCTTGGCTGCTGCTGTGTTGTGGGGTACCTGTTCGCGCCCTAAGGGAGGACGCCTGGGAGCGAGGTCACCTTTTTGAAGTCGTCTTGGAACCTCCATAACCCATGTACTCACAACACATGCAACCCCCCACAACCCCCTCAACCGCCGCACCCCCCCCCCTCGCCTCCAGGTTCGCGCCAGTGTGGTCTACGCCCCCGAGCAGAGCCCTCCCGACAAACACCTCTTCGCCTACTGCATCCGCATGTCGCTGCTGGACGCGCAGCAGGCACGGCAGGCGGCACTGCAGCAGCAGCAGCAGGGGGGCGGAGCAGCGGCGGCGGTGACCCACGGGTCATCCGTGGTGTCCAGGTGTCAGCTGCTGACGCGGCACTGGTTCATCAAGGACTCACGGGACCGTGTGGAGACGGAGGTGGGATGAGACGGGAGGTGTGGGGGTGGGGGCGTTGGGACGGTTGGGAGTAAGTACCGGTGAAGAGGTGGAGGAGGATGTACGGGAGGCAGAGCGGGTGTAAAACAGGATGGTATAAGGACGGGACGTCACTTGCATCGTGCACGGTGCATCTCGTCACCCCTTCCCTTTACTACACTGGTTTGGGCTTCATCAAAGCGAACCGGAGCCGGCCTTAACACAAGTGATCCGTTACCACCTCATCATCTCGTCCGTTTCCTTATCCCCTCCCACCGCCCCATGTTTGACCCCCTCCTCCCCTCCTCCCCCCCACCCCACCCCTCCTCAGGTCCACGGCGAGGGTGTCATCGGCAAGTACCCCGTGCTGGAGCCGGGAGCGGGGGCGGGTGCGGCGGCGGAGGAGTTCACCTACTGCAGCTGCACGCACCAGGGAGCGACCCGTGGGTCAATGGAGGGCTCCTTCGACTTCATGGAGGGATCCGCGCCCGGGGGCGATGCGGCGCCCGCCATTGCCGCCGCGCTCGTGTCTGGCAACCCGGTACCTGCCGGGGTGCGGACGTTTAACGTGGCATGTCCCACCTTCAGGCTGGATGTGCCGGAGTACATCTTTTGAAAGATGCCGTACCGTAGTGGCTGTTGTGGCGAGTAGGGTGTCAGAGGACGTGTGTAAGAGGAGGGGCTCTGTCATGCAGGTGTAGGTAATGAGGATTGGGTTTGCTGGTGCGGCTGTTTGGATGTGGTCGTGGTTGCGGTTGGGCAGGCACGGTACGACGCGGGAGGGTTGTTATGACCTCATCCGTCACATCTCACGTGTACAGATTGATGAGGGAGTTGCTTGGTGTGCGGATACCGCTACTCCCTGGCTGGCCGGTAGTGTTCTTGTCCTGACTGCGCGCATGGGGCCGTCCAGTTGTGGGCGATGACGATGTTCCTGCTGTTGGTGTGGCAGCTGCTGATGTCAGCCTGCTGCTGCTGCTGCTGTTGTTGTGTTTCTCCAATGTTGGTGGTGCCCGGTGGACGGGCCGTTGATTGGGCCTCATGGTTAGTTGTTCCTGTGTTGCGGGGGGGGTGCGGAAGAAAGCATGCATGCGGCAAGGAGTGCGCAGAGAGGGAAGGGAGGGGTTGCGGATTCCTCCATGGTTTGCTCGAGAGAAAGGCATTTTAACATGATTGAACGTATGTACGATGTATGGGAGCGAAGATGGTGGTTAGTACTGCACGTCTTGCGTGCAAGAGCCTATCGTCATGCAGGGACGGTGGATGGCGGACGGCGGAGCCGTGGAGCGAGGTTTCAGTTCAGGATAAAAATATACAACATTAAACGAATAACCGGTATAATAAGCGAACTTCAACGGATGGTGGCGCACGGGTTTATGCATAGGTCTGCGAGCAACCCCTGTGGCTTGAAGGAAAATCAGGGCAGCGGTTTTCGGGCGGCCTTTGTGTTGCTGCTGCTGGCCGGGTAGATAGGGCGAGCTGAGGCCCACCGCCGTCCGGTGGGTCAGGAGTTGCTTGGTTGCGTGAGCTGTCAGGGACGGGCAGCCGCATGTAGATTGATAGGTAGCGGAAGAGGCGGTGTTTTGTGCTACGAATGCGGTTCGCAGTTCTACAAATGCGGTTCGCAGTAGTAGCATGGCAGCCGTGGTTAATTAGCAGCAGGATGGTGCGAGGCGTGTTGTGGAAGTGTCCCGAACAGACTCCTAACAACCGGTGATGTCACCTTTTGGGGCCTCCGTTGGCAGTACACTATTACCGGTTAAAGGAACTGTGGAGCGTCAGAATGGAGGTTGTGCATGTTGGAATAGAGCATAAGGCTTCCGTAGTTACTTTGTTCAAGCTTTGTTTCCAGAAGGGGGATAGTTGGAGATAGGGCTCGTGTTTCAATTGAAGAATGCTGCTGGCATATTGTTACGTGTGGGGAGCTAGTGGTTAGTAGTTCCCATGTGGGTAGGTAGCTCCCACAGAACCAGAGTACCGGTTTGTTGGACGCCGCCCTTTCATGCTGCTCTTGTTCCGTTCAGCAGTAGTCGCGCGGCTGTTTGTTGGGCGGTTGTACGATAGTTAGTGCAGTACAATCGGCTCTTACTTGGTCGTGGATGGTGCCATGCATGTTAGTGCGTAGTGCTAGTAGAACCATACATGTATCGGGCGCGGCGAGATGGCAGCCGCAATTTCGTTGGTGTGATGTAGTGAAATGAATAGTGTTAATCTTCTCACCGAGTGGCGGATATGCATTTTTATCCATGTCCAGTTGTTTGCATGGTTGCGGATGTACCGGTACGAATGCCTGTATGTTGTCGTTAAGGGTTCCCGGCTAATGATTGTTGGAGGTGAGTAACCGAAGTAACCCATGCATTGTCAAGCAACAAATTGCAGGGATTGTGCACACCTGCCTAGGAAGGGGGCAGGCAACCGTTTATAGACCAAGCACTAACAGACACATCCATGCGTCTCAAGCAAATACAAGTATCCTCACCAGGCTATAACGCACGGTACGGCAGATGTAGATAGCCGGCATTGCCTAACTAAGCATATAGTCCATCCAAGCCTGGCAGCGCTCAGATATGCCGACATATGTTCCTGGTAATAAATAAACTGATGACAGTGATGAGTTGATGTCATCATCATCCCTGCTAACGTAACTACGATACACTTATTACCAAGAACATGGGCGGTGCACCTTTTAGACGCAAGAGGGATTGCACCCTTACTACGAAGCTGGAGGGTGAAACTTCGCTCAAAAGTCCCAAACATTGAGGTCTCTGAGTCTACACACCTACTAGAGAGGACAAGAACGAGGACGTGTGCCCTGCCTCTCAAATCGAACCCCCACTTTGACCACCGGACAGTAGGACACCCCCTAACCCCACTAGAAAGCTGGAGGCACATAACAGCATCAACAAGCAACCAGAACAAGCAAATGTAAACCCTATACCTTATGTCCCAAGTCCTGCCAGATAGGGCCACAACCTTCCCCATAAAAACGCCCCTCAAAAAGCTGTGCCCTAGGAAAGAACAAAGCAAGGTAGGGCCCCTAAAGTGAACCGATTTCGGGACCACAAGCAACCCTATGTTCCCACCCGTACACGCAATAAACATACTGTCTGCAGGTTTAAACCCCGCCGAACGGCACCAACCTCAATTGCCAGTTAGGGGTGTCACAGAACGGTTCTTGATAACCTTGAAGCAGGAGGTGCGTGGCAATGCATGCACGTACATGTAGGTATCTTAGCAAAACATGCAAGTCAGCGATATAAGGCACTTCTTCACATCGTCAACACACCGTCTCCCTCTACAATTGGCGCGACTCTCTGGCTCTGGATCAGTCCTCGACCCTGCCCTCTGCCACGCTGCAAGTCGAAATCCTTTCCTTTTTCTTTTTTTTACAACGGTAATCGCTAACCTTACGTTCGCTGCGGAACTACCGCTACCAACTCTCTGCAGGTTCATACAGACACGTACAAGGGGACAGACATAGGACATGAACGCGGTACAACAGGACACAAACGCCTTGGTCCGGACCTCTTTGTCCACCGAATACTAAGACTACGCCCCAGGAAGGGGCGAGCAAACTCATGCATTATGTGCCTCTGATCCAACGCGGCTAAAACCGTGCCGCCTTTCCACCCCTACGTTACAACCCATGCAGCCCCTAGTATCAAACGCCAACGTTGGCACGCACCTTGGCGCTCCCTGCTTCACCCAACACCATGGCCCCGCCCACACGCCTCCTTGTGCCCCGCCCGCCAGTGCGCCACCTGACACTCCCGGCAGCAGTACCCCACAGCCCCGCACCGCCCGCACGCCTTCAGCTTCACCTCCGCCTCGCTGTCCCCCGCCAGGTTGGTGCACCCCGGGTTGCCGCAGCCCCGCACCAACCCCCGCACCCGCAGCTCCGCCGGCGACACCAGCAGGGCCGCCGCACCCCTAACCTCCAGTGACATCGTGGCTCTACCAGCCGCATGCAGCCTCTGCATGCTGGGGCTCTCGTGATCGACCACATCAACGTCACAATCGTCGCCCCCGTTCCATGCGTGCTTGGCACGCGTCTCAGCAGTCCAGCTGTCCAGCTGCGCAGCCAGGGCCTCCGCGGCCGCCCTCTCTGCCGCCAGCTCCCGCTGCATGCGCCTGCTACCACTCCCCGTCGGCCGCAGCCCACACACCGTCTCATAGTGCCACCCCGAGCGGTGCCGGCCCGCGGCTGCTGTCGCCACCGCCGCTTCCTGCACCTGCCGCGTGAACCTTGACGCTGCATTGCAGCAGCTCGCGATGAGCCAGCCCCGCTCGCGCGGCCCCCTCGCGCCCAGCTGCAGCGCGGCTCCCAGCAGCGCCACCACCTCCACATCCCCCAGCATCAGCTGAAACCAGCCGCCGCAGCCGTAGGCATCAGGGTCGCTGCTGCTGCTGGCGGCGACGGCCTTCACGCCCTGCGAGGTGGAAGCAGAGGCTACCCCGCCGCTACCTGCTGCTGCGTCAATACCGCTCCGACCAGCGCCTGCCGCTGTAGCACCGCTGCTGCTGCTCGCACCACCGCCAGTAGTGCCTCCTGTGCCGCCACCATCCTCCTCCTCCTTATCAACATGATCGAAGCTGCTGGCGCGTTTGTGCATCATCGGTAGCAACCACCAAGACAAGCAGCCAGCCACGTACTGAGTCATCGTCTCCAGCCCCCCAGCAGCAGCGCTCCCAGCGGCTGCTGAGGCGGAGGATACCCCGGCAGCAACCGCGACCTCCCGAGCCGCTTGCCGCACCAGTCGTGACAGCGGCGGCAGCCACTCGCACAGCGCGATTGACGCCATCACACCCATCTGCCGGAAAGGAGCAGACGCAGCAGCGGCGGCGAGCAGTGCATCCTCCCCCTGTCTAGCCGCACGCCGCAACGCGTCCGCTGCAAACTCCAGGAAGCCCCAGGCTGCATGCGCCACCCGGCGCTGGACGGATGCTAGCGCACTTGGAGCTTCAGTTCCGGCTTCAGTAGTGACGACCCCCAGCTCCGTCCCACGCAGCAGCTTCCCAATCGTGACCGCCAGTGCCGCCGCCTGCCGCTCCTGGCCGTACACCAGGAGGGAGACCAGGCAGCCCTGGGTCCTTGCGTCCAGCAGCCCGCACAACAGCGCGGCCTCCGGGCTGCTGCTGCCGCTGCTGCTGGAGGTGGGTTCTTCACCGGCTCGCCGCAGCAGGCGCTCCAGGCAGGGCAGGAAGCCGCCCGCCAGCGCTGCTGCCACCTCGGGAGATGGGCCTGGTGGCAAGGAAACGCGAGAGCATGTAACCATTTAGGATTAAATAGATAGGCGAAATAGGCGTAGGGCAGAGGCATAAGATGCAGGCATACAGGGGCGTTGCTTGACGGCGTCTGGGAGCGCCCACAAGAGCAACCCAACAAGGGCCGCCTCATAACAGCCGCTACCGCCACCGCCCCCATCTTTCCTTCCATCATTCACGCCTCAAGCACCCATGCCGCTCTCAAACACCCCCCCTCTCATCCCTGAGCTCACCTTCCGCCAGGCTACAGGGCAGCCGGGCCCCCCGGGCAAGCCGCTCCGACATCTCGGCGGCAAGCTGCTCGGACACGCCTCTCCGCGCTCCTCGTACCGCATGCCGTACGACGGATTCCGCCAGCCGCCACCACTGCACCACCTCCTCCACTGATTGTGGTGCGGAGTCGGGCTGCAGGGGCCGCAGGTGATGGGATGCAACACGCAGCGCCTCCGTCGCCACCTCCGGCACGTCCTGTAATGGTAACACTGCCCAAGGGTCGGAAGGGGCTGCGGACGGAAAAGCCGCCTCTGCTGCTGCTGCTGCTGCTCCTGCACCACCCCCGCTAACCTCAGCACGGAACCTGCGGGCGCTGCCGCGTGCATGCCTTCCATCCAGAGGGCACGCCACGCCCGCCCAGACCTGCCCAGACGCTACCGCAAAGCTGCCAATGCGGTGAGCAACCTCCAGCACCGTACGCCGGCCGGGGGGCGGGCGCCAGCTCTGCGGATGCAGCAACCGCAGCATGTTGATAAACGTCCCGTCATCCACAATTCGGAGGCACCGACCCGACGCTTCCGGTGCGGATGAGTGCGGTGTGATCACCGGAACGCCGCGCAGCAGCTCCAGCGGCAAACCGTACGACGAGCCTCCATCCACCTTACACAGCACTGCCAGGCCGATGACGAGGGCTGCGTGCCGCAGACAACAGCCGGATAACACCTCGTGGAGCTGCGCTACGGGAGTAGCGCCGACGGGATCCAGCGATTCCGTGACGCGAAGCCAGAGCAGGTTGAGAAGGATTTTCTTGAGGTGCACCGAGGCTCCGGGAAGGTCGTTTAACTCGGGTGCAATCTCGATCAACAGCAGCAGCAACCGGGCTGCATGCTCCAGGACGCAGCTGTCCTGCAAGGCGGCCACGAGCTCGGTCACGTAGTGCGAATACGCAACAATGGCTGCTTCATCCTGCGGGGGCGACAGCTGCTGCTGGTGCTGGCGGTGCGTTGTTGGTCGTACGGTACCGGTGAGTGGCAACGCGGCAAGTGTCGTGAGCGCGCATGTGAACCTGCAGGCATTCTCCACAACAAGGGCGGCGCGCCACCGGATTATTAGCAGTGCATGTTGCTGCTGCAGGGAAGGGTTGGGTGGGGCTGGGGCGGCCAGGAGGAGGGCTGTGGCAGCGGCTAGCTGACGGCTGAGCGCTTGCAGTGTTTGCATGCGCAGCAGGCTGCGCGCAAAGTCTATTGCGGGTATTGGGACATTGCGCGGGCAGCTAACCGAGGATGCTTGGTCCAGAAGTCCTCCAGCTAGCGCTCGGGCTCGGACAAAGCATAGCGCACGCGACAGCTGGGCCTGGGCATCGGGCTGGTACTCCTCAGGCGGAAGCCGTGCTCCAACTGCGATTAGTCGCAACAGTGACACCCTCACGGGCCCATGACTTAGCACCGCCGATACATCTACTGCCGCGCCAGTCTCCGTGGAATCGGCCGAAGTGGCCGAAGCGCGAAGCGCTTCTAGGTGGCCGAATACAGTGCCAATATCCTGCGACAAGCTCTCCGCTACCCTCCGTGCGGTAGGAGATAAACGACCTCCATAGGAAAGAAAGCGCTCCGCTTGATCAGGAAGTCGCCGCAGGCACGTGTTAACGTAGGCCGGGAAGCTAGTGATCAAAGTACTATTATTACCGCTATTGTCGGCTTGCACGCGGCTGCTCCGGGCTGAGGATCTTCGCCTAGCCATACTTGCGAGTCAAAAGCTACAAAATGGCGCCAACACGGAGCTGACAACGGTTATCTTGCTATCTTGCTGCATGTATAAGTGTTTGGATACCCTGTCCTGTCTAACAGAGGAGCAAACTTTGGGCGTGACCTAGGGCTAACGACGGTCAAGACAAACACTCAAACAGGAACGTACAGGGCCTAGCTTCAAAGCGTAGAAGGTCCATCCGCGTTCACCCATTTCCTTTGCATCAGCCGGGCGTGCAGGTGACCCTTCAAGTAGCTCAATGGGACAATGGCAGCACTGTACGACAGCGCGCTGCTGCTGCAGTTGGCCGTTTGCGGACTTTGCGAGTGTGTATCCCTAATAACGACACTGTATTAAATCCTTTCAAAAGGGCGTTACTTTGTGAGTGCACTAAGTCGCCTCTCGCATGATGGGTAGAGCCTCGATGGGTATTTGTCTAATGCGCAGGAATAGCGTACTTGCTATGGTCCAGCGGCAACAGGTTGCCAAACAAGCGTCTGATACCATACATTAAACTAAAGCCCAGCCTGGCCCAACCCGACACATCCGCCCAAGCGTGCCACTCAGACCTGCGCTAATCACACCCACAGCAAAACGGTGTTGAATCCATTACCCCCATTCGCCTGCCCGTGAAACCGTTGTATCCCATCTGGCGCACACAGTACCATTACTATCATGCAGTAAGGGTAAAAGAGCGACTTGATCCGACCCAACACCCGCAAGCAAATGACAGCAGACTATGTGGTTTCACTGCCTACTACCTGAGCCAGGGGGAACCTGAATGTGCAAGCCAAACAGCAAGAGGCTATGGCAGGCTGCGGCAAACCGAGTGACCAAGTGACGATGGAAACCCGCTTGCGAGAACGACCAGCACGCCCGCAGCAGCAAACGCAACGTGCCTGCCCTTAGCTTTATAGGTGCCCCATATTCTTTCATTGTACTGCATTCTCGCCATCTTACCCAAGCCATTTGAGTCCAGAACCCACGCAAAGCTGCATGTGCACAGGTGTGTCTAGAAGCGGAAGAAGTCTAGTAGAAAGCACCTAGCGGACAGCCTGCAAGCAGCCCACGATGCGCCCCCGCGATGCACGCCCACCATCGTAACCTCCTGCTGCAGTGTAACACTGAACACCCCCGGTTGCGGATGCATGCACCTTTCCCACATCCCACCTGTTTCCAATCCCGCCCTGGCGCGCATCCTGAAGAGCAATTCTACGCCCTATTCCTGCCACTGAGAAAGCTGGCACCCCATGTCCCATGTAGGCACCCTGTCATCCTGCGCACCCCCCTACCCAGCCATACTTGTTTTTGTGGCACCCTGCCGCTCCTATCCCCATTGTCTTGCCCCAACCTGTGGCTTCCTATGGTTCGGTATGGTCTTTGACCACCCAGCCTTGCACCCCCCTTAGCCCCCACCCCTGCACCCCAAAGGCGGCGCCACTGGCCCCTCCCATCGTCCAGCCGACCCGTCAGCATGTTCCCGCAAGGCCGCAACACATGTTCCCGCAACACTGCCACCACCACCATGCGGTAGGTTGCCTTCCTCCTCTTCACCGCCACGTGCACGCAAACACCCCCCAGGCCCATACACCGCCACTCGGGTGCCGTCCGCCGTGGCGTTTTGGTGGGGGCATCACCTTACGACATCCCAATACGTTCCTACCCGCGGCCAGTTTTCTTAACACCACCAGTACCGGCACCTGCCCTCACAGCACCTTGCCAGCACTCACCCGCAAAGACCCCCAAAGCCCCATGGCTCCCCTCAACCCTCACACCGCTGCCTACATGCCTCCTTGTGCCCCGCCTTCCAATGCGCTGCCTGGCAATCCCGGCAGCAGTACCCCACCGTCCCGCACCGCCCGCACTTCATCAGCTTCACCTCCGCCTCGCTGTCCCCCGCCAGGCTGGTGCACCCCGGGTTGCCGCAGCCCCGCACCAGCCCCCGCAACCGCAGCTCCGCCGGCGACACCAGGGCCGTCCCCACGCCCCCAAACCATTCCTGCATCGACAATCTTAGCACCGCGCGCATCCATGCCAAAACATCATCGTCCTCCTCCTCCATTGGCCCCTGGCCCCTGCTGCTGCTGGCGGCGGTGGAAGGGCCACCGGCGCCCTTCGCTTCAGCACGCCAGCGCTCCAGCTGCTCTGCTATGGCCTCTGCAACCGGGGCCATCCCCACGGAGTCGTCGCTCGCGCCCTCTGCATCCGCCTCCTCATCGGCCTCCTGCAGCTCCGGTACCAGTGCAAGCAGCCGCTCCGACCGCCATCCCCCACCGGGTCCCCCCGCCACCGCCGCCTGCCGTACCTGCTCTGGAAAGAGCGTGATTCCGCAACACAAGCACATCACCAGGTGCGGCAGGTTGCGGATCGACTCCGGCATCAGCAGGCAGGCTCCCAGCAGCCGTACGACGTCCAGCTCCTCCAGCAGCAGCCGCCGCCAGCCGCCGTCACCGCCTTCCTTGGTGGGGGCGGAGGTGCCCGAACCACCCAGCTGGGAGCGGCTGCGGCTGCCCGGCAAGGCCCCCTCGGTCATGCCTGCTTCCCACATGCAGCGGAATGAAAGCACGTGTGTCCACTCCAGGAGCTTTCCAAGCACGTCGGCAACCCACCGATTGGAGGCACGGAAGTCCGGGCGCCGTGACGCGTTCTGCACCAGTCGCGACAGCGGCTGCAGCCACTCACACTGCGCGATCGACGCCATGAGAAGCAGCTGCCGGAGGGGTGCGGGGGCCCCGGTGGCACCCGCAGCGCCCAAAAAGGGCGTCTCCGCGCCACCAAAGGCGCGAACCGCGATACACAGGAAGCGGCATGCCGCAAAGCTGGCCGTGTGATGGGTGACTGTGACGTCCCATGGGTCCATCTGCCGCATCAGTTTCCCTATGGTAACCACCAGTGCGGCCGCCTGCCGTTCCTCGCCGTACACCAGCAGCGCTGGAAGCCACAGCCGTACCTCGCGGTTGGCCAGCAGGCGATGAGTCAGCACTGCTTCCGGGCTACCGACGGGTTTCTTCCCTGCCCGCCTCAGCAGGCGCTCCAGGCAGGGCAGGAAGCCGCCCGCCAGGGCCGCTGCCACACTGGGCGGCGGTGCGGCCGGAAGGATCAGCGGTTCTGTGGCATGCAGGGAGGGGGGGGGCAAAGACCATACCGAACCATAGGAAGCCACAGGTTGGGGCAAGACAATGGGGATGGGAGCGGCAGGGTGCCACAAAACGGGGGGGGGGGGGCAGCGGAACACGGTCCTTACCGCATAAAAGCGAGCGCAAAGGCGGTGTTGGCTTCGTTATGCAGTTAACTTAGCCTCAAACAACCAGCAAAACACCCACGCTCCCTACCTTCCACCACGAACTCCAGGGAGGCCAGCGAGAATGCGTCCACCACCTGGGTCGCGAACCGATTCAACTCGGCCTCCCTCGCCAAGTGCGCCGCATGCCGAACAAACCCCCCCACCAGCCGCCACCATTCCGACCCCTCCTCTTGCCGCCACTGCGCAGCCTCCTGAGCGCCGCCAGCCTGCGGGGAACCCAACAAGCGTCGGGAGCCCTGCAGCGTCAGCAGGATAGCCTCCACCACGGAAATCGATTCCAGAATGGCGGCAAAACTCATGCCAGCAGCAGGTGCCTCCGCTGCACTGCCGCCCCCGCTAGAAGCGGACGATGCTGCGGCTGCTGCTGCTCCCGGTGTTGCCTTCGCCTCGTCAGCCCAGATCTGCCCCGACGCCACCGCCAGGCGAGATATGCGCTTCATGAGGGCCAGGGATGCGCGCCGGCCCGGCGGCGGGGGGGCCCGAAAGGCCGAACCAAGGGCGTGAAGTGCGGCGATAAGGGCCTTCCCCTGCAGTACCCTGCAGGGCCGTGCTGCATGGCACACGGTGCGCCCAGTGAAGCTGACAGGGACGCGAGCCAGCAGCTCCGATGGCAAGCTGTACGACGGACCCCCGTCTGCCGTACACAGCGCCGCCAGGCCGTGTACGACAGCCGCGTGCTGCGCACAGCGACCCGACAGCACTTCTCTCAGCATGGCGGCCGTGGCCTCTGCCGCAGCTATGCGTACAGTAGACAGGTCCGCGACGGCCTCCGCAAGCATATTGATGCTGATAAAGGCATCTGTGAAAGCCTCGCCGACGTCTGTCGGGTTGCGTGCATGTCGCAGCAGCGCCAGGGTCCCCGCTTCCTCCGCCACCAGCAGCTGCTTGGCCGCCTGCTCCAGAACGCCGCTGTCTCGCAGGGCGGCTGCCAGCTCGAAGCAGTAGAACTGAGCTATGTCCAGGGCGCGCCAGCGGTCCTCTGAAATAGAGGATGCTCCGTTCGCAACGAATTGACCAATGGCAAACGATGCCATTGCGAACACCATGTGACAGGCCTCGAAAGCAGCATCCGTGGAGATGACCTGCAGTTCCCGGGCTCGCCGCTCAGGGGGCACCTGCAGCCCATTTGGCGCCCCCTGGTTGGCTTGGGCGGCTGGAGGGTGCGCCGCAACCGTAGCTATCTCGCGGCAGAGCGCTTGCAGTGTCTGCATGCGCAGCAGCTTGAGTGCGAAGTCGGCGACTTGTGGCGGAGCAGGGTGTGTCGCGTGCAGCAGAACCGAATCAACGGCTCCTACAACGAGCGGAAAAGAGATGACCAAGGCCAGGCGCTTCCTGGCAGGGTCGGACTGCAGCTGGTCCGGTGCTAGCCGCAACCTGGCTGCCAGCAACCGCAGCAGCGCGCTGCGAACCGCGGCGTCGGCCAGCACCGCTGCTGCAACGGCTGCACGGGTGTATGGAGCCGGAGGTGACTGGATGAACTTCGAAACTTCAAAGAGGTTATCCATTATGGATTTTTTCCTCCCCTCCTGCCGCAACCCGTTAACAGTGTGGCCTGACAGCATGCGCTCCGCGTCGGCCGGCAGCCGCCGCATGCGAGACCTGAGGGAGCTCGGAAGGCTACCTGCGGCTGAGGTGCCGCTGGTGTTGCTGCCTCCGCTGTCCTCATAGTTCATACCTCGCGCCGAAGACCGTTGCTTTGACATAACGAGACGTAGCACGCCGAAGAGTCATATACGGGTGCGTGCAGCACCGTGCGGATAGGATTGACACACGAGAGGTCAAGAAGGTCCCTAAAGGTCCTTAAACATGCTGAGAGGTGACGTCCGCTACACCTTTGGCCTTGCTAGCACATGTGCTTAGGAAAGTATAGTGAGGTAGTAGACGGTACCGCCGTGACGCGCGTTCCAAAAATGCCAAGTTCCAGATGCCAACCGCAAAGCTCTATTAAATAAGTAAAACCGAGGAGCAATATCAGTGCACAAACGTTTCACATACTGCGAGAAGAATGAAGGGCAGTGATTTGCAGGAGGCAAGCCTGGGCTGATGCTCCGAAGCCAGTTTTGAATGCTTACCCCGGCCATTCCTCCAGATGCCTGTATGATAGCATATCGCACTTCTCCTTAGGACTGGCATGAACAGTGTTCAGGACCTAACTGGTTTCCTTCATAGACGATATGCGCCGACATGGCCACGAACAATGAATGGCGTTGCTGGATTCCCGCAAGCCTAACCGGGGCCCGTTATCATGCTGGGATGCGCGCCCAACCCACCCTCCCGTCCATGCACGCATAGTAGACCATCCATCCGCCGGGATGGACCCGCCTCCCAGCAGCCACCTACCTGCGCATACCATGTTGCCCAGGACCCGTCCGCCAGGCATCATCTGCGCATGCACAGGCACGTAGGACCGGCCTTGGGGCCACAAGGCGGGCTAGCGGGGCCGCCCGCCAGCCCAACTACCCGCGCAAAATGTTTGGGCTGCAAAACAGATCGTCACCAGGGGTTCGCACGTGGTCCCCCACCGTACTACTGATCTGGCCTAATGGTGCTTACGTGCCCAGTGCTGATGGGATGGGCGGTTTTCACCATGGTATGAACGATCCATGCCACTGGTATCAATCTGATTTAACATATCCCCCTGTCACCGAGGGGCTTATGCCCGCAGCGCCTCCCAGCACGCGCGTCCGTGCAAGCAGGCACCTTCCACATATAGAGGTTGTGTCTGGTGGGTCCTACCGATTTGTTCACGTGCGGGTGTTTGGCCAGGAGGCGGGTCCGTGTGGTTCTATGCGCACATTCCAGCGCATGGTCGTCTGGCTGGCGCACCCTTATTAACGGTAGTAATACTGCGCAGCTGTTTACATCATCACAGCGTTCCTTCAGGGGCAAATTCCGTGCTCACAAGTCTACCGTACGCCCCTCCTCCCCATCTCCTCCTCGTGCATCCCTTTTGCATCCCTCTGCTGCTATTGCCCCCCAGCTCGCGGCTTGACGTACACCTCGCTGGCCTCTGTAACGCCCGCAGGCCGGCCGGGGGATTTACGCCAGCCACCCGCCACCGCCATCTCATCCATCTTGGCAGCGAACGCAGCAGCCTGCTCCTTGTTGAGTTGCAGCACGTGCCTGGGGCGAAAAAGAAATTCCAAAGTGTGGTGTGATAATGATACAAGTTGCTGGCAATGACGTGCCTGGGGCGGGGGGTCAAAGACCATATCAAACCATAGGAAACCACATGTTAAGGTAAAGGGCGAGGAGGAAGAAAGTGACGCGCTGTATGACGAGCTGCGGGACAAGACTTCACCCGGCGGGGAGGGGTGAAAGGTATTGCTACACGCACATCCAACGCTCCACGATTGAAAGGCCATAATATTACACATTCCCTTTACCCACCACTAGCATGACGTTACCGGCAATCAGCAGCCTTGCCTGACCCCCATCTCAACCATCATCCATCAACCTGGCTAACCTTCTGCACCCACCTCGCGTTCTCGGCAATCAGCAGCGCCCCCGGCGCCGCCGCGCGCAGCAGCCCCGCCTCCCCCGCCAGCAGGTGCATGTGCCGGTGGCCCAGAGACAGGGCGGCGAAGCAGCCCGCGTACTTGGGGCGCCCTGGGGACAGTGCAACGCAGTGCGGTGCAGTGCAAGTAGGTGCAGGGAGGGCGGGGCGGGGCGGCTTTGTAACACCCCGGTCGGACTGCTACAAGAAGGCAAGGATTCCTGCCCTTACACCTCCAAAGCAAAGAAGCCGGCCCTCCGGTGTTACCGGTACGTCGCAACCCCGCAACAAGCATGCAAGAGCCCCCTCCGCATCAGACACCTGCGCGTCTAGCAGCACTCCTCCCACCCGCCGCAACCCCGCACCCTGCCCCTGCCTGTTCCCCCCTCTTTTCCCCCCCCCCTTTTGTTTCCTCTTTACCCCCCACCCCCACCCCCCCTTTTTTCCCACCTCCCTTCCCGCCGCTCACCCGTCACCACTCGGGTCAGGTCCCCGGTCACCAGCTGCAGCCGGAAGCGAGTGGCGCGCTGCTGTGCCGCCGAGTCCAGCGCCGCCTCCTCCGCGCGCAGAGCCGCCTCCTCCTCAGCCATCTGGGGGAGTGGAGGGGGCGGGGTGTAAAGGGGGAAGGGGAGGTAGGTAGGAAGAAGCAGGTGGGGGTGGGGGAGGCGAGGGTGGGCGCTTTCGAACGGCATGCTTCCAAAAGCCCCCACCCCCACTTCCCCAAACGCAGAGCAAACCCCCGGTTCTGTCCCAAACCTGCCCTGAACCCTCAACTCCCCTGCCCCGGTACCATTCCCCCAGCTGCCGCACACCACCCGCACCTTCTGCCGTGCCGCGTTAGCCCCACTCCCTTCCTGCCCGCCCACCGCCGCCCCTGTGCCACCCTCTGCCGCCCCCGCCCCCGCCGCTGCTGCCATGGCTTTGGCCACCTGCGCCCGCCCGCCTGAGGAGTAGGTGGGCAGAGGCAGCTGCGGGGGCGCTGAGGGGGACGAGGACGAGGGTGACGGGGTGGCGGCACCCGCACCGCCCCCTGCACCCCCGCTGCCCTCCGCCTGCTGTTCCCCCGGCCCCGCCCCCGTCTCGCCCGCCCGCTCCTGACGCGCTGTGCAGCTGGGAGATTGGCACCCCTGGCCAGCGGAGGGCTCATCGTGAGCCCTGCCAGCACCGCCAGGACCTGGGCCTGCAGTGGCGCCCGCTGGTGTTGCTGCTGCTGATGCCCCAGCTGCTGGCCCTGCCTCTGCTGCTGCTGCTCCCGGCGCCTGGGCTGCATCGCCGGCCGCCTGTTCCTGCTGTTCCTGCTGCTGCCCCTGCGCGGCCGCCTGCTGCTGCAGGTCCTCCAGGGAGGTGGGTCCGCGGGCCACCCGGGCGCGAGGGGCCTCCGACCCAGGGGTCAGTCGCAGCGGCTCGCCGTGGCGCAGCTCGTGCAGCAGCGACTGGTGGGTGGGAAGTGTGCGTGTGGGGGGTCAAAGACCGTACCGAACCATAGGAACCATAGGGGTGTTTGGGGGATAAAAAAATAATGAGACACTGTGGGGGGTGGGGGGGGGGTGGATGGGGCGGAGGCAAGGGAGGCGGATCGGCAAGGGAGGGAGGGAAGTGTGGGGGCCCTATGTACAACGAGCACCGCCCCACATCCGCCTTCTTCCTCTCTAGATGGGAGAGTCAGGCTCTGATAGACCCATGGGTCACTTTACCCCTCCTCTCCCTCACCCCTCCCTCCCGCCACCCCCTCTCACCGCCACATTATGTTCCGCCACGTCCACGGCGGTGCGCGCGAACTGCTTGTTGGCCGCCCGGTACAGCCCCGCCTCCTCCGCCAGCACTCCGAAGCAGTGGTAGGGGCCGTTCAGGGAGTCGGCCCAGAAGCCCCACGCGGATACCGCGCGGCCCACGTCGCGCAGGGAGCGGTCCTTGAACTCCTGGGGGGGGGAGTGCGGTGGGGCGGAGGGGTAGGGGGGGTTGGATTAGTAAGGCATCGCATGGTGGGCGGGAGACACGGCTGTTGGTTGGTGACCTTGGTAGGAACATGCACATGTGGTTGGGTTGCCTCTCTCCTGCCCTCCTCCCGCTCTCCTTCCCTCCCCATACAACTCAGTACGTTCCTACTCGCGGCCAGTTTTTGTATCACACACATGCACAACCCCGCCTACCCGTGTCCTGCCGTACGCGGTGCTGAGCAGCGAGCGGTTGGGTTGGTTGTAGTGCGAGTCGCGCAGCTCGTGCGCCACTCCGTGCATGCGCCAGTGGCGGAAGTGGTGGAAGTGGATGATGGAGCCCAGCGCGGGGTCCTGGCCGGGGGTGCCGGCGGGCTGGGGGGAGGGGGGGCGCGGGTGCGGGTGCGGGAAGTTTGGGGGAGGTACGAGGCGGGGCGAGGTGGGAGGGGCTTAACCTGGAGGCTTAGCGAACGACTGCACCATGCATCGGTTATAGGAACAGTTTTATATTGACGTGATGAGCCAAGGCGGGTTGGACGCTACACAGTGAAGACAGGCGCGGTCTGGACGACCAAGCCGCCAGAGTGGCCAGGTGTGTCCACAGGCGTCACCAGAGGCGGCTTGGGTGCAGGTCGCATGCGGTCCCCCACCTCCTCACTCAATAATACATTGGTACCCTTCTTTTTCCCACCTGGGGTGACGGTCGCATGTGTCGCATGCCAGCAGCCGCATCCCACCTCAGCCCCCGGCCCGCCCTTCCTCCTTATAACCTCCCCTCCCCACCTGCCCCCCTACCTCCCCCCCCCACCTGCAGCCGCATGTGATAGTCCCAGTCCACCAGGTTGCGCCGGAAGTCGTACCGCTCGCCGTACCACTGCCGGGCTCGTGCGTCCCACGCCTTCACCATGTCGTACGGCTGGGTGGTGCGCCAGCGCTGCAACACCTCCACCAGCTGGTCGCGCTCCTGGGGGGGGGGTGGAGGGGGTGAGGGGAGCGGAGTACCCAATGTGTTGGGAAGGGGGTAAAGAGGAAAAGAGTAAGGAAGGAGGGGGATAAAGAGGAAGACACTAACCGTGTGACCCCACCTTGGGGTTGGGGAGGAGGGTAGGGCAGGGAGGAGGAGGGGGTGGAGGGGTCCCAGGGACTCCCTGGCTGGTATGGGGACATGCGGGTAAAGAAGAAGGTGATGCCGCGCCTTAACCTTTCCATCCCGCCAACTATATCTAGCCCGCCCGCGCCCCCCTCCCTCTCTTACCTGGAATTTGAGCAGCGACAGGTCCAGCATGCTCCCCAGCGCCGCCATCCCATCGCTAGCAGCAGCAGCAGCACCCTCCCCTGCCCCTGCTCCCCCATCTTTCCCCCCTCCTGCTGCTCCTTCCTTCCCTGCCGCCCCCCTCCCGCTGGACAGCGCCACCACCAGCGCCTCCAGCTGCCGGGCCTTCTCGTCTGGGGGCAGGTAGTGACGGAGGGAGGTGGCGGGAGATGGTGGCTTGGGTAAGGGAGGTGAGCTAGGGAGTTGTGCAGCCAGCGATGTAGGGGCACGGGTAGGGGCTGCTGCAGGGCAGTGAGGCCCAGCTGGCCACCCCCTCCTCGCCTCCCCGGCCTCAGCCTCTCCCCGTGCAGTTCCCTAGTAGGCACCACCACCACCACCACCGCCCAGCTAGCCCCCCACCTCCCCTTCCCCACCTCAACCTCCCCCCCACCCCACCCGCCCATGGCGAAGCCTCATCATTCAGTTCGCCAGCTTCCATCTCTCCACTCCACCCACCCAGGTATCCCGCCGCCCGCTCCCGCAGCAGTGCATTGCCGTGCAGCTCCAGCAGCAGCTCCCACCGCTCCCGAGCCACCAGCCGCCCGTCCAGCAGCACCGCCAGCAGCAGCAGGTGGCGGGCCAGTCCCTCGGGGGAGTCCTCCCACACCACCAGCTGCACCTGCGGGGGGGGGGGAGGGGGAGCAGGAGGAGGGGGAAAATTTATGAAATTTAAGTGCAACAACACAGTCCCAATCCCGAAGGTAAGGAAGGGGACTGGGGACTGGGACGCCGCCTGCGCAGTGTTGCCAAGGCCCATGCGTCGAGCGCCCGGTATAGAGCAAGTTGTGAGGGCGCCGCAGCAGGACACACCGGTTGCTGCTGCTGCTGAAGGAGCGGGTGGCGCGTCGCGCGGCAGATGGTCGTCAATGTGTGCCGAGCATCGTAGGGTGCCACCTGTAAGGCAGACGCAATATGCTTAAGGTTATTTGTTTGTAATCGGCAGCTATGGCGCTGAGAGAGGCACTGTCAGGTATAGTTGTGGGCTTGTGGCAATGACATGTTGCATCATGGAGATGGCGCGGCCCAGACAGCTACGCCGTATAGCCGCTATTTTACCGAGCCCCTGTTATTCCTGCCTGGAGTATGCGGATGGGTTGATCCACCGGCAAATCCACGGCTCCATCGCCCTCTATCTGCAGAAGACTCCCGAAGTCTAACGCTGGGCTTATACCCCAAAAGTGATGGACATTGTGCTCATCCATTGCACAATACTATTACTTTCAGTTCCGTGTCCCCAAAAGCATCAGTAATCAGCACCAATATAGGTAATCGACGAAGGTAGGACGTAAAAGGTAACCATACAACTGATCACCCAAGCGGCGTCACTTCTGTTAGCATCGCCTTGCAGAAACGTGTTCCCTGTCTAAATATATAAGTGTTGACCTTTCCTTGACTGGCCGTACATGTACGGATCAACCGCATTGCGGTTCCTCGCCTCCCTTCGCTGCAAGCAAAGCTTTACATACAGCTAAGTAATCAGCCCAAAGCTGCGCGACGATCTCTGCACCTTCAGCGATGGCAGCCGCTGCTAAGAAGTTGCTTTTTGCCGCGGCCGAAGCTGGTAAGCCTGTTCCACGCCGCATTCGGAACCAACCAATATATCCCCACAACAATACAAGATCCGCACATCTAACTCATCCTTCACATCCCTCCCAGGCGACCTGGCCAAGCTCCAGCAAGCCCTGGCTGCCGGTGCGCCCGTGGATGCGCGCAACTCCGAGGGCTGCGCGGCGCTGCACCTGGCGGCTGCGGCGGGCCATGCGCCCCTGGTGCGCGCGCTGCTGGCTGCGGGCGCAAAGAGCGAGCGGCGGCGGGAGGAGGACGAGCGTACGGCACTGCACCTAGCGGCGGAGGAGGGACACCTGGAGGTGATGCGGGGGGGGGGGGGCAGATGCGCTGGCAATCCCCGACTCGCCAGGCGGCCCCCTTCCCTCGCTCCCATCTGAACCTGTGCGCCACCTACCTCGTGCCCCGCCCCCCCCCCCCAGGTTGTGTGCGCGCTGCTGGCGGGCGGTGCTGACGTGGCCGCCACCGACATCGACCTCAGCACGCCGCTGCACCTGGCGGCGCACTTTGGGGATGCGCCGGTGGTGGAGGTAGGGGGCGGGGGGGTATGGGGGAAGTAGTTGTGATGGGGCAGAGAAGCGGGCTAGGTGTGGATGTGGGGGGTGGAGGGAGGAGGTGCTAGTGGTGTGGTGTGGTGTGAGCCGTGGGAAGGCAATGTGGGTTGCATCAGCTTTGCGGCGCCAAGGTCGCTTGCTCACCCCATCATCATTTAACACGCTGGGTCTTCTTCTTCCCCCTCCCTACCACTATCACACCACACATTGGAATTTCTTCTTTCCCCTCCCTCAGGCGCTGCTACACGCTGGCGCACAGGTAGGCAGCGGGGTGCTGGGGAGGAGGTGGCGGAGGAGGAAGCTGGGGAGGAGGTGTCTGCTAATGCGCTCACTGCACGATTCAGTACATGGGCCTGTGCCCCACTTCCCATTTCTCCTCCCCCACCCCCACACCTTCCGCCGCATGCTACTTCCTCCTCCCCTCGCACCCCATTACACCCCCTTCCCCTCCCCCTCCGTGCCCGCCCCCTTATCCCTCCCCCCGCAGCCGACCGCCCGCAACCACGCCGGCCAGACTCCGCTGCTGGTGGCGGCGGAGGCGTGCGGGTGCCGCTGGGTGGGGCGCCCCGGCTGCGACTACCCGGGGTCGGTGGGGATGCTGCTGCGGGCGCGGGAGGGGCAGGAAGGGAAGCAGGAGGGGAAGGAGGCGACAGGCGGATGGGAAGCGGGAGCGGGTGATGTTCCTGCTGTTGCAGCTCTTGCTGCTGCTGTCGCTGCTGCGGCCGTGGGAGACGGTGCGACGGAGAAGGGCGAGGAGGGTGGTGAAGGAGGCAGTGGCGGTGGCGGCAGTGGTGGGGGCTGCGAGACGGACTCCTCGGGCGAGAGTGCGGCGCACGTGGCGGTGCGGGCGGGCAACATGCAGGTGGGGGGAAGGAGGTGGGAGGGGGGGGAGGAGGTGGGAGGGGGGGAGGAGGTGGGAGGAGGGGGGAGGAGGTGGGAGGAGGGGGGAGGGAACACTGACCGTGACCGTAGGAAGGAGGATGAAACCCAGGGGAAAGGAGGGAACACCAGGTGGGTGGAGTGATGGTGGCATGTAGGGTCCCTCCCTGCCCTCCTCCCTTCCCCTCCTCCCTGCTCTCCTCCATGCCCTCCTCCCTGCCCTCCTCCAAAGGTGCTGGCGGTGCTGTGTGCTGCGCGTGCGGGCCTGGCTGCGTGCGGCCCCCGCGGGGTGACGCCGCTGCACCTGGCGGCAGCGGGCGGGATGGAGGAGGCGGTGCGGCTGCTGGCGGGGGCGGGGGCGCCGCTGGAGGCGCGGTGAGGGAGGGGGGTAAAGAGGAAACAACTAACTTACCGTGTGATAAGCCATCATCATGGTTTGCGACATGTGAGCCAGCCCGACCCGCCCAATTGGAATTAGCCAAGCCAGGGGGGCGAGGGGGCGGGCGCAAGTAGTGGGAGGTTGCGGTAGAATAAGTGCGTGGGAGGTAGGAGGTTGTTGCCACCAATCGTACCCCCGATCATCACGAACCGCGGACTCTCGGGTCTTGCTTCCTTGCCGAACCCCCCTCCCTCCCTTCCCCCTTCCCCACCATCCCTTTAGCGAGCTGGAGGGCGGTCTGACTCCGCTGCACTCCGCAGTGCAGGCGGGGCAGCTGCGGGCGGCGGAGGTGCTGCTGGAGGCGGGGGTGAGGGGGGGAGGGTGGGGGTAAAATGGAAAATACTAACTGACTGTGTGATAAGGCGTCATCACCAGGGGAGGGAGAAGGAAGGGGGGCACCAGGGGTATGTTACTACATGGTACCTGGCCCATCCCTGTACCTGTCCGAGTCAGTCAAGCCGTTCTCTTGCTGGTCCTGTATCGCTCCAAACCCCCCCCCCCCCCACACCCCCAGGCCGACCCCGCCTCCCCCGACTCCCGCGGCCTCACGCCCCTCCACACCGCCGCACTGCGGGCGGGCGGGCGGGGCGGGGCGCAGCTGCTGCGGGCGCTGCTGGCGGCACTGGGGGCCGCGGGAGGGGGACGGCAGCAGCAGCAGGAGGAGGAGGAGGGGCGGGTGTGGGCGGGTGCGGCGGCGGGGGCAGGTGCGCAGGTAGAGCAAGCTGCGGCGTCCAGTGGCAGCGACGGCGGCAGTGCAGGGTGTGCCGCGGCGCTGGTCGCCGGCGCTGCCCCCCCGCCTGCAGCTGCAGCTGCGGGCGGACTGCAGGGGGCGGCGACAGGTCCAGCCGAGGCGAGCACGGAGGCGGCGGAGGCGAGCGGGGAGGCGGATGCAAGCGCGGCGGAGGCGACAGTGGAGGCGAGCGCGGAGGCGGGTGCACCCCTCCCGGCAGCTGCCGCCCACCCAGCGGTCAACGCGGCGCACAACGCGCAACGCGTGACGCCCCTGCACCTGGCTGCGGCGGCGGGGGTGGTGGCGGCGGGGGGGGAGCAGGGGGGAGGAGGGGAGGCGGGTGTGCAGGCGGCGGTGGCGGCGCTGCTGGCTGCGGGGGCGGACTGGCGCGCAGTGGACAGCGGGGGCAACACGGCGCTGCATGTGGCGGCATCCAGGTGGGGTGGGCGGAGGGTTGGATTCTTGGGAACGTAGATGGGAGGTTAAGGGAGAAGTAGAAGTGAAGGGGGTTGGGTGGTGGGTGACCGCGACTTGTCGTTGGGTGGAGGGCGGGGAAAGATGCGTCCCCCACCGGCAACCGCCGGCTCTGGACGCAGCGCTATGGTGGTAGCGGCCGTACCGGTACGACAACGTACCATCCCCCACGGCATCGCGAGACCATGTACGACCAGCCATGTGTGCCCTACATCCACCTTGGTCCCCCTCCTCCTCCTCCTCCTCCTCCCCCTCCTCCTCCTCCCCGATGGGATTGCGACTCCTGTTGCTGCACTACTCACTTACTTCCCGCCCCTCGTCGCGCGCGCAGGGGCAATCTGGCCGCATTGCGCGCGCTGCTAGCGGCGGCCGCAGCAGGTGCGGGTGCGGCTGACGTGGCGGTCGCGGTGAACGGTCGGGGCCTCACCCCGCGACAGCTGGCGGAGGCGGCGGGGCAGCGGGAGGCGGCGGAGCTGCTGCCCGAGTGACGAGGACAGGGAGGAGGAGGGATGCCCTGCTATGCTGAGAACGATATCGTGGCAACATCCCTGCCTTGAAGGGGCAGGGGCTTGGATTATGGGATCACTGTAATGGTCATGCAGCAAGGGCCAAATGGCACTGGGCGTGTGCTGCTGCTGCTGAGAGGAGGAGGAGGAGGAGGACACCCCACAGCCCCTTGCAGCTGAGGGGAGGCCAGGACGCCTCTCTCCATCTGCTCCTGACTAGCAGAGAGCCAAACAGACGTGGTAAAGTACCGGTACCTGTACTTCAAGTTGGTTACATCTCTCTCACACTCTCTCGCACCCGCCAGCAGCAGTAGGAGGGGCGCGTAGCAAACCAGCAATCTCAGTCTCACCAAAAGCCATTTGGCCCTAAAACTTATACACCTCTCTCTCTCTCTCTCTCGGGCAACAGCACTGCTACAGCAGTGACAAGCAGTGGCCACGACTACACCTCTCCTCATCTCGCGCTGCGGCACACTCCTCTCCCGGCCAGTATAGCAGCTCACCGCAGCGGTGACTGCAGCGCACCGCTCTTTACACCCTGCCTGCTTGGGAGAGCTTCATTCCTCCCTCCCTTCCCTCCTTTCAGCTGGGTGCACGTCCCTTGCCTCTCTCTCTCTACCTCTACCCTCGGCGGAAGCGTCTGCATTTGGCATCTCTACCCTCGGCGGAAGCGTCTGCATTTGGCAACAAACAAACGAACCACACAGCACCCATGGCACGTGACAGGCTGCGTGTTCCCTCCTTAGGCGCCCCTGTCTTGCGTGGCGGCACCCCCCTCGCTCTTATTCGTGGCTCAGATATGCCGCCGAATTCGCATCCACGCTGCCTTGAAACAACACCGCCGCTAAGTTCACTCCCTCTCATCACCACCACCTTCACCGACAGTTGAACATCATCTCTCAATTCCATGGCCTACCGGCCCATGCAGCGGCCGGCACTACTCTCCCTCCCTCCCTCTTCATTCCTGGGCGGCAGTGGCACCATCTATCTCACCTACGCGACAGTGTCACCATTGCACCATCTCTTTCCACATGCCACAATACACGAAACGACCCTGCCTTGCCTAGCAGCAAAGCGCAACCCAGCAAAGTGCCTCTCCTATCCTTCTTCTAGCGTGTCCTCGACAGCAAAGCATTCCCACAGCAGCAACAATCTAAAATACGCAGTAACAGCTAGCTACCTTTTTCCGCTACTTCTGAATCCAGTATCTCACCCTAGCTTCTAATTGCCCCCATCACCAATCCAGGGGGAAAGCACTCCGCCAAGCCCAGCCGAGCCAACACAAAAGCCGCTCCAGTACAAGCCGCTACCACTATACACACACACGGTGTGGGAAACACCACCCACACATACAGTTTCCTTAACACACACACCTGCTCCGCCTCATGCCCTGCTCCGCCTCATGCCCTGCTCCGCCTCATGCCGGGGCGCTGTTGGCACCCATGCTGGGGGGTGGGTGGCCTTCAGTAGCCGCAGCAGCAGGCTCAGGAGAGCGCGTGCATGCCGGCCCTTCCCCCCGGCACCGGCTCCTCACCATGGCTTGTTGGTCTTTGGTCTTTGCCCCTTCCCGCCCCCCCTCCTTTACGGCTTGTTTGGCGCCAGCATGATGGTGTAGGTCCCGGTCTTGAAGTTGAGCGGCCCCTCCACCTTGGCCACCGAGGCCAGCTCGGAAATGAAGTTCTGGGGGGGGGAAGGGGAGGGAAGGGGAGGGAGGGAGGGAGGGAGGGCAGTTAGCGGGCAGTTTGGGATGGCGTGTTCCCAACCAGCATCGCGGGTATTTCAAGTAGGCTCATTACCTCCCCCTTCCTGGTCCCCCCCCCAATCCTCACCAGCAGCACTTCCTTGCCCTGCTCCTTGAACTGCAGCTCCCGACCCTCGAACTTCATTACCAGCTTCACGCGGTCGCCCTGGGGGGTGAAGGAAGAGGAGGAGGGAGTGGGAGGGGGTGGGGTAGGGAGGGGGTGGGATGGAAACACCGGGCGGCAGCAAACAAAGCTTTCCCACGTGTCGCCCTTGCCCCCCCCGGTGCATCTAGACGCGCCCTCCAAAACCCTCCCCCCATGTACCCCATGCTGAAGCCTACATGTCACACAGCTCGTCAGTTGCCTCGTCAGTTGCCTCATTTTAATACCCCTCCTCCCCACCTTTGCCAGGAACTTTGAGCAGCTCTTGAGCTTCACGGCGATGTCGCCCGAGTCGGTGGAGGGGCGCAGCCGCACCTCCTTGGTCTCGGTGCTGGTGGGGTTGGGGGGGAGGAGGGGAGGAGGGGGGGAGGGGAGGAGGGGGGGGAGGGGAGGAGGGGGGGGAGGGGAGGAGGGGAGGAGGGGAGGAGGGGGGAAGGTAAGGAGGGGGGGAGGGGAGGGTAAGGAGGACGAAGTGAGGCGCTGGAGGTGCTGGAAGTGGAACCCCAATCCCATGACCCTCTCATGACCCTCTGGAAGGGGGGTTCATGATGGGGCGAGGCGGAGGGCGGAGGGCGCAGGCGGGCGCAGTGCGACAGCTGTGTGCCAACCCGCCTTCGCCCCTGTGCCCTCACTGCTCCACATCCCTCCCTTCTATTACCGGTAGCTGCAGCATGCTGAACAGGCATGGTCTCCCTGCCTCCCTCCCCTCCCCTCCCCCCCATCTCACTTGCTGCTCTTTGCCTTCCTCTCCTTGGCACTCTTCTCCAGCTCATACTTGTATCTAAGCGGGAGGGGGAGGGGGACAGGAGGGGTGAATGGCGTGAGTCGGGGTGGTGGTGGTGGCGGTTTCACGGGGCGTTCAGCGGGGTGTGGCAGGCGGGGGGTCAGGCAGGCTGAGGGGAAGGTAGCCATGGGTGCAGCACCTGCGCGGGGAGGTGCGGGGAGGGCCCCTGCAAGCCCCATCAACACCATCCTCGCGCCACACTTCCCTCCCCTCCCTTCCTCCCCCCTCCTCACTTGCTCCAGTTGACGATGCGTGCCACCGGGGGCGAGGCGTCCGGGTTGATCAGCAGCAGGTCCTCCTTGGCCTCGTCAGCCAGGGCCTGGGGTGAGGGGGGGTGAGGTGGAGGGGGGGTGGAGGGTTAAGAGGGGGTGAGGTGAGGATAAGGAATGCTGTGGAGGATGGTAGCAATACCGTAACTGTTGTAAAGCCCCTGCCGGTGGTTCCATGCAGGTCCGGGCTGGCAGGGTCAGCTGCAAGCCGGGAGAGTGCCGAGAAGGCGGGGAACCACCCAGCCCGAGAGAACGCTCCCTCCCTCCCCGCCCCTACCTTCCCTCCCCACCCATACCTCCTCATTCCCCCCCCCACCTGCGCCCTGCTTGTTGGCATGGCCCCCAGCGGCTGCCTCTCCGGCCCCGCCCCCAGCAGGAACACCTGCTTGGCGGTGATGCCCGCGTTGGCCTGCAGCGTCTTGCCGTTGATAACAACACTGTCCACCTTGACCACCGGCTTCACCTCTGCATGGGGAGGGAGGGGGGGTGTTGCGATGGGTGGAATTACCCCGGAATGCACATCCGACGGAGGAGGGAGGTCGGGAGGAGGGCAAAGTAGGCCAGGCAGACAAGCAAACCCCCCATGCACCCCCCATCCCCGTACCCCTGCATCACATGTTGCAAACCATGATGATGCCTTATCACACGGTCAGTTAGCTGTTTCCTCTCAACCACCCCTCCATGCACCCCCACCCCCAAACCCCTCCATGCACCCCCCACCCCCAAACCCCTCCATGCACCTCCATCCCCCCACCCCTCCATGCACCCCCCCACCCCCCCACCCCCACCCACCCGTGGGCTCATCCGAGTACTCGTCATCGAACGCCATCTTGTAGCTGTCCCGCGCGCCCCGCCGACCCAGTCCCAAGCTGCTGTCCCGCCCCACATAGTACCCGCCCGTCCCCCCCCGCAGCACATCCTCATACAACGGGTCGGCAGTCCAGTCATAGTCCGGGGACTGCAGCGCGCCCACTCCCGCGCCCGCTGCTCCGGTGCCGGAAGCCCAGGCGTAGGTGCCGCCTCCGCCATTCACGTAGCCGCCGCCGCCTCCGCCTCCGTTTGTGTAGCCTCGCTGGTAGCCTCCCCCGCCGCCCTCATACCTCCCATAGTACGCGCCACCCGCCGCCCCATCAGCTCCATCCGACATGCCCCAGGCCTCCTCAAAGGCCACATCCGCAAACATGCCCGCTCCGTAAGCGCCACCGTTGCCGGCGACGCCTCCCGCAGGGGGGGCAGCAGCAGGAGCAGGGGCGACACCTGCAGCCCCAGGATCCACCGCGGTGCCGTACTCCGCGCCCCAAGCACCCCCCGCAGCAGCAGCAGCATCGCTTCCTGCTGCTGGGGGGTTGTAGTAACCGCCCGTGCCGTACCCCCCTCCTGCATTGTAGCCCTGATTGCGGTACCCGGACTGATTGTAACTGCCATACTGGTTGCCGTTATAACTGCCGTACTGGTCGGCGGTATAGCTGCCGTACTGGTCGGCGGTATAGCTGCCGTACTGGTTGCCGTTATAATTACCGTACTGGTTGGGGTTGTACTGGTAGGGGTCCATGTAGGCGGTGTCAGCTGTCGGCTGCTGCTGCTGCAGTTGCTGCTGCTGCAGCTGTTGTTGCTGGGCGTATGCGCCCTGGCGGCCGGCGGGCTGGGGCTGGGGCTGCTGCTGCTGTGGGGGGGGGTAGCCGGGGGTGGCGGGGGGGTATCCCTGCGGGGAGCGGGGAAGCGGGGTGAGGAGCGGAGTGAGGAGAGGAGGAGAAGAGAGGAGAGGAGGAAGGGCAGGTGCGAGGGGCGAGGAGGGGGAAACGGAGTGGCGAGTTGCTTACCTCCGCCCCCGCCCTGTTCATGAGGTCCGCGTACTTGCTCATCTTGCCGCCCTCCGCCTCATCCAGGGAGTCCAGGTTGACGGAGTCGCTGGCGTCGTAGTCGTAGTAGCGGCGCTTGGGGGCAGCGGACACGGCAAGCAGCAGAGCCTGGGAGGGAGGGGAAAAAGAAATTCCAAAGTGTGAGGGAGGGGGGCGGCGGAGGGGGGGAGGGGGGGTGCAGGAGGGGAGGGGTGATGAGGGAGATGGTGCATGGAGGAGGAGCATGATGAGGGGAAGAGGGTTGGTGGATACGGGGGCAGGGGTTGCTGGGGTTAGGAGATACCGGAGCTGGGGGGGAGGTGGGCGGCTGGGCTGAGGGAATTAGAGCGATGAAGGAAAGGCGTCCGAGATGTGGCTTGAGAGTTTGAGAGTAGCTCTACAGGTTAAGCGTGACCCACAACGCTGCCTTATGAGTGCATATAACTACAGTCTTTTGCATAGGTTGAAGATGTTTCGCGGACGGCTTGAAGGGGGTTCTCCGCAGAAAAGGAACACCACGATTGGCGTTGCATGAAACGGCAACTCGTTTGTGCGCTGGGCCTGAGCGCAAATCATCTTTAGTTTACACAATTGTGAGCTGCGGTAAGGAATCTCCATATGCAGGGGTGGCGTATGTAAACAGCTTGCAGCGAGCGCAAGTATCGCCGCAGGGAGTCGGGAACCACACATTTGAGATCCTCAAAAACAACGGCTAAAGGGACCAATTCCAACCAGGATGTGACCTGTATGCTCTAACTGCGAGTCGCTTTCTGCTAGACGCGACCACCCGAGTAAACGCACCTGGCGTTGTGCCAGATGTTGCAGCTTGAACGCCGCTGGTCCATTGCAAAAAGCTTGAAATGGATGGGAGCAGGCCGAACGGCTTGTGCCAAGCGGTGTCGCAGGCTTGACACCCTTGGCAAGGGTGTTCATTTCTCCGGCGAGCCGGCGAACGACCACGGCTATTCCACAGGCGGCTAATGTGCCTTGTAAACGTTTATCGCGTACTGTATCTGGTAAAACAAATGGCGCAAGCCCAAAACAAACGTGCGGCTCAGGTTTGGTGAAACGAAATTTCAGGATACTTAAGAGACTGGGAGAATCGCTAGGCCAGGGCCATAAAGCTCAGCTACTGAAAGCTAACCATATACCAATTGGGTTAGCTAGCCCAGATTGTGGCGACCAGGGTGATTGCCGTACTAGTTGGGAAGAGCCCCTTCTGCGCAGCTATAAACACGCCCAGTCCACATCTCGCTTATGCAGATCCCTACGTGTTAGCTTAGGAATTGTACCACGGCGGATTGGCTTCAATTTGCTGCGCAATGTTGCGCAGAGGACATCCTTAGGTGCGGGAGCGCCACTGCGCCCCGTGTCGAATTACAAATTGCAAATTGCACACGACATGATCGTTCTGTTGATGGAACACATCCCACCCTACAGCTTTCCTTGCACGGCGGCTTGTCCTTGCTACCTTTCAGTGCTTTCTTTCGCTTAAAATGCTCTGTGATAGACTGCACGTCTCATCGCGGCGCTGCATCGGCCGTCAAACTGCCACCAGCTCGTCGTCGCCATCAACGGCTGCCACCATGAGCTGGCCACAAGCCACGCACTTCCCAACCAGCGTCCGACCTCGCCAGCCTGCATCAGATGTTTTCTGGCCCGCAGCGGTGGCCAGATCTACCTCCCGCGCCACTCAAACCGCCTCGGCCGCGAGCTCTGCCGTACAACCAACTCACACCCCTGCTTGGCCCGCAGCACCTCGCCTGCACCCCTGCCGCCGCCTAGCACTAGCCGCACACTCCCGCCCTACCAGCAGCACCACACTCGCAGCACCGCCCTCTCCCGCATCTGCAGCTGCTGCGGCACCCCGCTTCGGGCCGCCGCTGCCAGCCAACCCCAGCGGCCACCTCTGCCTACCGCTGCTGCCGCTGCAGCTGCCGCCCCACCACACCGGCCATTTCGGAAGGCGGCAGCGCTGCTGGTCCGCCGTCAGCTCGGAGGTGGTGACCGCCCCCTCAATCGAGGGCGGCAGCAGCGGTGGGACCAGCAGGGGCGCCGGTAGCAGGAAAGGTGAGGGTGAGGGTGGCAGTGGCTCCTCTAGCGCTGGCCAAGGCAATGGCGACGGCACTGCTGGCAAGCCCGGCAGCGGGGTGGGGGTCACGGGCGGTAGCGGCCGGAGCAGCAGCAGGGCCCGACGAGGGGCCCGGCCCCGCGGGCAGTCCGCCCCAGGTGGTGCGAGAGGCGGCCCCTCGCACAACGGCAGCAGCAGCGGAGAAGGAGGAGGAGGAGGAGGAGGAGGAGGCGGAGGTGAAGGTAATAGCGGCGGCACCACCGGGACAAAGGGCAGCAACAGCAGCGGAGGAGGCGGAGGTGTTAGCGGCACCACCAGGACTAAGGGCAGCAGCAGCAGCGGAGGAGGCGGAGGTGTTAGCGACACCACCAGGACTAAGGGCAGCAGCAGCAGCGGAGGAGGCGGAGGTGCTAGCGGCACCACCGGGACTAAGGGCAGCAGCAGCAACGGAGGAGGCGGAGGTGGTAGCGGCGTCACCGGGACTAAGGGCAGCAGCAGTAGCAGCGGCAGCAGCAGCACTAGCAACACCGCACATGCGAGTAGCCCCACCACCGACCCAAACGACAGCAGCAGGGGGGAGGGGAACGGGCGTGGCCAGCGCCACAGCGGTAGTGGCGGCGGCGGCAGTGGGGTTGCGGCTGGGGCTGGTGGCAGGAAAGCGGAGGGGAGCAGGAGCAGCAAAGGCAGCGGGAGCAGCAGTGGTGGTGGTGGCGGCAGTGGCGGCGGTGGCGGCGGGTCCCCAGAAGCCACAATCGTGGAGCGGGCGAGGGCATGCCGGTGGGTGTGCGTGAGAGGGGCGCGGAGGGGCATGTGGGAGCACTAGGAGGGAACACCCTCCCTCCCGTAGTAGCATTCCGGTGATAGCCGCCGCGACGTGAAGAGTACAGTGCGGCGAATGGAGCTGTGCACCAGTACATGGCAGCTGCCCCTACCACCTCATCCCGCGTGTAATACCATAACACCGACACCCTCCCCCCCCCTCACCCCCTCCCGCCCCCATACCCCTCCCCCCACCCCACCCAGCTCCATCGCCCAGCTGGTCGCCCTGTACGACACCGCACAGCGGGAGTACAACAACAACACCAACAGCACCATCGCGCGGAGTACGACAGGAGCGACTGGGGCGGCGGGGGGTCAGCCAGCAGCAGCAGGGGCAGGGGCAGCAGCAGCACCGGCAGCAGCAGCAGCCGCTGGGAAGGCGCAGCAGGGCTTGAGCCAGAGCCCCCTTGCTGCTGCTGCTGGGAGCGGTGCGGGTGGTGGAGGTGGTGGTGGTGGTGCCCCAGCTGCCGCGCTGCCTGCGGCGGTGGTGTGGGTGTTTCTGGCGGCGGCAGCGGAGCAGGTGGCGGGCTGGCGGCGGCGGTGGCAGCCGGGGCGGCGGGGGGCGGTGGGCAGGGGGGCAGGGGAGTGGCGGAGCCAGGTGAGGGGAGGGAGGGGCTGCAGTGCGGCGTCATGCGGGGTGTCATGCGGGGTGTGCCGCGAGGAGGAGCCACCGTCAGCGCGCTGTGTAGCAGGAAACACACGACCTGCGCCATCAGCCCCTGCCTTGACCTCCCCGGCCCCCCCCCCTCCCGCCCTTCCTTTCTCCACCCCCCCCCCCAGCTGTGCCTGCTGCTGTCCGCCTGCTGCCCGGTGGTGTTGTGGGCCGCGCGCCTCACCCCCGCGCGCGCCTGCCTGCTGCTGTCGCTGCTGGCGGAGGGGGCGGGCGCGGGCGCGGGCGGGGGGGGCAGGTTTCCGGGGGCGGAGGGGGCGCTGAGGCTGCTGGCGGAGGACAGGTGGGGAGGCAGGGAATAAATGATAAGTGCAGCAACGGAGAAGAGGGGTTGAGTAGTTGTCGGTGCTGGAGCCCTTGTCGTTAGCTTGTTGCTTAGCTCTGGCACCATCACTGAACGCATGGCTCCCCCAACCCCTCCCCCCCTCCCCCCCCCCCAGCCTCAACTCCCTGGAGCACTACTCCAGCGGCCAGGTGGCACTGGCCGCCTCCTGCTTCGCACGACTGGGTTTCCATCCGGGCAGGGGCTGGGTGGAGACAATGGTGGAGGTGAGGGGGGGGGAGCTGCTATGCAACCCCCTTCACAACCGCCCTCGCCGTTATCTCGCTCGCTCGCCCTCCCCGACCCCTCAACCCCAAACGTGTGGGTCCATATGGTTTCTCTCTTTGACCCAGCCCCCCCTTTCCCTCCTCTTTCCCCCCCCTCCCAACACACACACACACACACACACGCACAGGCCAGCCTGGGTCGGCTGTCCCGCTGGCGCCCCGGGGACCTGGCCTTCACGCTGTGGGCGCTGACCAAGTGGGGGGTCAGGTGGGGCGGGGGGGAGGAATGAAAAGAGGGAAGAGGGGGGTCAGAATGTGGAAGGGGGAGGGGGGCCACGCAACCCCCCCCGACATGTATGTTGTTCCTCTTCTCCGCGGCGGCCAGTCTTCTTCAACACCCCTCCCTCCCCCGCCCCCCCCCGCAGTCCCCCCACCGCCTGGATGGAGGAGTTCTATGTGGCGTTCCAGAGTGCGTGCAGGGGGGGAGGAAAGGGGGAGACAGCATGCCGAAAAGGGGGGGGGGGAACGGGTAGGGAGGGGGAAGGTAGAGGGTTTAATGCGGGTTCCTCTCAACCCATCTCAACCTCCCCCCCTCCCTGCCCCCACACAACACATTGCAATTTCTTTTTGCCCCCCACCCAACCCCTACCTACCTCCCTCCCTCCTCAGGCCGCGGCGAGTCGCTGAGCGAGTGGCACCTGGCGCTGGTGTGTTGGTCGCTGGGGGCGGGGGCGCTGCGGGGGGGGCCCCGCCCGCCGCCCGCATTCAGCCGCCACGTCATGCTGGAGGCGCAGGTGGGCGGGGGGGAGGAGAGAGGGAGGAGGGGGGGAAAAGAAGAGAGTCCGGCGTGTGCTGAGTTAAAATGGCAGGCTAGATGACCGGCTGCTGGTGAATGGGGAGGGAGGGAATGGTGGGAGGGAGGGGTGCTGTGTATAGGGTTAACCGGCATGGAGTTGGTGGGAGGGAGGGTGAGGGGGCAGGGAAAGGGGTAAAGAGGAGGAACCAGCTGTGTGACATGTAGGTAGCTCCCATCCCGCGTCCTCCCCTTCCCTCCTCCTCCCCCCGCCCCCCCCCAGGTTCGCTTCCCCACCCTGAGCAGCCGCGCGCTGGCCCACCTGTGCTGGGGGCTGGCCTGCTGCGAGGTGCGACCGCCCGACTTCTGGATTCGCGAGCTGTGCGAGGCGGCGCAGGTGGGGCGGGAGGGGGAGGGGGGGGTTGATGGGGGAATCTCGTCCCCCCTTAGTATAACCCTATACCGTTACTCCCCCGCTTCCTATCCCCGTTGCTTTCCCCGAACCTGTGGTTTCCTGCGGTTTTGGTATGTGGTCTTTCACCCCCCCTTCTAAAACCCCTCCCCTCCCCCACCCTCCCCCCCCCAGTCCCAGCTGCCCCACGCGCGCAGCGGGCTGGTGTTCTCCAACCTGCTGTGGGCGCTGGCGCTGTGGCAGCACACGCAGCACTGCGGGCCGCAGCTGCTGCAGGCGGCAGTGGCGCATGTAGGAGGGGATGGGGTGGGGAGAGGGGGGGGATGGGGGGGTAAGGAGAGGAAACTGGGGAGAGCTGCATGACGAAAGGGGGCTTCACCCTGGGTGGGTTGCTGCCTTGGACCCGCCCCACTCCACCCCACCAGAACTGCCACCCGCACCGGCAGCTGCTGCAGACCGCCCACCCACACCCATCCACCAACCCACCCTCACCCACCCACTCGCTTACAATTTGGCCGTACTGGCGGATACTGCCTTTTGATCCCCCTCCCTCTCCCCGTCCCCATGGAATTCCCTTTTTTCTCCCTCCCCCTTCCCCGCCTCTCCCCCCTCCTCCCCTCCTCCCCTCCCCCCCCAGTCCCCCCGCTGGCTGCCCGGCCTGTCCCCCCGCTCCCTGGCGGTGCTGCTGCTGGCTCTGGCCGACCTGGGGGCGGAGCCGGGGGGCGAGTGGACGGGGCTGGCGCTGGAGACGGCGCACAGGTACGACACTAGGAGGGGGGGAGGGGGGGGTAGGAAGGGGGTGATCACAGGCTGTACTAACCATACGGTAGAGGCGGGCTGGAAAGAGAGAGACGCTGTATACCGCAGTGGCGGCATGTGCCCACACCGCTGGTGCCGCATCTCCTTCCGCACACACCGCTGCCCGCTACTGCCTGCCTGCCCTGCACCCTACTATCTCCCCTAGTCTGCCCCTCCTCCGCCTGTGCGAAGTTCCATCTCCTCTCCCCCTCCCCCCTCCCTCCCCCCCCCAGGAAGCTGGCGGGTCTGGATCCCCCCTCCGCGGTGGCGGTGCTGTGGGCCGTCAGCAGGTTCGAACGAGCGCGGGCGGCAGCGGCAGCAGCAGCAGCAGAGGCGGGGGGAGGAGGAGCAGAGGCAGCGGAGGCAGCGGAGGGAGGAGGAGCGGAGGGAGCAGCAGGCTCCGCTGCCCCGCCGCCACCCCGGCGGCGGCGGCTGAGGGCGCTGGGCTGGGAGGAGGAGCTGGCAGTGGGGGATGGGGGTGTGGAGGAGGAGCCGGGGGGGCTGGATGGGGTCGCTAGGCTGCTGGGGGGCAGGGCGGGGGCGGGGGGTGGGGATGCCGGTCACCCCCCCGGGTTGCCGCTGCTGCTGCCCCCTCGCGGCTGGCGGGTGCGCTACAGCCCGCTGGTGCAGGTGGGGAGGCGACTGACTGGGGTGGTGGAGGGTGGGGTGAAAGAAGGAAAGTGGCGAGCTGCATGACGAGGCTGGAGGGGGTGGAGGGCGTGGGCTGGATAGTGGTAGAAAGAGATGCACAGCGGGGTGCAGTGGTGATGTGTTCGTGACGGGGGGAGGGGGCCTCATCGTGCGGTGGTGATGCAGGTGGGACAGGTGGCAGGGGGAAGGTGTACGGGGGGAGTGGGAACTGCTCGTAACGTTGATGGTGGCTGAAGGGTGCAGAGCACAGCAAGCAGGCAGGCACGGGAAGCGCTCCGTCCTTTCCCTCTCCTTTTCTCTCCCCAGCGCCCGCCCCCTCCCCTCCCCCCCGTTTCACTTTTATATAAATTTCCTCCCCCCCTCCCATTTGCTCAGGACCTCGCAATGGCAGCTGCCGGAGTGCTGCCTGCTGCTGGTGGTGGTGGTGGTGGGTTGAGCACCTCCGCCAGCATCAGCAGCATCAGCCCCCCAGGCGTCAGGGGTGGTGTTGCCCCCCCTCCTCCTCCCGCTGCCCCTGCCGCCCGGGTCCACTTTGCCGCCCTGGACGCCAACCAGATGCTGGACCTAGTGGGTGAGCCGGGGTGGGGATGGGGGTGGGGGTGGGTGGGGGTGGGATCAAATTAGGCCAAACCATGGGGTGGAGTGGGGAGGCGCGAGAAGAAAACCCACATATGACTCTGTGGCAAAACCCACATTAAACCCGTGGTTTGGTTTTGTTCCCTAACCCCCTTTCCCCACCCCTTCCCCTCCCCCCAGTCTCCCTGGCCGACCTGGGGGTGTATCCGGGGGATGGCTGGATGGCGGCGCACGAGCAGCGCATGGCAGCTCTGGCAGGAGGGGGAGGAGCAGGGAGGGCTGCAGCAGCAGGGGCCCGGCTGGGGTCAAGGTCCTGGGGGGTGCGGGGAGGTGGAGGTGGCAGTGGTGGGGGTTCCGGGGCCGAGGGCGGTCTGAGCCCCTACCAGTGGCGGCTGCTGGCGGCGGCGTACGGCAGTCTGGAGGGGGTGTGGGAGGGGGCGGTGGCGCCCCGGGCGGGGGAGCGGTACTGAGGGGGAGGAGGGGGGAGGAGGAGGGGAGTAACGAGAAAGAAGTGGAGCACCCGAATCCTGAATCTCATAGCCCGACCAATGATGCAATGACTGAGCGCGATGGTTGCGGTCAAGCTCAGGAGGTGGAGAAGAAGGATGTTCAATGTGTTGTGTGAGGAGGGGAGGAGGAGAGGAGGAGGGGGAGAAGGGCTGGGGGGGGCGGGCTGCTGCTGCAGGGTGGAGGGTGGAGGGAGGCGCCTGGGATGGGGGGAGGACCGGTGTGCGGGGGTGCAGGGGGCCCGACATGCGGGCAGTGCAGTGGAAGGAAGGAAGGGACTGCTTGCTTACGAGGACTGCTTGCTTACCAGTGCTTGGGTACGAGCGAAGGGGCTGGAGGGGGGCCCCGAGCTGCCCCTGAAGCAGCCCGCTGTAAGCCCTCTGTAAGCTCCCAGTAAACATGCATCCGACCATGCCATGCCGGCGACACCGGCACAGAGGCAAGGGCACATACTAGAGCAGTAGCGGGGCTGGAAGGGGAGGTGCGGGGATGGGAGGGGAGGTGCGGGGCTGGAAGGGGAGGTGCGGGGATGGGAGGAGGCTTGGGCCCTGGGCGTGCGGCGATCAGTGGGGCGCCATGGCAGCTGGAAACGGGTTGGGAAATGGGAAATGGAGAATCACCAAGGCGCTGTGCTGTGACATAGCCAACCTGGGCACAAGGAAGGGCGTCGGGATCATCGGGTAGTGATGAATCTAGTGATGACGGCTGGTGGTGAGCAGCATGAAGCGGAATGTCGGCGTCGCAAGGTCAGGGAACGGGATGGCTGGGGCTGTTGGGCCGTACACAAACGCTTGGATCTGGAGGTTTGAGGAACAGAAGCTAAGCGCGCATGGATGGTCTGGCATTTCGGTAGCTTATATATCCGCATACGTGATCATGTCATGCAGGGCAGTATATTGAAAACATAGGTAGCACCGCGCACGCCCAGCAATCAACATGCTCTCGGCGCTTCTCTCTTCATCCCTACGCCGTTGCGACTCCCATAAACGGATTATAGCATGTATTCACCACGTGTCTAGCATCCTTTCCGGCGGGAGCATTGGCGTTTGGCACTCGCCTGCCACTGGATGTAAGAGCCTCGTAACCGGGGTGTCTATTGGAGCGCTCGCAAATGCAAAAGATGAATTATGGCACCAAGCGGATACATATCAGCAGCGATGCTGCCTGGCCACTTTCGCCAGCAACACCTCAAGAAGTCCGAGCGATGCTCCAGACCTTCCCTCGCTGGCACGCCTGATCAAGCGGTATACGCAGTATTGGGCAGCTAAACGACAATGGGGGGACTGCGCTGCTGCCTTTTCAAGAGCCGCACAGGTGAGGTCTGCAATTTTGCAACCCTTCCTAGTGAAGTCAGAGCAGTTAGAAGGCAATACAGTTCTCCGCTGACGCTATGGCGCTATGCGCTGTGACGTGCTATAATCAGATCAAATGCTTTTCCTGACACCCCAACTCCGCCACCCTTCCTTCCTCACCTCTACCTCACTTCTCCTCCCTGCCCTCTCCCTTGTCACCTCTCCCAGCTCTGCGACCGCCCTGCCGAGCACCTCCTCATCCGCGGCCCACTACGCGAGCTGGCCGCCGCCTTCAAGCCGCTGGTACCTCAGCTGCACGACCCCGCTGCTGCCGTACAGCTGCTCCGCGCCCTCACCCGCGCGCACGCGCACGCCGTACCGCACTGCGCGGGCGAGCTGGCGGAGGCGCTGGTGGGGCGGCTGGGGGAGCAGCGGGGAGCCCTGCTGAAACAGCTGCGAGACGGGCTGAGCAACAAGAGTGGGAAGGCTGCCTGGAGGGAGGACAGGGACAGGGACAGATACAAGGACCGCAGGAGTGCTACTAGCAGCGGGGGTGCCACTAGCAGCGGGGGTGCCACTAGCAGCGGGGGTGCCACTAGCAGCGGGGGTGCCACTAGCAGCGGGGGTGCCACTAGCAGCGGGGGTGCCACTAGCAGCGGGGCGGCAGCTGCGGACTTGCTAGCTCAGCTGTTCTGGGTGCTCTCCATGGCGCCTGGGGAGCTGCTGCTGCAGCGGCTGGGCCCCGCCGCCGCCAGTTGCCTGACGGCAGCTTCGGAGCAGCTACGTGCCTTGCGGCGGGGGCCGGAGCAGCCGCCGCCGGACGCGTGCGCCGCTGTGCTGCTGGCGTGTGTCCGGCTAGCGCGTGTGGCTAAGGCATCGCATGCAGAGGCCGCCTCCTCTCACTCCCCCTCCTCCTTCTCCTTCTCCTCCTCCTCCTTCTCCTCCTCTTCTGTTCCCTCGCTTAGTTCCTGGGTTTCGGAGCACATGCCGCCGCTGCTGCACCACCTGACCGCATTCGTGTGCGAGCAGCCTCTGCCGCAGCAGCCGTACCCAGGACCCGCTGGTGCTGCTGCTGCTGCGCAGGGAGGCGCCCCTGCTGCCCCCAGCTGCTCCGTGCTGGCCAACACGCTGTTCGCGCTGGGGCGGCTGCACAGCGAGTGCGGCCACAGCCCCCTCCCGCGGCAACTGGAAGGGCTGGAGGTGCTCATCGGGGCGCGGCTGGAGCAGCAGAGCCGGAGGGAGCGGTGGAGGAGGCAGGAGCAGGAGCAGGAGGAGCAGGGCAGGAGGAAGGAGGCGGAGCAGGCAGAGGGCGTCGTGGAGGCCGGCGCTCAGCAAGACAGCATGAGCACCAGCACGAGCACCAGCACCAGCACCAGCAGCGGCGTTACCGACCAGCCTGGCGACTTCTTCACCCCCACCGAGGTGTCGCTAATGCTACTGGGCTGCGCCCGCCTGAACCGCCGCCCGCCTCCACAGCAGCTGCTGCAGCTGCTAGCGGAGCAGGCGGGACAGGCAGCGGCTGCCACGGTACTGCAGCTCAGACAGCAGCAGCAACCGCAGCAGCAGCAGCAGGGGAGGACAAGCGCCGCCGCCACCACCTCCACCCCGCTGATGACCACCCTGGACGTCTCCAACGCCCTCTACTCGCTAGCGCTGCTGGACGCCACCGGCCCCGGCGGCGCCTCCCCCCTGGACCTGCCGCTGCTGCGCCTGCTGCTAGCCCTCACCGCGCTGCTGACCGCCCGACCCCACGACTTCAAACCATCCACCCTCGCCAACTGCCTCTACGCACTGGCGCGCCTGCGCCCAGGTCACTCCCCGCTGCTGCGCGCCCAGCCGCATGATAACTACTACCAGACCGTGGATTCGCTGGGCCGCGGCAGCTTCCGGGCCCGGCAGGCCGCGGTGCGGGCGCTGGCGGGGGAGTGCGCGGCACGGCGCTTCGAGGGTTTCAGCGCCCAGGATCTGAGCACGGCTGTACTCTCGCTGGCTCAGCTGGACTACGGGGAGGCGGGATGGTACGACAGTGCGGTGGATGCGGCGGTGGTACGGCAGCCGGCGGTGTTCCTGCGGGGGGGGGCTGCGGGGGAGCGGGACTGGTGCCAGATGCTGTACGGGCTGGGGCTGGTGGGGCAGCGGGAGGCGGCGGGTGTGCTGCTGGGGGCCATGCATGCGGTGGGTGCGGATGTGGGCGGGAAGGAGGGTGGGCAGCGTGGTGGCAGCAGCAGTGGCGGCAGTCAAGATGTGCTGGGCATGCTGCGATCCCGCGCCAGTGCATTGGATTGCTGCGGCACGCTGTGGTCGTTGGCGGTGCTGCAGCTGCATGCACCCGAAGTGGGGGCGGCGGTGGCGGAGCGGCTGGGGGTGCTGCTGGCGCGGGGCCAGGTGAGCAATGGGGAGCTGGTGAGGGCCGCCTGGGCGCTGGGGGCGGGACTGCCCGGGCCCGGAGAGGGAGGTGGAGGTAGAGGTGGAGAAGTTGGGGAGCACCCGAGGGTACGGCACCGGCGACTGCTGGTGGGTCTGTTGCGAGAGGTGGCGGGGCGCTGGGAGGCGGCTGCAGCGCGGAACGAGCAGCGAGTGCGGGAGCGGGAGCGGAGCAGGAAGGAGCGGAAGGTGTTGTGGCCATGGGACGAGATGCCACTGGAGGAGAAGGAGGAGAAGAAGGAGGAGGCGGCGGATGAGTGGCCGTTTGACAAAGAGGCGTTGGGGGTGCTGTGGCGGCTGCAGGAGGTGCTGCAGGCGGCAGGGGAGGTGGAGGCGGTGCGGCCGCTGGTGGCTGCGGGGGAGTGCTGGCGGCGGCGGTACTGGCTGCAGCACGCCATGTGGCGGGCGGCGGGGCAGCCCGCCAGGCGCCCTCTCAGGTTCAGGGGGCAGGAGGGGGAGGCGAGGGAGGAGGAGGAGAGGGGCGCAGCACCCCGGGTGGAGCCAGGGGGCTCCGATGTGCCCTGGTACCGGTATTCGTCCCGGTCGGGGAGCTCCAGCAGCACCGGCTACCAACACCACCCGGGGGGGCAATGGGGACGTGGACGCTGGTAGAGGGGAGGGCGTTGGGACTTGGGAGGGGTGTGGCAACGGAGGGGTGTGCGGCGGTGCAGAGACCGCTGTGAGCCGGTTGTGCGGTTAATTGTGCGGGTGTGTGCGTGCGAGGTGCGGGAGGTTGCTTGGCAAGGGTGCGTGTGGTCCCCTAATGGACCCCCGGGACTGCGTGGCCCTGGTTGTAGTGGCTGGCTGGCTGGATGGGTGTCCGGCCCCTGTGTGACCTGTGGTGCGGCTGCTGGCCGGTATGTTGGATACTGGTGCAGGCATGCAAGCGTGCTGCTGCAAGTGGTTGTGGGGCGGGTGGGGGGGGGTCAGTAAATGCGCATTCGTGCTGGACCTCCCAACAACGGTTACAACAGCAGCAGCGGTAAGGGCCAAGTGAGGGCCACATACCAATGCATATGCGCCCCTACATGCTAGATGACCCCACCTGCTAGTTTCACGGCAAAACATGCAGCAAGCAAATCCGCCTCCCAACAGCTCCAAATACCACATACTTAAAACTGCTACAACGTACACCCACAAGCAAACGTCCTCCCACTGGGGCGTGCTGGCTACTACGCCCGCATATACCACCCAGGCACCCACTACTGTCCATCACAATTGCCCGCGGAAACTAAACCCTGTATCCAGATTAGGAATTCAGCTAGATAGCGTGCGTCAGACGTACTCCGTCTGTAAGACATCAGCCCTCCTACACGACGACTACAAACGCAAAGCCAAAAGCACAATGCTCCTTATCATGCACATGCAATTAAACTACTTCACACCGCCTCAGAGGGCCCCAGTCGAACGCAAGGCACGTCAGGGCACGCGCCCCCCCCACCGCCCATCTGCCCAGCCTTAACCCTGCCAGCCAGCCCGGATACAGCCAGCCAGCAGGGACGGGGTGGGATACGGTAGCAACGCAGCACGCAGAGCACAGCGGAACACAGCACAACGAAACGCAGCTGTACAGCACAACGCAGCACGCAGGTCGAGTTTCGAGGCAACAGTTAAACCTCCTAGATATAACAGGCAGGACGATGCATTTCTAGTACTACTCACAAACAGCATAAGAACGTAACACGGACAAGCCTTCCCACCTCTACACCAACATACATGGATGAGCGGTGAGTAACACATCGCATAATAAACCATGACCAATCAAGTGACGACGGCTGTTCCTTAAACACACACGCAGATCAAGCATGCGAATCAGGCTCAATGAGTTACGTACGTCGGCGAGGCCAATACGTGTGAGAGGCGCTCGAGGCAACGGGTGACCCGTGGGTCACTCCCCTCCAACTGGCGCGATGTCGTGAGGTTACCCCTCCCTTTAGGACTCCCTTACTGCAGTCTTGCTATACGCCCGCAGACAGGTCAGTTGCAATAGCCAGCTAGCATGTAGCGACCCGTGTCATCCAGTTGGTGGGTCAGTGGATCAGCGGACCCCACTCACATGCGCAGTCCTCCTCCTCCCCTTCCCCCTCCCGCCCCCCCTCCCGCTCCACCTCCCGCTCCTCCCCCTCCCGCCGCCTGCCTGCGCTGATACTCCCCCGCGCTGGTCAGCCCCCACCGTCCGCCCCCCAGGCACTCCAGCACGTGGGTGTGGTGCTGCAGCAGCTGCGGCCGGTGGCCCACCGACACGTAGCAGCCGATGCGCTTGCTGCGGGGGGGGAGGGGGAGCGGGGTAAAACTTTGCAACGTAGGAGGGTAGTTGTAGGTGTAGGCGAATAGAGGCTTATGCAGTGACAGGGAAACAGGTGGCAGCCATCGCAGCACTCCCCCCCTCCCGCCCACTCCCCCCGTCCCCCACCGGATGAGTCCATACAGCCGTGCCTCCGTGGGGCCGTCCAGCGCCGAGGTGGCCTCGTCCTGGGGGGCGGGAGGCGGGGGGAGGGATGACATGAGGGATGACATGAGGGCAAGCTGGAGGGGCCGCCTGGGAGGTGCACAAGGAGCATCACCGGCCCAGATCCCCACTGCCCGCTTCGCCTTAATACGTGGTCTCCTATGGTTTGCTATGTGGTCCCTGCCCCCCTTTCCCCTCCATCCCCCTCCCCCCCACCAGGAACGCCAGCGCCGGCTGTGCCGCCAGCAGCCGCAGCACCGCCACCCGCTGCTGCTCACCCACCGACAACACAGCCGACCAGTCCAGCTCCACATCCAGACCGCCAACCTGGGGGGGGGGGAAGGTGACGGGGGAGGGGAGGGGAGGAATTGCGTTGTGAGTACGTTCCTACTCGCGGCCAGTTTTCTTAACACACCTGTGTGCGAACCCGACCGACCGCCCCCCCTCCACCTAACACCGCATTCCCCATACGCCCGGCCCGCCCCCCCCCATCCCCCCGCTCTCACCCTCTGCACCAGGTCCGGCAGGCTCACATCGTCCAACAGCGACAGCAGCGCCTCGTCACTCAGCGGGGGGGAGGGGGAGGTGGTAGGGGCAGGGGAGCGCCCACCTCCTCCCCCTCCTCCACCTCCTCCGCTACCCAGCAGCGGGGACCGCTCGCCACGATTGCGCCCTCCCCGCCCCCCTCCTCGTGTTGCCCCCCCCTCCTCGTCTGTCCCCGCCCCTGCCCCCGCCTCTTCCTCCTCCTCCTCGTTATCGTCCAGCCGACTGGCGGGCCGGGAGGGCGGGGCGCTACCGCTGTAGCCTAGCGGGGTGGCAGGGAGGGCGCCGGAGCGTCAGGGGGAGGGGGTGCGGGAGGGGGTGTAGGAGCCATGCAACGTGGGGCATGCGACGCAGCAGGCAGCGCACCCAGATGACACCTACCTAATCCCCCGGGCCCAACCCCGCCCTTCCCCTCCGCCCTTCCCCTCCCCACTGCTTTGCCCTAACCTGTGGTTTGGTATGTGCTCCCTGACCCCGCCCCCCCCCCCCACCACTCACCCCTGCTTCCCGCCTCCAGCGGGAATGTCAGCTGCGTGCGCAGATCCCCCAGCGGCATGAAGGGCTTTTGGGGCAGAAAAAACACACACGCCCCCCCTCCCCCTCCCCCTCCCGGCAGCAGCACGGTTCCTCCCCCCGCTCCCCACAGCCCCGCAATGGCTCGCAGCAGCGAGGACTTGCCGCAGCCGCTGGGGCCCACCACAAGCAGGGACTGGCCTGCGTGCGTGTGTGTGTGTGCATTGGAGGGAGAGGGGGGCGGTAAGTTGGTGATGCGGGCGATGTGAAGGAAAGAGGAAAGGCAGCTCCGTAGCCGAGGAGAGGATGCAAGCACCTCACCCGCTCGCCTGCCCCTTCCCCCGTGCATTCACCCGAGGCCCCTCCCTCCTCCCTCATCCCCCCCCCTGGCCCCCCACCCTCTCACCCGGCTCCAGAGTCAAGCTGATATCCGCCGCCAGCAGCCTCCCGCCCCCTCCTCCCCCGCCTCCTCCTCCTCCTCCTCCCCCCGGGGTGACCACTCGCAGCCGCTGCAGCACCAGCCCCCGCACCCCCGCCGCCACCCGCCGCCGTATCACCTCCCCGCCACCCGCGGTAGACAGCAGACGGGAGGCGGCGGCAGCAGCAGCGGCGGCACCTGCTCCTGCACCCCAGCATCCCTCCTCCCCCCGCTCCTCCTCCTCTCCCCCTCCCTCCCCCTCCCCCTCCCTCTCATGGTGCGGTGCGGCGCTCATGGCATCAAGCAGCGCTTCCAACCGCTCCGTCTCAGCCTGCAGGGGGGAGGGAGGGGAGGGGGGGTTGAAGATGAGGAAACTGACGAGCTGTGTGACGAGGCTTCACCAGGGGTTGCTAAAGGTTTTCCTTACCCCCCTCCTCGGTTTATCCCCCCCACCCCCTCTCCAGTCATCATCACCGCGGACCCGGTATCGGTAGGGAATACTAACCAACACTTTGTCTTGTGGCGCCCTGCCAACTCCTACCCCCATTGCTTTGCCCTAACTTGTGGTCTCCTATGGTTTGGTATGGTCTTTGACCCCCCTCTCCAGTTCGTCCGTTTTCCTCACTTTTACACCCCTTCCCCTAATCTCACCGCCAGCCCCGCAATCTGCGCCAGGTTGTTTATGATGACCGACAGCGCCGCATCGATGCGCGAGAAGGCGAAGGAGGCCTGGCTGATCACCCCGAACTCGATCTCACCCGCAAAGTACCTGGGAGGGGAGGAGGGGGAGGGGCGTACATAGGAGGGGGGTCAAAACATAGGAGGGGGGTCAAGAAAGACAACCAAACCACAGGGGCGCCTCTCCCTGAATACCGTACACGGCGCAAGCAAGCAAGCAAGAGGTCTTCACCCCCCCTTCCCCCCCACCTGGGTGCAGTGAGCAGCGAGGGCGCCAGTATGGTCGCGTAGCTGTAACCGCTGGTCCAAAGGTCGTACAGCGCCGCCCAGCGGATGCGCTCGGCCGCCACCCCCAGCACGGCAGCCAGGCGGGACAGCACACGGACCCGCTCGGAGGACTCACCTGGGGGGGAAAGGGGGAGGGGGAGGCGGGTAGGAGAGGAATCGGGACACTTGAGGGCAACACCAGCAGCGTCACCGCGGCGCTTGTCAGGCCAGCTCCCCCACTCCCATGCATGGTTGCTGCTTCTCCTTCCACGGCCCTCCAAAACACACACACCCTTTCCCCCCACCCCCCAACCCCACCCCTGTAGAATGCGATGCTCTCCGCGTTCTCCCGCACGCGCACCAGGCTGAAGCGCAGGTCCGCCTCGCGGGACAGCATCCTGAAGCAAGGGGGGAAAGGGGGGGGCGGGGGAGGGGGGAGATAAGTGAAGTTATCAGACAGCGTGTGTGCGGACGGGGAAGGGAGGCCGCTGAGGACCCAGGGGAGTGGCGGCATCAGGTGCGACCCGGGGCGGGCCCCGAGCCACCTGCTGCCTCCACTCCCCTGGGTCCCCCTCGGAGGGGGCTCTTTCAACATCCAGTGAGGTTACCCTCTACTGTAACCCCCTCCCCCTACCAAACCCTCCCAGCCTCCCTCCCCCCGCACCTGTAGTACAGGCTTGTGAGCACCCTGCCGAACATTGCGGTGGTGACAAAGGTGCCCACCCCCGCGTACACGAACATGAACAGCACCAGCTGCCCCGACACGCCCCACAGCACACCTGGTGGGTAGAGTGGGAGAGGAAGGGGGAGGGGGGGAGGGCGTTCAGGTATGGGGCTATTACTGGGGTTTCGGAGAGAGAAGCCGGAGAGAGAAATCTCCAAATTATACGTTCCAATTCGCGGCCACCTTTCTTAACACCCCCACCCCACCCGCCCACCCACCCGCGAACGCCACGCAGTTGAACACCTTGCGGCACACTGTGAGCGACAGCGCCACACTGCTGCGCGTGAAGGAGCCCACGTCGTCGCAGATGCGCTGGTCTGGGTTGTCCACTCCGCCCAGACCGCAGGAGGGGGCGCGGAACAGGGAGGATAGCAGCGGGGAGGGAGAGGAAGACGAAGAAGAGGAAGAACCCTTGCCGACGGCACCGCTGCTGTTGCTGGTGGTGCTGCTGCCTGCTGGCTCCTTGTCAGCAGTGCAGCCACCGCTGGTGGTGCCGGCGCTGGTGCCGCTGGTAGCGGTGAGGGAGTGGTGGTGGTGGTGCTGGTGGGCAGTAGCGGTGGTGGGGGGGGAGGGGGGCAGCGCCTCCGTGTTGTCACTGCGCTGCCGTAGGTGGTAGAAGGCCCTGAGGGGGGGAGGGGGTAAATGAAAAGTGAAGCAACGGAGTTCGAAACCCAGTATTCCGAGGGGGGATTAGAGGGGTAGAGGGGCGTCATGGCACCCACAAGTCCCCTATACGACCCATCGCAACCTCCCTCCTATCTCTCCCACGCACCTGTTTGCAAAGTAGGCGCGTGTCAAACGGCGAGTGAGGTAGGCCCGCCAGGCCAGCACCAGCCGCTCCTGGGGGGCATAGCACGGGAGGCGGGGCACAGCATGTGGGCACAGCACGGGAGGCGGGGCACAGCATGTGGGCACAGCACGGGAGGCCGGGCACACGTGCCAGCACAGCACAGCACGGGACTCGGCAGGGCACAGCATGTGAGGACAGCACAGCACGGGTGGCGGGGCATAGCACGGGGGACACAGCACAGCACGGGGGGCGGAGCACAGCACGTGAGCGCAGCACAGCACGGGAGGCGGGGCACAGCATGTGGACACAGCACAGCACGGGAGGCAGAGCACAGCACGTGAGCGCAGCACAGCACGGGAGGCAGAGCACAGCACGTGAGCGCAGCACAGCACGGGAGGCGGGGACTAGCATGTGGACACAGCACAGCACAGGGGGCGGGGCACAGCACGTGAGCGCAGCAGAGCACGGGAGGCGGGGCACAGCATGTGGACACAGCACAGCACGGGAGGCAGAGCACAGCACGTGAGCTCAGCACAGCACGGGAGGCGGGGCACAGCATGTGAGCGCAGCACAGCACAGGAGGCGGGGCACAGCATGTGAGGACAGCACAGCACAGGAGGCGGGGCACAGCACAGTGGACAGGGTGGACAGCAGCACGCATGTGTGCCCCCCACCCCATCTCTCGCTTCAGCGGCCTCCCTCCTAAAACACACATCAGTGATTTCTAACCTCTACCTTACTATGTGTACCCCGCCCATTCAGGATTGTGACTCCGTCGATGCACTTATTTATAATTTTCCCCTCCCAGTGGCTTAGTTTATCCCTGTAGTTCCTACTGCCCCTCACCTCCATCCCACCCCATTCCTCCCCGGGCCCCTCACCTCCACCCAGGAGTTGAATGAGAAGAGCGGTGCGGCGATCAGGATGATGACCAAGAACTTACGAACCGCGGCGTAGAAGCCAGCTGAGGTAGGCAGGGGGCAGGGGGGGCAAATAGGAGGTGGATATTCCGCACAAGCCGGCATTAACAAGGATTGCACAAATGTAGCCTATGTAATCTCCCGACAGTACGAAAATACTGTTGGCGGTAACCGGTTTACAAAGACTTACATACAGCCGTAAGACTAGCTAGTAGCCACAGCAGCCACTCTGATTACGGTAAGTACAGAGCATAATACACGGATCTACAACAATACCCGCACAGCCCATCTTCCCATTCCCCCCGGCCCTTCTTCCCTCACCCACCTACGTCCTTGCCGGACAGAGCGGTGCTGAAGTCACGTTGTGCGTACGAGATCTGGTTAGGGGAAGAGGGGGGGGGTGCGGGTGGTGCGTGGTTAGCGGTCGTCAGTAATAGTGGCAGCCGGGAAATACTGGAGGATAGCCGGTGCAGGCTGGGTCGCGGGGGACGCAAGATGCGGTGCAATGAATGCGGGGTAGGTCTAAAAATCCTCTTCGTTCCTTCCTACTTAAGCTTGCAAGCCAATAACCCTAACCGCCTTAAGAGCCGACCCAGATCACCAAAGGGCCCCCCCCCTCCTCTCCCTCTAAGCCCGGTCTCACATGCACAGAGAAGAGGGTGGTGGCGAGGGCCAGGGAGATAACGGCAGCAGCGTAGCCCCGGGCTGCCCACCGTTCCTCACCTGGGGGAGGGGAGCGGAAGCGGGAGCGAGGGAGAGGACGGGAAAGAGCTACGGTATCTACTGAGCAGCGAGTTACCGATGGATGGAGCATAAAGGAGGATGTTCAAGAAATGGGGGTTATAGGAAAGAAAGCGTTAGTTTTGAATGCATGTTAGATCACTTGCATGTGCGGGTACTGCTGTTCCGGCCTCTGGATGGGATGTCTGTCAAATGGGTCACAGAGGAAAATGCGGCCGGCCCATACCAGTGGTTGATTAATGCCCATCACCCACCAGTAAACCATATTTTGGCGACTCGCCACCATTTGGGCAGCACAGAACTCAGGGATGCCGCGGTAGAGGCATGCGCAGCCACTGGGCTACTGCCCATCCTCCTCCCTGAAACGTCGTCGGAAGCGGCTTCGACCTGAAGAGCTGTATGGGGCGCAGCTGTCTGTCTCGCCTGGGCACCTGTGTCGACTGTCATCCTGCTGCCTTCTCCTGAATGCGACTCGCTAATTGCTGCACCATTACCGATCTACAAGGGTTTTAGCAAGAATGTGCAAGAAGCATACCGCAGGAATGCATGCGTGTGAAGCTGTGGATAAGCCTGGACTTGTACTATCGCAATGAGCTTGAGAAACTACCGATCACGAAACGTTTCTGCATCTTTAATTTTGGTCGCCGGAGGACGCTAAGAAGTAGCTATCGGTTCAAGAACATGTGCTTTATTGGCCCCAGCATTAACACCGTAAGTTGTTGCTCCGAATAGTAACTCTTTTTTCAATTCCGTACAACAATACGAAGCCTGCTGCTGGAAGCCGAAGGCACCCTGTTAGCCATTCAAAAAGTTTCCGGACTCTTGACTTATTAGACTCTGTGATGATGGATGGAAAGCCTCGAGTCGCCCACCGGATCTATACAATGTGCGCCCTTCATATGACGACTTCTTCATAACGAGCAGTAGGATTAGTCGATATATACTTATCAGAGCCATTATTACCGCATCGTGTTGGGTCCAGTCCTTGCTGGGTCTAACCGAAAGAACCGCGGTTCTGCCCTTGCACCCATTTTTAACGCGGGGCTTCTTCTGGTTGCAAATATTTTATGTAATTTAGCTGCAAATTCGAAACGGTTTTGGAGTATTCTGCGAGGACGTAGCATCTGACCAACTTCTGGTCTTTGCCACCGGAGTCTGCCGAGGGCTCTGTGCGTATGAGGGAGCTAGGTATAAGCATCAGAGGTAAGGCTACGAGTTCGAGGCACTCGCCTTAGACGGTACTTGGTCGAAAGCCATCTTGGGCTTGCATGGCCGCTCCTTGCAGGGGAGCTGAGGATGTCCCTTGCACGCTCTTGACAGGGTTTCAGGGGCACCGCTTGAATTTAGCCGTGATGTATGCGCACCATGTAAAACCTCTCCTGTCTGCCTGCGTGTGCAAAACCATTGCAATTGAAATGCAGTGGCGCTGGAGGCCGCTCTCCTGGCGCTGGTGGCTCTCGCTCTGCTGCCGATCGAAGTTCAGCCATGCGGCCACCATGTCGTGCAACGCGACATACAGGCCCTGGTCGCGATGCATAAGGCCCACCAAGCGGCGCACCCCATGTCCGGAGCCTGGGGCCCGGCGCATGAGGTCGGTGCAGGCGACGCCGACTACCCTGACACGTACGAAGGATATGATGACCAAGACACCTTTCAAGAAGCGGAAGATGATGGTGATGTTGAAGATGAGGATGATGTTGTCAATGAAGGCGGGGTGTCGCGATACGAGTGGGAGCTGGGCAGCTTCAGCGGGGAGGCGAGGCGCCGCCGCCGCATGCAGCAGGTGCGGGGTGAACGAGGGCCGCTGGGACCTGGGGGTTAGAGGAAACGTCCCCCATAAGAACAAGAAAGAGCGAGGCATTGGGGATAGGAGCGAGGCGACAGGGTGCCGCATGTGCTTCTTGGAGGTGACGTGCGATTGGAGGTGATGTGGGTCGGGGCGATATGGGTCGGGGCGATGTGGGTCAGCCTTGGTTGTAAGCGGGTGGGTGTTTCCAGGCGCTGGCGACAGGAGCTGACCCAGATCAGATCTCGTTCCATCTTCCCTCTTTCCCCCATCCCTCGGCCCCCGGCTCACTCGCTGCCATATGTGCGCTCCTCCAACCCTTCGTCTACTTAAACAACACCTAACAGCCCGTTTCGAGTACCCAATACACATTATTACCCCCCTCATCCACCCACCCCTCCCGTCTTCTTTCCCGCAGTCCCCCGCGTCCCCTCCCGCCCCCGCCCCCATCCGGCTGTCAGTGACCTATCAGCGGCTGGACGCACTGGATGCGGGGCAGCAGCAGCTGCTGGGGCGGGTGGTGGAGGGAGTCAGGCGCATTCTGCAGAAGTTCATAACGGTGGGAGGCGGGGGATGATTGACATGGTTTATTTGTTTTGTAGGAAGTCCATAGCTTTGGGGTCATGGGTTGTAGTTATTGTAGGAATAGGAGAGACGGGGGAAGGAAGTGGCAGAAGCGGGGAGGTTACGGCGGTGAGCAGCGCCTTTCATAGCACCGGTTGAGCTGCTCCACCGCAGACTACCGTAATCTCACACCCAGGATACCCACACTCATGTCTCCTCCCCCCTCCTCCCCCCTTCCCCCTCCCCTTCCCCCTCCCCTTCCTCAGATCAAGCGCCCCCCCTCGGGCGGCCTGCTCGCCGACCCCTACTGCGCCTCCTTCTCCCCCTCCTCCGGCTGCACCGCCTACTACCCCGACTTCTCCCTCCGCCGCGCCAGCAGCAGCAGCAGCAGCGCCCTGCAGTGCGGCCTGGCCTCCCTGCTGCCGCAGCACGTGGTCAACCCCGCCAACTGCTCGCGGAGGGCCACTGCGGCCACCCTGCAGGCGATGCTGGCGGGCAGCTGGACGGGGGGGCCGGCCTCGGGGGCGGGGGGAGGGGCCTCGGCGTACGGCTCCGGGTGCAGCAGCTACGCGGGAACACAGGTGGGTGGCGGGGGAGGGGGTTTAGGGTTGAAGGGTGAAGAGGGTTGGAAACGAGCGTCAGGCTGGGGCCAGCCATGGGCATGGACCCGGGTCGCGCTGCTGCTCCTGCCCCCACCCCCGCACCTTGCCTCCCTGTGGTGCGGTACAACACGGCCGGTCGGGCGTCTATCACGTTATGTACTGTAGGTGCTGCTCCGTCTTCCTCGGCCCTCCCCCAAACTCCCCCCGTCTCGTCATACAGCTCGTCAATCTCCTCCTCCCCTCCCCTTCTCCCCAGGGCGAGCCCACCGACATGTACCTCTACATCACCGCCGTACAGAACGCCGACTGCTCCGCGGGTGCAGCCGCCTGGGCGCGCCCCTGCCTGCTGGACCTGGGCGACAACCGGCCGCTGGCGGGGGCGGCCAACATCTGTCCCTCGGCGCTGGGGCTGCTTGGGGAGGAGGCGCTGAGTGCGGTGCTGCTACATGAGATGATACATGCGCTGGTGAGGGGGGGGAGAGGAGGGGTCAAAGTAGACCAAACCATGGGAAACCACGTATTCGGGCAGGAATTTGGGGGAATGAGGCGGCAGGGGAGGGGGGAATAGCAGCGAGTGATGTCCAACCGACCCACATCGCATTGAGGTGCAGCCCATGCCTTGCACTCCGCGCCTCCGTTTCTAACTTACGCTCCTGCCTGACCCACATCACCATCACCATCACCGTATCTACTGGGATGCTTACCGCCCCCTCCCCTCCCCCTAAAATCCAGCTTAATGCGGAGTCTTCATCCATTTTAATCCCCTCCCCCTCCCCCCCACCCAGGGTTTCACCGAGTCCATGTTCAACCTCACTCGCCGCCCCGACGGCTCCCACCGCCCCCTCTCGGAGGTGGTGCAGGTGGCGGGGGGCAGCAGCAGCGGCAGCGGAGGGGGCAGCGGGGTGAGCCGGCTGGTGACGCCGGCGGTGGTGGCGGCGGCTCGGGCGCACTGGGGGTGTCCGGGGCTGGCAGGGGCGCAGCTGGAGGAGGAGGGCAGTGCGGGCAGTGCGGGCAGCCACTGGGAGTACACACACTATCAGGTGAGTGTGTGGGGGGGGGAGGGGGAGTTGATGGGTACCCGGATATCTTGGGATAGGGGAGGGTGAGGCAGGTGGGGAGGCCGGCACGGTATGTAGTACATACATCGCTGCAGGTATGACGGGAGGAGACTCTTGTCGCTGTTTCTCAGGTGGTCTAGAAAGGCCCCCTGATCTCCCGTGTCTCCATGTGGCCTTCGAACTGCACCCCACTTCCCCCACCCACCCACACCCATGGACTTCAAATTCCAGTGCTTCACTTCCCCCCCTTTACCCCTCTCCACCCCCTTTCCCTCCCCCTTTTCCCCCTCCCCTCCCCCCCACCTCCCCCCCCAGGGCGAGGTCATGGTGGCCTCCACCATCTTCTCCGCCTCCGGCTCCCCGCCCGCCCTCTCCAACCTCACCCTGTCGTACCTGGAGGACACGGGGTGGTACGGCGTCAACCGCAGCGCCGCGGGGCTGCTGTCCTGGGGCGCGGGGTCGGGCTGTGCGCTGCCCTCCTCGCCCTCGTGCTGGCAGTACATGCAGGAGGTGCCGGAACAGCAGCTCTTCTGCGACCCCAGCACTGGTGGGGCAAGGGGGGGGGGGTTCATAGGACATGCCGAACCATAGGAGGGGGTGGGAAGGAGCATGATGGTGGGCGGCTGGGGCTGCATGGGGTGTGAAGACGAGCGGATGTGTGTTGGCTGGAGGAAGTGATCAGTGACAGGCTGACAGCTACCGACCCCTAGCGCATGGAGCCCACCCTGCCTCTGGTCCCCCCATGCGCCCTTTTGCCTCCGGGGTTCTTACCGGGGTTACTCCCTCCTTACCCCCTTACCTCCCCCCCACCAACCCACCCACCCCCCACCCCCCCACCCCCCCAGGCGACAGCTCCTCCCTCTGCAGCCCCGACCACAAGGCCCCCGGGATGTGTCGCTCGCTCAACTTCACGGGCGGCTGCGGAATGGTGCTCTCACGGAATGCGGAGCAGACGTGCCTGGGTGAGCAGAAGGCGGGAGGAAGACGGGTGGGGGTAAACAGGAGAGGCGGGGCGGGTGGGGCCGTGGCAGAGGCTGCAACAGGGTGGCCAGAGTATGGGGGTCAGGAGGGTAACACAGTTTCAGGCTCAGGGGAAAGCCCAGCTTAAGGAACCCCCGTCAAAGCCGGTCAGACCCAGCGCCCCACTCCTCCCCCCTCTGCTGCTGCAGGCCCCAACGCCGCCTACGACATGCCCGATGTGTTTGGCTGGGGCACCGGCTCCCCCTCCACCCGCTGCTTCCCGGTGGTGTACCGCTTCCAAGCCACGGTGGGCAGCAACAGATACACCTTCCCTGCGACAGGTGAGTGTGTTTGGGGGGGGGGTAGGAGAGAAAGGGGGGGGGACAAGGGGAGGAGGTGGGAAGGGGGACCGGAGGCAACCGCTGTGGACGCCCCACACGCCCCAACTGCCTTTCCATACCCATTTGCCCTCACTTGCCCTCACTTGTGCCTTGCCCTTACTTGTGTTTTGCCTAGGAACGGTTTCCCAAGGAACGGTTTCCCCCTGGGACGGTTTCCCTTCCAACGGTTTAGTTATTCTCCGACCCACTTCCCCCCTTCGTTGCTGCACTTATCACTTATTTTCCCCCCGCACAATCCATCCTACCAGGCCTAGACGGAGACACGGACGCCGCCTGCTTCGACACCTCCTGCTCCCCCGACGGCACCAAGGTCTACGTGAAGCTGCTGGGGCGGCAGTTCGAATGCCCCGCCGGCAGCTACCTCAGCCTGCCTCAGCTGCTGCCCTCCCGCTACTCCTCGGGCCGCATCGGGCCCTGCCCCGACCCACGGGTCATCTGCGCCACCCAGAGCTGCCCCGCCTCCTCCTGCAGCTCCACTGGCGGGGACTGCCTCAACGGCTCCTGCTACTGCCGCCTCGCCTACACAGGGCCCGACTGCGCCACCAATCTCATCACCGGAACCACAACGGCAGTCACCCAGGACGCTTCTTCCCCTGACACCAACACCAGCAGCAACACCTCCTCCACCTCCTCCCCGCCCCCTCCCGCCTCCGTTTGGACCCAGGTGGTGCAGATCTCCCTGGAGTTGGCTGATCCTGTGGTGCGGGTGCAGGCGCGGGCGGCCGACCTGGTTTCCCTGCTGGCGGGGTGGGCGGATCTGCGGGCGGGGGCGGTGCAGCTGGTGCTGGTGGCTCCTGCCAGCAGCAGCAGCGACAACACCAACAGCAGCAGCAGCAGCGGGAGTGGGAGTACGGCAGCTGGTGAGAGCAACAGCGGCAGCACCAGTAGCGGTGCCGTACAGCAGGCGGGCCAGGCGTACGACGGCAGCTTCGGCAACAGCAGCAGCCCCACACGCAGACGGGCTCTGCAGCAGCAGTCGGCCTCCCCTCCTCCCTCGCTGCCCCGCTCCTCCTCGCCCCCTCCTGCTCCCGCCGCTGCCGCCAGTGTGGCCACCGCGTTGCTGTCCCCCCCCGGCAGCGCCGCAGTGGCTATCCTGGTGGGGCGGCTGCGTGACGTCACCCAGCTGCAGCTGCTGTACGGACAGCTGGCAGCAGCGGGGTTTGCGGTGGTGCCGGGCAGCGCCAGCTTCCAGACGCTTATTACCAAGGTGGGGGGGAAGGGGGGAGGGGAGGAGGGGTAGGAGCGCAAGGGGGGTCGACATGCGGCAGCCCTGGGATCTGGGATTGCGAGATGTGCCTTTCCGCTTGTCGCTACCACGATTCTATACGTGAGCCCCCACCTCGCCCCCCTCCGACGTTCCCAACTGCACCTCTCATCTCCCCTCCTCATACCCCCTCCCTCCCGCTCCCTCCCCCCAGGTTACGGCCTCGCCTCCCCCTCCCTCCTCCTCCTCCTCCTCCCTCAGCGCCTCCCTCTCCTCCAGCTCCCCCTCCTCCTCCGCTCAGCAGGAGGACCACAGCCGCTCGGTCGTCATCATTGCCATCACAGCGGGAGCGGTGGCGGCAGCGGGCGTGCTGGTGGCGGGGGTGGTGGTAGCGGTCATGCGGAGGAGGCGCAGCAGCAGCGGCAGTGGCGACAAGCTGCCACGGCGCGCCCACCGGTACCATGCGGGTAAAAGTGGAGGCGGGGGTGGGAGTGAAGGCGGCGCGGGGGCAACTGTGGTGTATGAGGTGGCGGCGTCGGCTACCCTGCCCATATCCCCGGTGGCTCCTGCATCGCCCACCTACACACCCCCCTCATGGTCGGCGGCGACGGTGTCGGGCGGAGGAGGGGGTGCAGGCAGTGGAGGTGGGGGCAGTGGCGGTGGTGGCAGTGGGGGTGGCGGGGCTGCCGCGGTAAGCTACTACAGCACTCGGGCTGCGGCGCTGGGGCGGCAGCCGTCATGGCAGCAGCAGCAGCGGCCAGCAGCACCGGGGCCGGCTGCTGCGGGGGGTGCTCCTTCGGGGGGTGTCGCGGGGGGCCAGCCGTACGGCACTGGGGGCGGGCAGCAGCTGTACAGCGGCTTTAGGTAGTGGGTGAAGCTGTGAGCACACCTACACATGCTGTTGATTGAACATACAGCGATGGGTGTGATGGCTGATGGCGTGTGAGGGCTGATGGCGTGTGAGGGCTTGCATGTATCCGCATCGTGTGTGCAATGCGGGTTGGGGGCCTGGGCCTCGGCTTCCTTTCGAATGTCCGCCGGAAGGTCAACAGCGCAGGAAGGTGTGACCCCTCCGCTGTGACTCTATGTATGTTAAGCAAACTGGCCGCGAGTCGGCCCGCGATGTGTGTGTGCGCGTGCAGGCGGTGGAGACAGAGTGCCCGGGGGGCCGGGGGCATGTGACCCCCTTCACGGGCTGCTGTTGCATGATGTGTGTGGCGCATGTAGTGCTCCTTTACCAGTAAAGTATGTCTTGTACATGTAGCGTAGCGTATCGTGTGGGGCTTGCTGCTCCCCGTAGTGGTGGTGGTGCTAGAGCAACTCGGTTGTGGCAACAAGCAGCGTGGCTAGGGGCTCCAGACGCGATTTGATCAAGGTATTTATTACCGTAGTGTTACGACTTAGCAGGTGGGGTAAGTTTATTGTACTGTTGGTAACAAAGCTTTTTAATTATCTGCAATGCGAATTGCGCTAGGTTAGGTTTGCTTCTCGTGATGATTGACCAGCAGTACGAGAGAGTGATCTTGAGATCCGTGAACTCTTCCCTTTCGTACATCACTGCGGAACTGCTGTTTAGTAGAGTCGTCTGTACTACTGTGGTTATCGTGGTTGGTCCGAGGTGGTGTCGGTAGGTTTGTGTTATGCTGGCACTGTTTGTTGGCGGGCTAGGGGGGGTGCGCAAGGGCGGTGGGGGGTGGTAAGGGCGGCTGGAGTTGGGGCGCTTGCAGCATGCGCACATGTGCAGGAGCGTGCAGCAACCGCACTGCGAGGGCGGCTCTCCTTGAATGCAGCAGGGGAGAGCTGTGGGCTCGGACCTGCGTGAAGTGAATGATTGGTGGCAGTAGGGGTTTGGGGACCGGAGAGGGGGGTGAGCGCTGGGAGGTGTGGGCCGCACTGGCGGATGTGTTTGTTATCGGGAATTCCTGCCTTCGTACAAGAAGTACAAAAAGTCAAGAACACGCGTGGCCGCGTATATGATGTGTGTGGCGCGTGGCTACATGGCGTGCATGTGGATATGGTTGATGCGTTTTTTTAGCGCGGCGAGACGGCCACTGCGGTGTACATGGAAGATGGTCAATGTGGCCAGTGGTTTGTGTAGCACTGGGTTTTATGATGGTGCATGGTGCGACCTGGGACGTTTTGAACTGTCGTACAAGACGGGCTGCAAGGCCTTTGGATCCACGAGGAGTCCTGTCGAGTGCTCCTCTGGCGCCTTGGGTGGGGGGGTGGCAGCTCCCTGGAATGCTGGGGTGCTGTCATGTACCTCACGTGCGAGGGTGCAGGGGAGGGAATGCGTTTGCAGTGCTGCTGTAACTTGATAGCGGTTGCTGATCTGGCGGGTGGGGGGTGTTTGCGGCGCCTTCAGCCCGGTGTGAAAGAGGCGGTATCTGGGGCTTTGCTAATGCTTTCTGTAACGAGTATATCTTATACGCCGGCACGGCCATGGGGCCCGGCACGGCCATGCGTTCTCCTACCAGGGACCGCGTGGGGCGTTGCGAGTTGAAGACCATAATAAATTCATTTCGGTACTCCATGCGTGCGGCAGCAACGTGCAAGTGCTTGCGGGCTCTACCAGACGTGTGGAGCGTGTAGCGTCTGACAGCTTCGGCGCCAAACAGCAGTAAGGCAAGAGCACTCGACGGCTATAAGAGCCGCAGCTGCTTACATGGGGCGTGCATTTGCAAGGCGCGCTCCGCAGTTGAACTGCAACGATGACGAGTACAGCCGAATGGTCCAATGAAAAGACCGGGAGTGTCCGAACCCCCCCTGTGTCTCCGACACCACATTCGCAACCGTATGAGTATGAGGGTCAAGCTAACTTCTGTGTATAGCAGACGTTCCATGGCGAGCCAACGGTTGATGGTTAGAAGGCATACTAGGACTTCACGATGATGCTTCGGGTTTGATGCCAAATCGTGTTTGATTGTGGCAGCGGAAGGCAACTCCACCCGTCTTGCTTGCGTTGTGCAGGCGTACGTAGACCGTAGGAGGCCAACGGAAACGACTCCCGCAACATAGGCAACGCCAAGCGTATTGAGCAAGGCGACCTTATTGCATATAATAGCCACATGCCATGTATAAGAGTTTACCGTGCATACATCAATAACAGCTCTCTAGTCACATCCTAACCGACTCCTAGCTGTTTCCTTCTATCAAGGATTGCACATAGTAATAGGTCGACCAAAAATGTTCCACATAAGCCCACTGCTTGGGTGGAGCGAAAGCTAGGGCTTGAACCGAATGGGCAAGGGCAGTTCACGATATATAGGAAGACCCAAATGACGGTATATCTATTATAAATAGTACAATAGAATACGGGATATCTCATGCGCAAATGGCGTGCAAAGCCCGACCGGGTCGCCAAGGGCGGGCCAGCATGGAGCCTGGGGGGTAACAAAGTTCACGACGAGGACGCGCTTCGCTGGAAGCATCTGGTGTCACAGCAGGAGGCGCTTGCACTGTTGAGCCAGGCTGGCCCAGGTACTCCCTGCTTACCGGCTAACCATGTCGCCCCCGCCATGGCGCCCGAGGCTTGCAGCAGCGCAGTGGACTACACACGGGCGCTGCAAGATGACGCGCGGCAGGCCGTGTTCAAGCACTGGTGGGTTTGGGGACATAAAGAGAACTGGGGTGAACTACCTTCATGCACGCTGTGGTGGCCTGAACGGTTTCAAATGGCGCACGGATGGCAATGGCGCCAGCGTCTGGGAGCCCCGCTGGACCTGCGGATAGATGCCAAAGCCGCCAGCCGCCCCCCTCCATGCCGCCATATCGCGGCTCTGACCCTCCTTCCCTGCCCCTACTGCTCCTTCTGCCCACCACCCCCAGCCAGCTAGTGTCCCGCCATGAGCGGCTGCTGCTGGAGGGACAGGAGCGACTCAAGTATGTGCAGGTGGGGCGGGGGAGGGGGGAGGGGCAGGTAAGACCAAACGGGGGAGGGGGGGCGGACGGGCGCGGGAGGCACAGGTGGGGCGGTGGGTTCCGGCTGCAAGAGCACAGGGGGGTCCAGCAGGTGGGCTGAGCTGCTACATGTGCCGCGGCAGGTCACCTGCCCATGTCCTACATGGCCTCCTGGGCATGCGGCATGTCACCCCTGCACCCCCCCTCCCCATGTGTATGGTCTTTTACCCCCCCCGTGTGTGTGTATGTGTCGTACCCACAGACCCACATGACGCAGCTGAAGGCCCAGCTGCAGCCGGGGCCGCCGGCGGGGTTACCGGGGGAACCACCGCCGCATGCAGCTGCTGAGGCGGGCGGTCAGGCGACAGCACGGAAGGGTGAGTGCAGGTCGCACCTGTGCCCGGACATGGGGGTAGCCGCGGGGAGCTGCATGGGTCTCGCCAGGGAGGGGGCGCCAGGGCGGGAGCGCGGGCCGCCGGTGGGCCCTGTTGCCGCGTGTGTGGGTGGGGGGAGGAGGAGAGATGCTGGCCGTTGTTCGTTGGCGTGCATCCGATTGCCCCTAGGAGAGGGCGCTCTTCATCTAGCTCACCCCCACCCCCACCCCTCACTGGGTGCCCCTCCCTTACCCCCACCCAGGCCCCGACGTGCAGGTGATCCCGCTGCGGCGCCCCACCTGCTGGGCCTCCTGCTGCGGCCTGCTGGACCTGCCCGGGGAGCCGCTGCCGCTGCCGCTGCAGCCGACACAACCTGTACCACCACCACATGCAGCAGCAGCAGCAGCAGCAGCTGCACTGCCGCTGCCGCTCCCGCTGCCGCCGCCCGCCTACTTCCAGGAAGCTGCCCAGGCCACCCTTGCGGCACGCAGGAGGCAGATGGCCGCATCGCAAGGTGGCGGTGGGGGGGAGGGGCTGGACTGGGCTGGGCTGGGCTGGGCTAGATGGGGTGAGGAAGTAGCTTTTGGCTTGCTGGGAAGAGGAGAGCTTAGTGAGGCGCAAGAGCAGCCCTTGTTGCTGTGACACAACGCCCATCCCGCCTCTTTCCTACCCTTTCCTGCCATTGTCCCATGACACGCTGTCTGCCTCCGCGAAACCCCACCCCACTTCTTTTTTCCCCACCCCTCCTCCTCTGTTCTTCACCGCAGGAGGCGTGAGCAGCCCCCCACTAGGCAGCACGGGCGGAGCGGCCCGGGGCGCCCACCACCCGGGCGCGGAGGGCTCCGGAGGCGGCGCATCGCAGCCCCTGCCCCTGCCCCTGCCACTCCCCCCCGCCGCAACCGCCGCCAGCAGTGCCCCTGCCCCTGCCAGCGCCCCCCCGCCGGGTCCGGGTCCCCAGCAGGAAGGCCCCGGGGTCCGGCAGCCGGCGGCTCCTGCAGCAACAACAGCAGCGGCGGCCGCTGTGAAGCAGCCACATGCGCCGAAGGAGGCGGAGGCGGGTGTTACGAAGGCGGAGGAGCCGGTAGCAGCGGCCCCTCCGGCGCCAGCAGCAGCAGCAGCAGCAGCCCCGGAACAGGTGCCGCCCATGCAGCTGCCCAAGCTGGATGGCACATCACCCCTGCCCTCGCAGGGCCCGGCTGGCCCTCCCTCCCGCTCCTCCCCGCTAGCGCCTCTGACCAGCAAGGCACCCGGGGCCCCGCAGTCGCTGCTGCGGCCCCTCACCGGCCCCCTGCCGCCGCCCGGGATGCAGCCGGTAGCTCCCCCGGCGGTGGAGGTGGAGGCTGCACCCGGCCGCAAGTCGCCCCTGCCGCCGCTGCAGCTGGCAGGACCCGTCGCCTCCGCCACTGCCGCTGCCGCCTCTCAGCCACCGCCCCTCTCCGGCTTCCGTGCCTCCGCCCCTTCATCCTCCTCCGCTGCTGCTGCTGCTGCTGACCCCGACCTGGCGCGCTACCAGGACCCCGAGTCGCTTCAGCGGGTGATCCGCATCCAAGCGGCACAGCGGGGCCGGCTGGCAAGGAAGCAGATAGCTGCGACCCGCGGGCAGGCAGCAGCAAAACCAACGGCAGCCGCCGACTCTGCGCACCCTGCTGCCGGGGCTGCCGGGGCCAGGGCGGGCAGCAGCAGCAGCCCCGGCAGCAGCCCCCTAGCCGGCGATGTGGTGCTGTCCCGCTACCAGGACCCCGAGTCGCTCCGGCGACTGACGTGTCTGCAGGCGGCGCAGCGGGGGCGGCTGGCTAGGAAGCAGGTGGCGGGAATGAGGGGGCAGCGGGGGGCGGCGGCGGGCGGGTAGCAGGCGTGGCGGGGTGGGTAGCAGGCGGGGCTGGTGCCAGCTGCAGTGATGCACATGGACCCACAACTCTGGCCTCGCGCGTTGTTGTGCCGCTGTGAATACCGGTATTGAAGTATATAAGACACGGCGGTAATCCTAGGGTGCCTGCGAGGGTGAGAATGAGGGGTTGCTGCCTGCAGCGTCACTTTGCTGGAGGTGGTGTGGTCGTGGTGATGGGATTTGGATCATGTCTATACTTCGCATGAAGGCATTGGATGTGGAGTACGTGAGGAGAAGCCTGGGACAGCCGCCGTGTTGCCTGCGTTGAGCCCAACTCCTGGCAAAGCATCAGTGCGGCAGCGGGTGACAGACAGGGTGAAGTCACAGGTGTAGTCCCTCCCGAAGGCACAGGTGTAGTCCCCCTCCCGAAGGCACAGGTGTAGTCCCTCCCGAAGGCACAGGTGTAGTCCCTGACCGCATCGTCACCGGTAAGACTCCACTCGCTATGTGCCATGATGGGGCGTTGCAGCCGGCGTTGCCAAGGTTGCGCTGTTGGGGCGGGTGGGCGGCTGCTAGGTGCGCACTGCTGAAGCAGGACACATGAGAATAGGCCGTAAACCTCCTGATGCCGCTCTCTTTTGCGCCAAAATGCACAGCTGCCAAAGTGCGCTTCAGTTACGGTCTCCGAGAAAAGACCTCCAGGGCTACCCGGGAAGTCCCCTCATGCGCACAAAGGTTACAGTGCAGGGTTCGAATGTCGATTAAGAGCCTCTACCAGAAGGCTTGCGGCGCTCCATGTAACTGACAACACGCCACCGGTAGTACCCATGCATGCATGCACACCTTGGCACACATAAACAGCACCTGAACGTGTCCGAACAGCAACATAGCGGCATCACCTCTTCTTCTCACGAGTTCGATCATCAGCAAAACCAAAGCCACACATCATCATGAACACAGCAGGCGACATACACAGCCATACACGACCGCAAATGTACGGGAGTCGCATAACCCAAACCATCCGAAAAGAGTCCTTCTCCCCGCCAAAAAAGCACCGGAGGGCTGCTTATTCCTCCTCCTTTCATGCAAGACGCAGCTATACGGTGGACGCGCACAGCAGCAGCAGCAGGTCAGTCACACTGCCGATTAAAGCAACATGAAAGCGAATCAGGGTGCACCTCGTGGCCAACTAGCATGGATGCGCTCCAGCCCGTCGTCATACATTAGAGAGGAACCACGACACATCAGCGCGGCTGTGTAACCCAACGGCAGGTGGGGCGCAGGAAAGGCAAACAAGCACCAGCCAGCTTTGTTGCGCCAGCATTACCCTCTCTGCACATCACCGTATCCTTGTTAAACACAGGCTCCCTACGAAGACAGGCGACCGTTGCCCGCAACCCTTACGAGTCACCCGCCTCGTTCTTGCCCTTCCGGCGGTTCCTGCCCTTGCCGCCGCCACCCACAGCCTTGAAGCCGTCAGAGGTGGAGGGGCCGGTCTCGGCGGGGCGGAACGCCTCAGCGGGGGTGGGCAGCGCGCTGTCACCCAGCGACACGGGCGCAGGGGTCTCTACCTTGGCCCACTGCCGAGTGGGTGCGGCGGGGACCGCAGGGCGGGGGGCCGCAGCAGCGCCGTTGGCGACCTTCTGCGGCGCGGCAGCGGCGGCGGGGCCGCGAGCGCCCGCGGCGGGTCGGCCGGCGGCGGCGCTGGGAGCAGCGACCGGGGCGATGGAGGCGCCCGTGAGGGGGATGTAAGTGGTGGTGGCGGCGGCGGGGGCAGCGGCGGTGGGTGCGGCAGGGGCGGAGGGCGGGGGGGCGGCGCCGCTAGCAGTGGCCAGCACGACGCTGTGCTGCTGCTGCACCTGCGCCTCCAGTGCGTCAATGTTGCGGATGTGCCCCGCCACCGTGGCGGCCTTCTCGGGGTTGAAGCGAGCCATGGCGTCGTAGCGCCGGTGCGCGTCCGCACGCACCTGCAGGGGGGACAGGCACACACGGGGGCAGGCAGCGGCGCCGCTAGCAAGTTAGAAATTGTAGGTAGGCAAGAACCATGTCCTGTTCTTGTCCCCGCCTTTCCATTGGAAGCCTGACTGATCGCTCAGTTGCGTTTAAACCTCTCCTGCTTCCTACATGGCCCCACCGAGCCCCAAGCACGTACATGACGCCTAGGCCCGGGCCCTTCACGCCCACCGCCACTTCCACTCTCTCTACGCCCCCCCCGCCTCGTCATACGGCTCGTCAGTTGCCGCCTTCTGCCCCCCTCTTCTCCTGTTCCCCCCCCCCACCTGCGCCGCGGTGGCCACCAGCTCCTCCGCCATCCGCAGCGTGTCAGCCATCAGCTTCTCAGCCTCCTCCTGCTGCCGCCTGGGGGGGGGGGGAGAGGGAGGGGAGGGGGGTTACAGAGGGGCATGTGTACGGCAGCCGTAAGCCGAGGTCAACATGGGCTGCCATGCGCGATGTCAATGCAGCCGCAGCGGCACAACCCAGTCCCAGCTCCCATCCCAGCCCCTCACCCCCTCCCTCCGGCACACCCACTTGCTGTCCTCCACCGCCTTGCCCGCCAGCGCCCCCAGCTGCACCAGCTTGGTCGCCTGCGCGATGCGCTGCCGGCAGAAGGAGAGCTTGGCGGGCACCTCACCCAGCGCCCCCAGCGCCACACCCAACAGGCTCTCCGCAGCAGCCACGTACTCCACCGGGGAGTTCACCTGGGTGTTGGGGGGGGGGGGGGGAACACACGCAGGGAGCTCATGCAGGGTTGGTTCGCAGACAAGCAGGGACCATGACCAGCTCAGCTTTCCCCTATCCACCCCGGCCCATCACACCTCCAGCAGGCCCTCCCCACCTCCCCAATCCAATTTAGACCCCATCTTCCAGCCCCCCCATCCCATCCTCCCACCTGCGCGGTCTGCACGTTGAGCACCTGCTCCGGCGAGGCGGCTGCCAGGCGGCTGGGGTCCGCCAGGTCAGCCAGCGCCTCCGCCAGCACCAGCGACTCGCGGTAGTGCGCCGGGGTCAGCAGCGCGGACTGGAGGGGGGGGGAGGGGAGGAGGAGGAAACACCATGTGTTGAGCGATGGTGGCAACACGCTAGGGGTGACAAGTTGGCGGTGAATGGATTCGAGTAGGTCGAGCCGAGCGTGTGGAAGAAGGGGAGGAAGCGGAAGAGGCCGGGCCACAGACGCGCCATGGCGGCGTGCAATGGGTGTTTGGCAATCAGCGCACGCGGCTCCCCTGCAAGTGTCATGCAGTTGTGGTCCCATCCTTAAGCCACAGGTATGGCCTTTGAACTGTGAACTTGTCTTGTTACTGTTTACTGCATCTAGTGCCTTCCAGTGCATTCCTGCCAGCAAAGCGACCCATGTACCGGCCCAAGGCCCCACCTGCGGCTTGCCTCCCTTGCTGCTGCTCGCCGCGCTGGCTCCCTCCCAAGAGGCCTGCTGCCGGGCCGCCAGAGCAGCGCGCTTCTCCTCAATCTCGGCGGCCTGCGCGCGCAGCGAGTAGAGCTGCGCCTCCAGCGTGCGGATCTGGCTGGACACCTGCGAGGGGGAGTAGAATATCCAATGCGTTGAATAAGAATGCAAACCGTGCAAACCAGGCGACAAGGAGAGGGGGCCAGCGGTACCGAGCGTCAACAGGCAGGATGGCAGGATGAAGCGGTTAGATGGAGCGAAAGAGCGCGTCACCTAGTCGCGTAGCCGCGACCCTGTTTGCTCATCGGGGGCCAGCATGTTGTCAAGCAGTTTTGCTGTTGCTCCGGTTCCGGAGCCCCCTCCCCTCCCCCCCAAAGCCTGCCCCCACCTGAGCCGCTTGCGCCGCCAGGATCTCCGCCTCGCGCTTGTAGCTGGCGGCCTGCGCGGAGCGAGCAGCCGCGTCTTGCGAGGCAGCGCCCGCCGACTTGGACTCCGACTCCTGCAGCGACCAACATAGTGGGGAATCCAAGAGGGCTGATTACCGGTTGACAGCGAAGACCCAGGGGAACCCAACTGGATTTAGAGCACTAGGGCGCGATGTAGCGGCAGAACAGCGCAGTGCAATACCTTGGGCTGTTGACCTCACCCCAGGGAGGAGATAACAAAACGGAAAACTTCCATGTCTTGCTCTTACCAGCACCGATGCAATGCCAGTTCCTGACAACAATCGGACGCTGCTCAGGTTGGACAGCCCACACCGCGCAACCCGCGCGGCAGCACCCCGCGTAGTAACCCGCCCGCACCTCACCCGCCCGCAGCTCAGTTCATCTAACCCACCTTGAGGTGTCCGGAGATGACGGCCTTCAGCTCCTCAATGCCGCGCAGGCAGGCGCCCAGCGCCCCCGAGGGCGGCTTCACCGTGGGAATGGACTCGGGCTGCAGCAGGTCGAACTTCTCCTCGTGCAGCCTCACCAGCTGCCGGGCGGTGTTGGCGACCTCCCTGCACAGCGTGGGTGATACAGTTGCAGCGTGTTTGTGTGCACAGGCACCAGGCAGGTAGGACGGGTAGGTAAGGTTGAGGGCGCGGCAACATGGGGTTGCCGCTACAGTACTCCGAATGTCATGCGGTTTTAATGCGTTCATCTGTTAAGTCGTGTCAGCCCGCCATGCGTGAGCTGCATTCGATTTGGGTCAACGGGTGACCAGCAAAGACTGTCCTGGGATGTCAAGCCAGTCGGCAAGAGCTGCGTGGAGGTAAGAAGTACGCGAGCTCCAAGAGCATCAGACCAATCATAGTCTGTGCCCTTGCCCTGTACAGCCCCTTCCCTCCAAAGCACGTGTGGCGCACCTGGTCACCACGCCCTTGTTGACGGCGGTGAGCTTCGTCAGCGACGTCTGCGCCCGGGCAATCTCCTTGTCCAGAGAGGACACGCGCTCCAGCCAGGTGACGACGGGGTTGGCCGCCTCCGCCTCAGATCCGTCCCGCGAGGCCGCAGCCTTGAGCGACTGCACGATACCGCTCACCGCACGCTGCGCTGCGCCAAGTGTGTCTGGTGCATCCCCGGCCAGGGAGTTTGACAGCCGAACGAGCAGGTTTGCCAGGTTGTTGCAGGCGCCACCCTCGTTGGGCAGGAAGGATGCGAACATCTGGGCCAGCGCACTCTCCTTGTCGGGGTGAAGTGGCGTGGAGATGCAGCTCTCGGCGCAGATCTCAAGCGCCTTGGAGCGCAGGATAACCTGACCATGACAATCATATAAAGTTAAACGTTATTATGGGTGGGTAATTGGCCTTGAAAGATTCTAGTAAAACCCGGTGGTAAATAAAGGTAGGACTTGAATTGTTCGGCATCTAAAATAACAGGGACAGCCGACCTGCTTGAAGTCCAGGTTCGTTCCATCCACATCTGCGTACTTAAGCTTAGATGCCTTGTCGTTGGCCTGAAAGGCAAGAACACATTGTTAGGCAATGCTGCTGCAGACCTCTAGCACCCTATGTAAAGACAATCCCCACACGTGTCAATCGATAACAGGTGTACACACGTCTGCACAGGATCGATGCTGGTAAGCAAAGCTAAGATTCTCCGTCGCAATCCAACACGGGCACGAACAACTTCCCCGACATCACCAACCTGCCGCGTCCACTCCTTCCAGAGCTTAACCTTGTCAGCTTGCTGCTTAGCCTCACGAGCTCCGCGTTCAATGATTGCACAAGCCTCGCTCACGCCCACGGTCAGATCGGTATTGACTGGAAGGGCCACCGCGGCAGGCTGAGGGGCTGCCTTAGCTGCCGGCGCAGATGATGGCTGAGGTGCATTGCCATTGGCAGCAGGCTTCTTGTTTTTCTTCTTTTTGTTAAGCTGCTGCTCAGCCCCAGTTAGCAGTGAGAACGCGTTGTTTATGGAGGCCATGATTACCCTTATTTACTAAGAAATGCTGCTGAGGATGCAAAGGACAGCGGTCCCCTTAAAGGATGGCAACCGTGTCGTACGCCTCGACTGGGGCGTTGCATCTCGCTTGGATTGCATGTTTAAGCCGTCTACACAACCGGAACTCGTGTTCTTGCTTAGCATTGGCAAGCTTGGTACTTTTCGACTCGAAATGCTGACAACGCCAGACCTAGCCATCCTAGGCCGTCCCAAAATCCATCTCCGAAATTCTTGCCCATGAAGGATGTAAACCCGGATTTGTATGGACATGGAACTGAACAGCGTGGGGGTGGGTTCCGCTTTGCTAGGCGAGTCGTCGCCATGTTGCTCTGCTACAACTTGTACTCATCCCGCTGTGCAGGGAAAACGCTATGAGCAGCACGATGGCTGGCAGGCGCTGCGGCTGGCACAGCGTTTGCATCTGCCATCCTCGCCCGGGCCGCTCCTCCTTTCCTGCAATGACGTAAATGGGGAGCTCCTCGGCGGGCACGACAACCGCGCCCTTCATACCTTTGTGGTAAGCAACCTAACACAGGCGCTCATTTGCAATGTCGTTCCTACCATTAAAACCCTCGCGTCCCCGGCTGTACTCCCTATCCCAGCTTTGCAGATGTCCCGCCTGCTCGGAGCCCTCTGCCTCGGGCGGCACCAGCAGCCGCTCCGGTCGCGGCGGCTCCAAGGGCGGCTCCACCCGCATCGGTCCTCAGTTCAACCTGGAGGACTGGTTCGTACACTGCCAGGGGCCCGACTGGGAGGAGCCGCTGGCGCTGCGGCAGCGGCACCAGGCTGACCGGATGGTGAAGAAGGCGGTGGTGGTGCTGGAGGAGCTGCAGCAGCAGCGGGGGGAGCTGCAGCAGCGGGGGGAGCAGCAGCAGCAGGGGGGAGGGAAGACCATGAAGGTGGGTGGGGGTGGGCGCGGCTGGCGGCAAGTTGGGGGAATGGTTGGGGACTTGTGGCAGGAGCAGGCGGCATGCCGGGCACGCTGTTGCCGTGTTGCGCGTGTGTTAAAATAACTGGCCGCGAGGCGAAACGTACTGTGATTGCCGAAAGATGAAGTCCTCCCACCGAAAACGCCACAGGTGAAGTGAAGTCCTGCGCGTGTGTGTGTGCCGCACCCACCCCCCCCCTACCCGCGCACCCCTGCTCCCGCCTTCCCCCCCTGCAGGTAGCTTACTGCGACTGGCTGGCGGACTGCCTGCGCCGCTACAACCGCCGTGACCCCCAGGTGGCGGCAGCGGCGGCAGCAGCGGGGGTGGCGGCAGCAGCGGGGGTGGCGGCAGCAGGGGCGGGTGGCGGGGGCGGGGGCAGCGGTCTGGTGGGGCAGCGGGTGCAGGTAGGGTGGGTAGGGGAGGGTAGGGGGGCGCCAGGGGGGCGCAGCCTGCGATGTGGGTTGTATGGCTTGTATCCCCGAGGGGCCTACTGGGGACCTCAATCGTTCCAAGTTATGTCCCTGAACCCCACCACCCACAACGTGTTGTCGAAGCCGCTGCGCTTTGATGCCAGAAGATGCGGTATATGACACGTGCGGTTCGACACGTGCGCCGCAGTACACAGCGCTGGCACCCTCCCGCGGCCCACCCCGCTCCCGACAGGTGTTCTGGTGGAACGAGCCACTGGCGGGGTCCGCAGCAGCAGGCGACGAGGCGGGCAGGTCGGCCCGGTACGGCAAGTGGTTCGGCGGCCGGGTGAACAAGGTGGACACCACGACTGGCACACTGGAGGTATGAAGGGGGGCGGGGGTGCTGCGTTAGCGCTGGCGAACGCGCCTGTGTAGGTCGGGTTAGCGCGCTTAGTGGGTGAGGGCCTCTGCGGTCCTGCACCCTCCTGGTTATTTGACCCATGGCGCCTGGCGGGCACTGCCGTACAGGCTGATGGAAGGGACATTGACGGCTTGCTAACCCACCGCATGTAGATCAAGTACGACGACGGAGATCGGGGTGGTGTTTCGCTTGGCGTCAGCTTCGTGCACTTTGGAGCGGAGCCGCCAGCGGAGGGGCAGCGCGCGCGCCTGCCGCCCCCGCTGACGCTGCCTGAGGTGGGGCCGCAGCCCGGCTCCTCCCCTGCCGCAGCAGCGACAGCGGCAGCAGCAGCCACCAGCAGGGAGCGGAGCAGTGCAGGTGGTGCGGCTGCTGCTGCGGGGGGCGCACCCAAGCAGCCCAAAGTGAAGCTAGGCGTCAAGCGGGTGCAGGCGGGGGGTGCGGCAGCAGGTGGGGTGGCTGCAAAAGCTGCCTCTGGCGGTGCTGCTGCTGCTGCTGCTGGCGAGGGGCGGCAGCTGCTGGCGGGCAGCAGCCGCCCGGGCCGGCGGAGCAGCAGCGGCGCCGCGGTGCAGGTGTTGCTGGCGCGCAGCTCGGAGGGGGGCGAAGCTGGCGGCGGCGGCGGCGGCATGCAGGCGGCTGCGGCAGCGCCGGAGGCAGCGCAGGCGAGCGCATGCGGTGGGGGCGCTGCGGCGGGGACGGCTGCTGCTGCAGGCGGGGGGGGCCTGAATGCCACCCCCAGCTGCTCTGTGGCGGGCGGGAGCGGGGGAGGGGCGGCTGGCTCCCCCGAGGCGGGACCCCAGCGGGCGCGGGAGCGGGAGGGCAGCAAGGTGGTAGCACCCGCCCGTCGGGTTGCAGTCAGCGTCAGCAGTGGCGCGAGTGGAGGGATGGCAGGGGCGGGAGGGGCGGCTCCGAGTGCGGGCCCCGGCGCGGGCGGCTCAGCGGCGGCCAGCAGCTTCAGCAGCGGCTCGCGGGCGTCGCGGGCGGTCAGTCCGGCGGCGGCGCGGAGGGCAGCAGGGGGCGGACGAGGGACGCCGGCGTCCAGCTGTGAGGGGTCGCCACAGGTGGGTGGGGGGGCGGGAGGAAGGGAGCGGAGTCGGAGGGAGGGAATGCAGGCAAGCTGATTTGGGTTGCGCGTCTGGGCGGCTGGGGGCCTGCGGGCGGGGTATAGAGCATGCTTTCGGCGTGTGTGCCTGGCCTGGCCTCACCAAATACCTTACCAAATGCGCCTGTACTCCCGCCGCCAGGGTCCGACCGGCGGCACAGCTGCCGCTGTCCCCCGCGGCCCCGGCAGCGGCAGCCACTGCCCCGCGCAACCTGAGGCGCCAACCGCCACCGCAGCGACCCGGCAGTGCGGCGGCGGCGGCGGCGAGGAGGAGGATGAGGAGGCCCTGCAGCCCGCTAGGAAGCGGATCCGGCTGTCACGACCCGCGGGTGGCGCCGATCAGCGGGCGCCAGCACGCAGCAGCGGGGGCGGGGGCGGGGGAGGTGCTGTGGGTGAGGCTGTGAAGCCGCCCCGGCCGAGGCCGTTGGTGGCCTCTGCAGGAGGCGGGGCGGCGGCGGCGGAGGCGGCGGGGCCCCAGCCACATGGCCAGCTGCTGCAGCCCGCTGACCGAGGCTTGAGCTCACCGGGCCCGCCGCCACTGCTCCCACCTGACCCCGGAGCCGCCGCGGGTGCAGGTGCGGGCGGGGAGGCCGGAAAGGCCGCCTCGCCAGAGGTCGGCAGGGACGTGGGGTCGGGAGCGGCAGCTGGCACCGCAGTGCAGGCGCTAGCAGCGATGCCGTCACTGGCGGGGGAGGGAGGCATGGCTGCAGTAGCAGCTGGCGGCGCTGCGGCAGGTGGGGCGGAGGAGGTTGCGGCAGGCGGAGTGGCGGCCGGGACTCCTGCCGGGGCTCCAACCACTCCGCCTGCCGCTGCGCCCGCGGCACCTGACGGCTCCTGCGGCGGCGATGCTATGGAGGTGGAGCCGGGCGAGCCGGTCGCTGCGGGGGCGGCGAGTGAGCTGCCTCTGAAGGGCGGTGCCGCAACCGAGTCCATGGGGCAGCAGGTGGGCGCGCCCCGGCAGGCGGCAGCAGCGGGGGCTGATGAAGACCTGCAGGCCCGCTCCCATGCAGCACAGCAGCAGGCAGCCGAGGCGGACATGCCTCCGCTGCGCTCGGAGCCGTCGGGGCATTTGAGGCAGCAGCCGGAGCCCGCTAGGGAGGCGCTGCTGCAGCCTGCGGCCCTGCAGCCGGAAGCGGCTGCTGAGGTGGTTCGGGGGCTGGGGCCGCCGTCGCCGTCGGAAAAGGAAGAGGCGTCGCAGGTCGATCCGCAGGCGGCGGCAGGGGGCCGGCAGCAGCTGCAGCTCAACCCCCCGGCTGCGAAGCTGGGGGACCAGCTGGAGGAGGAGAAGGCGGAGGAGGACAGGGGGCAGCGGTTGGGACCGGGGCCGAGGAGGTACCACAGCGCCGCCGCTCCCACTCCTGACGCCGCTCCACCTGACGCCTCCGCCTGCCAGTCTATGGTGGAGGCGGGCAGCGACGCTGGCGCGACAGGCGCCCTGCGGCCCCTGCAGGGTCCGCCGCACCCCTCAGGCGCTCCTGCAGGGGTCCCTGCTGCTGCAAGCTGCCAACCAGAGGGACAGCCGCAGCAGCAGCATGCAGACCCCGCCGCCGCCGCCGCCGCAGCCGCCGGTGCAGCAGCAGGAGTAGCGGCAGCAGCAGTATCAAGCCCCCCTGCCCCCGACGGCGCCTCCCCAGCCCTGGCCAGCCCCCACAGCAACACCACTGGACCGCCCTCGGCAGCAGCGGCGCAAACAGCAACAGCCAGCGAGGCGGCTACGACATGCGCTCACGGACCCACGGGTCGTACCGCTGCTATGCGTGTGGATGCCCCCTCGGCGCCTTCCCGGGGCGGCGGTGAGGCGCCTGCCGCCTTGGGGCTGTCGCCGGGTGCAGCAGCGGCTGCGAAGGAGGAGGAGGAGGAGGATGTGCCGCCGGAACTGCGGCTGCCCGCCGAGTTGGCGGCGGCTGCGGGGGGGCTGCTGTTGGAGGCGGCGTGGTGCCGCTGGTGGCGGGTGGCGCGTCTGTTCGGGTTCGGCAGGCAGGGGGCGGAGGTGCTGGCGCGCGCGAGGACGCGGACTGAGGATTTAGTGGTGAGGCGGGGCGGGGGCACGAGGGGGAAAAGAAGAATATCCAATGTGTGGTGTGATAGTGGTAAACTAGCTGACAAGCCCAGGGCACGAGGGGGGAGGGGGCACCCACCCGGTCGACGTGGGGTAAAAAAGAAGACGAAGAAACCCAGTTCACCCGGACCTCAACCCATGCACTATCGTGCCCGGGCTATCGTGCGACAGGGGGGAGGGAGGGAACGGGGCAATGATGAGGACTGTCGGGGGCTGGATGGTCATAGTGGGGGTGGCGGTCCGGGTTTGAGAGACGGCGCCTGCCTGGGTATGGGTGGGAGGTTGCATGGGGATATACCGGTACGGACTTTCCAAGCCCAACATCACCTGCGGCTGACGTGGCTAAGCTGACATGGCGAAGCTGACGTGGCGAAGCCGGTAGCCACCCGCTGCCCCACATCCGCTTGTCAGAGAATCTCTTTGCCCCCCACCCGTCTCATGTTGTTTTTCCCTGCCACCTCCCCGCCACCTCCCTGCCACCTCCCGGCGGCTCTCAGAGGGACTTCAACGGCACTCTGGCGGCGTGCTGCAGGTGTGTGTGTGGGGGGGCGGTATGTGTGTGTTAAGAAAACTGGCCGCGAGGTGAAACGTACTGTGGGCGGTATGTGTGTGTGGGGGGAGGGGTTGCGCCGTGAGTGACGCAGTGTATGGAGGAGCTCTTCCTCCTCCCCTGCAGCATGTCGCTTGCGTCGCTGCATTCGGCCGCATGCCGACGGAGCTAGGCGCTGACCTCCGTCCCTGACACCCTGTTCCCCCCCCCTTGCTCCCCCCTGCTGCTCCCCCCTGCTGCCCCCCCCTGCTCCTCCCTGCTGCTCCCTCCCTTAGTGAGGCGGGCTGCGCTGCGCTGCACCTGCGGATTCGGGCGGTGCAGCTGCTGCAGCGGGCGTACCAGGAGGTGCTGGGCTGGCGGGAGGAGGAGGAGGGAGGCCGACTGGTGCGAGGGGGGACGGGGAGGGGAGAGGGAGGTGGCATGGCTGCCCTGACAAGGATACCGGTACTGTGCGCATGGCGGGGAGCGGGGTTGGGGCGCGACTACTGGTATGCATCGGAGTCTGGGTGGGCGAGAGGAGCCAGGAGGTGCAGGGGAAGGAGACGTGCAGGTTGGGTACCGCATGCTCGCATGGCTTGTCGCTCGGGGCCATGTCTCCTCCGGCGCTCCCAGCTGCCCCCACACATTTCCGTTTCAACCTGCCGTCTCCGGCCCCCCCGCCCTTTCCCGCTCCCCCCCGCTGCCCCCAGCTGCTACTGCTATTCGCGGCGCTGGCGGAGCAGGCGGCACTGGACACGGCGGCAGGCGCCAGGCAGCAGCAGCAGCAGCAGGCGGGGGAGGCGGGGGCGGGGGCAGCAGCGGCAGCGGGTGGAGGAGCTGCAGCGGGGATCTCAGCAGCTGCGCAGGAGTGCAGCGCGGGCGGGGAAGGAGGAGAGCACCCGCAGCTGCCCCACCCGCCCCCGCAGCCGACCCAGCAGCAGCAACAGCCGCTGCAGCGCACATCGCCTCCCCCGCACCCGCACCCGCACCCGCACCCCGGCCCGCCGCCACCCCAACCTGCAACCCAGGCGACGCCTCCCCAGCAGCCCCCGTCAGGGGCTTCCCCGCCTGAGCAGCAACAACAGCAGCCGACGTCACCACCGCCTCCAAAGCCCCCTGCTCCTGCCCAGCAGCAGCAGCTGCCAGCTGACGGCAGAGGTGCCCCCAGCAGCATCAGCAGCAGCAGCAGCATCAGCAGCGGCGGGCTGACGTCGGAGGATCTGTGGGCGGTGCTGCTGCGGTGCGGGATGCATGCCACGGAGGTGCTCATCGCGTGGCGGCGAGCTGACACGTGGGTGTGGGGGTGGGGTTACGGGCGCGGGGTTGCGGGGGCGGGTGTGGTGGGATTGGGCTGGCGGGGGCTGGCGGGGTGCAGGGGCACATGGACGTGACCCGCATGAGAACAGCGGCTGGAAGCCAGGAGGTGTTCCCGGCTACATTTCCGGCAGCGGCCTCCAGCGCTGTCACCCAGCGCCGCGCCTAGAACCGCAACAACAGTAATAACTCGGGGGCCCTTCCCTCCTCCGCTTCCGTACACACTGTTCACAGGCCGGAGGCTGCTGCGAGGGTTCGTGCGCTGCTGCCCTCGCCGATGCGGCTGCTGCAGGGTGCTGCCAACACGCTGCGCAGGAACGCAGTGCAACAGGGGGGCCCGGGCGCGGGCGCGGCGGCGCTGGCAATCGCTGGCGGCTGTCCGGGCGGCGGCTGGGGTGTTGGCGGTGGCGGCGACCTCCTGCGGTGCTTGGAGGCCACGGTGACGCGAGCAGACAGCCGCATGAAGCAGACGCTGCGGCAGACGCAGCAGCAGCAGCAGCAGCAGGCGGCAGGAGGTGCAGGGGGGAGCGGAGCGGGGGGACGGCAGCTACCCCCGTCGCAGCCGCCTCAGCCGGCTCAGCATGCAGATCAAGGTCAGCAGCAGCCACCGCCGCCGCAGCAGCAGGAGCCTCCACGACAGGAGCGTGTGCATGGAGAAAAGCAGCAGCAGCCATCGCAGCCGCCACCACAGCAGCAACTACAAATACATGTTAAGCTGGAGCAGCTAGACAGGAAGGAGCCGCCGCAGCCGCCGCAGCAGCAGCACATGGAGCTTGACGTGAAACCGCAACCCCAGCCACAGCGACAGCAGCAGCCCCAGCAGCAACCCCGGCAGCAGCATCGCCCCCATGTGTTACGCTTGGCCCCAGCTGGCATCACGGTTCCGGTTGCTGCGTCCGCTACAGCCGCCGTACCGAAAGCATCTGTGTTGCCCATATCAGGGGGTCCGCCGCGCCACCCCCACCCCCACCCCCAGCACCGCGGTGGTAGCAGCGCGGCCCCTCCCTGCTGGCGGCCCCTCGCCTCCGACCAGCTCTTCCGAGTCCTCATGCGCGCGGGCAGCAGAAACGCCTTCGCCCCCGTCCAGGACGCGGCGGGGCCGGCTGCGGCACCTGCCACCGCCGCCGCAGCAGCAGCAGGGGGGCCGCCTGGTGAGTCTGCGGCGGCGGTAGCAGGACTCAGCAACCCACCCCAGGTGGTCGGTGACGCTGCTGCTGCTGCTGCTGCGGGTGCAGCCGGCACACATGCTCCTCCGGGCACGTCGCCGCATGAGGCGCACAAACCGCACTCCCTTAGCAGTGCCGGGCAGCAGCCGGCAGCACGCGCTTACACGCCGCCGACTGCCCGGATTGGGGCGGCAGGACGTCCCCTCCGCCTACCGTCCAGATCGCAGCAGCAGCAGCACCGGCCTGGTGAGGGTGCTGCGATGGCGGGTGACTCCCCGCTGGTGGCGGCGCGGCGAGCCTTCCTTTCCCCCAGCTGGGCGGCGGGTGTGCTCGCTGCGAAGGCGCCCTCTGACCTGCCCTCACACCCCTCCGCCGCCGCTGCTGCTGCTACTGCTGCTGCTGTTACTGTTTCCGCCACTACTACCGCTGCTCCTGCGGTTAGTGGCGACAGTAAGACGGCGGCAGCGGTGGCCGGGGAGGGTGGTGCGGGTGGTGCAGGCAGCGCGCTGCCGGCTCCAGGGGCGGTGCTCCGCATGAGTCAGAGCTGCCTGGCTGGCCGCCTGCGAGCGGTGCTGCGGAGACACCTGATGCCGCCGCACCCGACCGCCGCCGCCACAGCCCGCCAACACCGGCGCCAGCGGCAGCAGCCGCACAGCCCCGATGCGGGGACCCGTCATGCGGGGGCGGCTGCCGCAGGGGCGCCAGCAGCTGGTTCTTCGCTCACTAAGCCGGCGGCGTCCGGGCAGGCTGCAGCAACTGCCGCCGCCGCAGTCGGCGGTGAGGAGAGCAGCAGCAGGCCTCCCGCGGCCTCAGCCGCCGGGTCACAAGTAGCTCCGCCAGGTAAGCAGCAACCACCACAAGAGCAGGGGCTAGGGGAGCAGCAGCAGCAGCAGCAGCTGGCGGAGCAGCGGCTGTCACGACTGCTGGCGGCGTGGGAGGGTCTGCCGCCCCCCAACCGCCGAGCGCTGTTGCTGGTGGCATGCAGGCTGGCGGCGGAGGGGGGCGGTGTGGGCGCATGGGGGGCGGTGGAGACCCTGGTGCGGGCGCTGGGGGCGGTGGCGGATGCAGCGGAGCGGGCAGCAGTGCCAGCTGCGGGGCCGGCAGCGGAGGGGCCAGCAGCAGGGGCGGCAGCGGCAGTGGTAGCAGGGGGCGAGGCAAGCATGCAGGGTTAGAGCGGGTTAGTGCAGGGTTAGAGCGGCGGATTCCACAGTTGCCGCTGCTGGGCAGAGTAGGGAGGGGTGTGAGGACGGAGGGTAGAGGAGGGGACTGCGTGTTTGTGTAGGGTCACTAGCACAGGTTCAGTTCTCTTTGGGCACCGCTGCCAGCAGCAGCAGCAGCAGCAGCTTGCATGTGGGTCCCTAGTGAGGTCCCTAGTGTGTACATATGTTTCTGCATTTACTAGGCATTAGGCATTCCACATGTGGTTTAATAACCCGCACAAGGGGTGCGCTGCCAGCCAGGCTGCCCCTGCCGTGTTCCCCAGGCCGCGCGGGGGCACGAAGGGTGCAGGTGGCGACTGTTGGGTGCGGCCTACATGTGGCGTAGGTAGCTATCCTGGAGGGGGAGCACAGCAGCGGGGTGTACAGGGGCTAGGCTCGGCAACATGTAGATATGAGCGTATGCCGTTGGCTGTGTTGGATGAAGCCGAGAGAAGTTGCGCTGCAGCTGTGCAACCCCCTTGAATTGTCACGCCGAGACCGGATCGTTGTTCTCCCGGCCCTTTGAGGGCATGGATTGCCGCACTGCGGACGTGGAGCAGCACTGTGCTACCTGCTAGCGGCTGCGGGGCGGTATGCAGTATACAAGTACAAGCAAGGTGCCACATGCGAATTGGACAATTACGTTGTGTCTGAGACTCTGAGTTACCCCTGAAGCAATCTCCGTGCTGCCGCAAGAAAGGCGCGGAACCTTAATACCGGTAGGACCTCTCGCCGCATTACAATGGACGAATGCCATTTCGGTACTGGCCGTGAGCGTCCGGACCAGCCGGGCATGAGGTGTGACATCGCGGCTTAGGGCGGCTGGATCCAAACTAACCACAGTCACACGGGTTGCTAGCACTCGGCGCCCCGTGTGTGCACGTGGCGGCTGTTCCTGCACTCATCTCGGGCGACTCTTGCTGCCGCAGTGCGACACATGTGTACGACAACGTCGACAAACCTTTGCAACAATCCTTCAGCAACAATTACCAGTACACAACTCTTGACATAGCAAATTGACTTGAACCTAAGCACACCTGTCCAAGTCGGCCTGGGAAGCGTGCATGATGCCGGAATGCTAGCGTAGTTTCCAGCAGGGCATGCGCCCACCAGGCCGACCTCGACCCGTGGGTCAGCAAGAAAGCACGTCCGCGGGAAAACACAACAGCATACATATACGATACAACAGGTTAAGCAAGGTACATGAATAGCTTATTGGCACACTTTACGACGTGGTCATTGGCAATGGTTTTCGCAGTGGCAACAGCTGCGGGCCCACATGGCTTGTCAGGTCCAGTGGCCAGGCTAGACAGGGTGTTGAGACATTCAGGCGGAAGGCGACCGCGCAGCTATCCTTCCATGCATCCAAGGGAACGTGCTGTCAAAATCCCAACCATGCACCAATGCGGTGTGTCGCTCGAAGGCGGCTGGGATACGTTTTTAATCCAGGCGGCATCGCTTCCATCCTAACACCGCCAAACACAGCGCAGGCGAAGGCAGTGCACATCACAACGCCCTTGTGAGCACGCATACAGCAAAACGGAGCAGGAAGCGATCACCAGAGCACGCTCACGTGCTCAACTAACACAAAATATACGTCATCTTCCCAAGGCCCCGTTGCCAGGCCCGCTTTACTTTGTTTCTGTATGTTGCATACGGTAAAGCAGTACTCTACACTACAGCTTATTCCGTCCTTAATCGCAAGCCCCTCCTGACTATGGTTGGCCCGCGGTTCAAAAACGCATGATGGTTACGCGGCTGCCACCCACCTACCGGTACCTATGCTCACCCCCACTCCAGCACCCCCTGCAGCTTGCCATCCTTTAGGTAGGCTGACCAGAGAGCCAGCAGGGACTCACGTGCCTTCTTCCTCTCCTCCTCGCTGCTCTCCTCACTAGACTCCTCGCTGCTCTCCTCACTAGACTCCTCGCTGCCCTCCTCGCTACCCTCCTCACTCTCCTCGACCTCATCTCCCTCCTCGCTACTCTCCTCACCCTCCCCGCCCTCATCGCTGACCTCCTCCGTCTCCTCTTCCTCTTCCTCCTCCTTGTCGCCCCCAGCCGCAAGTCGTAGCGCAGCTCCCGACCCCCACCCGCCTCCTAGCTGGACCAGATCGCCCGCCCCGTAAGCCTTGCTCCACGCCACCTTTCGCCCGCCATCCTCGCCCCACTTGAACACGGTCAAGCGAGCAGCCCCCGGGCTCACTACGGCGGGCAGGCACCTCTCGTTCCCCTCCGTTTGCAGGCATCGTGGCAAGTAGCATTGCAGGAACACGCCCGCGACGTCTGATCCGGCCTTGTAGTCAACGTACACACCCCACTCAAAGCCGAGCGCCGGCACACGGGACGCGCCATCGCAGAAGCTCCCACGCAAGCTGGCCTTTGCTCCCAGCGGCTGCTTCGCAATCTTTGCCAACTTCTCCTGTTCAATGGACCACTCGTACCTCCTTCTGGAGGCTGAAGCCGGCAACGGCGGCCGAGCGGGGGCAGCATACCATGGCCAGCTGCTTTTGAACTTAGAGGAGGCTGCCATGATGAAGGAGAGGAACTCCCGTTTTGTGTCGCCAGCTGTTGTGTAGTCGCAGAAGCAGCGGTGCTCCTTGCTTCCGAGCGGGAACCAGCGCAGTAGCGGCAGCACCTGCAAGAGGTAGGTGCTGCTCAGCTGGCTCAGCCGCACCCACTTGCACAGCCGCCTGCGTGCCTCCTCTGACGTCCCCGTGTTGACCTCCAACCAGCGTGCCAGCATGAGCAGCACGCTTGCCTCGTCGTCCGTGGCGAAGTGCTGGCTGCCCAGGAGCGCCTCCAGGGCGGCGGCGGGCAGCGCCTCCATCTGCTGCCGCATCTCGAGGTCGCTCAGCACGGAAAGGGCGTCGCGGAAGGACCAGGCGAGCAGCTGGCCAAGCTTGGGGCCACCGGGCGGCGGTTTCTCGCCGTTCCTAGTTCGCAGCGCCAGCTGCTGCCGACAGGCATCCAGGAGGCTGACAAGGAACTGAGGCCCCTCAGGCTCCTCTAGATCCGGCAGCAACGCGCGACAGCTGTACACCTCCACCACATCCGCCAAGCTCGTAACGCGTTGCAGCAGCTGCGCATCACAGGCCTCCACGCAGCCCTTGACTTCCAGCCAGCTTGCTGTCCGTCGGATGCACAGCAGGTCCGAAATGCTGCCGGCATCTAAAGCGCCGCTATAAATGAAGCGCAGGGCGGACAGCGCGGAAGGGAGCTCCTCCGGGGAGTTCAAGGAAACGCGGAAGACGGCTTTGCCGTCGTTTTGGTCGCAGGCTTGGGGCCATCGGTCGGCCTGGGCGAGCGTCCTGAAGAACTGACAACCGCCACAGATGACGAGTTTGTGAGCATGTAGCGGCTCCCCAACGGTGCATTTCCTTGTGCGTCCGCTTTCCTTCTCTGGTTGATGTTGATTAGCCGTAGTGCGATTGCCGCTCGCCGCCTTTTGACGCTTACTCGTCGTTTGTTTGCTTGTTTCTGCTGTCGCACCCTCGCCCGTGGTTCCCGTTTCAGCTACTTCTGTACAATAGAAGACTATCTTGCAATCCGAGAGTTCTTGACTGCCATAGAGAGTTGAAAGGTACTCGTTGAGCGGAATGGACATTGCGCTGGCGTCTAGCCAAACCTCAATGCTTTGTTGCAGTTACCAAACGCCAGGGTTTTGATGTCTACATTTACCCCAGAACCACAGCAAGCCCGCCAAGCAGTCGTACTCGTACACCTGATTTGGGGCTTTTTGGCGCCTTGGGGAGCGGCGGCCGCGCGGCCCCGCAGTTTACGCAGCTGCCCTTGGTAGGTTCAACAGAAAAATACCCACGCTGTACCCTTGGTAAAGGCGCTGCACAGGTGTCGCTCCCGCAAGACTGCACGCACAAGCGATTTACAAGCAGCGCGAACCCATTTTGCACTTCCTCGTGCTTCCTATGGTAACCCCCCCAGTCCCCAACCCTTAATTATGGTGGGTGTCACGGCTTCATACCCAGCCCACGAAATGCCTAACTGGGTAACACATGGGACGAATCCCACAAGTTGGCGGGACGAAGACAGCCCACCTCACCTCACCTACCATGTTGCAATGAAAACCAACCCATTTTATGATGCCATCTTGCTACGTAAGTCTTGTGCGTATCCAGTTCCGCGCGACACGTTCGTGCTGGGCGCGTTCAGGGCCAGAAAGGCTGAAAGGGCTGAAAGGTATGGCCACGTTGTACGGCTACTCGACTAGCACGTATGGAGTTATCACCATTGGTGAAATCGATTGCAGCTGGAGGGAGCCTTCCCGCAGTAGGCTTACATCGGGCCACTACATCTTCAACAATCCCTGATGGCCAATCGGCCCCGCGCGGCCGAACATGCAAGCCTGGCGTCTCCCTTCTCAATCCCTTCCGAGGTCACGTTCTCTCACGACGTCGTCAAGCTGTGAACGTAAACCTACGGACATCGGCAGACACAGAGTAAACCCGCTGTGCTCCTGACTACCGGGTAAATGAATAACAACCGACGACCCTAAACGCGTCCAGGATTCGGTCGTTAGAACCGATTACGCAATCGCGTAATCGACCCCACCACCGTGCTTCGCTCTGAAAACTACTGGTATCAATTCAAATCCACCCATACTCGAGAACGCACAAAAAGCCTGGGCAAAGCACTCACATGGCACCACTGGACTTGCAAGGCACCAAGTCTACTGACTTTCACACCATTTTCTGCTAATGAGCAATGTTGGCTTGCAGTAGGAAAGCTCTGGCTTGCGTTACATAGCCGAAATGTGAAGGACATAGTAACTGGAAGCTTAGTCTGCATACTTAAGGCGTTTGCGCCGCTTTAAGCTTAAATCTAGAGCCCATATGAAGAATATAGCAGTCAATATAAGTTGCCGATTATGGGTGGACGGGAGATGGACTCGTGCAAGCAGGGCTTGTAGACCTTGCATTTTTCCGAATCCCAGGAACGTAGCCCACTTCCCGTCACCTTCTCACACGCAACGCCCCCCCCCCGTCGCCCCCTTGCACCCATCGCCCATGCTCCCTCCCCCCTTCCTGTCATGTATCCGCTTCCTTACAGCCTTCACCGCCGTACCCCCCCGCGCCCTCCTGGTTCTGCCCCAGGCAATCCCGTCACCAAACCGGCCACGTACTCTCCTCCCTCCGCACACTTTGGAATTTCTTTTTTTCCCTCCGCTTCCCTGTGACTCCCCCCACCCGTCCTGTACGACCCAATTCACCTGAGCTGCTACATCATCACGTGGCAAGTGCTTTCAGTCCGGATTCTCCTAATGACGTCGTCGATTCGATAATACAGCGCCTGAGAGCGGGAATGAGGGTTTCTCGCATTGTGATGGTGCATGCCTCAGCGCATGAGCATGTCATGCGCACCGTTGCTTAGTGGAGGGAACTAGGAAGCCTGGGGATGAGAAGGAAGCTACATGATGAGGCGTGTTTACTTCGAGGATAGGTGGCTTGTCGAGTAGGGACTTGAAGCAGGGGAGGTGGAAGCGGGCCCTGAAGATAGCAGTGGAGAGCATTTACAGATACGCGTGGGGATCTGTCCTGTGCTTCTGTGGCCTGCTGTGTCGCTAGGCTTCGCACATCCGGGCTTTGAGGAAGGGGCGTTGGCCTGCGCAGCAGCGGTGGCAATAGCTCTATCTAGCGCTAGCGGCGTGCGGACGGGGCCTCTGGCATCTGCCGCAGGTCCGGAGGGCATGCCTGCTCGCACGCACGCTTGTTGTTGGCCAGCGCGGCAGTGCGGGGACGGTGCGCCGGGCTTTGGTCAGGACGTGTGGGCGCCGGATGGTTCAGAAGCGCGAGTATGCCTGCGCATGCAGGCGCCGGTAGATGGATAACGAGTGGAGGGATGCCTCCCTATGCCTTAACCCGGGCTGCGCCTGCGTCCACCTGCCTTTCCCGGTGCCTCCCCATTCCCTTGCCCGTGCGGCCGCCCTTCCACATGCGACGCCTCCCTGCCCTTCGCGCAGTTCTTGCAACCCACTGTATTCCCTTTTCCGCGCGGCTGCCCCTACCAGCAACTGGCGTACGGCCCCCTCTCCGTCCCCCAGCTCACGCTCTGCATCCCTGTCTTCCTCCTACCGCTGCCCCATGCTCCTTTTCGCACGCAGCGCCCCTCCCGTCACCCTCGTCCCACCCCGTCGCCCCACGCACCCCTCGCCCCTCCCCGTCGCCCTCTCCCCCCTTCCTGTCGCATTCCCGCTTGCTTACACCCTTCTCCACCCCCCCCCCCCGCGCTCTCCTGTGTCTGCCCCAAACGTTTCTCGTAGCCAAAACGCTCAGTCCCATGCAACACCGCAGTACACATAGCCGTTCCTGACCTACCCCTTTACAAGCCCCCGCTCAGTCCCGTTTAAGCCTAGCCGTCGTACACTTGCCTTGATGTGGGGCAAGGCCGCGTGCTGTTCTCCGCAAGCCATGTCACCAGCAATTTGCCCTCGGGCAGTACCTTCATTTGGTTACCCCAATCCTTGCAATCCGCAACGCTCAAACCTCCTGCCTTGCAGAAGTAATACGGTGTGCGGCTTACATGCAGATTACGTGACCCTCCCCCTCTGCCACTTCTCAAGGTCGAAGTCAGCAACCAAGGCCAACTAAGAGGCATAGAAGTAAACATACTGCCAGAACTGGACCGAACGAGTCGCGTTGGCTATGGAAAGCGACAGCCTATTTTTGATCCTAAATAACACCATAGGTAAGGCTCGTGAAGAGGTTCCTGTAACATGTATCATCGGCAAAAGTCAGTGGACTTGGTGTCTTGCAAGTCCGGTGGTGCCATGTGAGTGCTTTGCCCAGGCTTTTTGTGCGTTCTCGAGTATGGGCGGATTTGAATTGATACAAGTAGTTTTTAGGGCAAAGCACGGTGGTGGGGTCGATTACGCGATTGCGTAATCGGTTCTAACGACCGAATCCTGGACGCGTTTAGGGTCGTCGAATAACAACTAATATGTACACCCAACTGATGAAGTGCGAACCGGTACGCGCGCAGCCCAGGATCGTGGCTTGCTATGAGCGTTTTGCACATGAGCAACTCCACCACCCCTGTGGCCTACATTTGACTGCCATCAAGACGTGTTCCTACTCTTCCTTAGCCAGCTCCTTGGCCGCCTCTCAGAAGCTGGACTAACATACGTTTCCTACTTGTAGAATTATACTATGCTTATGATAAACCTACGTCTAGCCGAGCGGCTGCCATATCCATAGCCGAACTGCACTTTTAGCCCAACCCAGGTCTTGAATTGCTGAGCAAAATATGGCGCCAAAGCGTCGTAACCTTTTAGATGAGCCAGTGACCAGGGAGATGGCAAGTGCGGTTAGCTTTGGCGGGAAATGGCTACTGCCATGCTTGCTGACATCCACTTTTTGTCCATCCGGTAGGCGGTGCTGGGCCTAAGGGCGGCTTTCGAAGTCGCTTTTCCTCAGCGCAAAGACTGCACTAAACTTTCGGCTTTGGCGTCACAGGTACGCTGGTTAATGACTGCCAACCTGGTATAATTTTGCCGATACCCAACTATACTATTTATAATCCCGCTCCATCTGCTGCTTTTTCCCGATTCTTAACAGTTGCTGGGGGGCGCTCCCGCGGGTGCCGTTGCCCCTTGGTCGCCTCCCGTCGACGAATCCCGGATGGCCCTTGCACGTAAACTTTTCGTGGCGCTAGTAAGCTACGCAATCACGCAACAGCTGCGGTGTGGTATCAGCAATGGAGTGGAGGAGAGCGGCCTTCAGCGTGACGGTAGGGCCGCCAGCCCCAATAGCAAGAGCACAAGCTCGAGCAGCAGGGACAGCAGTGGTGGTGACCGCGATAGCAGCAGCGGGGATGACAGCAGCAGCAGTGGGGACAGCAGTAGCAGCAGTGATGACAGCAGTAGCAGGGGGGATAGCGCTGGCAGCCGCGGTGGGAATGACAGTAGCAGCAGCAGCAGGGGGAACGATAGCAGCAGCAACAACAGTGAAGACAGCACTAGCAGCAGCGGTGATGACAGCAGCAGTAACAGTGGGGACAGCACTAGCAGCAGCAGTGGGGACAGCAGCAGCAGCAGCAGTGGAGATAGCGGGGCACAGAGCTCAGGAGACGAGGATGAGGAGGCTATCCCGGGCAATGGACATGTATCTTTAAACACCGGTTGCAGAGGCAGGGGCCCACATGGCGAGGACCCAGCAGGCGGTAGTGGCAGCGGCGGCCGCAGCTCAGGCGGGTACGATCTTAGTCCTGGTAGCCGCAGTCAAGGCTGGAGCGGCTACATCAGCAACGGTCCCAGCTACAGCTCTGGCAGCTACGGCACCCACTCGGGTGGCTTGGACTCGGAGGATGGCTACTTCGGTGCCAGCTACTACAGCCGGGAGCCGCAGCTGCAGAGCGCGGGGCGCAAGAGCAGCAGCAGCAGCAGCGAGAGCAGCACTGGCAGTGACAGTGAGTACCGGGCGGAAGAGGAGGCGGAGGACGAGGAGGAGGAGGAGTTGAGCGAGAGCCTGGAGGAGGAGGAGGAGGAGGATGACGGTCGGGGCAGGACGGCGGCGGCAAGGAGAAAGCAGACCAAGCCGCCAGCAGTTAAGACGGCGCCAGCAGCTAAGGCGACGCCAGCGGCTAAGACGACGCCAGCAGCTAAGGCAGGGACGTCTAAGGCCAAGGCAGTGTCGACGCAGGCGGCAGCAGCGAAGCTAGCCCCAAGTAGGACTCCGTCAGCAAAGGCAGCTGCAGCTGCCGCTCTCGCCACCGCCACCGCCGCCGCTGCTCCTGTGTGCTTGCAGCTGAGCGAGGACGAGGTGGCCGCGGAGGCCGCCCGGGGCTGGGAGGCGCTGTCGGCAGGGGAGCGGCGGGGCTTCGCGGCGCAGCTGGCTCCGTTGCTTGAGGAGCTGGAGGCGCAGCAGCGGGCGCTGGGCCGCCCCCTGGAAGGGAGGGAGCTGCTGGAGAAGCTGGCAGGCGGAGGCCGGGAAGGAGCGGCGGGAGCAGGCGAGGTGGGAGGCGGGTCGAAGAGGCGCAAGCGGCAGCGGCAGGAGGCGGGCGCGGTGGATCCTGAGGAGGCGCAGCGGGAGGGGCTGCTAGCAGAGGCGCTGCGGATACTGACGGAGTGGCCCCGGGACGCGCATCTGTGGTGAGGGGGGTAGCCTGGGTGGTGCTGCGTGTGTGCCCTATAGCCATGCGTGCAGCTGCTATCGCCAGCGGCGGCAGCAGCTGCAGGCTAGTGATGCACCGCCAACAGGTGGCGTAGGCCCATACTGAAAGCTTGAAGCGTGTGTACGAGCTGCAACAGCTTGGTGGGGTAAAAAGAAATTCCAAAGCCTGGTGGGGTGGGGTGACGAGGGCGGTTGTGCTGGGGCGCGAGAAGGATTGTTGCCAGCCGTAGGTGGAGTAATTTTCAGGTATGAACGGCTGAAGGTAAACACCTGGAGGGTGGGCAAAGGTGGCAAACGGTTATGATGATGGATACAGTTGAGGGCATCCTTCGGGCAACGGCATTCGGTTTCTACTTTGTGCTGTGCAGCTTGTTACGGCGCGTAGGGTCCAGCATTGCACATGGGACTGTGATGGGGTGCCATGGGATTGCATTGGAGGAATGTAAGGACGCCAGGAAGGCGTCCGCACTGGCTAATCATTACGGCAGACATACAGTCCAACAGGGTGTCGACCGCGCTGCCCCAAGGGGCACGCCCTGCACATGGCAGAGAGCTGTGCCTAACAGGACAGCTGGAATCCCCTAGGTCGGAGCGCTGGACATACATGCGTCAAGGGCTCGCGGCAGTTTATGGCGGGTCGCTAGGCTGGCGCTTGCTGGGTGGATGTGGGAAAGTTAGGCATGGGCTGAGCTACATCTTCGGTTTGGTGGGCGATTGTGCGCCATGCAAGCGGTTTGAACGCTGAAGGGAGCCTGTGTTATTGTGGCTGGTCGCAGCTGTCTGGGCAGCTGTGGTGTGTCGTCACTCGTCAGGTGTTGCCTCCGCCAGGCGTGTCGCCGTATCACCTCACCGATTGCGGGACACCTGTCAGTTTGCCAGGAGCGAAGGCGGATGATATGGTGTTTTGGGTGCGCGCGACTAGCCTGCACCAGACTGCTTACCGGTAACCCTCGAGGCCGTGTCGTGGCAGGGTCTCGGCCCCAAAGGGCATGAAAGCTTTGCGCGCAAGGACATCCACCTTAATGCACGTTACAAGAGCAGGCACGGATTTCATTGACCCATGGGTCATGATGCTATCTTTGGCGACGCACTGAAAGCGCAGCGTGCAATGATGCTTACGTAAAGAGCAGTCCAGTCGCTTTTAGACATTGTAGCAGGGCACATCCTCCCCTTTTCGCGCTGCTACAGACATCATGGGCCTTACGAGACCCGTCTACCTACATTGATGCACCTCATCAATGCTATTATATGCAAAGAGCAGCAAAGTCACTTTAGAGTCTCATGGGCCTTCCCCTTACGAGACCCGTCTACCTGTGGAAGCAGGGGGCTCCAAACCCTAAAAGACCCTAAACCCCAAAGTCTAACCCGCACTCTGAACACCCACGACAGCTTCCTGGGTTGCACGCGGGTCCCGCGCTGCTAGACACCCAGGTGCGGTAGCCATCATCCGGTACAGCACACATCCACACGAGTAAAGGTGCCGCATTTCGAGGCTTCCTATCCGCGTTTGCTGCTGAGGCGCATGCATGCGGCAGCGCCCACACCATCGCCCTTCCCGCTGAAACAACTCCGTTAATTGGCGCAGCTGCACTGCGACCGCGGCGGCGCTGCAGCTCATCAGTTGCTGGCCTTCCCCAGGTGCGGCACACCCTGGAGGCCCCGCTTGCGAGTCTTGGCGGGGCGCTCGTCTAGCGCCTGAGCGACCTGCGGGTGACAGGTGGCGAGGAGAGGCGGGCTTATGATAGGGGGTCAACCAGTTGCAGTCCGCATGCACGCAGTGATGCGTACAAGGACGCTACTCATGGCGCCCACTTGGCTGGGCAACTCACCTGAGTGTCGTAGCGGTATATCTTGCTCCTGCCCTGCTTCCGACCCGTAAAAACGAACTCCGGGTAACTGCATGCACGCACCAGCATGTCAGTGATGGGGGCTCCGCTCTTCGGTTGCTAGCACCCTGGCCCGTGACTTACTCTAGCACGTGGTGATGCACGTAGGTGCGCCATCTGGCCGTCTTCGGGTAGCGTCGGTCTGGCCTGAAGCGGGGCGGCGTAGCGCATATCGGCATGTGCGGCGGGACGAGAATGATGCAGCGAGACGTACGCATGACCCGCACATGACCCGCACAGCCAGGTTTACCGCACATGCCCACCCGTGCCCACCTCCTGTCCAGTTTCGGCGATACCTCCGGGTCAGCCTCCAACATTGCTGCAGCATCCGAACTGGTCCCCTGTGGGCCCACTTGCAATTATATTCGCACGCACATACATGATGCCATAGGAGCGGCTCCGGCCCTAAAAAGTCCTTTCTCGTTGCTGCGCCCCCTTACCTCCTGGTTGGGAAGGGCCATGAACGCACGCCGCAGCCAGGCCTGCAGCGCAGGAGTACGACACACCGGTACCTTGAGACACAGTTGTACGGACCTCATCGAGGCACTTGCATCCAGCACTTTGCAAGGTGTGATATGAAGACAGCATGCACCGGTGCCTTACCCGGAAGTTGTAGGTCCCGTGGGGCACTCGGGGCACTCGTGCAGCCCACTGCAGATGACAGATAGGGTAGATTCAGCAACCACGGCAACAATCGAACATTAGGTTCTAACAGCGACGCACCTTCCAGAGGGTCTATACCACTCGCCAACATGTTCCGCAATTTCATTAGCTTCCCGCTAACAGACATGCGAAGCTTGTTTCCAGGGTCCGGTAGGTGTGCCAAACCTGCGTAGCGTGGGTCCGTAAACCCCACGGGTAAAATTTTGTCAGCTTCACCCTCATCCCCTCCCCACGTGCAGCTTCGCGACGCACTCGTTGCCCGACCCACCCAGCTTTTTCAGAGCTTCCCCGCGCTGCAGGTTCGGGCCAGGCGGCAGGGTTGCGAGGTGGGCCACCATCACCTACGCTGGGGAAGGATGGGGTTAGGCCGCATCACTGAGAGCCCCGCACCCCCGCCCTGCTGCCCACCTGGACATCCTCCGGCCTCCATCTGATGATGCCACCCGATGCCAACATCGTTGCCACGTGGGCTACAAACATTCCGCGGCCCATGTCGTCCTCGGCAGCCCCGGTGGCCCCTGAAGCAGCTTGCACCGCAGCCGCAGGGGCGGGGAGCTGCTGCTGTTGCGTCTCGGCGGGCCCAGCTTGCGGAGCCGTGGGGCCCAGGCGAGCGGGACCCACAGCTAGGAGCCGGGGACCGCCCTGCTGCTGCTGGTGGCTGGCAGCAAGACCCTGCAGCACCGCCGCGTGGCGGTCAACATTGCGCAGCAGCACGGCTACCGCGGGACATCGCAAATTATCAAGGTTGGCGCTGTCACCGCCGTTCAGTGTTTGCGGCGATCCTCTGCTGCATGTAAGCGCCATGTAAGGGGACGACATAGCAGGACAGCTTTCTGGTTTGGTGTGCTGGCGTACCTGCAAGTCTCAACGCAACGTTGCGGCTTCGTAGGGTGTCGTTGAGTCATCTCCATTATATCCAGGCAGTCAAGAGAAAGACGTGCGAAGCTAAAACGGTCGTCGATGCAAGGAAATGTGTGCTTGAACGAAGGAAAGCTTCCTAGGATAGATAGCCCAGCAAACGGCGAATGTTGTTACGCTCATTGACCTATAATAGTGCAGGCTCGGTGTCGTCAGTGCTTGCCGTCATACTCCATACAGTACATTGCAATAGGTTGAGTAAGACTGCTGCCATCCATAGTGCTCTATGCCCAGTAACGGTCTGACTACTGCAATTATGAATTTACAATATCTAGTTGCATCTACATTGATGGACCCATTTCGCATGCCTCAGCCGAGTGCCAACCTGCAAGCCTGAACATAACTTCCACTGGTCCTAGCTAAACTAACTGTTTACCCACTCATGGTGGAACCCAGCTTGTTGCCGCCTTCGCCGCTGCTTACTATTACCGGTATGTAGCATCAGCACGGGGCTGGGGAATGAAGAGGAGTTGCAATGCTAAGCGGAGCGGGGAGGAAAGGGGGTTGATATTGCGTTTCGGTGTGGTTACGGCCGTCTAGAGGGCGTCGGCTGGCAAGTATCCCGGGGCTGCAGGGATGCGGGAGCTGTGGGAGCTCCGAGGACTGCCGTACAGGCGGGTGCGGGTCGGGGCATACATGAGAGGGGTACAGCGTGAGGGCTGCGGGCTGCAGGACGTGAGTGGAGTACCTGTGTTGGGTGCAGGCGGGGTGGAGGTGTATCGCGCGGATGGCTCGGTATGGGTTTCGGTGGCGTGGCCTGCCAGCTGAGAATGCGGCAAGCAGGGTGCGAGCGTACAGTATCGCTTGACCGGCGGGGGTTCTACCGGTAACGGCATAACGAGAGCAGGGGTGAGCGGGGTAACGATGACATTGAGGATGAATTGCCGTACACACGCGTACATACAGGGGCTATATAACTAGGCTTGGATGCACTCTGCCATACTGAACTACTAGAATGCGCGCTGCCAGATCGCCGTTGGTCCTATTGGGCCTCACTTAACCTAGAGGCTCCCACCGGCACACACGGCATTCTCACCCTCGACCAGAGAGCGCTAGGACAAAGTGCAGGGGTCCTCCCGTCCATGCAGCACAGCCGTACAACAGCTTCGAACAAGTCATGGCTACAGGGTTACGAATTCCGCGTTTGCTGCTGGGATGTATGCATGCGGCAGCATCCACAGCGTCGCCATTCTCGCTACCACCGCCATTCTAGCCGGAGATTCGGCGCAGCTGCACTGCGACCGCTGCGGCGCTGCAGCTCATCAGTTGCTGGCCTTCCCCAGGTGCGGCACACCCTGGAGGCCCCGCTTGCGAGTCTTGGCGGGGCGCTCGTCTAGCGCCTGAGCAACCTGCGGGTGACATGTGGGGAGGGAAAGGGGAGCATGCATGGCTTAGCACAAGGGGTTTGAGCCGGAGACATACGGCACGCTGCATTATTGACGCAGCATGCCCTTGCTCGGCAAGCTCACCTGTGATTCGTAGCGGTATATCTTGCTCCTGCCCTGCTTCCGACCCGTAAAAACGAATTCCGGGTACCTGCATGCACGCACCAGCATGTCAGCGATGGGGGCTCCACTCTTTAACTGCTAGCACCCTGGCCCGAGTCTTACACTAGCAGCTGGCATTGCAGGTAGGTGCGCCATCTGGCCGTCTTCGGGTAGCGTCGGTCTGGCCTGAAGCGGGGCGGCGTAGCGCATATCGGCATGCACGGTGAAATCAAAAGCGATGTGGTGAGACGTACGCCATCCTCAACACATGACCCGCACAGCAGCCAGGTTTGCCGCACACGCCACTGCGCACCCACCTTCTGTCCAGCTTGGGCGATACCTCCGGATCTGCCTCCAGGATTGCTGCAGCATCCGAATTGGTCCCCTGAGGGCTCACATGATTCGCACATACGTAATGCCATAGGGGCGGCCCCCGGCCCTCAAAAGTCCTTACACGTTGCTGCGCCCCCTTACCTCCTGGTTGGGAAGGGCCATGAACGCACGCCGCAGCCAGGCCTGCAGCGCAGGAGTACGACATACCCCAAGTATAGTCGCGCGGGTGGGGTCTCATAAATGCAGCAACGCATCCTGCACTTTGCAAGCTGCAATGAGAAGACAGCACACACCGGTGCCTTACCCGGAAGTCGTAGGTCCCGGGGGGCACTCGGGGCTTGCAGCCCACTGCAGATGACAGATAGGGTAGATTCAGCAAACACGGCAACAGTCGGACACTGGGTTTTAATAGCGACGTACCTTCCAGTGGGTCTTCGCCATTCGCCAACATGTTTCGCAGTTTCATTACCTTCCCGGCGACAGCCATGCGAAGCCTGTTTCTAGGGTCCGGCAAATGCGCCAGACCTGCGCCGGGAAAAGCCCGTTCAGGCATAACTTAGTCCGCCTCACCCTCATCAGCATCCCCCACACACACATGCATGCAGTCGCATAACACAGCGCCCCAAGCCGTAGCCCCGACCCACCCAGCTTCTCCAGAGCTTTCTCCCGCTGCAGGTTGGGGCCAGGCGGCAAGCTTGCGAGGTGGGCCAACATGACCTACGCGCGCTGGGAAAGGATGGGGTTAGGCCGCATCACGGAGCGGCCCGCACCCCCGTCCTGCCCACCTTGACATCCTCCGGCCTCCATCTGATGATGCCACCCGATGCCAACATCGTTGCCACGTGGGCTACAAACAATTCACGGCCCAAGTCCCCCTCAGCAGCCCCGGTGGCCCCTGGGGCAGCTTGCACCGCAGGCTGTTGCTGTTGCGACTCTCCCGGCCCAGCTTGTGGAGCCGTGGGGCCAGCTAGGAGCCGGGGACTGCCCTGCTGCTGCTGCTGCGGTGGCGGCTGGTGGCTGGCAGCAAGGCGCTGCAGCACCGCCGCGTGACAGTCTACATTGCGCAGCAGCACGGCTACCGCGGGACATCGCAATTTATCAAGGTTGGCGCTACCACCGCCGTTCAGTGTTTGCGGCGATCCTCTGCTGCATGCAAGCGCCATGTAAGGGGACGACATACCAGGACAGCTTTCTGGTTTGGTGTGCTGGCGTACCTGCATGTCTCAACGCAACGTTGCCGCTTCGTAGGGTGTCGTTGAGTCATCTCCATTATATCCAGGCAGTCAAGAGAAAGACGTGCGAAGCTAAAACGGTCGTCGATGCTTGTGTGCTTGAACGAAGGAAAGCTTCCTAGGATAGATAGCCCAGCAAACGGCGAATGTTGTTACGCTCATTGACCTATAATCGTGCAGGCTCGGTGTCGTCAGTGATTCCCGTCATACCTCATACAGTACATTGCAATAGGTTGAGTAAGACTGCTGCCATCCATAGTGCTCTATGCCCAGTAATGGTCTGACTACTGTAATTATGTTTTAACAATTTATAGTTGCATCTACATTGGTGGACCCATTTCGCATGGCGTTTGGTGCCTCAGCCGAGTGCCAACCTGCAAGCCTGAACATAACTTCCGCTGGTCCTACCTAAACTAACTGTTTACTGGGAAGTACTGCAATATGACGATATGGTGGAACCCAGCTTGTTGCCGCCTTCGCCGCTGCTTACTATTACCGGTATGTAGCATCAGCACGGGGCTGGGGAATGAAGAGTTGCAATGCTAGGCGGAGCGGGGAGGAAAGGGGGTTGAAATTGCGTTTCGGTGTGGTTACGGCCGTCTAGAGGGCGTCGGCTGGCAAGTATCCCGGGGCTGCAGGGATGCGGGAGCTGTGGGAGCTCCGAGGACTGCCGTACAGGCGGGTGCGGGTCGGGGCATACATGAGAGGGGTACAGCGTGAGGGCTGCGGGCTGCAGGACGTGAGTGGAGTACCTGTGTTGGGTGCAGGCGGGGTGGAGGTGTATCGCGCGGATGGCTCGGTATGGGTTTCGGTGGCGTGGCCTGCCAGCTGAGAATGCGGCAAGCAGGGTGCGAGCGTACAGTATCGCTTGACCGGCGGGGGTTCTACCGGTAACGGCATAACGAGAGCAGGGGTGAGCGGGGTAACGATGACATTGAGGATGAATTGCCGTACACACGCGTACATACAGGGGCTATATAACTAGGCTTGGATGCACTCTGCCATACTGAACTACTAGAATGCGCGCTGCCAGATCGCCGTTGGTCCTATTGGGCCTCACTTAACCTAGAGGCTCCCACCGGCACACACGGCATTCTCACCCTCGACCAGAGAGCGCTAGGACAAAGTGCAGGGGTCCTCCCGTCCATGCAGCACAGCCGTACAACAGCTTCGAACAAGTCATGGCTACAGGGTTACGAATTCCGCGTTTGCTGCTGGGATGTATGCATGCGGCAGCATCCACAGCGTCGCCATTCTCGCTACCACCGCCATTCTAGCCGGAGATTCGGCGCAGCTGCACTGCGACCGCTGCGGCGCTGCAGCTCATCAGTTGCTGGCCTTCCCCAGGTGCGGCACACCCTGGAGGCCCCGCTTGCGAGTCTTGGCGGGGCGCTCGTCTAGCGCCTGAGCAACCTGCGGGTGACATGTGGGGAGGAGGGGCGGGTTTATGATAGGGGATCTACCAGTTGCAGTCCGCATGCATTCAGTGATGCGTGCAAGGAGCTACTCATGGCGCCCACTTGGCTGGGCAACTCACCTGAGTGTCGTAGCGGTATATGTTGTTCCGACCCCGCTTCCGACCCGTAAAAACGAACTCCGGGTACCTGCATGCACGCACCAGCATGTCAGCGACGAGGCTCCGCTCTTAGGTTGCTAGTACCCTGGCCCGTGACTTACGATAGCACCCTGGCCCGTGACTTACTCTAGCACCTGGCGTCGCATGTGGGGTAGCCATCTGGCCGTCTTCGAGTTGTATCGGTCAGGCCTGCAGCGTGGCAGGGCAGCGCGCGTCGGTCGAGCAGCGCACGTGCGGTCAGATCAAATGCGATTTGGTGAGGTATACGCCATCCTCAGCACATGACCCACACAGCAGCCAGGTTTACCGCACACGCCACTGCGCACCCACCTTCTGTCCAGCTTGGGCGATATCTCCGGGTCTGCCTCCAAGATTGCTGCAGCATCCGAACTGGTCCCCTGTGGGCCCACGTAATCCGCACATACGTAATGCCATAGGGGCGGCTCCAGCCCTCGGACCCTTACACGTTGCTGCGCCCCCTTACCTCCTGGTTGGGAAGGGCCATGAACGCACGCCGCAGCCAGGCCTGCAGCGCAGGAGTACGACACACTGGTACCTTCAGACACAGCTGTACGGATGTCAGCGAGGCACTTGCATCCAGCACTTTGCAAGCTGGAATTTGAAGACCACACGCGCCGATGTCCTACCCGGAAGTTGTAGGTCCCGGGGGGCACTCGGGGCCTGCAGCGGCCTGCAGATGACATAAAGGGCAGATTCAGCAAACACGGCGAAAATTGAACATGGGGTTTTAACAGCGACGCACCTTCCAGCGGGTCTTCGCCATTCGCCAAAATGTTTCGCAATTTCATTACCTTTCCGGCGACAGCCAAGCGAAGCTTGTTTCCAGGGTCCGGCAAATGCGCCAAACCTGCGCCGGGAAAAGCCCTAAACCGTTCAGGTATACTTTGGTCAGCACCGCCTACAAATGCACAAACCAGCACCCCCTCTATACGAAGCTGCGTAACACAGCGCCCCAAGCCGTAGCCCCATTCACCCAGCTTCTTCACAGCTTTCTCGCTCTGCAGGTTCGGGCCAGGCGGCAAGGTTGCAATGTGGGCCAACATGACCTACGCTGGGGAGGGAAGGGTTAGGCCGCATCACTGAGAGCCCCGCACCCCCGCCCTGCTGCCCACCTGGACATCTTCCGGCCTCCATCTGATGATGCCACCTCGTGCCAAAGCAGCCTCAACTTGAGACGCCAACATTCCACGGCCCAAGTCCCCCTCAGCAGCCCCGTTGGCCCCTGAAGCAGCTTGCACCGCAGCCGGGAACTGTTGTTGCGACTCTCCCGGCCCGGCTTGCGGAGCCGTGGGGCCCAGGCGAGCGGGACCCACAGCTAGGAGCCGGGGACCGCCCTGCTGCTGCTGCTGCGGTGGCGGCTGGTGGCTGGCAGCAAGGCGCTGCAGCACCGCCGAGTGACAGTCTACATTGCGCAGCAGCACGGCTACCGCGGGACATGGCAACCTGTCGAGGCTGGTGCTGCTGCTGTTGCTTGTCCGTTCTCCTCCACTGGAAATGAGCAACATACGATTAGGCAACATGGCATAACAGTTTCCAGGATTGGTGTGCTGCATACCCGTCATTGACATCCGCAATACGTTGCCGCTTCGTAGGGCGCCCTTGGGTCATAGGCATGACGCCAGTCTTGATGGGATAAGACTTGCAGATATAAAGATGCTAGAGGCCAACGAATAGGGATGCCAGGAGATGCGTGCCCAAACTAAACGAAGTTCCCCCAGATAGAGAACCCAGAAAACAGCGTTTGTCCTTTCGTTCTGCTATTAATGATAGACAACTTTGCAGACTCGGCGTCGTCATTGCATTCCGTACAGTGCAATACCGGGCGGTTGATTAAGGCTGCTGCCATTTGCCTTGCTACGAGGCCATCCACGCCGTAAGGCGCCCGACTGTTCATTAGGTACAATCTGTACTTCCAACAACTATAATGGACACACTTCGCGTCGCTATGGTTGCCATGGATGGATGTCTTGTGACAACTCAGCGTGCAGGCGATCGGCGCGCTTTATGATATGTTGAAGAAGGATTCTTCCGTCAGGAAGCTATTCTAGCCTGTAGGAGACTGCGACATAGCAGCCCTTTGCGAAATGCGATGTTAAAAGCAGATTGCCGCATGCTTCCATGGAGCTTGCCGCATCGCTGGTGGCTAGCTATGCACTTGCAACGTGCATGCCGTCCAGATGCTATTGTTCTTCTGCAGCAGCTAAACATCAACGCAGGCGGGAGCTGCGATCGGAAGGGCACATGGGGGGTTCCCGTCCTTTTGTACTCTCCAATACTATTACATACATGCACCGTCCTGCCCCAGACACGCGTACATACCTACTATCTCCGCACTCCCAACGTATCCGGACTTGCAGGTTCTTGACGTCCTCTGCTAAACCCCCATGTCGAAAACCAACAACTAAACAACTGGTGCCTCTCTTTGCGCCCCCCCACGAACCAAACATGCCTGTCCTGCACCGCCACTACCGTACCACCCCGCCGTGGGGGCCACGAATGACGAGGTGACAGCCACCGTGTACTCTTGCACGCTCTCGAGGAGATATCTGACTTATTTGCCCAACAAGCGAAAGCTTAAACTTGACACGAGAATACACGGCAGGTATTTATTTTAGAAGCCCCCTTTGAAACCTGAGCAAGCAAAATGCTGGCACCCCCAAGTTTCCATGTACTTTCAACAGCAAGTGCCCCCAGCGGCCAAGTATACCAGTGTCAACAAGGACTTGGAAATAACAGCAGTCGGTTGTCGGCCGACCTAGTTCAGACAAGGCGCCCATGTCGAGCACGTGCGCCCCCCCAAGCATGTGCGCCCCCCGTGGGGACAACAAGCAGCAACGCAACTCCCAGCCGTGCCGCCGCGGCGCAGCAGCAGCAGTAGCGGCAGCATCAACAACAGTGCAACATCATCCCATAGAGCGCGGAGCACGGAGGAAAAAGAACAGTAACCATGGCAAATAACACAAACAAGGGCGTTACCTACCATCCAAACCTGTCTTATTATTCGACCTACGGTAGCGTGATCGTCCACGTTTGTCCGCAGTGCTCTGCGCCCTGCCGGCGCCCATCCACCCCCCAGCAGCCCACACGCGCCCCCCTACACAAGCCTTCGACAGCAACCCAGGACAGTAAAGAGCAAAAAGCCCAAGCAGTGCTACGCGGCATTACCCCCGGTAGTGCTAATTCCCCGCAGGCTGGTGCCCGGGTCCTTGCTAACATACCGGTAGCCATACACATGTGGCGAATGAATGTGGATACGCGCGCGAAAGGGAGGCGTGGACATAGTGAACAAAGAATGCGGCCGGGCATACCCAGCCCCACGCATAACCCCCCCACCTGCGTCATACTGCTGCTCGCCGTCCCTCCTGCCAACTGACTCCCCGCCTTCACTGTCCACCCTCCAGTTTCCTCCTCTATATCTAGCCCCCTCCCCCTCCTCCAAGGAGGATCCCCGTCACACGTAAAAAAACTTTCATCCTCCACCTCTATACCCTCCTCGCCCCTCACGATTACGGTTCTTGCTTCTCCTCTACTCTACCCCTCCCCCTCAGCCCTCAAGCAAGGTGAAGCCTCCTCATACATCCCTTCTTTGAACTCCACCCCTTCGGAATTGGGACTCCGTTGCTGCACTTCTCTATATTTCCCTGCCCTTCTCACCCTCACCCTCCCCCTCACGCTCCCCCCAGCCCTCCCCCCAGGCTGTCCTGGTCCGCAAGCGCCACCAGCGCCACCAGCCGGTCCCGCACCTCCGCCGCCACCGCCGGCCCCAGCACCGCCGCGCCCCCCGCAGCAGCCAGCAGCGCCTCCTCGTCCCCAAGCAGGCACCAGCAGCGCCGCATGAAGTGCAGTGCGCACAGCCCGGCCAGCCGAGAGGCGGCGTGGCAGTGCGAAGCGGCCAGCGACAGCGCCGCCACCCAGGCTGCCCGGCCCGCGGCTGCAGGGTGCTGGGTGAAGCGAGCAGCCAGCTCGTCCTCCACCGCCGTCAGCAGCTCGTCTACCTGGGAGGGGGAGGGAGAGGTAAAGAAGAAGTGAAGCGAGGGGAGGGAAGGAAGGGCCAAGTGCCATTAGCTGCAGCTTCCCAGGAGTCTCAGGACCGACGGCAGCGTCCCCGCCACCCGCAACCAGGAGAGACTGCCTTTCGTCACCACCCTTCTCCTGGAGACACTACGATACCCCTCGGCAGCTAGGCCCACGTGCTAGACCCCCGGATGTGCACCCCGCGCACCCCCGTCTCCCTCCCAGACACGATCCTCCCGCCCCTCCCGCCCCCGCACCTGCAGGTAGTCTGCCGCCTGCCACAGCTGCCGCAGCTGCTCCAGCGGCCCCTCGCACCCCGCCTCACCCTCCCCGCCGCAACAGCAGTCGGAGGGCCCTCCTGCCGCCTCCACCGGGCCTCCTGCTGCGGGCTGCTGCTGCTGTTGCTGCGGACAGGGCGGCTGCAGCAGCTGCCCCACCTCCCGCACGCCCTGCGCCCAGCCCAGCAGCTGCAGGAAGACACGCCGGTTGGCCAGGTCGTCCAGACCCGGGACCTGGGGGGGGGGGTGGTAGGGGAGCAGGGAGGGAGGGAGTTGCTCGAACGATTGGCACAGCGGCGACTAAGAGTAGGCCTGAGGATACCTTGAAAACGAGCCGGAAAGAGGCTCTGCAAGGCCTCAGCTATCCGGAGCATGGCGTGCATGACCGAGCGGCCCACCACACGCCGCCTCCCACCCTCACCCCCAATCCCCCCCACACACACCTGCAGGATGGTGATGGGCCGCGAGCGGTCCTGCAGCCGTGACAGCCAGCCGTAGAGCAGCGGGGAGGAGCGCCGCAGCGCCCGGAAGGCCCGAGCCGACACCTCCACCTGCGCCACATGGGAGGGGGGCGCAGCCGGGGGGGGCGGGGGGGAGCACGTGGGTTCGGGAGATGTGCGAGGTGGGTGGGGCTAGGAAGGAGGGCGCATGTTCAAGGGGATGGCATGCCATGGTTTCAACGTGCCTGTATAAACCCCTCCCTTCCTGCCTCTTGTCCTAATCCCTCCCCTCCCCAACCACCCACCTGCAGGCTCCCAAACTCAAACACCACCCCGGGGCTCTCCAACGAGCGTCCGGAGCCCAGTGCCGCCTCCAACAGGCCCGAGGCGGGGGCAGCAGCGGGGGCGGGGGTGCGGGCAGCGGCTACTGCGGGGGTGGAGGCGCAGGTGGAGGCCCAGCTGGGGAGCAGCAGCGGCACGGCAGCGGAGCCCTGCGAGGGCTGCTGCTGACCGCCCGCTGCCCCGCCCGCAACATCCCCCGGCCCGGCTGCAGCTGCTGCGGGTGCCGCCGCCGCGTGAGGCAGCACCGCTGCGGTGGCGAAGGGGCTCGGCCCCCGGGCAGCTGCCTGCCAGCCCGCGCCAGCAGCAACCGCAGCCGCGGAGGAGGAGGGCAGGTTGGGGCCCGACGACTCCGGCACCCATGCTGCAGTTGTCGTGCTGCCGGTGCCCACATCGGACGCCAGGTGCGTGTCCGACAGCACCTCACACGCCCCAAACAGCGCTAGCCCGCCCGAGGACCCAGCCGGGGGCCACCGAGCCGCGCCTCCCGTGCCGCCCTCCGTGCCCATGTGCCCTCCGCCGCCGCCGCCCGCCACCTTGCCTGCAGCCGCTTTGGAGGCAGCCAGAGTGGTGGCGGCGGTGGTGGCGCCGCCGCCAGCGTCACCCGCGGCGCAGGTGGCTGCCGTAGCCGCTGCCGCCGCTGCAGCGGCCGCAATGGCGATCTGGCTGGCTGCGGAGTTGGATCCGCGGCCCGAGGAGGGGAGCAGGGAGGCCGCCATGGCAGCTACGTCCACAGGAACCGCCAGCGCCGCGGCCGTCAACTGAGCGGATCCAAAGTAGGTGTACGGCGGCAGGCTCGACGTTGTGGACGTACCCTCCCTGACTAGCGACCACGGCAGGGGCGCCGGTGCCGCAGCATCCGCATGGCTTGCTAGCCAGGACGCGACGGCCGACGTCCGGAGGCTCCTCTCATCCCCTACCACCGTTCCGCTGGCGCCGCTAGCCCCGTTTGCAGCTCCAAACACGTTATCAGCGATGGCCTGGAACCTGCACCCGTCGCCTGCCGCCGTGGCCGCTGTTACCGCCGCAGACGCGACGGGGTCCATGCTGCTCCCCATTCTGTCGTACCCGCCTGCAAGCCCCTCCCCCTCCGCGGGCTCCGCAGCCCCGCATGGTGACATGTCATCGCTGACTGAGGACATGAGCAGCATGCACTCCGCCGAGCAGCCGCCACCCGCTGCCTGCTCCCGACCCGCCCAGCCGAGCAGCATGTCGGCCCCACCTGCTTCGCCCTGCCGGTGCGCAATGGGCTCCGAGGCAGACCGCTCATGCACCCAGGCAGCCAGCGCACAGTGCTCCAGCGCCGCTACGGAGCCCTTCTCTGTGCTGCCATCCTCGGCGCAACCGGGACTGGGTGGGTGCTGGGCGGCAATGTTGACCGCCCTTCTCCTGCCCTGCTGACCCACCCCTTCGCCGCCCGACACCACTACCTCCTCATCCTCGGCCCCATGTGTGGTGGCTGCCTTAGTTGACTTCGCGCTGCATGCATGCGGAGGCTCCCCCTCCTCCTCCTCGCCCACGCCCAGGCTGAACCCTTGGGTCCCATCCGAGTCGCTGGGGCACACGCTGCGCACGTCCACCACCGAGCGGCGGTAGCGGCGGCGGTGGCGCGTGGGGTGGTCGCCAAGTGCTGCGGGGTCGGCGGCGGCGGCAGCTAGCCGCAGCGCCCCCAGCCCAGCGGTGCCCGCATGCAGCCCCATCGGCGCCGGCCACACGGGCGGCTCACTGGCAGCACTCTCCGCGCCGCCGCTGTGCACCTGCCCCGCCGCTGCCGCCGCCGCCACCACGCCGCCGGGAGCAGACTGCACTGCAGCAGCCCCTGCTGCGGCTCCCCCGCACGACCTGCTGCTCTCCACCGCCAACCCCTCCGCCACCGTCACCGATTCGCTCATGCTGTCTTCGTGGTCCACCCCGCCACCGCGCAGTCCCCGCACGCCCGTCAGCGAGGCGCTGCGCCACATCATGGCGTCCATCAGGCCCGCCACCGCCGCCATCACGTCCGTCAGCAGCAGCCCGGCGCCCGGACCCGCCTGACAGACGGCGGATGGGGGGGGAGGAGCACTGGTCGAGGCCCTGCTGTAAGCCCCCACGCTGCCGCCGTTGCTGCTGCTTCCGGCGTTCCAGTCGGCGGCCGCGGTGCTACCGGTAGACCCCGATGCCGACCTGCGGTAGCCCAGCACCACCCCCTCGGAGGTGACGCCGGTGGCCGCGATGCCAGCCCCCAGCGGCGCCTGCGCGGCTCCCTCCAATAGGTCCGCCAGGCCCGAGCCGCCGCCGCTGCCGTACACCCCCGCCTCCTCCCCCCGGTGCGCGCCAGCCGTCAGGGAACCCACGCTGTCCTCCATGCCCGCCCAGGCAGTGACGCTGCCGCCGCCCCAGCTGCTGCTGCTACAGCTGGCCGCCAGTTTCATGGCCGCCGCGAGCGTGTGCACCTCTGCTGGCCCCTGAGGGTCCCCTCCGAGCCGCCCCTCGCCATCGGCGGATGCGCCCAAGCGCCCAGCGGCAAGGCGCCGAGACCTCGCAATCGCGCTCCCTGCCGCCCGCAGGTCCACAAAGAAGGCCCGGAAGGCGCTGTCCAGGCGGCCGGAAGCCAGCAGCAGGCGGCATGCCGCCGCCAGCGTCGTGACCGGCTGCTGCGTCTCCGCTGACGTGGGCAGCGACAGCTCATCCAAGTTCTGCACGGGCATTGGCAGCTGGGCTGCAACATGGGCTGCAACCGCCGCCTCGCCGACATGCGCGCCGGCCGCATGCCCGCCCCCGAACTCCGGTGCAGCCCCCGCCTGCTGCCCCTCACCCTGTGGCCACTCCGCCGCGTCCAGAAACTCCAGGTCGTCATCCTCCTGCTGTGCGGCCTGCAGGGGCCCGCTGGCCGCAGTGGGTGGCAGGGGCGGATGGTACGGCAGCTGCAGCGGGTCGCTAGCCCACCTGGCTGACAGCAGCTCACCTGCGCGGGGGAACGGTAGGGAGGGTGTCGGCGGACAGGAGGGGAACAGTAATACAGTATTCATGTGCTTTACGATCCCATCTGGTGCGCCGCAAGCTGGAATGCGCCAAAATGACAGCAAATTATAAGACCCAAGCAGGGCGGAGTTCGCATAGCCAGCTATGCCCCCTGGTTACGCTCCCCTTGCGCTCACCCGCAACGCCAGGCGGCAGCAGCGAGTGGCACCTGGGCGGCGCGGAGATGACGTGGCACAGAGCCAGCGGCACATCCACCAGCTGTGCGCACTCCGCCGCCAGCGCACCGCGCCCCTCCGGACCCAGCAGCTGCCGCAGCACCTGCCGCCGCAGCGCCAGCGGCAGCGCGGCGGCATGCAGCAGCCAGCTCACTGCGTGCTCCGATACAGCCCGGCGCAACAGCAGCCTCGCAGCCACCGCATCAGACAGCGCTTGGGACAGGAACTGACAGACCACAGCGCAAGGGCGAGACAGCGGCCGGCTCGCGGCGGGGGCTGGCGGCACGGCTGCAGCAGCGTCATCTGCGTCCGCGGGCGACTGGGTGCGGTCCGCGGGCTGGTCCCCCTCCAGCGGCCCCACGTGGCACAGCAGCTCCGCGAGGTGCCCCACCGTGGGGGCCGCCAGCAGCTGCCCGCGCGCCCGAGCCGCCAGCCCCGCGTCCGCCTCGCCCAGCAGCGCCAGACACGCCAGCACCCCGCCCGCCGTCACCGCCGCCTCCAGGCCGTCCCAGCACTGCACCATACGAACCAGCACATCGGCCGGAGCGCTGTGCGAATCGTGCGCCCTGCCGATACCTGCGCAGTGCTCTTCCGCCGAACCCGAGCCCAGCTGTCGTGGCGGCGGCAGCAGCGCCTGGCCAACCTCCACAGCCAAGGCTACCTCTGCCAAAAAGGGCGGCCCCTCCTCCGCCATGCCCTGCGTGGCTGTGGTGCCCAGCGCGATGGAAGGAGCCGCGGCCGCATCACACAGCAGGAACAGCGCGCGGCTGCAGTTCCGCAGCACCGCGTCCCTCGTGGCGTGCGGCAGGGGTGGCCCCAGCTGCGGCGCAGGGTGCGGCAGCTGAGGCGGCTGCTGCGGACAAGGCCCGGCGGGACTGGCGCGGGAGTGCTGGCTGTCCGTCCCGTTGCTGCAAGGGCCCGCGGAGCCCGAGGACCCCGGGAGTGATCCGCAGCTGGAGGCTGGGGCGCTGGCGGGCAGCACCAGGTCCTCGCACGCCGCTGCGGACATGAAGGCAGCGATGTTGCCGGGGGTGACGCCGCTGCACACCGCCCGCTTGGCGTGCAGCGACCCGCCGGCCAGTTGCACCAGCAGCCAGCTCGCCTGGAGGTGTGGGTGGGGTGCACAGGGCGGCGGCAAGCTGACAGGCACGCGGTTACGCTGGTCGTCCGGCTCGTCAACCGGCGGCTCGTCAAGCTAAGCAAACAACCTGTCCCATAATTGCGCTCAAGGCTCCTTCACTGGGAGCGTCTCGCTTGCGCAGCACCCAAACCCCAGCCGCAAGTGACAACTACTTGCCTGCAGGCATGCCGCGCCCAGCGCCCGGTCAGTGGTCGAAGTGTCTGCCTCGCCTCCTCCCAACTCCGCCAGCTCGGAGGGCAAGGGAGTCGCAGCTGCAGGTTGGCATGACGCCGGCTGCCGCCCAACTGAGCCACCATAGACCTCCTCCAGGCGGTGTGTAAGGCTTCGCACAACACGCCCGAACGGTTGCGCAATACCCAAGTCGCACAAGTGTTCCACTTCCGATGGGCCCTGCTCGTGAGAGGTTCGTGGTAGCAGTGTGAGCTACGGTTCCACAAGTTTACCCACACCTTCCCTCAAGAGGTGTCAGAGGAAGCAGTTACCTTGAAGCAATCCTCGACCAAAGCGCCCAAAAGGAGTACAAGCTTTGGGTAATCGCTGTCGCTGGCTATGGCGTCCAGCTGGTGTACAAGCTCCCCCGAACCTTGGGGCTGCGAGCCTTCGCGGCTTGTCGCCCACAGCTTCTGCGCAAATACAAGCAGAGGCGTAGATTTACCCACCAAGCTGCGTCATATTATCAGCTCGCCCCTTAGATTTACGCACCACACGACAAACGGGATGTGGCTTTGTACCCTGTTCAGTACAAGGATATGTGGCCTGCCCACCTTGGAAGGCGACTGGCTTTGCGGTATTGTTACGGGCGTCTTGCTTGCTCCCCTTCCGTTAGCGCCACAAGCGCTGTCAACGAGCCAGAGAGGTAAATCAGTTACCCGGCGCCAAGCCAGCCAAAAACAAGCAAACGAGGTCCTTACCTTTGCCATGCTTCCTGATATGCAACGTCCTCAACGTTTACGCCAGGCGCGCGGTAACGACGGGGCCACCTGGAAAAGGACGTTTCCTCCCTCAGGCTGCCTTGCCAGGAGGGAACAAGCGCACGCTATATACATACCGCCACAACGCCAGTAGGAGTGAACATACGCCGCAAAATAGGGTCCATAGCAATGAATTGCTTGCCGCTAGCCCCAGAGCAGGTGGCAAAAGCATCATAATAAGATGAGCAACGTGCTTGGGCTCTATAGTCTAGAAAGTTAGCATGGTAAACGTGCTGCGAAAGCGCACGCCATGGTTCTGCAATAGTCCTTAAAGCCTAATTGTCTCCTGTCGTGGGCTTAAGGTTAAGCTAAATAACAATAAGTAAAGCATCTTGGCACACCTGTGTATGCAAGCCTTCTAAACCTAGGGAAAAGCTGGGCTAAATTACGCTATTACGAATCTCGGCCCATCGAGTTTCGGGGCCATGTATGTGGGCATGTTGCAGGTTCGTTATATGACCCGATGTGCAAACCCTCGGGAGTGACGCCAGAAGCATAACTACACATCACGTTCACTGTAGGCCGCCAAGCCGCATACCGGCAAGGGTTCACACAGCATAGCTCAGTGCTCGATGCCTGCTTTTGGCATGTGGGATGAAGTGTGTCATAGTCGTTATGCACCGGTAGCGCCGTTAGCGCAGTGGAGTGCTCTAGTGAGCGTCCTGCTTGAACGCGGTGCCTGATTGGGCAAAAGGGGGGGCGTCATCATAATGAGTGTTCGCTTTGCTGGAATTTAATAACGCGGTTTTTGACAAAGCGGCACATTAAATGACATTGTTGTAAATTACACATAAGCTGCTAGTACCGGTATGCGAAAGCCCTGTGATTTCCACTCGGTTCGCATTATAGGCACAGGCCAACACGAAGTTATGCTCGGAGAGAGGTTGCCGCCTCTACGTTGCCATAGAATAGCACATGGCACCAGTCCGGTTCTAGGCCCCCCCCATCGCCGCAGGGACACCGTTGTCGTACCACCCCACCTCCTCGTTGTCCAAACAACAATTCGTAACATGCTTTTTTTATTTTGCGACAAACGTAATATACCCCTTTCATGTGCCAGTGATGCCGTGCCACCATGGACCATCACGAAGCCTAAACCTCTCTGCTTGCCTTACGCGGGCGCCCAGGGACGCACAAGCCTGTGCTAGCGCAACATCGCTAAGCCAAATGTCGCGTCCTACACAGCCCAGCTGCCCTCACGCTTCCTTTGCCCTTACAGAACCCAGCAGCCATCACCCTCCACCACCCTCCAACCCCCGTCTCTCCCTCACAGCAGCCGCCCCTCCCGTCGCGCCCGCTCCTGCTTCCTCTGCTGCCGCAACCACTTTGCCAACTCCCCGCGCAAAGCTACCGCCAGCACCGCCTCCCAGTCCACCGGGCAGCCCTCCTCCAGCAGCCAGGACAGCACCTGCTGCGGGAAGTCCCAGATGACGCAGGAGGTGAAGGTCTCCGGGCCCTGCCAGGGGCAGCCCAGCCGCCGCAGGCAAAACAGCATGGCCAGGTCCCCCTGCCGGGCTGCTGCCAAGTACGGCGAAGGTTGCCCGGGCACTGCCTGTGCATATGGATCGCGGCGCCAAAAGCACGTGTAAGCAGTAGGTTGGCCCATGTGTACCGGCGGTACCATGCCGGCACCCAACCAACTCGTTACTGGCACCTGCCCGCCTAAGCAGTCGTGTAGCCACACGCGCACCTCCGCGCCCCTTTCTATCGCCTGGCGGTGCCTCACATCAGTCACTTGTCACAAACTTAGCTCACGCCAGACCCCTGGCCACCAACTCCCCTCTCCTAGTCCCAGCCCCATCACAAGTTCACAACGGCCTGGCCAGCCCGCACACTCACCGACATGGGGCAGCCTCGCTCCGCCAGCCACTCCACCGCCTCCTCGCACCCTGAGGCGACGGCACGCAGGAACACCCGAGCGCTCAGCTCGGCCGCCCCCGCCTCCTGCGGCACCAGCATGCTCATCAGCCGGGTGCTGCCCCCACCGGCTGCAGCCTTCAGGAGGTCGGGCCGCAGCACATCCGGTCCCACCACCCCAACCAGCCACTCCACAATGTGCACATGCCCTCGCTTCATGGCAATGCGCATGAAACGGCGGATGTACATGTTGTGCGCCACGGCATTGAAGCAGCCACGCGCACGCAGCATCCGAAACACCTCCAGATGTCCGTTGCGGATTGCCCTGTCAGCCTGCCAGGGCTCAACTTCCAGGCCGCGATCCAGCAGGTACTCCACAGCAGCCACGTTGCCCGCTGCTACGGCTGCAGCCATGACCGCTCCTGCTCGTCCTTCCTGCTCCTCATCCGAGAAGTCCGAGCCTGAGTGGGCACCGGTGTCCTCGTAAAGCGGGTAGCCCTGCTGCTCCAGCCATGTGAAGCGCGCAACCGCATCGGGCCGCTCAGCCGCACCGGCATACGCTGCAGCCGTCTTGGGGATGTGCTGTTTCCCAGTTAACCACTCCAGCTTGGCCTGCCAGTCGGTCGTTGGGCTGCGTGCTGCACTACAGAGAATGTCTGCCTTTTGATGCTCCTTCAGAGGCCAGTAGGGCCCCCCCTCATCTCCCTCCTCGTCCTCCGACGCAGTCACTTCGCCATCCAGGTCGCCGCAGGAGAGTAGCGTGTCCTGCAGCCGCAGCAACGTCTTCAGTCGGCAGCCGTACACCGCTGCTTTCAGGAGCTCAGGGTGCGTGGGCCCGTCCAGGAAGCGGTCTTCCCACTGCAGCAGCCAATCCAGGAGCTCCACGTGGCCCCCTCGGAGGGCCGCATACAGCATGCCTTCCTTCGAAAGCCACTCCTGCTCGTCCAGGAGCCATCTGCAGATGTGCAGGTGCCCTGCTTCCGCCGCTGCCTCGCGGGTGCTCTTCGCTACCGGCCAGCCCCGCTGCTGCAGCCACTCGCATGCGTGCAGGCAGCCGGCAGCCGCAGCTGCAGCCACCGCATCCTCCAGCTGCTCCTGGATCTCCGGCCCTTCTGGAAGGATGCGTGCATTCACCACAGCCACTTCCAGGTTGGCAACACTGCCGCTGCTTGCCGTCAGGCTCATCAGCTGCAGCCGCTGCCGCAGGGTGAGGTCCCGCATGGCGCCTGGCGCTCCCCAGCGTCGTATGAAGGTTCCGTGCGGGACGGGCTGTGATAGCCTCACAGTGATGTGTTGCCGCTCTCGGAGTGCCGATGCCGCAGTCTTGTCCACCAGACGTAGGCTGCAGGCCACCTCGTTGGGTGGCAGGAAGCCGGCGATGCGCTGGATGATTTCGGGTATCCAAGCACGCGAAGTGGTTTCTTGGGATCTCGTGCTGGCTGAAGCAAGCACGTCCTTATGCTGCCGAAGATTGCCCAGCAGCACAAGAACTGCAGGCGGCAGCGGACTGGGGCCACGGCTGCTGCGGTGGCTCGCCCTGTGGGAACTGGCAAGGGTACATGTCGCTTGTGTTGCTGCTCGGGATGACGTCAAGCGTCTTCTCTGGCCCACCGTAACCTCGTTCTGACGCTGCATCCCCTCACCAAAGACAAAGACAACCTGTTTTACAACTCCAGCGCCAGTTTGTAATCGAGAACAGAGAGCGTCTCTCGCAAGGAAGTTCGACAGACAACGCCTTAAACAAAGGGGCGATCGCCCTGGGACTGAATTTAGCTAATCTCTCATGCCCCTCATGCCCCTCATCCTATTCTAGTCGGGTGGACGGGCGCAACGGACTGTTATGTCCGTCGGCAGAAAGAATGGGGTTTCCCAGGGGTAACAAAAAGCACCGTTACAAGATTGACCGTTTTCATGAGGTTAGACCTAATCGACTTGCTTAACTGGGCATCAGGTCTGGCTAGCTTACTAGTAATACAGCTGGTGCCGTACCTCGTTGCTAACCTCCGCGATTCCAATTCTTTCACCGTAAACGATGCGTTATAGGCGAAGTTATAATCCACTCATGCGGTCCAAAGTAATCGAAGGATGCTTGCAAGCTCGCACAACAAGTAGCAGTAGCTATATGCAGCTATGATTGCCCGTAGTCGCGTTTGCATCCTGAGACTCGGAGCTTTTAGTTTAAGCTGTTTGACATGATGGACACTGGAGCCAGCGCTGTGCGCTCCTTGACAGCTTGGCTATGCTGCGCCTGGCTGGCACGAGCCGCAGCAGCCCTCAGGCGGAAGCCTTTAGGAACAACGGCAACCATGTTCATTACCACTGCTCACCGCTGCGCATCAGTGCCTTTGTTCACGTTTTGGCCTTATTTCAAGGGCGTCTCGGCCTCACGCCTGATGCGCCTTTTGCCAATTATGGAGATTATCGTATGCATATCGTGTCCGCTTCTGCCGCCGGTAAGGTATTGAGTAGAGTGATAGGGAAAGCCACTAAGCTGACATCGGACTCATGTGGCACAGGCGCCATTATGGTTTGAAGTAGCAGCAGGCGCACTCAATATCTTGATCATCTTGTTAACGTGTGGAAGGTACGCCGGTGACGACGAACGAATAGGTTGGCCAGCGACACAAACGGCTATACTGTGGGTACTCAGCACAACCGCTTGCGCCTACTTCTCAGCGATCCAACACTGCCGGGTGTTCACGCTGCGGCAGCAACGGCACGCTTGGAACCGTCAGGAACAGATAGGGACGCAACGCCGTTCGGAAGGGCTTACACATTCCACACCATCCCCACAGTACGGTGAGTCCCCGCCCTTCCAAGGGCTCCGTCTTCTGGGCTAGTTGAGTATCATCGTTACTAAGTGGTTACTGAGCAAACGACATGGCCTAGCGATGATTACTGCGCTTGGGGTGTTCCGCTTTGTGTATTCACTGTGCATGTCTTGAACGCTAGCGGGGCTGCTCACCTTGCACAGTCGGGATGGTTCGCCTGAAAATGCCTGTCCTTGACCCCCCCTTCGCAGGCGACACGGCCGCAACGGGGCAGCCCGTGGCGACCTCCTGCAACGACTGTGTGCCCGCAGCAGCTGCAGCCCAGCGCACTCACTCCTCCTCCTCCTCCGCTGCTGCAGCGGCGGCGGCGGCGGCGGCGGCACCGCTGCGCCCCGCCACACCCGACACCTCGGAGAGCCCCTGCGTGCACGTCTCGGTGGACGCGGGGACCCTCCTCCGCTCCCCTGACGTCCTCCCTCCAACCCATGACGCCTCGCTCTCCCTACCCCACGCCGTCGTCCAGCAACCCCACGCAACCGACAGCGCTGATGCCGCCGCCAACCCGGGGACGCCGTCCGCAGTGCCAGCTTCACCAACCCTAGCTCCGCACCCACCCCCCTGCCGGTCTCCAGCAGCAGAGGCGGCACCGCACTCCGCGCCGCCTCGCGCCTACACGCCCTTCCTGCGCCGCACGGTGACGCACGTGAAGCTGCCGGGGCTGCACCCCGAGCAGCTGCCGCCCTACTACCAGCAGCGGCTGCGTGCGCTGGTGCGGGCGCGCACGGGGCGGCGGCTGGTGCACGTGTACGTGCGGGCGGGCTGCATCGAGCTGCTGCTGGACTGTGAGGAGTGGGGGGCGGGGGAGGAGGGGGAGCTGGAGGAGGAGGAGGAGGAGGAGGGGCGGAGGGCAGGAGCGGAGGGCAGGCTGGAGGAGGAGGCGGGGGAGGGGTACTGGGGCAGTGGTGTGTCCAGCCGGGTGGCCTACCAGCCGGGTAGCGGGGCCACCGATGCGGCTGCTGCTCCACAGGTGGGCGTGGTTAGCTACTTTGAGTGTGTCTGGGTTGCTTGAAGAGCCCGATTGAGCTGCCTCATCTAGCTAGCGGGTGCGCGGCGCGATGCCGGTGCTGGGGTTGGGAAAGAGTCGCTGCACCGCCAGCGCAGGTGGGGAGGGCCGGCGGGGTGCATGCTGGGTAGGTGGCCACCCTGTCCACCATCATTCGTGTGCTGTGCACTCCTCCCGGTGCACTCCTCCTCGCTTCTCATGCTAGGAGACCCAGTCGGAACCCCTTCACCCACACTCCTCGCACCTGTGCCCTGCACAGGGCCTGGTGTCCAGCGGCGCCTCCGCCGCGGTCCCTCCGCCCGGGTCGCTGGGCAGCGGCGAGCTGGACGCCTGGGAGGTGGTGCGGGTGCTGCAGCTGCAGCGCCTGCCCTCGGCGGAAGGGGAGGGCGGCAGCTGGCTGGACAGCGGAGAGCTCGGCGGAGGGCCGTGGACGGGGTGGGTGGCGCGGGGATGGTGGGGGTGAGCTGGTTGGGGCTGCGGAGGGGCCGGCGGGAGCGACCCGGTGGGGCCGCTTACATGGTCTGCGCTGGGTAGCCGAAGTGCAGGCGGCGCACCAGGTTGGCCAGCATCCTGTTTGCAGGCCTGTGCTGACGCCTCTTAGCCACGTCCCTCGCTTGCCCCGCTGTGCTGCAGGCGGGGCCAGGCCACCACCCTGCCGCTGTGCTGCCCCCCCGGCCGCCCCCCCGCCGGGCCGCAGCTGGTGTGGCTGGAGCCCCGCGTGGTGGCGCTGGCGGGGGGGCGGGGGCAGGGACAGCAGCACCTCACGCTCAAGGTGAGGGAGCAGGGGCGCGCCTGGGTTGCGGGGTCATGGGGTGGGTGGGTAGGTGTCGGGCGGGTGCGGGAACCTGGGCGCTGCGAGCATATGGCTGTCCTTGCGCCGCGCAAGTTCGCAAGTAGAGGCAGGTGTAAGCCGCAGCAGCGGGGGGCTGTGCGCTCATGGGTCCCGTCATCCTTGTTCCGTCCTCCTCTAAGCCGCATGCACTTCACGTCGAAGATCGAACCACTTGCGAATGCGGCCGTCTCCCGCGTCCTGCTTCACCCGTCACGGCCCGCCTCCTCCTGCCTGTGCACCCCCCCCCAGGCCGTCGTACGCACCCCCTCCGGCACATCCTCATCGCCGCTGGAGCTGCTGGTGCGGGCGGAGGGCCGCTACCTGCCCGCCACTGTCACCCCCGCCAACACCCCTACCACCAGCACCTCGGCAACGGCAGCAACCCACGATGACGGATCCCTCTCAGAGGACGACGCGGCCAAGGGGCGGTTGGACACCGACCAGCTGGTATCGTACACCATCGACGTGCCCCTGCATCCTGGCAGTCCCACTGCTGCTGCTCCCGCTGCTGCTGCGGGGGAGGCGCCCGGCGGCTGCATGCTGCGCCCCGGCATCCTGCTGGTGGACCTGCGGGCGGGGCCGGTGCCGGTGCATGCGGCCCCCGTGGTGCTGCTGGGCGAGGCGGCGGTGGCGCAGGAGCTGCAGGCGGTGCTTGGGGCGGGGGCGGGCTGCAACGGTGGGGGGTGGGGTGGGGGCGGGGACGAGGCGGAGGGAGGCGGGGCTACCTCGCAGCAGAGCCAGCCTCCTCTCCACCACCCCCAGCAGCAGCAGCAGCAGCAGGTGTCAGGGGCGGCGTTCAGCTCGGAGGACCGTGACTCGCTGCTGATGGATCTGGGCACCTGGGTCTTCCACGCGGCGGAGATGGCGGCGCGCAGGCGGGAGGGGCAGCAGCAGCAGCAGCAGCAGCAGGCTTCCGAGGGCGAGGCTGCTGAGCGACACCTGGCTCAGCTGGGTCGGCACCTGCTGCAGTACGCGAGGCTGGCGGGGTGGGCCGCCACCGCAGCCAGCATAGAGGCGGACCTGGCGGCCATCGGAGCGGTGGCCCAGCAGCGGCGGCAGCAGCGGCGACAGCAGCGGCGGCAGCAGGCGGGTGAGCCCCACACGGCAGCCGCAAGGCCCGCTGGCGGTGGACGCTCCAGGCTCGCTGCGAGTGAGCCGCTCGGGGGCCAGCCGCAAGCACCGCTTCGCCTCCCAGGCAGTGCCGCCGCTGGAGACATGCCGCCCACGTCGGCTGCTGCCTCCGCCTCCGCAGCAGGCCGTGGCCCCGCGGCTTCCCCGGCGCATCCCAGCAAGAGCCGGCGCAGTCCTTCCTCGCGCGGAGCTGAGGGCTGCCCAGCCGGCGCGCGCAGCAGCAGTAGCGGCGGCCGGGGCGGCCTACCTGACAGCAGTGGCGCGGCGGCGGGTGGCTGGGCCCCCTCCAGCCGCCTGCGCTTCCGCATGCGGTTCTGGGGGCCCAGCAGGGAGCTGGCCTCGCAGCATGAGGAGGTGGTGGTGGCAGCAGGGGTGCATGGCGGCGCCCACCTGCGCCTGGCGCCACCACACGCCAGCGGGGGCCACCACCACCACCACCACCGCAGCAACAGCAGCACCACTCCCACCCCCACCAGCACCAGCGGGCCCCCTCAGCCCCCCCAGAACGTGTCCCGGTCTGCTGCGGTGCGGCGCGCGCTGCAGGTGGTGGTGGGGCTGCGGCGGTGCGGCCGCGCGGAGGAGGCGAGCTACCGGGAGTTCGCGGAGCCGCGCATCACGGCACACGGGCATGTCATGTGGGTGGGGAGCGGAGGGGAGGGAGGGGAGCAGGTAGTGGGGCTGCGAGTAGTACATTGAGCCGGTTTAGTGTGATGGGGCATTGCAACACAGTTCCCTAGCACTTGTCCCTTGACCGCACACTCCGCTTCCACGCCTTCCACATCTACCGCGTGCACCTGCATCGCTGCATGAACCCCCACCTGCCCCTCCTCAACCATCCGCCTCCCTTCGCTCCTCTCCCATCCCCATCCCAACGAATTTGACTATGCGCAATCCTAAAATCCAGCTTAATGCGGAATCTTCATCCATATTACCCTCATCCCTCAGGACTGTGGTGGACCTGCTGGCGGTGGGCACGCTGCTGCTCAACGCGCGCAACAGCCCCCAGGCGCTGCTCTGCAACCTGGCCACCCTGGTGGCCTGCTGGGTGGGGCTGCTGGAGGCGGCCATGCGCGCGGCGCTGCCGTACCACCGCTGGCAGGCGGCGCAGCGGCGCACCAACCTGCTGCGCCACCTGACGTACGTGGCGGTGAAGGCGCTGGTGGGGGCGGGCGTGCTGCCGCTGCCGCCGGGGGTGGAGCGCTACGTGGCGGGGCCGGCCATGCTGGTGCAGGAGGGGCTGGTGCACCCCGCGGCGGCGCTGGTAGGAAGGGAGGGAGGGAGGAGGGGAGGTGGTCGCAGGGGACACCGGGTGTATCGGTAGGTCGTGTGGGAAGAGGAGTGGCGAGGGGATGCCGGGGGCCTGCGCTTGCTTGTACGCTGAGTCGGCCTCTCCTTCTTCCTCCCTGCCGCTCTTCCCCAACCCAGATGCCGCCCCGCACTGTGGCACTGCTGGCCAGTCTGCGAGCGCTGGCAAACATAACCATGATACGTCGGGTGAGGGGGAGCGGGGTGAGGGGAGGGTGGGGCAAAGATAAGGAACGTGACAGACTGCATGACAAGGCTAGTGGGGCTGAGGGGGAACCCGAGATGAGGTTGGGGTGGTGGCGGGATGGGGTGGTGGCGAGGTCACAGGTGTGGGCTTGCGGTCACGGATCCGTGTGTGCCGCGACTGAGACAGGTCTCTGCATGAAACAGCTGACCACATGCTTGTTGCCGCTTGTCCCACATGTTTCCCCGAACCTCTTGGCCCCCTTCGCTGCGCCGTGCAGCTGTTGCTGCTCCCCTGCACCCCGCTTCCTGTCCCCTAACCATCCGGCCCCCTCTCATGCTGCCCAACCCCCACCCCCGCAGGTTTTCCCCAGCATGGGTCTACTGCGCACCTCGCTGCTGTCTGTCGCCGTCAGCCTGGCAGAGGGCGCCACCACTCTGGCGGGACATGTCTACCTGCGCACCTGCTACGCACGCTGGGCGGCGGCGAGGAGGAGGAGCAAGGGGGAGGGGCCGGCGGGGGAGGGGCCGGCAGCAGCTGCACCCGCACGCGGTAGCAGCACCAGTGGTGCCGCTGTTGTGCGGTGACGCCGAGATCTGGACCGGAGATAGAGACGAGTGTGTTTCCGTTTCCGGGCAGTTGCGTTGTGTGGTGGGCTGCCGCACTGCTCGCTGTAGGGCAGAGCAGGGCGACATGCAGGGGGGAAGCGGTGGGCCCGCGCGCGGGGGTGCATGGCCTCCCTCGCACATTGTGAGGGTGGTCGGGTACTTGACCGGGCTGTGTGCGGCGGCTGTGTGCGGGTTTTCCTGCTGTGTGCGTGAATAGCAGTGTGTGGCTTGTGCGCCCGCTGCCCTGTTAAAGCCCGCTCGTAAAGCTTGCATTTATTTGTTTTCCGAGCACTGCGTGCATCAAAGCGTTGGATTGGGCGTAAGCGGCTGTTGTGTGTGATGGAGCGGGGACACAGCCGCTGGTAGAGTAGGAGAGCCCATGTTGGGATCTAGCTACGGTAATTCGTTTGATAATTGAAGCACTGTTGGCACGGCGCTGTGCAGCGGGTGTTGATGCTGACCCGAGTTCGGAGGTGGGGTTGGTGGCTGCGGCCGCTGAAGCCCCGCAGCAGGGTTGAGTTGCTGCCACTGTTGCCTTGACGTGTGTTGGATACGTGTTTTTTCGCTGTTGGATGTGCGTGCTCCTGATGTTGTTAAGAGGCGGTGTTAGTCAGGCGGTGTTCAAGTTTGGGGTGATGTCATGCACCTGCAGCGGCTCTGTTGGGCAGCTTGACTGACGGCCTTTCTTTTTAGTGGTGGAACACTGAAGGGGTGCGGCCTGACAGTTGGCAAGGCCGTAGCCATCTGCAGGTTGTGTGCTGCTTGAACACAATGGCGCCTGGATTCACAAGGACGCCGGTTCATGCCTCCCGCACAGGCAGGCGGCCACCCTATGATGGGTGGAAGTTGCTTGCCTGCTCTCATGACGTCTCCACAGCGGCCCCACTGCGCACGCACCCGCTGCCTTACAAGTGCTGCACATTCCGCAAATGTGTAGTCAGTCCGACCGCATGTCCCACAAACACGCAGACTTTGCAAGCCGCGGTCGCCCATGGGTATGCTAAAAAGGCCGAACGTGTATTAAAGTGACGTATAACGCATTAGGCGGGAGGACCATGTAGGCCCTTGGCTGAGGCACCCACAGCGACGTGAAGCCTGACGATTTGCACCTGGGGCAAGGGAAGATTGCCAGTAATTGAATACCCACGAGTCAGACGCTTTACGGCGGTATGGGCTGGATCCACGACAGATGGCAGCAATCTTACTCAACCCAAAGCTTATGGCGGGAAGCCTTCCTTGGGCAGGAATACTGGCCGAGTCAGCAGTTTTATTATTGGGATGTAAACCTGAATATTGCCTGCTTATCTATCCTGGGGTACCTTCGTAAGTTGGAACACAAGTTCACATCCTCAACCGTTGCTAGCTCTCTCGCATACTGATACCTGTACGTCTTAGTTCTAATGGCTGGGGGCCTGGAGCTATGGAGATGACCCAAGGGCGCCCTAGGAAGCGGCATCGTATCGCGGATTGCGTTGATGATGCAAACTGGTATGCAGCACACCAAACCAGAATTTTTGTTATGTCATGTCACCTCCTTACACGTCGGTTATCTGCAGCGGAGGATCACGGCAAGCATTTAGCAACGGTAGCACTAAGTTGCTGTGTCCCGCGGTAGCCGTGCTGCTGCGCAATGTTGACCGCCACGCGGCGGTGCTGCTGCGCCTTGCTGCCAGCCAGCAGCAGCAGCAGGGCAGTCCTCAGCTCCTCGGTGTGGGTCCCGCTCGCATGGGCCCCACGGCTCCACAAGCCGGGCTGGGAGAGTCGCAACAACAGTTCCCAACCCCTGCGGCTGCGGTGCAAGCTGCTTCAGGGGCCACCGGGGCTGCCGAGGACGACATGGGCCGCGGAATGTTGGCGTCTCAAGTTGAGGCTGCGTTGGCACGGGGTAACAGAATTTTGTGGAGGCCGGAGGATGTCAAGGTGCGCAGCAGGACGTGGGTGGCCAGGGCATTCCGAGATGCGGCCTAACCCCTTCCTTCCTCAGCGTAGGTCATGTTGGCCCACCTTGCAACCCTGCCGCCTGGCCCGAACGTGCAGCGCGAGGAAGCTGTGAAGAAGCTGGGTGGGTGGGGCTACGGCTTGGGGTGCTTGGTTACGCAGCTTCATGTGGGTGGGGCTACCGGTATGGCTTGGTGCACCTGCAGTGGTGGGATGCGGGTGACGCTGACTAAGTTATGCCTGAACGGTTTAGGGCTTTTGCCGGCGCAGGTTTGGCGCATCTGCCGGACCCTAAAAGAAAGCTTCGCAGGGCGGTCTGCGGGAAGCTAGAAAAATTGCGAAACTTGTTGGCGAATGGCGAAAACCCGCTGGAAGGTGCGTTGCTGTCAAAACCGGATGTTCGACTGCCCAAAGGGTTGAAAGAAAGTCCACCTGGAAAGAAAGTCCACCCAAGGGGTGAAGCCGTGTTTGCTGGATCTACCCAAACCGTTTTGTAATCTGCAGTGCGTTGCTGGCTCCGCATGCCCCGAGGGACCTACAGCATCCGGGTAAGGCACCGGTGCGTGCTGTCCTCCTAATATAACTTGGATATAACTGGATGCAAGTGCTTCGATGTGGTCCCATCCGCACGACTAGCCTGAGTTCTGTCGTACTCATGCGCTGCAGGCCTGGCTGCGGCGTGCGTTCATGGCCCTTCCCAACCAGGAGGTAAGGGGGCGCAGCAAGGTGCAAGGACTTTTGAGGGCCGGAGCCGCTCCTATCGCATTACGTATGTGCCCACAGGGGACCAGTTCGGATGCTGCAGCAGTCCTGGAGGCAGACCCGGAGATATCACCGAAGCTGGACAGAAGGTGGGTGCGCAGTAAACCTGGCTGTGTGGGTCATGTGCTGAGGATGGCGTACGTCTCACCACATCGCTTTTGATTTCACCGCACATGCCAATATGCGCTGCTCCGCCCTGCTGCAGGCCAGAACGACGCTACCCGAAGATAGCCAAATGGCACGCCTACGTGCAACGCCAGTTGCTAGAGTAAGTCACGGACCAGGGTGCTAGCAACCTAAGAGCGGAGCCCCCATCGCTGACATGCTGGTGCGTGCATGCAGGTACCCGGAGTTCGTTTTTACGGGTCGGAAGCAGGGCAGGAGCAAGATATACCGCTACGAATCACAGGTGAGCTTGCCGAGCAAGGGCATGCTGCGTCAATAATGCAGCGTGCCGTATGTCTCCGGCTCAAACCCCTTGTGCTAAGCCATGCATGCTCCCCTTTCCCTCCCCACATGTCACCCGCAGGTTGCTCAGGCGCTAGACGAGCGCCCCGCCAAGACTCGCAAGCGGGGCCTCCAGGGTGTGCCGCACCTGGGGAAGCACAACAATTGATGAGCTGCAACGCCGCCGCGGTCGCAGTGCAGCTGCGCCGAACCAACAGGGCCATCTTAGAGAGAAGGGTGTTTGTGTGGAAGCTGCCGCATGCATGCGCCTCAGCTGCTAACGCGGATAGCAAGCCTCGAAATGCGGCACCTTTACTCGTGTGGATGTGTGCTGTACCGGATGATGGCCACCGCACCTAGGTGTCTAGCAGCGCGGGACCCGCATGCAACCCAGGAAGCTGTCGTGGGTATTTACTTGTGTGGGAGCCCCTTTCAATGACGGGTCCCGTAAGGCCCATGATGCTCAAAAGCGACCGACTGCCCTTTACGTATTTCAGCCTTCCGATTTCGGTGCGTCGCCAATCATGACCCATGGGTCAATGGAATCCGTGCCTGCTCTTGTAACGTGCATTAGGGCGGATGTCCTTGCGCGCAGAGTCTTGAGCTTAATGCCTTGCCAGGACGTACCTAAGTAGCATTGCCGCTTCCGAGAGGTACGGCATGCTTCACCGAGGTTCAGCCAAGCCATGGACCATGCGTACCTGACCGCTGTGTAGCTGCTGGGTGCTGGCGCCGCCGCTATCACAGCAAGGTGCATGTTGGCCGCCCAGGTTGTTAGGCTCCGCGATGTACGGTCGGCGCTGATCAGTATGTCAAGGGTTGCCGCATGCCTCAGCCGCAGTCACACAGCAATACAAAATGCCGGTATTGCACAGGTCACCACCACCGGCACATGAGGCCACGCCTCCCCCCCCTTCAGTGCGGAAGTAGTCGGCGGGGCAGTTTGGCAACCTCCACTGTCGCCTTCGTGGTTATACCAAGCTGCACGGCCGCGGCTATTTCGGCAAGCACCTCCACAAATCAGGTCTTGAGTGTGACACCCACGACACCTTGCCCGCCAGCACAGGAGGCTGCCTGGCCTAGGAGCGAATCGTCTGGGGTTAAGAAGGTGCGACAACCCATCTGCGTATTTCGCCCCAGCACGTCACAGCAGCAGTCAACTGTCTAATTTCAGGTCTGTCTTATTCGCATTCCTGCTGTCATTACGCCCGCAGGCCCCCAGGCTGCCAACAACACGCGATGCCCTGAGCTGCCCCGCACTCTGTGTACAACAGCACACGTCTGCCCCTGCTCAATGGCGCCGGCCCCATCTGCTACGGCGCCCGGTGCTTGGGAACCTTGGGCGGCTTGCCGCCCGCCTCATCCTGCTGCCGGGCCACCTGGGGGCGGTTGGTGGCGCAGGCGGGGGATGTGAAGGGAGGCGCATGTGCGCCGCAGCAGACTCATGCATATGCGGGATGTGGATGCTACCAGGACAGCCACTGCCTTGTGCCCGTGTCCCTCCCATCACCTGGCCTCGGCGTGCACCCACCTCCTCATCGTAACGGAACAGCATGCTATGGCCCTGCCGCTGACCCGTGCTGACGAACTCCGGGTACCTGCAGGCAGTGCAGCACACCGTTCTCCCTGCGGCTACTGGGGAACCCGTCCGGCGGTGTGTTGCTTACCTGTTAACCGCACGTCGCAGGCCCCGCAACCACATTTGTGTGTTGTGGTCAGTGGGACACAGCCTGCACAGGTGCGACATACGAAAGGTGTACGGCAGAGGAGGTGGGATGCATGGCTACCGGTACCACCCACCTCCTGTCCAGCTTTGGCTCAATGTCTGGGTCCGCCTCTAAAACAGCTGCGACTTGGATGGTGGTGCCCTGGAGTCACCCTTCATGTCAGTGTTGGCCTGCGCAGAAGCCATTACAAAATAGTACTTCCGGCGTGTCCACTCACCGTGCGGTTGGGCAGCGCCATGAACGCGCGCCGCAGCCAGGCCTGCAGGGGTGCGGCGAGCCAAGGAGGCGCTTTGGTGGGTTGACCTTGCATTGACGCGCTCTTGCCAGATCATCTTACCCGGAAGTCATATGTCCCGGTTGGAACTTGGGGTAGGCGTCGTCCTGCGGAAAAAGAAAGGTAGTTAGTCAGCAAGCAAAGGTAAGCTGACAACGCTTCCGGCAATGTAACGGCAGCGCACCCTCCATAGGGTTAAACCCATGCGCTATGCTGACGCGCAGCCTCATTAGCTTCATCGTCACGGCGTTGTACAGCCGGTCATCCGGGTCCGGTATGTGCGCCAAACCTGCGGCATTGGGTTGGGTGTTGCTGCCTATGCATGTTGCTTGTTCACACTGAGCACTCTTGTCGTACTCCCATAGCCGCACAGGGCGCACACCCACCAAGCTTCTCTATGGCCCGCCGAGCTTTCATCGTGGACCCCGGTGGCAGGGAGGTGAGGTGGGCAAGCAAAATCTGTAAGGTTACGGAGAGGAAGTACCGTCAGTCTACTTTCAGTCTGTTTAGGTCGGACCGTAGTCCCGGCAACCGCGGACTCATCCCCGGATGCATCCTTTCGCATCCCACCTCAACAATCTCCGGCCTCCATGTAATTCTTTTCCGCTCCCGCAGGGCCGCTTGAACATGCCCAGTCAAAGAGCGCAGCACATTGGGTGCTGGTTCCTGAGCTGGTGGCGCACGGGGCGCCGGTACTTTGTGGCTGCTACCTTGGGGCTGGGACGGAAATCTGAAAGGCGAGGCATGGCCGGTTTCCCGTACCAATCGTGGTTCAAGAGAAAGCCGTCGCAGACATGGGGCGTGACGTTGCAGGTTATGAAGCAGCACAGCCACAGCTGGCTGAAGCGATGTTGCAGGGCGTTTGGTGCCCTTACAGCGCTTTGGCTGCCGCATCGGCGCTCATGCGGTATTCAGCAATAAAAGATGATCGGTTTATTTAGCTACACGTGTTTGCACTCGGCTTTCAGCCGTCCTACGCGACACCATCTTGTGCCGCGAAGTTTAAGCATAACAAAGCTATCAGTCTCCGTAGGTAGCAGGCTTCCTTAAAGCGCACTCAAACCGTCAAACTATTTATAAGGGTTGATTAAGGCATAAGGACCTTGACCAGCAACAGTAATGGTTTCGGTGCGTATGGATTCAAACATTGGATCTTGGGGTAAATTAATGGGAATAATAGCAAGGTGCGCTACCATGAGCAATGGCGTATATGCAGTATAAAGTGCCCGATTTGCGCCTCTTCTGCAGCGGCTTTATCACACGAAGCTCTGTCGCAGCTGTTGAAGTTACTAGAGGCTTGCCTTGTGGGCGGCGACGCTCTTCCGTATTTGCGGAGGCTTAAGTGCGTGCCGTGACACTGAAGAACACAGTACCGGTACAGCACGCAGAACGTGGGCAGCATCGCCAGTATTTAGTCATGGACAATGTCGGGTAAATAGCATCCAAGAGGCCCGCAGGCATACTTTTTCGCTACATTTTCGGAAGATCAGAGCAACTGTGTAACTTCCTCCCCCTGTCCATAAGCGCGCTCTGTCGACTCTTGAGGCCGCTCGCCATCTACCTGTTCCCTGCCTTGTGCCGACTCCTTGGGTGCACACGACGACTCCATTGCTAAAAGCTTATAACAAGCGGTGTTATAATTAATTTCGTTAACGATATTCGCGCTTTTGCCGACGGTTGGCCCTGCCGGGATCGAAACGTCTTCACTTGGGCAATTCCCGCCATAAATAGCGGACCACGGAACTCATCCATAAACTGCACCGACTGTACTCTTAAGTATTACTTCTAACGCTGCCGCTATAGGGTAGCCCTGCAGCCCGGACACTAAGTACACACTTTTTCAACCAACTGAAGAGGCAATACGCGGAAAGTCGGGTTTGCGCAGGCACAGGAGCTTTGCCAGGCACCTGATTAACTAGCTTGTTATAGTGAATCAGTCGTCCCTGCTTTTAGAGCTACTAAACGCCATGAACGCATCAGTTGCTGGTGTGCGAAAAACAGTGCCCCATGGTAGCGGCAAACACTCCTTAACATCTTTACAGCCATCAGCGGCTGCCTTATTGCATAATCTCAAGCAGCACGGCGATATCTTTCGCAAACCACTCGCCGATGGCAACCATCGGGTCTGGTTGGAGAACCATGAACCTCAAAAGGAGACCCTACCTGCCAAGGGGCATGGCTTGAAAATTCAGGCGCCCAAAAAGGAGACCCTACCAGCGAAGGCGTTTGGGTTGAGGAACCAGCAACCCAAAAAAGAGGCCTTGCCTCTCAAAGGGCGTGGCCAAGCGGGCCCTCAATCCGCACCCTCGCGGCAGCAGCCAGCAGCGAAAGCGAATGCCAGTTGCAGTGGTGCGAAGGCTGCCACATCTCGGAAGCGTGCAGACAAAGAATCGTTCAAGGCCTATGCGACAGAGTCGCTTGAGCGACACGGCAAGCTCAGTTTGAGGCCCGAGGACCTGGAGGTGGGGACGCATGGCCGAACGCAGCACTGTGTTTGTCTCTGGGGGTTCCTGATCCTAACACACACTGTGTTTGGTAGCCATGACTGCCTGCCCCCCGCGCCTCTCTTCACGGTTCCGCCTGCATAAGCACAGGTTCTGCAAAAGCACCTCGCCTGCTTGAAGGGAGGTGCGGACCTCAAAACCAAAGAAGCTGTCCAAAAGCTAGGTGGGTCGGAGGACATGCATGTTCCGGACTGGGCTGGGATTGGGGAAGCAAAGTGGGTGCGTGGGTGGGTGCGTGGGTGGGTGCGTGGGTGGGTGCGTGGGTGGGTGCGTGGAGGCGCTGAGGCACTGCCCCTGGATCTGCCGGTATTCCTTCTCACCCAGTGTGCCGTGTGCAGCATGCTGCGGGCTGGGAGTGTGTTGTACGGCGACATGATGGGTCGTACGGCAAGTCGACAACCCATGCTGCTCCCCCTCCTTCTCCCCCCGGGTGCAGGCTACACCGGCCCCTACGCGCGCTACCGGCTGGTGTACGAGGCGGTGTGCAAGAAGTTGGACCAGATGCGCAACATGCGGGCGCACGGAGTGGACCCGCTGAAGGGTACGTGGGTGTGAGGGGGAGGGCCAGCCGCCTGGGAGGCCGGGTCCTTCCCCCGTTCCCCCCGGACGCCCCACACCGCCCACCTCACGCCAACCCGCCAAACCCTGCCCTCCTCGCCCTCTCTCCCCCTGCAGACGGTCCCCGGCCCCGCGCAGCCCGCGGCTCCTCCGACATGCGGGTGAGGGGTGAGGGTGGGTGGGGTGGGGGGGTGGGGGGTGGAGAGAGGGGGGTGGGGGGATGGGTGAGGGAAACAAATGGGTGTGTGTGTGTGGTGAGGGGTGTGTGCCGGTGCTGGGGCGCGCCTGCATGTGGGAGCCGCTGTCTCATGGCGCCCACGATATGCCGGAGCTGCCTGCGCCTGCGCCTCCGCCCAGCCCCCCCCCCGCCACCTCTCCCCCGCTGCTGGCCCCTTCTCCACCCCCCCACAGACCTGGCTGGCAGCTGCCTTCAAGCAGCTGCCCAACTGCACTGTGAGTGGTGCCTCGCCACCTGGGGGGGAGGGCGGGGGGAACGAACGAGCCCCCTGGGGGAGCTGGGAGGGGGGCACCTGGGGGGACCCCGGCGGGTCAGGTTGCAACACGGGGTGCAACCTGTGACCTTCCCACGCCCCTTCCTCCCACCTCCCTTCCTCCCCACCCTCCTCCCCTTCCTCCCCACCCTCCTCCCCTTCCTCCCCACCCTCCTCCCCTTCCTCCCCACCTCCCTCACACCCCGGTGCTGCCCCAGGGCACCCTGGAGGCGGCGGGCAGGGTACTGCAGAGGCACCCGGAGATAGGGCCGAAGCTGGACAAGAGGTGGGCGGCGGGGGGTAGGGATTGGAGTAGGGTGGAGGGGTTCACCCCCAACCCCCAGATCGGCAGTGTGCGGGTGTCCTGCTAGCTGCGGATTACCCCCACTTGCCGCCCACTCCCCCCTCCACCTCCTCTGTAAACCCCTCTCCCCCCTCTCCCCCCCACTACCTCCCACCCTCAGGCCCGACCCCCGCTGCGCCCACACCCCCATGTGGCAGAGCAACCTGCACCGCAAGGTGGCCAGGTGGGTGGTGGGTGGTGGGTGGTGGGTGGGGGGTGGGGGGTGCGTGTGTGTTATACAAACGGACCGCGAGTCGGAATGTGTATGCGCGTAGGTGCGCGCAGGAGGTATGTGTGCGCATGCAGCCCATTGAGGGATCAAGTTGAAACAACTGAACTGACCGTGTGATAAGGCGTCATCAAGGTTATCAGGGGGGTGTGCGAGGAGGGGGGCGGGCCACACAGGGACATCAGCAGCGGGGGAGGGGGGGCGCTACAACGCCCCGCGTCCCGAGTGGTGTGCCCAGCATCCGGCAACCCTGATGCGCCCTTGGGCGGTGCCTTGTCACACGCTTGGCGGGTCTCGTCCTCGTCCTTACCCCCCGCCCCCGCCCCCGCCCCCGGCCCCGAACAGCTACCGGTATATTCTCATTGCTTTGCCCTAACCTGTGGTTCTGGCATGTCTTTGTCCCCGGGCAGCTGGCCCGAGTTCGTCAAGACGGGCCGCAAGAAGGATCGATGGAACGTGTTGCGCTACGATGAGACGGTGAGGAAGGGGGATGGGGGCCGGGGGGTGGGAGGTGGGGGGGGGGATGTGGGAGGTGGAGGGGGGATGTGGGTGGGCAGGCCTGCCTGCCGTACCTCAGGATCAGGATCAGGCGGGCGGAGTTGGGCGCACTGGGGGGGCGCCGTACTCGCCACTGCAGCACCAGGTCACAGGCAGGCAGGCAGGTATACCCAGCAGCCCCCGAGGCGCGAAGGCGATGTGGGTGGTGCCACGCAAGCTCACAGCGTTGGGGGACCGGCGAGCGAGGAGCCCCCCACCCCGGTGCAGGGTATGCGAGCACTGCCGTACCACCTCGTGAGCACTATACCGCTAGCATGCGGCGCACATAGGGCTGCGCCACAGCTCCCGATGTCCAACGCCTCCTGCCCCTCCCTCCCCTTCCCCTCCCCTCCCCTCGCCCGCCTGCCATCCCCTGGCAGCGGCGCTAGGGCGGCAGCACCCAGCAGGCCGGGGAAGAGGGCAGCGGCATCCCCTGGCAGCGGCGGCACCTGCACCTGCACCCGCACCCGCACCCGCACCCGGGATGAGCTGCTGGCCGGTGCTTCGGTGGCAGCAGCGGGGGGGGGGCCCGCGGCTGGCGGGCAGATTCGCTTTCACGGCCATGGGTGTTAACGTAGCAGTTGAGAGCCGTGTGGTCCAAAGAAAATGAAGATGGTTTTGATTTGCATCTGATGTGTATACATGCATGTTGTTCGCAGGTGTGTGCAGAAGCATGCAGGCGTGCTGGGGCGGGCAGGGATGGCAGTGCTGAGGTCGTGAGGGTGTGGTGAGACAATAGTGGTGCGGGGGAGGGAGCCCGGCGGTGTTCAGCGCGCTGTGGCCCCCCTCCTTCCCACCGCCAAGATCATGCGGCCTGGGTGTAGGGAGGCAGGAGGAGCCGCGAGTCGCACACACACCCGCTGTGTGGGCTTGCTGGGAGCTGTTGGTAGTGGTGTTCTGTAGCGGTGATGGTGGTGGGATGGTTCACGTGCCGTGCTTTGTAGACAGGTAGGCATATGCTACAGTGCCCTGCTGATCTCTGATTAGCACCGCCTCCTCGGTGTGTCCATTTGTTGCTCGGATTGACTAATTCGGGCAGGGTGGGATGGGACGGCTACCATGTTTGCATGCATGCACCCCATGATAAAGCCCTGCCAGACACCTCCTCGTCAGTTTCCTCAGTTTTACATCTCCCACTTCCCCCATGCAAGCCATGCAAGCAGTGTGTCACATGTCAGGCCGGGCCAGGGCTCGTCACATGGGCCCCGCCCCGCCCCGCCTAGGCACACACGGCGGCAACCCAACCTATCCCAAATGCTTGCTCTTGTTTTCCGCTCAACCACACAAGCGGCGCTCACACCCCTGCACAGCTCCCCGCGGCAACTCAGCCCCCCTATGCGTACGTAGATTTGTGTCGGGATATATTACGCGGTAGGTTAAAAATGGATACTCAACACAGCATGCAAATAAGGATATGACGTACGGCAATCGCAATCCGAGAAAACACCGCGATCACCAGTTTTCTTAACACAACAGGTATGTACCCCAGACGTGCTGACCCAATGCAACTCGCGCCCCACCGCCCCACCGCACGGGTCACACACCCCGCCGGATCCGGTCGGTTCTGGGCAGCATCCACCCCCCCCCGCGGCCCACAGGGGTTTAAACCCCGCAGACACACAAAACCGCATGTGTGTGTTTATTGTATTTATTGTCCCCTCAGCCGCTGTGAGATGACCATGACAGCCGCAGCAGTCCTAAACACAAAGCATGATATGAAGATACACAACACGTACGAGAGCCTTCTCTGTATACCAGTAATCGCACCCCTAAGTAAGCCGCAGCAGGGCCATGAATCCATCGCCACTGATCAATGACACCCCTGGTCGCACGCAACACTTCAGGACAGCAGCACAAGAGGGCCGCGCAGCTCCCTAGCAGAGCCCAAGCATACCGCATATGTGACATGTCGCGAGCCTCCTTGCGCCTCCTAGGCGCAAGAAAGTAGCTCCCCCCTCCTCCTCCTCCTCAGCACCCTCACGGCCTCCCTCTTCCCCCAACCGCTCCACTCCCCACCTCTCCTCTCTCGCTCCTCCCTCCCCTGCCTCCTCCCCGCCTTCCCCCTCCTCCCGGCTATCTACCATAATCCTGCTCCCCGGCCCCGTGCACCTCACAGATGCGACCCCGCCGCATGCGAGTAGCCCCCGCTGCCGGCCCCACTGCCGTACAGTGCGGCTGCCGGCAGCGCCCGAGTCCCCGACATAGCCACTGCGCCGCTGCCCATCCACGCCGCCACCTCGTCCGCCAGACCCTGCATGGCGTCAGTGACGGGCCCTCCCACCTGCCCCCCCAGCAGCGAGGACATACCCACCACACCCCGCGATAGCTCCTCCAGGGGGACGGTGGCCTGGGCGAGGCGGAAAGGGAGGCGGGGGGAGATACCGGTATAGAGGTTGGAAGGCGGAGGAGGGGGCATGTGTATGAGTTAGGTCTCTGGAAAACACATGCGCTCGCCCCGTCATCCACTTCGTCAGTTTTCCTTATTTTTACCCACCCCCCCTTTCTCTCCCGCACCCGCCCCTCACCCTCTCTCCCCTTCTCCCTCCCCCCCACCTGCTGCACCCCCAGCTGCGACGCCACCCCCGCCAGCCGCCCCAGCGCCCCGCCGGTGCTCTCCACGGCTCCCGCGGCGAAGCGGGCGACCTGGGGGGGGAAGAGGGCGAAGGGGGGGGGGTTGCAGGGTGGAGGTGGGGGTGTGAGGGCAGCAGGCGGGTTACAAGTTGAGGCGGCATGCAGGTGCAGGTAAGCAGGTAGGGGGTAAGGTGGGGCATGAAGGTGGGCGCATGTGTGCGGAAGGTGCATAGTTGCTTTTTCGCGTTACCCCCTCCCTTCCCCCCCCCACCTCCCCTCCCTCCCCCCCCACCTCTGGCGGCAGGTCCACGAACGCCTGGTGCAGCGGGCGCAGGTGGTCCCCGGGCAGGGTGCGCACCGTGAGGTCCAGCACCTCACCCACAGCGGAGGAACCCTGGGGGGGTGGGAGGGGGTGCGAGGTGGGGGCAGGGGTGCGGGGGACAGAGAGGAACCAGCTCGGTCAACGGAGGGCACAAGGGCTATAGGGAGAGGAGGTGCCGGGGGGGGACGGGGTCAGCTTCCTTGATTTTACCTCCCCTCCCCCCTCCCCCCATCGCACCTGCAGCAGCTGCACCAGGCTGTTCGTCTCGTCCAGCCCGTCATCCTTGAACCTCAGCAGCATATTGCGTGACACGCCGTAGTAGGTGCGCACCAGCAGCCGCGTCTCCTCGGGAGAGGGCACGAACTCGGACCGCCCGCCAGCCGCGTCCAGCAGCAGCGGGGCCAGCTGCTCCAGCAGGGGCAGCGCCTGGCGCAGCGGGGAGGGGGAGAAGCCCTTGACAGCCTCGCTGAGGCCCTGGGGGGAAGGAAGAGGGGGGAAAGGGTGTTGGCAGTAGGGGTGTGAGGGGAGGGTTCAATGTGCAGCCTTCCTCACTGGCTTCGCTGCTTTGCCCGAACCTGTGGCTTCCTACGTGTTGGCATGCGGTCTTTGACCCCCTCCTCCTCGTCCTCCTCCTCCTCCTGCTCTTCCATCTACAGCTCGTTCCGAGTAACCTCATACACGCTAACCCCGCTGAGCCCCCTCCTTAACCCCCCCCTCCCCCCCCCCCTCCCCTCCACCTCCAGTGTCCCCCTCCCCCCCACCTCCAGTGTCCCCCGCAGCGGCGATGCGGCCAGCTGACTCAGCAGCGGCTCCATCAGCCGGGCGGAGGGCGCCAGCAGCGGGCTCAGTAGCGGGATGACGTCGGAGGCGGGGCGGTTGTTGTACGACAACAACACGTTGCCGGAGCGCTGTACACGTGCGTGTGTGTGTATGGGTGGAGGGGGGGAAGCGGGTTGGGTGTGTTAAGAAACCTGGCCGCGAGTCGGGACGTACTGAATTGCCGGAAGATGTTGTGTGTTCGCCTGGCCCCGCACACACCCCATGGATCCCAAGGTGCCCTCTCCCCCACCAGCCGCTCCCCCCCCCCACCCCCCCTCACCTGCACCGCATACCGTGCCGAGATGAGCAGGTGTATGAGCCCACCCAGCGAGTGCCCCACCCCGTAAGCGGGCAGCGAGGACGGCGGCAGGGCCCCCGGGGCGAGGGGGCCGGCGGAGAGGGCCCGCAGCGCCCGGTCGAATTTAAACTGACACTCATCCGCGATACGCAGGTGGTCGAAGGAGGTGCTGGGGGAGGGGAGGGGGCAGGAGGAAAGGGGAAGGGTAGGGGGGGAGGTTAGGAAAGGGATGGACAAGGGAGGTGGGGAGAGGTGGGGTGCGGAAGGGAAGGGAACTTGGGAGACTCCCTATGGCTTGGTATGTGGTCATTGACCCCCGGTCCGCCCCCCCCCCCCCGCACAACACACACATAGGGTATTCCTCCCCCAGCCCCCCCCCCCACCTGTAGGGAGTGGCGATCACCAGGATGTCCCGGTTAGCCAGCGCCTCCAAGAACAGCCGGTAGGCCATCTGATGAGGGGGGGGGGGGGGGGAGGGAGGGGGGGGGAGGGGAGGGGTAGGTGAGGGGAGGAAAAGGGGGGTTAGGAAAAGAGGAAGAAGGAAGGGGACCAGCGGAGGAAAGAGGAGTTCACCCTGGGCCCTGACGCAGCCCCCCGCCCCATCCCCCATCCCCTCGTGCACCTGTGCCCGCCCCACCTACATGCATCCCCCGAATTCCCCGCACCACGCTCGTCCCCCCAGCGACCCCGGCCGAGCCCTGGCACCCCACCACACGCGCATACCGTCATGCCGGCTCTCCGCTCCTTACCCCCCCCCCCCATCTCATACAGCTTGTCAGTTGCATCGTCAGTGTCTCATTATTGTTTTACTCCCTCGACTCGGGCTTGCAGCCCCGTAATGTGCACCCCTCCCCACCTCCCCTCGCCCCCACCTGCGGCGCCGCCCCCACGAAGGCCCCTCCCAGGAAGTGCGCCACCGCCGCCGGCTGCCTGCCTGCCGGGGGGTAGAGCACGTAGCAGCCCTCCACCTCCGCCCAGTCGCCGCGCTGACCCGGCTGGCTGCTGCTAAAGGTGGACTGGGGGGCCAGGGGGGAAGGGGGGAAGGGGGAGCGGGAAGAAGGATAACCAACGAGGGGGAGGAGGGGAGGGAAAACAAGAGGGAAGGTGGGAGGGAGGGTATGTAGGAGGGAGGGCTGATGCGGCTGGGCCATCCCAACCACCCGCCCCTCCACCTGCCTGCACCCTCCCTCCACCCGCCCATCCGCCAGCACACTCCGCCCGCCCACCTGGATCAGCAGCTCGATGTTGGAGAAGAGGGAGGGCTGCTGCTGCTGGAGGGCGGCGGGGCGGGGGCTGGGAGGGGCGCCGTTCACGGGGGAGCCCACAGGAGGCTGGTAGCTGCTGGCCTGGGGGCGCAGCGACCGCCGAGACGTGGCGGCGCCATGAGCTGCGGGGGACATTGATGATAAGGAACAAGGGGGCCGCGTTAGTTTGTCGTACAAGAGTGATAGCTTTGACTAAAGGGATGTAGTAGTCGGCGGAGGCAGGCGCACTTGGCTGCACCAGGGGGACGCAAGCTAGCGCCATGGATGGTTTCGCTCGATGAACGCCCGAGTAAGGCAGGTGCGACGCACATGGTCGTAACGAGTATAAAGCGTCAAGATATACTACAGTGCAGCATAGCCGAAGCATGCCCTAGCGACAGCCATGAAGCGTCGCATGCCCCGACAAGACCGACCGAGGCCTCCGAAAGAAACATTCGAATACCCAAACGCCGCATTCAATATGGGCATTAACAGACATATAAAAACGTCTATGTACACTACCGGAGGCCAAATTACAACTAACGTCCATTCATTGCCTAAATTTCCCCTGGCCACCGGAGAGTCTATTGGCTGCATGCAATCATGTTATTGAGGGTTGCGAAATTAGCTAAGAACCTGTAATTGGCATGATGCCTAAGAAAGTGCGCGCTTGCAAAGCGAAGCAAAAGCCAACCCCACCTCTCGGCGCCGAAGAAAGGACGCGATCTCCCCGTCGCAATCCAGGCCGCGTGTTACATCCAGGTAAAACCCTTAGAGCGGTTAGCGCCATTGAAAATATGAAAACAGCTCCGGGGCAAGCCTACTATCTCAAAGATGCAATCCTTAACACAGACGGATACCTCGGTATGCAAAGTTGAAAGTGATTCAGTTGTGTGTAGAAGGAGCGAGGGGAGAGCCAAAAGCGCTAAGTTGCCGTACACCGCATTGGTCACGCGAATTGGCACCACCTGTGCACTTCCGCAGCCTCTATTCCTTTTGTGTAGAGTTAAACTCTCTGCTGTCAGCTAATCCCTTGCTTTGCTTTTCAGTGCAAACTAGCAATATGGCTTCAACCCTATGTGGTCCAAATGCTCTCCTGGCGCCAGCCCAAGCTCGTAGGAATCCAATAGCCTTTTCAACTGGCGGTTAGTAACATTATAGTCCTAACTAAGTTGCATAGCAACTCTATCCCTGAATGCCAACGTACCACTCCACCCGCGGCAGGTTGCGCCAAGCTGCATCGCACCGCACCCATCCCGCCTCGCTCCTCCCCGCTACGCCAACCCCACCTCACCAGCCGGTCCGTTGCTGCTCGCGCTGAAAACAACAACAGCGGCCAGGCCAGCGGTGAGGCCGAGCCCCGGCGGGTGGTGTACAACACGGAGTTCGGCTACTCCCGCAAGGACGTGCTGCTCATCTGCTTCGGGCTGCTGGGTCTGGGCTTCGGGCTGTACGGCGGGCTGCAGGCTGCGGGTCTGGATGCGGGGCAGGCGGGCAACTGGGTGCAGCTGCTGATCTTCCTGGGCATCTGCGTGGGCTGGGTGAGCACCTACATCTACCGCGTGGCAACCAAGGTAGGAGGGGGAAAAAATGAAATAAGTGAAAGGGGGAGGGTGTGTGTGGAAGCAGCGTGCGGGCTGGGGGCTGGGGGGGTTTGGCAGGGCGCTGAGCGAGTGCCTGCCTCCCCTGTCTGTCAGCGCAGCAACCGCCCCGTCCTTGCATGCGATCTGCTCGTGCACCACCCTGCTGTCCCTGTGCGGCCCCCTCCTTTACCCCTTCCCCCCCGCCTCCTAACCCCAAACCCCAATGATGGATTGTCAGCAACTTGCATCAATAACACACCACACATTGGAATTTCTTTTTTCCCCCTTACACACACGCGCAGCAAATGACGTACGTGAAGCAGCTGGAGGCGTACGAGGAGGCGGTGATACGGCGGCGAGTGGATGAGATGACGGAGGCTGAGCTGGCGGCGCTGGCGGAGGAGGTGGAGGCGGAGCGGGCGGCGGCGGCGGGGAGGCGGAAGCAGCAGAAGTGAAAGCACTGGGGAATCCCAGTTCCAGTGTGCTGAACTGCTGGTTCAAGCGAAGGGGTGGGGACGGCGGAATGAGGGTGGAGGGTGGATGGTAGTGGAAGAAACTAGTTTACCAGGTGGCAAGGCTTTGTCCTGGGTTGGGGGCCAGCAGCAGCTGTAGCAGTGGCAGGAAGGGGGAGGAGCAGAGCGGGGGGACACGGATTGAGCTGAGTGGGGTTGGGGCGGTGTATGGGTTCAGGAGGGTGGTCAGCGCAGCAGGGAGGCGGAGGGGGGGGCAGCGCAGGGTGGGTTGCCCCCGCAGGTGCAACGAGGCAGAACGTGCCCCGCAGGTGCAACGAGGCAAGCGGGCCAGGGGGGTCGAAGACCATACCAAACCATAGGAGACCACAGGTTACCGGTAGGGCAGGGGGGGGGGAGGTGGAGCGGGCTGCAGAGCAGCTGGCTGACGTGTGCTGCACCAATGTGTTGACACCTGGAGTAGGGTGCGACTAGGGCATTGAGAAGGCGTTGGAGTTATTATGAATATGTTTGGAAGGGTAGGGTTGAGATCTGGATCGTTGGAGATCTGGGGTTCACAGCTGCCATGTCAGGTGCTGTTTCGCGGTGAGGAGAGGCCCGCCATGAGGGGCTGAAGTGGTCCATGTAGGGCCTGGCTGCATGTAGGGCCTGCGGATTCAGCAGATGACCCCGCTCGCCTGACCCTGGCCTTTTTGGGAAGTGCCTCTGGCCGGATAGCCGCAGCGCACAAACCCCTGCACCCATTGTGTAACTGGGATCATCAGGACGGGGCGAGCCCAAGTAGCGGGTGACCAAGCGGAGGCACACAGCGCGGGGCGGTTGAGCGAGGGAGCTGCTGCTTGCTGCAGCAGGCAGTTGCCCTGCTACCGGTGCTGGGCAGGTGCCGGCTAGCAGCACTGGCAGGCGGGCGGGGGGGTAAAAAAATATATATGATGGCGGGCGGGCGGGGGGGGGGGTGCGAGCCCACAGCCAGCCCAGTCGGTCCCGCTGCACTGATGGAGTGATGGGAGCACGGGACCCCTAAAGAGGGCTGGTTGGGGTAGCCGGGGGCTTAGCGTGCTGCGGATGAACTATTGCGGGTCGCGCAGAAGTACGACCCAACTGAAGGCTGTGAATTAGCCGTACTTTGGGGATAAAATAATTTCTCCGTATATCGTATATATTATTGCATAACCGGACATCTTTACCTTTTGACAACATAGATACTTGCTGTCAATAAACGGCGGACTCTTGCAGCCTCTTTCCGATACAAGGTTCGCTCGCGACGCTTCACATCCGCCGCTCTGATCTGAGCGACCGCGTCATTGCTCTAAGCGCGGCTTGCCGCTCGTTGCGCGAGCGCCAGCGCACCAGCTTGCCAACATGGGGAAGCGGGCCAGGGGCATGGCAAACGAGCGCCCGTCGGATGATGATCAGGTAAGGCGTGCAGCTGGAACAGAACCCACACACATATCGTATACATACATATATATTGCATCATTCGTAATACAAATATTTTGATTAGGACTTGCGTTTCCTCTGCTGCAGCCGCTGAATATGACCCGTCGTCAGTTCTTCGCGCTCATGCACCAGCGGCTGCGAGAGCTGGCGGCCGCTGGGCTGCTCGCGGGGGAGCTGGCGGAGGGGGCCTACCGGGCGGGGGTGAGGGCGGTGATGGGCACGGATGAGGGGGCGCCGTGAGGTGGCTGGGGACGTGGGGAGGAGGGGAGTAGCGGGTACCGAATAGCAGCAAGCAGTTACCGACAACAAGAGGGCCCATGCACGCTGCTAGGCAAACAAAACACACCCTGGTGTACATCCTCCCTCTGCTGGGCGCCTAGCGGGGGGGGGCTCATGGGGATTGAGGGGAATGACGAGGATGAGCAGTTATTACCGAAAGCAGTTTGTGTGGGCCCTGTGGCTTAAGCAGATACTTCCGCATTTCCGCAGCATACCAGTCAGCGGGCTCCCTGCAGATGCCAACACGTAAATCTGAAGGACAACCCCTATTTCTGCTACACACATAGGGGAATGTCAGGAGACTGCGCTTGGCTGACGTCCCACGCTATCCATGAACAATGAGGTGGAGGATGGTTGTACAAGTGCATTAGGCTGGTACGTCCGTTGGTTGACCGAATATGGGTTTCGCCATGCTGAACAAATTGATAATAGTTGTAAGATTATATTGTATAATGAGTTGGCCTAGGCTAAATGCACTGCCCTGCTTGTACATGACCTGCCCATAAGCAGTCCGTTCATCCCCGTACAGGTACGCCATGCTGGCCCATGCTATGCTTGCGGGCAGCACGTGGTTGTGTACTCCAATGTTATAATTTGTTGACGTTTATATATTCGTACGCTTGCTTGCTCTGCTTGCTCTCGTTCTCACATGGAAGCGGGCGTGCGACCCTTGAACGGAGCAGGGCCCGGGCCCAGTCCTGTGGATTTATTAGAGCACCCTTTTGCAGTAACGACGGCTGTAACTCCATCTGACCCGCCTGCTAGCAACTTGGTAGCAACCTCACATCCCGAGCCCTTGCATGGACAAGACACATCTTCATCGACAACTATTCCTCGACTAGCATCTATCAATGGCTTTACCGATAATAGAGATGAGCCTCAGAGATGGGGAACCCTTCGTCAGGAGGACAGCCAACCCGACATGGGCGTCAGTGGCGCGGCAACAGGGCGCAGCAGCGATTCTGTGCCCCTTCCCGGGGTTGACAGCCTGGGCGACCAGGAGGTTGTGGTGCTGACGCCGAGCCGCTTGCGACTGGACTCCCGTGTGGTGCTAGCCCATGCAACGCTGCAATGGCTGACCAACGCAGTCTGGGCGGTGCTGATTTGGCAAAAGGTGGGTAGCGGGGGGTAGCCCGGTTCCTGGCATGAGCCAGGGACATAAAAGAAGGGGCTAGACTCGCTGCCGGGGGGAGGGGCTGTGGAGGAGCGAGCGGGGGGCAGCATGAGCGCTGGGTGGGGCAGGGCGGACGCGAGAGGGGATGTTTTGCGGCAGCGCGCTGCAAGGGAGCAGCAGGGGGGAGGGGCGCTGCTGCCTGGGGCGGCGCAGAATTGGGTGCGGCTCCGGCGCCGGGCAGCAGGGGGCAGCTGCGGAGAGCGGCGCAGAAGGCGGCAGAGGAGCAGGGAGGGAGGGCTGGGAAGAGGTGTGGGGGAGCAGGCCACACAGCCCCCATCCCTGCGCCAACCGGCACCGCAGCCACAAGAACCCTCCGCCCCGCCCTCCGCCCCGCCCTCCCTAGGCCCCTCCCGTCATGCAGTCCCACCACCTCATTCCGCTGTGCTGGCCGCGCTCCCTGTCCTGCCTCCTCTCCCTCCCTGCCCTGCCCTCCTCCCCCCCCCCCCCCCAGCTCGAGGGTCGGCTGTCCTGGAGCTGGTGGGGGGTGTTCTCCCCCGCCATCCTAAACCACGCACTGCACCTGCCGCTGCAGCTGGGGGTGCTGCTGGCGGCGGTGAGCCAGCCAGGGGGAGGAGGGGAGGAGAAGGGAGCGGGGAGGTTAAGGGAGGAAACTAACGAGCTGCATGACGAGGGGAACGATGGGAGGAGGGGGAAGGGGCAGTGCTGCATGGGCCGCCTGCAGCCAGCCCAGCTGGGAACACGACATGAGGCAGGAGGGGCTGCGGGTGTGGGGCAGACGCGGTGGAGGGTGGCGTGGGGCATGGCAGGGGGGAATGAGTGGGTTGGTGGTTGTGGCGGACGGGGCGGGCGGGGTGCAGGGCGCGGAGGGGCTTCGTTCCCAGCCCCTCCCCCCGCTCCCCGCTCCAAGCCTTGTCATACAGCTCCTTAGGTTCCTCCTTCTTAACTCCCCCCCCCCGCCCCGCCCCCCCAACAGGACTCCTTCATCCACAAGCAGATCGGCCCCCCTCCGCCCGCCTCCGCCTCCCCCGGCCTGGTGCTGCAGTACGCCATCATCCGCGCCGTACGACTGCGGTCGCACCGGGTGGACTGGTGCAACGGGGCGCTGGAGTCGGCGGCAACAGGGGTGGTCAAGGTGGGGAAGGGTGGGGGCAAAGGCCAGGGACCAGGGAAGAAGAAGCTATGCTTGTGGGGGAGGGGGAGGGGAGCAGGTGGGGGAGGGGAGCAGGCGCTTGCCTTGCCTTGCGTCAACTGCAGCGCCTCCCTTCGCCGCCTCCCCCCCCTTTTCGGATTGTCACTCCGCTGCTGCACACCTCATTTAGCCCCCCTCCCTCTGCTCCCCCCCTCTCCCCCCCGCCAGCTGCTGTTCTGCGACGCACTGCAGCGGGGCCGTCTGGCCTCCACCTCCCTGCGACTCATGTTCACCCCCATATGGTGGGGGGAGGGGGGTTGAGGGAGGGCAGCATGGGTGCTGCGAGCGCGGGAGGTGTTGGGCAGGGTTTGGGTTGGATGGTGCGGCGGGGCGCTAGCTGGAGGGAGGTGCAGTACGACCCCCTCCTCCTGACGGGAGGGAGGTGGGGGCGGCGGAGGGGAGAGCAGGCGCTACACCCGCACGTCCCGCCTGCTCCCCACTTCCTAGCAGGCCCAGGCACACGTACCACACACACGAGGTTTCTTAACACACACACCCATACCCTCCTCCACCTGTCAACACTCCCCCCCCTCTCCCCCTCCCCTTCCCCCCTCCTCAGGGCCTGCTGGGGTGTGAGTGTGTTGCTGCTGTGCTTCAAGGACCGGTCGGAGCGCATGTTCGGCAGCACCCGCGACCTGCTCTTCATATTCCTGCTCTTCGTGGCGTTCAAGGTGGGGGGTTGCCAGTGCATGTGCGTTCCAGCCCAAGGCCACCCCCCTGAAACCCTAGACCCCCTCCCCTCCTGTCAGCTAGTTTACCACTATCACACTACACATTGGATATTCTTCTTTTCCCCTCCCTCCCTGCCTCCTCCCCCCCCCAGGTTGACGAGCAGAGCAGCTACTCCTGGCGGGTGGTGTTCCTGGTGCCCTGGATGTGGTTCAGCGGTCTGCTGCTGGTGGCGACCTTGGTAGGGGGGGAGGGGGGGAGGAGGGGGGGACAGCCCCTTATTGGCGCCCCCTTGTTGGCGCCCCCTTATTGGCGCCCCCTTATTGGCGCCCCCTTAATGACCCGCCCCCTTGTTGGCGCCCCCTTAATGACCCGCCCCCTTAATGACCCGCCCCTAATTACCGGTATATTTCTCCCCCGCCCCCGCCCCCCCTCCTCCAAAGGTGTTGCTGCTGCTGCTGTTCGCTCGCTGCTGGTCCCGCCCGCGCGAGCTGCTGCTGCCGCTGGGCTTCTGCGCGCTGCTGCTGGCCAGCCTGCCGCAGTTCATGTCGTACATCGCGCTGGTGCGGAGGCTGGACGGGGACAGCAGCACCAGCTACAGGGTGGGGTGGAGGGGAGGGGGGAGCAGGGGGGGGTTGAGGCGCTTAAGGGGGAAGAAAATTATGAACTGAGGAGGGGTGGGGGAAGGGGCCGGGGGTTGTTTGCCACCTCCCCACCCCTGCCGACCCCCTGTGGGCCGCACGCAGCTAAGTAATCCTTTCTTCCCCACGCACAAACCCGCCCCTTCTCCTTACACCTCCTTCCTCCTCCCCTCCCCTCCCCCTCCTAGTTATTTGCACTTATTATATATTTTCCCCCCCTCCTCCCCCCTCCTTTCCCCTCCTTCCCCCTCCTTCCCCCTCCTCCCCCCCCTCAGTCCATCCTTGCCCCCAACGCGCTGTCCTGGCTACTCATGTGGCTGTCCTCGCTGCTGGTGGCCGCCGCGCTGCGAGCCAAGGAGGCGGTGCGGGAGGGGCTGCTGGCGCGGGGGGCGGTGTGGACGGCACACGAGGCGGTGGCGCGGCGGCTGCATGCGGAGCGGGAGGAGGCGAGGAGGCGGGTGGAGCAGCTGTCGGATGAGGAGGTGGGGGGGAGGGCAGGGAGGGAGGGAGGGAGGGAAATGATAAATAAATGCAACAACGAGGGAGGGAGGGAGGGAGGAAGGAGGGAAAAGGGGGGCGGTCCCGTACTGCCTGGTGCGCACTGCCGCCGCATGAGGGTGAGTACACCCGCGTCGCCTCTGTTCCGCACTCCACAACGCATCCACCCCCTGACCTCCCCTCCCCTCCCCTCCCCTCCCTCCGCCCCCCCCCCCGTCAGGTATCCCGGCTGGTCGCCTCCATGATGGCCGGCAAGTCCAAGCCCGGCCGCCTGCGCCGAGTGGGGGCCACCCTGTACAAGCGCATCGCGTCGCTGGAGCCGGCACTGAGGGGGGGAGGGGAGGTGCAGGTGGGGGGGGGGCGGGGGGGCGGGCGATGTTACCGGTATACTGTTGCTTTCCACGGAGTGGCACCTCTCTACTGGTATAAGCATCGAAGCGTACTAAGGCGTTACTAAGGCTACCCGCCTGCCGCCTGCCCCCCCCCTTCTCCCCCCCCCTCTCCTCGCAGCTGCCCTCCCTCTCCGGCGCCCCTGGCTCGCTGTCCACCCGCCCGGGCACTGGCAAGGGGAACCGGGTGGCGCCGGCACCAGCAGCAGCAGCAGCAGGTGGGGCGCAGGAGGTACCACCGGGGCAGCCGCCCGCCTCCGCTGCCTCCACTGCAGCTGCTGGCCCTCTCCCGTCTCTCGCTGCCCCCACCACCGCCCCCGGTTCCTCGGTGCGGTCGGGGCGCTGGCTGCTGGACCTGTCAGCAGACGGGGCCGCGGCAGGGGCGGCGGGGGCAGGAGAGGCAGCAGCAACGGCGGCGGCAGGGGCAGCGGGCGGGCTGAGTGGGTCCGAGGGGCGCGAGGCGGACCTGGATGTGGAGAGGTGAGGCGGCGGGCGGGGGAGAGAGGGCTGTGGACTAGAGAGGGCTGCGGCACATCTGCCTCTTCCTCAGCGTTGGTTGCTTGCTGCCCCGCCCCCGCACCTGTCCTCCTACCTAACACCTACCCTGCTGTCCGTCTTGACACCCGCCGCTGCTCCACCCCCACCACCACTCACCCCCCTCCTCTCTTTCGCACCCACCTTACAGGGGTGGCGGCTCCTTCCGCCCCGCCCCCCGACTGGCCTCAGACCACCCGCAGCACCCCCCACCGCCGCCCAACCCCCCGGCCCCCGCCCTGCTGCCTGAGGTGCAGCTGGCGAGCTGCGGCAGCCCCCGGGGGGGCAGTGCGGCCCCGCACCCGCACCCTTCACCGCCCTCACTCTCCTCGAGAAGCAGTGGTCCGTACCGGGGGGCACCGCCCTGCACCTCCGCCTCCACCCCCGGGGTGGGTGGTGCCCCGCAGCAGTCGGGGGTGCTGCCGCTGCAACCCGCAGCACCCGCAGCAGCAGCCTCCTCACAGCCAGCTGCTGCTGCCGGCTGGGGGGAGGGAGACGCCTTGCAGCCGGCAGCAGCGGGGTCGCCGAGGGGCGGGGGCAGGGGCGGGTGGGGCCCGGCGGACGGGCCTTCTGCCGCCGCCGCCGACTCCTCGGGCGGCTCAGCGGCGGGGAGGGAGGGGCCGTACCCGCCTGGGTTGGACAGCCCCCGAGGGGCGGGGGCGGGACAGGAGCAGGGGCAGCAGCCAGGGGGCGCGAGTGGTGGGGGCGGCAGCAGCCAGCTGCCGCCTCCTCCTGCTGCTGCTGCTGCTGCCTCGCTACCCCATCTCCGCACCGCCTCCTCCTCCTCCTCCTCCTCCTGCCGCAGCAGCAGCAGCAAGCGCGCGCCCGCGGTGCTGCTGCCTGAGGCGGCCGGCGGGGGTGTCGGGGGGCAGCCGGAGGTGGAGGTGCAAGCGGAGGTCCAGGAGGAGGAGGAGGAGACGGCGACAGCGGCAGAGCACCCCGGTGGCATTGGGCAGCAGCAGCAGCCGGCTGACAGCGACGCAGCCCCCAGCTCCTCAACCGCCCCTCCCTCCGCCCCCGCCTCCGCCCCTGCTGCCCCCGCCTGCCGCCCCCCCAGCCCCCCCGACCCCGACGATGGCAGCTGCGTCATCTGCTACGACGCCGCCGCCAGCTGCGTGTTCCTGGAGTGCGGGCACGGCGGCTTCTGCAGGCGTTGCGCTTACCGGCTGTTCGTGCGGCCACCCAACGAGTGCCCAACCTGCCGGGCCCCAATCGAGCAGGTGGTGGAGGTGGAGGAGGAGGCGCCGGTGGGGCAGGTGGCGCGGGTCAAGTAGGGTTGGGCGGGGGGGGGAAGGGGTTGGTGTCGTGGTCAGGCTAGGGCGACAGGAGGAGCGCAGCAGGGGGGTGCAGGGGCGGGTGCAGTGCATGCGGCTGCCGCATAGGCAGGGGAACGGTGGGAAGGTGGGAAGGTGGGGGCCGGGGTCGCTGCGTGGTGGTTGGTTGGTTGGTGGTTAGGAGCTTATACGTGTCAGCAGTTCCCTTGCGGGTGTGGCTGTGCTAAGAAAGCTGGCCGCGGGTAGGAACGTATGGCTGTGTGAGGGGGTGGGGGTGGGGGTGTATGGGTGGGGCTCAGCACTTCTGCTGCGGCTACGTGATCCGTCCTCGATGGGTGCGCATCCAGTGGGGGCAGCAGGTGGGGTGCTCTGAAGGAGAAGGAGAAAGGACCTCGCATGCATCGTGCATAGTGCATATGGCATATACCAGTATGGCTCTTGGAAGTTTGGCCTATGCCCGTGCGTGTGCACGACCCGGCCGTTACTTCTTAGGGTTGTCCTCGCAATGCGCACGCTGGGTGGGATATTTGGGGGCATCCGTTCATTCATGTGGCGTACTGGGATGGCCGTTCGGTGAAGTAACACTTGTTAGGCTGGTCAACACAGCAGTACCAGAGCTTGCTTGCTGGGACTCATTGTTGGGCACATTGGCGGGTGACGCTACCGGGTATAGTCGTGGCCAATCCTGTACGAGACAGGGGAGTGCTGCTGGGGCTGCACAGCACGAGCTGGCAACATGGGGCATGGAGGGGTTCGTAGGCTGTTGTTTCGAGAGGAATTTGAGATTCCTGTGCACGCAATGCTTATTGACGTGGAGTCAAGTCCAGTACTGTAGCGTATGATGGTACTCTTACCACAGACCCCTGCCTGCATCAAGCCGGATGGGGCGGCAGCCACCAGCACCTCTGCAGGAGTGCAGCCGGCCCCCCAGCTCAGCTCACCTCACCCCTCCCGCTTCCCGCGCTACGGAGCTGCCGCGGCGTACGGTGCTAGGCGCCCCCCGAGGCCCCTTGCACCGCCGCCAGCCTCCCCCAGGCACCCACACGCCTTGGCACCCACCTTGGCGGCCCCATGCACGTCCCGCGCAGCCTCCACGCACGGCCACCCGCGGGGCACCCGAAAACAGCGCAACATCGCAACTTACAACTGCTGCTGCCAACACAACTTGAGCGCACCAGCCAAGGATGCCGCGCAGACGTACACGGTACACCTCCCCTCCACATCCTCCACATCTTTGACGCGGCAGCCCAACCCCAACAAACCCGGCGGCCATGAATGGACCCCTCCTCGCACTCTCCCTCTCTCATCAATAGCGTCAATACCCTTCTTCTTCTCATTGATACCTCTATGGCGGCAGGCGGCGCTCACAAGTCCCCCTCGCCCCCTCAGCGGTAACCTCAGGGGCGCAAAGTACGGCAGTACATACACACACACACACACACTCGCACACTCGCGGTAAGTTTTCTTAAAACACACGGCGGTAGCACGTGGTTGATACGCGAATAAGCTATTTTATACACGGCAGCGGCACCTCAACATGCCAACAAGGGAAACAAGGAATACTTCATACACGGCCAGCAGCCAATAGGTGCGTCAAAAAGTGTACATAAGCCATGCAATACAGATGCAGTACCGAAGAAGCGATACGGAGGAGCGGCTGTTATGAGACCAAACGGAGATAAAAAATACTGGTACAGCGGCAATAATGGTACAAAACCCGCCTCCTCCTACGTATACGTATAATACATACATAGCCCTCTTCATGCTGTTATACAGGCGTGCACTGAGGGCCTTTTACCCCTCCCCCTGCATCAGCTGCTGCTACAGCTTTGCCAGCGGACCGCAGCAGGCAGCGGCGGGGGTGGCGGGGGCAGCGGCGGGGGTGGTGGCGGTTTCACCGCAGCAGCTCCCTCCTCCCGCCACCCCCTGCTGCTGCTGCTGATGCTCCGCCCCCTGCGCGCTCTCCTCCCTGCTAGCCGTGTCCCGAGTGGGCGGCAGGTCGATGGCGGGGTTGGCGGCGAAGAAGCCGTCGGGCTTGAGGCTGAAGCCGCAGACCTGCGGAGGGGGCGGGGTGTAGGAGCCCAGCAGTGGGGGCCAGCAGTCAGGATCAGTGTTTCCCCGGCTCGGTTCACCTAATCCCCTCCTTCCCCTCCCCCCCCTTCATCCTGTCCCACCCCCTCCCTCACCTCCACCGGCATCACGGGGAAGTCCTCCACCCGGGGTGCGTGGGTGACCCCGAAGCTGTACCACAGCACCGGGTCGGCGCCACGCAGCGGGGTGTCCTGCGGGGGAGTCAATTTTTGGACCAGTTAAAACCATAGAAAAACCAAAAAAGAGAGAAAAAGTAGGGATTCACAAGGCAGAGGGAGGGGGGGGGAGGGAAGAAGAATTCCAATGTGCGGCGGAGAGGGAGGGGGGGCAGAGAGGGGGAGGAAAACTGAGCCGCATGGGGGAGGGGAGGGAGGGAAGGAGGAGGGTCCAAGGGCCACATACCAAACCACAGGTCAGGGCCAAGCAATGGGGGTAAGCGGGTAGTACGGAAAAAACGTGGCGTGCCCCCCCCCACCTGCTGTGTCCACTCCGCCAGCCCCCTGCACCGCTCGCTCTGCACCACGTGGTCCCCCGCGGGGTAGCGCTGGGAGTCGCAGTGGGGGGTCACCCACAGCTGCCGGGAGGCGAACAGTGCTCGGCGGGCGACCAGGCTGGAGGGGTGGGCCTGCATGAAGGGGCCTGCACAGGGGGGGGATGAGGAGGGGTTGAGGAGGGGGGACCTGCATGACGGGCTAGGGTGCAAGCAGTTATTTGGGGTGCCGGCCGCAGCTTACAACCGCCACAGGGTGCTTTCCCCCGCCCGCCTCCACCCTTTTCCCTCTTCCCCCCCCCCCCCCTGGTCTCACTTGCAGCCGGCATGAGGCGGTATGCCAGGGGCCTGCCTGACACGGGGTTGAGGCGGCCGGGGTTGCGAATGGACCTGCGGGGGGGTGGGGGAGGGGGGGGGAGGGGGGGATACTGTTGGCGTCGACGTGCATTTCCTACCACCCATCCACCAACAAGCCCACCCAGCCATTACCTTCCCCCTCCTCCCACCCTCCCTTCCTCCCACCACCCTCACCATAACCTGCCGCCTCCTATCCCCATTGTTTTGCCCCAACCCGTTGCTTCCTATGGTATGGTATCTGGTCTTCGACCCCCCTCACCAGAACCGAGCGGTCGGGAAGTTGTGGCACCTCTGCGCCGCCCCCGTGGAGGTCAGGTCGCGGGCCACCATGCGGAAGGCGTTGCCGGCGGGGTTGGCGGGGGGGCCGGGGGGCAGCGGCACGGACTCCACCTCCGACACAATCAGGTTCCTGATCGGTGGAGGAGAGGGGGAGGGGCAGGTAAGGAAAGGGGGAGGGCAGGAAGGTTGTATACCGTACACATGCAGCCGAGACTGCAGTGAGAGAAAGGCGCTCCCGCTCTCGCCGCCCCCGAGGCCGCCAGGGCTTGTCAACAGGGGTTGTAAGAGCGAACCACCCACCCCTCTCACCCTCCTCACTCTCCCCCTTTCACACTCCTCAATCCCCCCACCCACCCCCCACCTGCCCCCCTCCTCATCGTCAATCGCCAGGTCCAGCCGCATGCAGAAGAAGTGCTGGTGCACGGTGGCGTTCACACCGGGGCTCACGCGCACACCGAAGGGGGGGTCGGACTCGCCGGCGGGGGCGATGCTGTGTGTGTATGTGTGTGTTTTGGGGGGGGGTGAGGGGAGAGGAGGGGAAGGGGAAGTCAAGGCAGGCGAGAGGGTGGGTGAGATGCCCCCCTCCCCACACAAATGGGGCATAAGAGATCGGCACTCAGGTTGCTGCACTTCTCGTTCAGTTCCCCCCCCCCAACCCCCACCCCAACTTGTACTTTGTGTGCTGCTACTAACCCAACGAATTTGACTATGCGCAATCCTAAAATCCAGCTTAATGCGGAATCTTCATCCATATTAAACCCCAACTCGCCCTCCCCCCACCCCCCACCTGGTTGACAGGATGCCCGTCAGTTTGAGTTCGAATGCGATGCTGCCGTCCGTGTAGAGGTGCCAGTAGGAGGCGTACTCGTAGTTCATGAAGGTGGACACGGAGGACACCACCAGGCGCCGGGAGCGGCGAACCTGAGACTCGCCAGATCGGCAGTCGAAGTGCTGCAAGGGGGGAGGGCGGGGAGAGGTGGCGGGTGGGGGAAGGAGGGAGGGAAGTGGAACCCGGTAGGCAGGGGGAGGCAGGGGGAAGGTAGGGGGAAGGTAGGGGGAAGGTAGGGGGAGCGGTTTACAACAACAACAACATGACGAACAAGACCTGGTCGGGGCCGGTCAGGCGGTTGTGCGGCGAGCGGGCAGGAGGCGGGCGCGGCTCCCGGGGGTCTGGCCTCACCCCCTCCTACTCCCATCCCACCAATCCCTCCTCCGCCTCCCCCACCTTCCAGCAAATGCCCGCGTCCTCCTCGTGGATGCAGATGGCCTTGGGAATGAGCACCGGGTCACCCCTGGAGGGGGGGCCAGGGGGGGAGGGGAGGGTGAGAGGGGGAGGGGAAAATGAGTAAGAATTGAAGCAACAGGAGTCCTATTACCATGAGGGGCGCCGGTGGACAGGGCGGGGGGGGGCGGGCCCAGGCGAACGGGTGCTGCAGTCAGCGAAGGGTGTGACAAGTTCTCATGCGGCTGATATTCCCGCCCCCTCGCCCCCCCCCTCCCCTCACACACACACCCCCACCTTGCGTTGTTGACCACCGCATCCAGGTATGCGATGTGCCCCAGGCAGTCGCAGCCCAGTGCCAGGCTGTTGGCGCACAGACCCAGCCCGTAGTCGCCCACATCGAAGGCGCACTTGCGGATGTAGGGGACGCTGCATGGGGGGGGGGAGGGAAGAAGAACACCCAAGAAAGGGGGAAAGAGGGGTGGTTAACACAGCTTGGGACGGAAGGGAATGGTAGGGAAGGTGCCAGTAAAGATGCCAAGGCAAGGAGGCCCTGGAAGGTGCTGCTGCTGCTGCTAATGTCCTAACCCCCCCTCTCGCCCCCCGCTGCGGTTTCCTATGGTTCGAGTTTGTCTTTGACCCCTTCCCCCCCCAGGCCCCCCCAATACACATTGGGTATTCTTCTTCCCCTCTTCCCCGCGCCCCTTCCTTACTTGGGGTCTCCGTACGGCACCGCCATCTCCACCAGCGAGCCCCGGTGCAGCACCGGCCGCACCCGCCCGCCCTCCTCGTACCCCACCCCGTGCAGCACCAGCCCCTCCCGACCCGTGAACCCCACCCGCAGCCGCCAGCGCTGCCAGTGCAGGCAGCCGCCGCGCAGGGAGAAGCTGGGACCCTGCGGGGAGGTGGGGGAGGGGGGGAGAGGGGGGGGAGAAGGAGGGTAAAGAGGAAACAACTAACTGACCGTGTGACCTACAAACCAGCCCCTTCTCCGCACGTGAGGACAAGGTAATAGGGAGGAGGCGACTGATCTAACCCCCAAGCAAGCGGGACCCCACCCACCCACCCACACCCCCCCACCTGCGGCTGCACCACATGGAGCGGGCGCAGGTCGGTGCGCGGGGGCCGGTCGGCCAGGGTGGGGTGGTAGTTGGCGGGCGTGGTGGGCACGGGGGGAGGCCGGGAGTACATGTCGATGTGGATGACCTGGGGGGGCGGGGAAGCCGGGGAAGACCAGGGGGGGTGTTCATGCAGGCTACTAGGTTGCGGGGGAGAGGGCGGAGGAGCGGTGTAAAGTGGGGGCCTGCATGCGGTTGGGGGCGGGGGCTGCGGCTGGGCTGGGCTGATGGGGCCGACCAGGTCGGTGGGAGCAGACGGAAGAGGTGCCTCTGCTAGACAACACCTTTTGCACCCTGCCGCCTGCTGTATCCCCATTGCCTTGCCCAATTGCCCTAACCTGTGGTCTCGAGGTTGGTGCGGTCATTCACCCCCCAGGCCAACGAATTTCTAGCCCCAAAACCCGCTTAGCCCCAATTGACAAGACGCATAACAATTCATTTTTTGTCCATTAAAATATGGGCAATACGGTAATCTTATTATTATTATTATCAAGGCATGGCAGCAGAGCTGCAACAACCCGAAGCAACACGTGAACACCACAACAAGACCAACAAACACCAACGCCCAAAACCCGCCCCTCCCTGCAAGCAACCACCTAACCGACGAGACAGCATATCTAGACGAACCCCAGCCTGCCCGGCTGGGGTTATTGTACGCCAACACAGTACGAAACGGGTTATGACACCGTACACTCTCCCACCCCCCTCCCCGCTCCCCACTCCCCCCTCTGGCCCCTGCCACTCCCATGGGTCGTACTGTACGGCACGGGGTATGGCACGCTCTCCCACCCCCCTCCCCGCTCTGCAGGAAAAACAAAACGAAACTAAAACCCGAAACCACGCGACCGCACAAGCACACCGCGCCCTGGACCGTACCGCGGCAAGGGCAACCTAATCCTGCCACGGCACGACCCACCGTCAACCTAATCCTGCCACGGCACGACCCACCGTCATAGGTATGTGTGCATAACTAGGGAATGGCACACAGTGTTGCTGACAACAATACGCCCATAAACACGGCAACAACCCCATGAGAAGAAGCCCTGGCAGGCATGTAGAAAAACTAGACATAATCCACCATCTACACATGCAACACATGGGCTGTCCAATTTGCAGCTGACTTTCAACACAGGAGACACAATGCCAAGGCCCTGCTGGGTCAATTAGAGTGCCAGGTGAAAAGAGACCGAGGGTAGCCGCAACAGCGGCCTATCACCCCCAAATGCGGCACTCAAACTCTCTCCGCAGTAACATCCTATCACCGCAAGCAACCACAGAGTCGGCACAACAGCGGCTTATCGCCGCAACAGTGGCATATCCCCCCCTGTGCAGCGCTCAGGCGCGCCTCCACAAGCCCATGACGCCGCACGAGTATGCGGAGGTATGATGTGCTTGAGCGTTGTATTGTGATAATGCGTCTGACACAGCGGGAGACTGGGGGTGCTCCTCCCTACTGGCCTACTGTCAGGGTGGCTCTATCACCTTGACGCTCTGCTTATTAGGCCCTATTATAGGCCCTATCGACCTATGCCCTGAAGCTCCCTGCTCTTACCCGTCAACCGTCTGGATGAACATCCCTTTCTTGAACATGTCCACAAATTTGCAAGTGTAGCCGCGCCTGTCCGGGTCGTCAACGTCAAATAGCATCTGCTCTGACAAGGCCGTGTCCATCCCAGATAAATCGCACCGATTTATCTGGGATGGACACGGCCTTGTCAGAGCAGATGCTATTTGACGTTGACGACCCGGACAGGCGCGGCTACACTTGCAAATTTGTGGACATGTTCAAGAAAGGGATGTTCATCCAGACGGTTGACGGGTAAGAGCAGGGAGCTTCAGGGCATAGGTCGATAGGGCCTATAATATTTTAATGGACAAAAAATGAATTGTTTTGCGTTTTGTCAATTGGGGCTAAGCGGGTTTTGGGGCTAGAAATTCGTTGGCCAGGCTGGGCCAGGTGTGTGACCTCCCCTCCCTCCCTCCCTTCCTCCACAAACTGGGTAATTCTTCTTCCCCTCCCGCGGCGCCCCCCGCTCCCCCCACCTTGCGTTCATTGAGGTCCACCAGCGGCACTAGGTCCAGCGGGTGTGCGTACTCGTTGTCGTGCGGGCCGGACAGCTTCAGGTACAGGAAACCCTACTTGAAGGGGGGAGGGAGGGGAGGTGTGGGCAAATCTATAGTACAAGTGAGGCACTGGAAACCCAAGGGGCATGTGGGCGGGGCTCACAGCTGGCTAGCAGCAACCCGTTCAGCCCCCAGCAGGCGACACCCGCCTGCCCCTGCCAAGCCCCTCCCCCTCCACCCCTCGTCGGCCTGTTTACCGGCCTCATTCAACACAGTGGGCATTCTTCTTTTTCCCCCGCCCTCCCACCTGCATGAGACGGCGGTGGTTGAACTCCTGGGGTGCATGGTGGCAGGCCCAGCTGGGGGGGGGGGCGGGAGGGGGAGGGGTGAGGGAGTGGGCTAGGAGGGTGCAGGAGGCCGCATGACAGGTGTTCAATACCATGTGGGCCATATATGCAAGCCGCTGCAGCCAGTCACTCAGTGCAACATCCCTCTACTTGACCAGCCCATCGCAGGAAGGGCCGTTACATGTACCCCTCCCCCCTCCCGCTCACGTGTCGCAAATGAGCTGGTTGGCCACATCCGTGACGCCGTAGCGCTCCGCCAGCAGCTGGGCGACCCGCGGGTCGGCCCGCACCACCGCCTCCGCCTCGAAGTTGTCGTCCGGGGTGGTCAGCGGCTGCACGCCCTCAAGCTGGGGAGGGGAGGGGAGGAGGAGGGGGGAGGGGGGTTGGGTGGGAACGCGATACTATCGCCAGCAACACCCATAGCAGCGAAGCGGCTGACGTTCCCCCGGCTGACACACAAGCAGTACGCAGGGAGACACGCACACACATGCCACCACGCTGGCAGCAGCTAGCGCCAACCCAACAAGGCAGCACCAGGCAGCCACACCGCACCGCACCGCTCCAATCGCTCTCACCTCCTTCCAGCTGACCACCTCAGCTGCTACCGGGGCGGGGGCGGGGGGCGGTGTCGCTGCCCCTGCCGCTGCCCCCGGCGCGCCCAGCCGCACCATCGCCTCCACCGCGCGGGAGGTGTACGGCAGGATGAGAATGCACTCGGCGAGGCGCTCGGGACGCGGTCCGCTGCCTCGCTCATACGCCAGTAGGGCCCGTTTGGGCGGCTCCTGGGAGGGCGGGAGAGGTGGTTGGCGGTTGGGCCGGAGGTGGTGGTTGAAACTGACGAGCGTTTACCAGATTGCATTTACTTTTGAGGTTAGCGAATGTTAACGGTGGTCGCGTTCAGATAAAACAGGATCGCACTTACCCGCAGCATGACTGTGTTGAAGCGCAGATGGCTGACGCCATTGGCAACCGCGTACAGCTTGCACGCCTCGACAGCCCGCCGAATTTCGTTCGGCGACAGCTGGTCTAGCGGGTGCGAATCGGCGGCAGGGACACCTGTGCGAAGGGAGGGTGGGCTATCTCTTAGCACAAGGTTCTCGAGGGTTCATGGCATTGAATACTTATGACTTTGCCTTCTCCTTCCTTCAATTGCATGTACCAATATGTAAAGCAATTTCATCCAATTATCGCCTACACACTAAGCCCGTATAGCAAACGGGGAAACTGAGACCAACAAGGGTTTTTTCTCCAGCACATTAGTCCTTCAACGACGACAAACCAACACGCTATCATTTTCGTGTACGTGACGCGCGTATCAAATGCGATCCCATTCAGTAAGAAATCCTAACAATTGGTCACTCCAAAGACTACACCAAGTCAACCGTCCATGGACACCCAAGAAAGGAAACCCAAGCAAATGCGACGACCACTATTATTACGTATGCAACGCTAACATTGCAACTCTAGGAATCAGGGAATGGATACGTACGTTGTGCCAGCGTAGCCATATTGGAGGAGCTGCGGTTCCTTGTCAGCGCTGTCGAGGACAGCGCCCCTGTTCCTGCTAGCCCTAATAAACTGAAGCAGTGCACTACAAACCTTCACCATACCGAGGCCGACGCTTCGGCCGACGGGGTGGAGGGTTGGGATGGGTACGTGGCGAGGTCTATAAGGCTATGTGCCAGCCGTGCCTAAGGTTCAGCCAGTCTTGAAACGCACTTACTATGCTATGCAGCAAATGCGCAGCAGCTTATGTACGCGGACGAACGTCACACTGACCACCCGATTGTACAACGTTCCTTGTTTCGTCTAAGTCCTACAGCATGCGTAGAAGACAACCTCGATGCGGCTGAACGTGTACGGTGATGCGAGAGAAACACAAAGGCGTCAACACCATCGGGAAGGCACGTCAGCGAGGTCGGTTAACTAACCGTAACCTGTTACCGGAAGCGCACCTCGGCAACAAGGCATTTTATCCTGGACAGAAGACACCTTCCAGCCCTATTGTGGTCTTACCTGACTGGTATTGCAAAAGGAAGTGCAAACGTCGACTATCCGTACTCTTGCGTTCCCTTACCTAATTATCCAGCTCATCTACTTATTTTTATTCCTTGTCTTGCAACATCTTTACGTGGACGACGGGGGTTGACGGTATCGTATGGGAATCCTTACCTTCAATCTTATTACGAAGCCAACCTCCTGGGGTTTGTGCTAGTATTGTAGGAACAAGATAATCAGTTCAGCACCTCATTTGTTAATTAAACTATATATTTATAGCCCTTGACTGCTATGGCTGAGCCGCCGAAGAAAATGGCCCGGCGAGAGCAGGCGGCTAACCAGAAGGACGCGGCACCAACTGATGTCAGCATTATCATACAATTCCAATCGTCTACCGGCGATGACACAGGTATTTCCTGCTAATTGCGTGGGGCGCATGTTGGTTCGGCGGCGCATTGTTGCCCCTTTGGAGCATTTGTATGCTGCAAACAGTTATAAAAGTGATGGCGTTTAGTTGAACCGTTGTTCGCGCCTTCGTCTTCTCCTGCTGGGCTGCTGACCCGCAGGTCCTCAGCTGGACATCCCGCACAACGTCACGCCTGCGCAGCTGGAGGTGTTGCTGAACGGGCTGCTGAACAACGAGGAGAAGCTGCCGTACTCGTTCTACATTGAGGAGCAGGTGGGGCCTTGCAGGGGGTGGCAGTCTGCCGGCTGCACGGGGAGTACAGCCCTGTTCGCAGGCTCCCTGGCATGGGTTTGTCCACCTCCACACCCAGCGCCTGAACCCCCCTTTCTCCCCCCCTTCCCCCGCTCAGGAGCTGCTGGGCGAGCTGGGCGGGCACCTGGCGGCTCACAAGATCAGTGTGGAGAAGGCGCTGCGGGTGGTGTACCAGCCGCAGGTGGGCGGGGGGCGGGGGGGGGGGGGGGCAGGGCAGGGAGGAGCAGAGGGGGACGCAGGGAGGGAACGAGCTGACCGGAAGGTGAGAGGGAAGAGGAGGAGGGGCCCGGCGCTTGCGGGGGGGGGCATGCGCCCACCAAGTGAGGGCCGGCCTTGCGGCGGGGCTGGGGCACCAGCCCCGGGACCCGTCCCTCCCGCTGCTGCTCCAATCTCCAACCCCACCTCACCCCACCTCCCACCCCCTCCCGCCCTCCTTCACCTCAGGCCGTGTTCCGAGTGCGCCCCGTGGCGAGGTGTACGGCATCCATACCAGGTAGGCGGGGGGGGACCCGGGTGGGGGGTGGAGTAAAGGGGGTTTGGTGGGATGCTGGTGGGAGGAGGGTGGCGGCTGAGCAGCCGGAGAGGGTGGCTGCGGGGGATTGGGATGGGCGCCTGCAGGGGGCTGCTGGGGGGAGGGAGGGTGGCACTTGGAGACGGCACCGCCCCTCTCCATCCCCACCTGCCTCACCCCCTCCTCTCCCCACCTGCCCCCCCCCCCCCCCCCCCAGGCCACTCCGAGTCCATCCTGTCGGTCAACTTCTCCCCCTGCGGCACCCAGCTGGCCAGCGGGTCGGGCGACACCACGGTGCGCTTCTGGGACCTAAACACGCAGCTGCCAAAACACGAGTGCAAGGTGGGGCAGGGTTTGGGGGGGATCCGGGTAAACAAGCTGGTGTGATGAGTGAGGAGGGCAGGGGGTTCAGGGGAGCGCAGCAGGTGCGGGTCTGGGGGCTGCCGGGACGTGCGGGTGCGGGGCGCAGCAGCACAGCACCCCTGCCCCCCTCCACTCCCTCACCCGCCCTTGCTGGTTGGAGGGCGCCACCCTCCCTGCCCCGCTTCTCCCCACCCCCCCTGCCCCTCCCTGCCTCCCCCCTGCCCCCTGCCCCCGCCCCCCCCAGGGTCACCGCAACTGGGTGCTGGTGGTGAGCTGGTCGCCCGACGCGCGCTACGTGGCGAGCGGCGACATGGACGGCGCCATCCTGCTGTGGGAGCCGGCCAAGGGGGCGGGCAGTGTGGGGGCGTGCAGCGGGCACGGCAAGTGGATAACATCCATGGTGGGGGCGGGGCGGGCAGGGAGGCAGGAGGGAAATAGGAAACGGACAAGTTGTATGACGAGGCTATGGTGGGGGAGGAGGGGGACGGGGGGGAAGGGTGGGAGTCATGGTCCAGGTGGAGGGGGGTGCTCGGAGGACGAAGCGTGGGGTGGGGTGGGCGTGCTGGGTGCATGGTTGTGCGGTTGCTGCGGCTGATGCCTGCGCGATAGGGGTTGTGTGCGTAGAGGGGTGGGGCTGCGGCGGCAGGGTCGGCGCCTACACCGGCCCTCCTCCTGCCCTGCCCGCTGCACCCTAACACTTTCCCACCTGCCCCCTGTCCCCCCTCCCTCCCTCTCCCCCCTCCCTCAGGCCTGGGAGCCCGCCCACAAGGCCCTGCCCAGCCAGCGGTTCGTGAGCGGCAGCAAGGACAACACAATCAAGGTGAGGGGGGAAAAATTAAATATGTGAAACAACGAGTCCCAATCCCATATCCCGACTCATGCAGTGAGCGCATTCGGAGACACTAATCAAGGTGAGGGGGGTGGGCTGCCCCCCCTTGTCCACCCTCTTGTCGTCTTGTTCTCCATCCTCATTCAACACATCGGGTATTCGTCTTTCCGCCCCCCCCCTCCCCCCCCCGCAGGTGTGGGACGCCTCCACTCGGCGCTGCCTGCTGAGCATGTCCAACCACTCGCAGCTGGTGACGGCGGTCAAGTGGGGCGGCGAGGGACTCATCTACTCGGCCTCGCGGGACTGCACCATCAGCGCATGGGACGACAGGGACGGCAAGCTGGTGAGGGGGGGCGGGGGGGGAGGGAAACCAACACGGGAAGGGCAGAGGGGAAGGGGGCGGGCGCTGGTGGGGGAGGGCGCGGCGACTGTGTCCGCAGCCTAGCCATGGCAGGGTGAGGGGGGCTAGGTCCAGCTTCTGCTGCCGTCGCAACGCACCCCTCCCTCATTGGGTATCCTATCCCTTCCCCCCACTGCCGTCCCTAGGTCCGCGTGTTCAAGGGTCACGGGCACTGGGTCAACACGCTGGCGCTGTCCTCCGAGTACGCGCTGCGAACCGGTGCATTCGACCACACGGGCAAGGCGCCGGAGGAGCTGGAGGTAGGGGGGGAATAAATGATAAGAGTAGGGGGGAGGTAGGGGGTGGGTGGGAGGTTGGGGTGTGGGGCTTGGTGGGTTGACGCACCGGGGAGGTGGGAGATGGGGGCCCCTGCCAGGCTGACACAGCATCTCTCCCCCCCCTCTTCGCCCCCTTCCCTTTCCCCAGGCGGCTCGGCAGCGGGCGGCTGAGCGGTACGCGGAGGCGACTGGGGGCAGGTGGGCCACAGGGAGGAGGAGGAGGGGGGTGGGTGGGTGGGCAGGGGGGTCCCATGGTTGGGGCTGCCGTACGGCACTCGCAACGGCTACCGGACATTCTCTGGAAGTAAAAGATGGGCTGAAGATCCCAACACAGCGGCACCACTGCTTTCCACCAGGGCAAACAATCCAGGGGGGGCATGGCTCGGGCGGTGGGTGCCCGGTGGCGGGTGGCCCCACCACCTGTGCAGTGGCGGGCTAGCCGGCACCCTGGCGCCCCTCACCACACACACTACCCTTCATGCGAACCTATCCCAACTGCTTGCTCCTGTTCTACTCAACTACACACACTACCCTTCAGCCCCGCCTTCCCCGCCGTCGTTAGTAGCGCCCCACCTCTCAATCCGCCCCTGCCTCCAAACCCCCTCGTGCCTCCCTCTCCCTCTCCGGGGCTCGTCGTCTGGTTTGCATAATTGCACTCTCATTCAACGCATTGGGAATCCTTCTCCCGCCCCCCTCCCCACACACACACTCTCAGGCCCGAGCGGCTTGTATCCGGCAGCGACGACTTCACGTTGTGTCTGTACGAGCCCTCCACCAACAAGACCCCCCTGGCGCGCATGACGGGGCACGTGCAGCTGATCAACCAGGTGGGGAGAGGGGAGGGGGCGGAGGGGGCGCAGACGGAGGCAGAACGAAGAAGCGAAGACAATCCAATGGGGAAGGGGAAGGGTGGAAGGGGCATGATTATGGGTCCTGGCTTCCTGCCAGTGCGCCTGCTCTAGACCCACCGCGCGCCCCCCTTTCATTGCAGCCACCTACTCCCCACTCTTCCCCTGCCCCCTCATTCTTTACCCGGCAACACAACCCTTCCCTTCACGCACCCCTCCGCCACCACCCACCCTGCTCCCCTCCCCCTCCCCCCCTCCCCTTAGGTGGTGTTTTCCCCCGACGGCCGCCTCATCCTGTCCGCCTCCTTCGACAAGTCCGTGAAGCTGTGGTGTGGGCTGCGCGGCACCTTCCTGGCCACGCTGCGGGGGCACGTGGGGCCGGTGTACCAGGTGGCATGGTCCTCGGACTCGCGCATGTTCGTGAGCGGCAGCAAGGACTCAACACTCAAGGTGGGTGGGCGGGGGGAGGGGGGCAAAGATAGGAGACTGACGAGCTGCATGGCGAGGCTTCACCATGGGGCGCAAACATGGGTTCACTCAAGTTGCTGGGGGAGGGGGGAGGGGTCGAAGAGCACATACCGAACCCTAGGAAACTACAGGTTAGGGCAAAGCAATGGGGGTGTGGGTGCGGCAGGGGAGGGGGCGGAGAAGGACAAGAAAGAGGGCGGGGAGGGGTGGGGAGAGGGGCAGCAGACGAGGGGCGAAGGGAACAACACCTAACCGTGTAACAAGGCTGGAGAGGCGCACAACGAACTTCCTTACCGCCTACCTCACCTCCGCCCACCTCGCACCTTGCCACTCACCCCTCTCCGCCCCCCCTCATTCTCATTTAACACATTGGGTATTCTTCTTCCTCCCGCCCCCGCCCCCCCAGGTGTGGGACGCGCGCACCCGCAAGCTCAAGGTCGAGCTGCCCGGCCACTCGGACGAGGTGTTCAGTGTGGACTGGAGCCCGGACGGCGGCAGCGTGGCCAGCGGGGGCAGGGACAAGCTGCTCAAGCTGTGGAGGCACTGAGGGGGAAAAAGAAATTCCAAAGTGTGGTGTGATAATGATACAAGTTGCTGACAATCCCTGGTGGAATCAATCGTGAGTCGAGCCGAAAAGGCACTGAGGGGGAGGGGGAGCAGAAAGGAACATGCTGGGGTGTAGTTGAAAGGAACATGCTGGTGTGTGTGGGGGTGGGTGGGTGGGGGTGGGGGGGTTGCTGAGCTTGGGAGAAGCCAACTAACGCGATGAGGCATCACTGAACTTGTGGATAGGCAGCGTCGTTGGAGGGAGGGAGGGAGGAGGTTATAACGGCTGTACCGCAGCTGAGTGACGCATGAAGGGGACACAACACGGCAGTGCGGTTGACGCATGTGCAGTGTATGGCAGCACGCCACGCTTGACGCTGAAGGTGTGACGCCGCTTAATAAACGAGCGAACACTTTACTGGTTTCGGTTGCGATGCAACTCAGGAGTACTGTTGCACGATGCAGCTATAAGAATGCGCTGTAGATGAATAAGTCGAGGCTGTTCGGTTAGAGTGGGCGCCGTCGGTGTGAGGCTGTTGCAGCCTCCAACTTGAACACTTGTTTCCGCAACTGACCAAAACCGCACCCGGTTTGTAGACAAATATGACTAGTGTACCTTGACGGACGGCACTGGCACTGATGCTTATTGAGGGCCGCGTGTAAGATCGTGCGTTCCAGGTGGCCAACTGTCGCCGAGATGATAGGACTTTTGAAATGCCGTGTAACATACCTACATCATGGATCCCTCAAGGATGGATTGTTTGTAGCAAACTAGTTACCTTCATGCTAATAGGTAGCTAGCATTATAAACACGTTGTCCCTTCGGCTTTCTAAAGCCCTGGGCATGCAATGGCTTTCCAACCATGATAACGTGACTAAAGGCGAAACACCTGTTTGTGATAAACACAAATGATCACTTATAAAGTCGCTGTGCTTCTTGCACTGTTCTCTGTCCTGGCGCATGCTGCCACCGTTCAGCAGCTTGCAGGGGACCAGCTTGCTGAAAACGCGTTGCCCCTATTAGAAACCAACAGCAGAAAGCTGCAGTCGAATGCTGTGGCATCGCAAGGACACTGCGGGCCCTTGACCCGGGAATTGGTGCATCGGGTTGCTCGGGACAACACTGTGCTGGTTACAGTTATCGACAAAATTGTTTGGAAATGCTTCGGGCCCAGCTATGTGGAGAATATACAGGCGGCCAATATATCATACTGGCTCATAGCGGCATTGGACCCGGAGACGTCGATGGCGCTTGCTGCCATGGGGGTCGAGCAGTGCTTCAACGCGCCGCAGGACCGCCTCAAATATAAGGGCTCGGGTACGTTGCTTAGGGTGGGGAACTAAGGGGTTGAACCGAACAGGCCTATGCGCACTGGGGGTAACGGGTGTGGTTTGCTTGGGTATTTAAAATGCTTAAGGCCTGCGCAAGGGTGAGTAAAGACGCATGGCCATGGGGAACACCGATGTACGTGTGGGACATCCTCGCGGGTTGGCCACGTGAGCTCCCCACTTGATAGCACATCACAGCTGTCTACAAGTTTTGCTCCCACGGATCAGGTTTGGGTTCGGTCTGTCCCCCACGCGTTTCACCTATCTACCCCAATATGCACCTCGCCTCTTGCGCGTGTTCCTTGCCCCCCTCTCTCCCACACCAGACATGCACTACAAGTGGGGCGGGCACCACTGGGTTCAGACCACTTGGAACAAGGTGAGCGAGGTGTGAGGATGGGCGTGCAGCGGGAGGAGGGCACTGGAAACGGCAGGAGGACACCCCCAGCACGGGCCTCCAGGCGGGCATCTGGTAGCAGCAGCAGCCGGCAGCAGCAGCGGTGAACCGCCTTCTCCTTGGGTGTCCGCCTACAGCGTCTTGGTGCTGCCCACCTCACGTGGCCGCAAGCTGGTCATTGACCCAAGGTCATCGACCTGCATGCAGCAACAGCCGAGTTCCTGCACCGGCAGGGGTTGGACCCGCTCTGCTCCAGCGCTGCATCTGGCTGGTCAGCCGCAATGCTCGCCTCCCCTCCGCCCCCCTCCATCCTCCCTTCCTCCCCTCCCCCTTGCCCCTCCCCCCCCCCTCCGCCTCCCAGGTTCACATCATGCGCAGTGTGTACGAGCTGGGGGTGCACGTGGTGCACTCGGACGCGGACGTGGTGTGGTTCAGCGACCCGCTGCCGTACTTCCACACGCACCTGGCGGGCCCCGCGCACATCATCATCGCCACGGACGCGGTGTCCACCGGCAACCCCAAGCGGGATGCGGGGCTGGAGAAGACCACCAACCCGCACACCAACATCAACACAGGTGGGGGGCGGGCGGCTGGAGCGAGGGGGAGCGGGGGTGGGGAGGGAGAGGGCGGCGGGGAGAGGCGGGTGGCTGAAGGCGAGTTGTGGAAGTGGGGTTCCGGCAGGGATGGGTTGCGGTAGCGTGCCGGGAGATGGGTGCACGGGCGCTAGGTGGGGACGCAGGGTGTGGCGAGGGCAGAGTTGGGAGCGTTTGTGAAACCCCGGGATCAAACTGCTCCAGGGACGCAGGGTAGGCCTGCGAGCATGCGATCACCTGTCGCACCCCCCATTCTCCCATCCCCTCCCCCCTCCCTGCTTCTCGGCTGCAGGCATCTACTTCATGCGCCAGTGGCCAGCCGGCATGCAGTTCTTCGACGTGTGGCTGACGTGGCAGGACAAGAACATCGGGCACGACCAGGACGGCTTCAACTTTGTGTCGCGCGGGGGCTTCTTCCGCGGCGACGAGAACATGCCCGTCGTCAGCACCACCGACCACGCCCAGCGCATCTTCTACGCCGCCTACCACAACACCACCGCCATCTCCTTCCTGCCCGCCTCCATGTTTGGCAACACCTACACCTATGTAAACGCCAGGCTGTGGGAGGTAAGGGCGCGAAGCGGCTGGATGGCTGGCGGCGGGTGCTGCGGCAGACGGAGGGGATGCCGGAGGCGGCTGGCTTGCTTCCCCGCGCGCGCAGGCTGCCTTGCCGGGCCATTGCTGTTGCCATGTGTGCCCTCGTGCCCAGTTTCCTCACTGGCTCCCCTTACCACCCTTTCCGCCCCCCCCGTTAGTTGTTTCCTATGTTTACCCCCTCCCTTCGCCCCGCCCCGCCCCGTCCCTCCCCCCTCAGAAGCTGGAGCACCCTCTGTACGTGGTCCACTGGGTGTGGGGCGGCAGCACCATGGAGAGCAAGCGACAGAACATGCGCGACGCCATGAAGTTCCACGACGACCCCGACTACTACTCGCAGCCCAGCCTGGTCACATTCGACATGGACCAGCTGCAGGTGCGGGGAAAAGAGGGGGTGGGGAGGCGGGGGGATACTGACGAGCGGGGCAGGGGAGAGGGGGTGGGAAGGGAGTTGCATGTGCGGTTGAGGTGTTGTGGTCGGAAGGGATTGCGTGCACCCAACGCAACAACTTCTACCAAAAATCGGTGCTTACCAGAGGAACAGGCAACTCGAGGGAGAAGCCGCTGCGGGTAGGGACCAGCGGGACAGGCGTTTCAGCTTTGAGCCCTCCTCCCTCCCTGCTCCCTCCTTCCTTTCCCGCCCCGCTCCCTGCTCCCCAGATGCCCGACGGCTACAACAGCTGGGAGGAGGACCGCACGGAGGAGATGATTCGCTTCCACGCCCGCGCCGCCAACCACCAGCTGCAGCAAGCCTACTACGCCTTTGCAATCGCCCTCATCGCCAACCGAACCCTAGTCATGCCGCGGGTAGGGGCGGGGCGGCGTGCGTATCGTCGTTTACAGAGCCTTGTGCTTGGAGGGTTGCATGGGGATGGATTGCGCTGGAGGGTTGCAAGCAGTGTGCGGCGCGGGTGCTCTTTTACCCATGCGTCCGCACGTTGCAGCCTCCTGGTCTAGATGGGCCGCCCACAGGACCCTGCATGTAGCCCCCTCGCGTGCACGCCGCACGCAGCTCACGCCTCCTCCCCCAGCTACCATCCGACTTGAGGTTCACCCTGTATCCAATACCCACCCCCCGCCTGCTCCTCCTCCTTTCCTCCCCTCCACCGCAGTTCCTGTGCTACTGCTCCAAGAACTGGTACCAGACGCAGGCGTGCCGCATCAACCACGAGACCGAGTCCACCTTCCCCTTTGTGTGCGCGCTGAGCCACCTGCTGCGCGTCAAGAAGCTGCAGCAGGGCTTTGCGCTGCCCGGCAACACGGAGTACGCGGGGCACCGGGCGCACATCCGCGAGTACTCTTTTCTAGAGAACCCCAAGGTGCCGGACGAGCTCAAGGTGGGGCAGCGGCAGCAGGAAAAAGAAGCGGGCGGGGGGCGGCAGAGGGGGAAAAAGAAGATAACCAATGTGTTGAATGAGAGGGGGAGGCGTGCAGGGGGCGAGGTCGGGGACCTCAGCGGGGGGGGGGGGCAGCACCGGTGGTGCAGGACGTTGCTCCGCGGACCTGAGGTAGACGTTGCATAGCGGGGGGGTGGGAGGAAACCAGTACAGTGCAGTTGCAGGGAAAGGGGGTCGCCATGGTATCCATACCCAGCTTGGTTCCTTTCCCCCTGTTCCTTTCCTTGGTGCTTTTCCTTTCCTTGCCGCGACCTCCCGCCCATGCGTGTCCCACCCTCGCCCCCGCCGCCCGCCCGCCCCCCCACCTCAGAAATCCTACGTGGAGATCGTCCCCTCCCGGCAGCCCCGGCCTCCGGGCCTCACCCCCGACCAGCTGGTGCTCTCCACCGAGCCCGCATCGCGCGGCTATGGCCGCCGCGTGACAGTTGCCGCCCCTCTAGCGGACTGGGAGCTGCGGGCGGTGCTTGCCGGGCTGGGCAGCGTGCGGGTGCTGCACTTCCCATCCCCGGGCCGCACGCTGTCGGGTTTCAGCCGGGCCGACACGCAGGCGCAGTACGACGAGGAGATCCAGAAGCGCGTGACGTACTGGTGCTGCCGCAGCCCGCCCGACATGCGGCGCCGCAACCTGACGGACAAGGTGCAGCTGGTGGCGCTGCCGGCGGAGCGGTACCGCGCGCTGCCCAAGCTGGACAGCCGCACGTGCTACCTGCATGAGCTGGGGCCGTTAGCGCCGCTGGGGGCGGAGACGGGCGGGAGGGTCTAGGGAGGGACGCTGGGCGGGCTATGAAAACTGGGTGTGTTTAAAAGACTGGCTGCAAATCGGAACATACTGTGATTACTGGATGTGTAGTATTACTGGGTGTGTAGTGGGGAGGGGGGGAAGACTATACCGTACCTTGGGAAACTACAGGTTAGGGCAAAGCAGTGGGGGGAGGGGGCATTGCGTTGCCGCAGGGTGTGGTGTAGCGGTTGGTGGGTACTTGCAAGGGGGTGGAGGGGTGGCGTAACTGTGATGCAACGCGAGGCGGCTATACTTTGAATGCAAGGAAGGAAAGCAGGCAGGCCCGGTGATATTTAGAAATGCAAGGAAGGAACGAGCAGGCGGGTCCGGGGGCGCTGCGCCCCGTCACTGTGCGCTGATGCTGTTACGACGGGTCAGCCAGGGGCCTAGGGCTGATAGCGTTAGGTTGAGAGCTGTGCTGCGGGTATTGCTCGGATGGTTGTATACGTGCATAAGACGTACGTTTCGTGGGACCTCACGAACGGTACTAGTGCGGGGTCGGGACGTCGCCATGGGGCTACTGACTATGGCGGCCAAAGTGCAACACTTGAGCTACGAGGGGCCGAGGGTGGCTACCCCTCTGCCGCATAAACTTGCCGCTTTGTAACCAGTGCCTGCGCACTGTGTACATCATTTGGTGGCCTGAGGGGTTGCATTGCCCTTTTCGGAGCAACAGTCTTACGGATGCTCTCCAAGGGACATGGGCTTGCAGGCGAGATAGCATTTGCCGGTTTCCCAGCCAAAGGTAGAGCACCGGCCATGGCCGTACCGTGGGACGTCAAGAGGTAAGTCGACCACAGCTGGGGCATAGCCAGAACTGACAAGGGCACCCTTGAAACCTATGCAGTTTACGGGACGCGGCCTACAACACGGAGCGGAAGCCAGCGTGCGAGTGCTCCAGTGCAGTACTGCTGTAGGGCAGGACTGCCGTCCATCGTAAGTTTCACTGCGCTTAGCAATTTGCAGGGTCAATCTCTTGTTTGTAAATAAGGATAAGTATATTACGGGGCGCATTACTGCATCAGGGAGCTAAACCTACTACGTCTTACTCAGAAGTTTGCTCGACCATCTATTTTTTTATAAAGCTGTAAAGGATTAGGTCTTTAACTGCACGCTTCTATACTTTGAGTAGAGCATCTCAGGTTTTCTGGTAAGCACTTAGCACTGCTGATGGCGACTGGTAGCGGCCCGTTGATCGAGGCGTTTAACTTTGCATAATTTTGTGCGTTTTTGTATGTTAGCATGTTAATATGTCCACATAAGCAGTTTGGATGCCAATCTTATGTTTGGCTAGCTCGTTATCTGCTCAACTCCTCCTATGGTTACCCTGCCTCCAGGCGTGCTACCGAGTCTCCAGGGGAGACTCGCCACGGCGTTGTTCCCACAATGCAGACGGCGCTGCACCGCGCCACCGCATCCTTCCCTGGGGGTGTCACGCCTAGCGACTGCCGTACACAGCGGCTCTCGCATGTTTGCTGCTTACCACGGTAGGCGTTTGTTTGCCGTTGCAGCACCCTACAAATGTGACGGGAGGGCACCCGCCCTCGCCCTCATCCACAATGCATACCCGTGTTTCTCCATTGCACCCATGTTCCTCCACACACGCAGACCCCATGCCTCGGGAGCTGGCGCCTGCCCCGCTGTGAGCCCCTCCAGCGGCTCCTCCAGCACCACCACCCGCGGCGGCTGCTACCGGCATGGCGCCTGTACGGGCGCCCAGCGCGCGCGGTACGGCACCAGCAGCAGCAGCCGCCGCACCGCAGTTCGGGTGCAGGCCAACTGGGGGGCGCAGGTGGAGTTCAAGGCGGGCAGGTGGGGGGGGCGGGGAGCTGGGGGACGGGGGTGCGGGTGTGGGTGGTGCGGGGGTAGGAGGCTGGTGGTGAGGGTCGCGCTGGAGGCCCATCAGGCCCCCTGTGAGCGCCAGCCTGACGGCCCCGCATGCAGGAGGCTGGCGTTGTGATGGGGGCTGTGATGGGGCCTGTCACCCCCCCCTCGGGCCAAGCGCTGCCAGCTGCTGGCCTCCTTCCGCTGGCCTCCTTCCGCTGCCCTCCTTGTTGCTCTACTACATGGCCCTTGACCCACACTCTCTCCTACCGGATGCCCCCCCGGCCCTGCTGCCAACCACCCCCGCCCCCAGGGTCGTGTCCAACTCCCCGGTGGCTGCGGGTCCGCTGCACCGGGTGCTGCTGGACGTGGGGCCGCTGGCGGGCGGGTACTCGGTGCCGGGGCAGTTCGTGCAGGTCAAGGTGGGCGACAGCAAGCCGGGCTTCTTCGCCATTGCCTCGGCCCCGGGGGCGCACCCGGGGGGGCTGCTGGAGCTGCTGGTCAAGGGGGTGCCGGGTGAGGGGGGCTGGGGGGGTGGGTGGGGGGGAAGGAAATCTTCGGTAACATACCCGGGGGGAGGGATATGTGCTGGAGAGCGAGAGGACCGAGTGCGCTTTCCCATGGACTTGTTTCATTACTCCCTCCCTCCCTCGTCATACAGCTCGCCAGTTTCCTCTGCTTACCCTCCTGTCTTCCCCCTTCCCCCCCCAGGCAGCACTGCTGAGCTGCTCTGCTCCTGCCCCCCCGACTCCGAGGTGGCAGTGAGTCCGGTGATGGGCCGCGGCTTCCCCCTGGATCGGCTGCCCGCCTCCTCCACCCCCTCCGTGCTGCTGTTTGCCACGGGGTCGGGCATCAGCCCCATCCGGGCGGTGCTGGACAGCGGGGCGCTGGCGGGCAGGGAGGTGACGCTGTACTACGGAACGCGCAACGAAGGTGGGGGGGTGGGAAGTGGAGAAACCAACGGTGTGGGGGGGTGGGATTCGAGAGCGGACGGGGGGCTGATGCTCACACAGCATCTGGACGGAGGCCATACAGGGTCCTGCATGCACCGCTAAACAACTGCCCCGCTGTCCCCACCTCCCTGTCCCTTATCTCTTCCCCCCTTCCTGCCCTCCTCCCACCCCCCGCACCAGAGTCCACCCCCTACCGCGAGCTGCTCCCCGAGTGGCGCTCTCGCGGCGTGCAGGTGGTGCAGGTGTTCAGCGAGGGTGACCGGGGCTACGTGCACGACGTATTCGAGCGGGAGGGGCTGGCGGCGTTGCCGGGGGAGGCGCCGGGGCGGGTGGGGGCGCTGCTGTGCGGCCACAAGGCCATGTGTCAGGCGGTCACCTCGCTGCTCACCAACAAGGGGGTGCCGCCGGAGAAAATCCTGCTCAACTTTTGAGAAGGGTCAAAGGCCATCATACCGAATGTAAATGAGCCGCGATGGATAATGACTGTGAGGGGTGGGGGTTAAGGGTTGCAAGGGCGGGGCAGGTGTGCATGTTTACGAGAGTGGTGTAGCAGGCAAATCGAGATTTGAGAGTGCGAGAATGAGCGGATAGACAAGCTGTTCATGGCTTGATGGGACGAGGGTGCGCTTCCTAATGCACGCGGCTCTTCTACAGGTGAATAAAGACTTGGTGTTTCGGCACGCATCGCATGATATCATGTAACACCCGTTTCGCTTGGCCTGACCAACCTTACCGTGCGTACGTGCATGTTATGGAGCGCACCAAGACGGTATCGTTGTAAGAAGGAAGGCTGTACAGCCATAGTGCCTTGGGGGGCCAACAGTGGTGCAGACATGCCACTGTATGTCCGTCTCACAGCTCCGCCCAGTTATCAACACCACCTGCTGCCAACCCACCCAAAGAAATAAGAAGCTAGGTCCTAGGATACAGCAGCACTAGGCGCAGGAAGCCTCAGAGTGTCGGCAATCACAGTACGTTCCGACTCGCGGCTAGTTTTCTTAACGCATGCCGTACAGGCACATACATTTACAAACTCTGAACGCCTCATGTACGTTGTATCGTACAAGCTGCATTGCTGGGTCCCCATCCTCATCAGCGAGCTTTAGAACTTTTAGCGCCGGTAGGCGGACGGCTCCGCCTGGCTCCGCGCCCAAAAGATGAAACACGGCGTCACTGCCCCACACACGCTGGCCATAAATGCACAGCTTGGTAAGGAGCGGGAATCCGGTGGTGATGATGGGTGCGATGCCCATGGGCAAGCTCCTACTCGCAAGTTTCAACACGCGTGTCGGCAACGGCTGATCCGGATCGGCCGCCGCCGCGGCGGTTACAAAGGTGCTGAGGAGCGCAGTCCTGCGGGATGAGGTAGAACCAATTACAAACTGTCGCAACAATCACATAAAAAAAGGCGCTCCACCTACACAAGCACAGGCTCCTGGCACATGTCTCACGCGTTCAATACCAAAAATTCTAATGAACTGGTATCAAGCTAAGAACTGTTGCCGCCTGTCAGCGGGCGCTTTCAGTGGAATCAAAATATAGTGTACCATATCGTAGGAGCGCTGGCTTAATCGACCCCTGGGTCCTTATGTCAGCTCAAGACGCATATTACAGGCGGGTGGGTAACTTGCAACGCACGTTTACAGTACAACAGAAATTACGCTTGCTAGCAATTTCTGTGGGAAACACTGATGGAAACAAAGAAGTCCCTGAGGCTTACATTTAATTGGATATCGGACTAAACAGGGTAAAAGGGTGATAACAAGACCTTGTTTTGAGTAAAAGATAGAGACTGGAAGCACAGCACGCTCCCAGGGGGCCCTGTACGACCTAAGACTTCCGTCGGGGACTTCCATCACTCTTGCCATCTTGGGAGTGTGTCCTTGTCTGCGATAAGCTGCCTACCTAGTAGAGTTCTGCTACCTGTAATTGGACTGGTAAATTGATATTCCCTAATTCAAATGGAGGACGAGCAGTTCGGAGTGCTGCACGAGCAGCTACGGCGAAACATCGTGCTCGCAGGGACGCGAGACCATGTCTCGGACGTGAGGCTTTTCGCCTATTACACCGTCATTGACAACGAGGACTCAGCATTCCAGCAGAGGTTTCCGACGCTCTCAGCCTTCCTCGATGCTCTTCAGCAAGAGTTTAAGGACCACAAGAACGGGCGCATCAGCACGCGGCCCCTTAATGCGAAGTTCTACGCTGCTCTCGAGCGCCTTGGGTTCAGCAAGCGCGAGTGGCAGGAACTGAGGGCGCTCGGCCAGGGTAGCGTTGCGGTGTTTCACAAAAAGTTCACGATTAAAGAGCTGGAAAACGAGGCCTTTCCATGCGACCTCGAGCCTTGCCGGCCGGTCCTCCTGAAGGCTGCACGCAAGGTTGACGAGCTGCGCAAGGCCGCTGAGGCTAAGGCCGCCGGGTCTTCTGTGTCATCCGAGGACGAGGCCGACTTCTTCTAGGTAGGTTCGTTGAACGTTTGTCCACGCAACCACTAACGCCCCATCTTTCCCCATCTTGTAAATCTCTGAACACAAACGCTCGCGTTCTCATATACACGTTCGTTCCTCTCCATGCGTTCGCACCCCACACCTTTACTACACACGTTGCCTTTGCATGGGCCACGTCCACGTTGGGATGAGCTTGCTATCCCCACAGTCGGGTCACATTCATCGCCACCTCTATCAGGCCCGTTTTGCGGGATATCCCTGGCCTCTGCATTGTGCTGACCGCCCCACACCCTGCATTTTCTTTCCCTCAGATGTCTAGGGCAGCCGGTCCCAAGTCCCAAGGTAGTTAGCTGTAACTGGAATGGGTGACTTGCTAACAGGTGTTGCTGTTCTGCCCTATCGTTTCTTGTCGCACGTCAACCATGATTTAATTTTGGGGAGGTGCTTACGATTCGACAGCATACTCTTGCGTGTAGCGTTAACGCATGCTGTTTCCCCCACCAAGCCTAGACGACTGGGGTTGCATGGCGCAGGCTTCAGAAGCGGTTATGTGTGCACGTTTACTTACTCCTCCAAGCACTGCCGCCCTTTTGTCCCCCTAGGCTCTCCACGGGTGCACATCCTGCTCGAGTGTGGCCCTGGGAGCAGGACGCAGGGGTTGCCAGCAACACAGCCACGGCCATGGCGTGTAGGCGGGTGACTGGCAATTGTGCGGGTGTGCATTGGCTCACACAACACGCAATGCACTGTGGGGTCGGCACTGCGCAGGCGGCCTAATAAGCCAGTACACGCAACGCACTGGGGAGGGTCGGCACTGCGCAGGTGCGCCGAGCTGCGGTGCATGCCGGTTGGTGGGTGCGTGTTGCTCTGTGGGGGAGGGGCTGTCTGACCAAGCATCATCGTCTTGGAGAATAGCAAGCTGGTGCGGGGGCGATACGTAGGAGGGAGCGTGCAGATTCATCTAATTTAGCTAATGCATCAGCATTAACTACCGGTAATTGCATCCGGTCGGTGTGGCCTAGGAGAAGGAAAAGGAGAGCGACGGCTTCTGCGTGTGTTGTATCATTTCCTGGGTTGATACAACACACGTAGAAGCCGCCACTCTCCTTCTTCTTCTCCTAGGCCACACCGAGCAGATGTCGCAGTATGAGTTGGTCATGTGGCCTAGGCTGTTTGCCTCGGGATTCATTGCTGTCCGGCTTCTGACGCGTATGGGGCAGGCAGGGCAGGCAACAGGGGCGACACGCAGCAGGAGCAGCAGGGGGCGGGGAGGACAAGCGGGTAGGGGCGGTAGGGGCGGCAGGCAGCAGGGGCGGTAAGCGGCAGGAGCAGCAGGGGCGGTACCGGTAATTGCATCTGGTCGGTGTGGCCGTTCCTGAGTTTAAGCAGTTTAAGCCTGGGTAACTGCGGGGACCATAGTGGCCTACAGGCCGCTGGTGTAGCGGCTGGGTTTTGGAGCGCAAATGTACTGAGACTGAGATGTTCAAGTGCAGCAACAGTTAACGGCAATGGAGTGGAGGCATGCAGCCCCGCGGCGGTCAAATGCTCCCGCATGTCTGGGGAGGCCCTCCAGACCGGCTGGCTGCCCCACGAGAGCCGCAGTACAATGATGAAACGAGTATTGGATCCGACTGCTTACCGCAAGCCGCCTTACGACTCCATGATCCATCATCAGTGCCATCCAGACCCCCGCATTTCTCTGCGACCACTGTCATTGTCGTGGCTCATTGCCGTCACATTGCGTCCACGCCGTGCTGCCTTGCACAGTGCATGCAGCAGTCAATATTCGTGACTGCCCGCCCCAGCCCGACAGTGTATTGAACAGGGCATACGTCGGCCAACTGACATGCCTTGCATCGTCTCGTAAAACCGCCGCCGCGGCTGCCCACCAAAATGCCGGTGTGCTACACTACCGTACTTCCGCTGCCTAGAGCCGCCACCACAGCCACTACCATGAAATTGCCCAGCCGCCACTCGCTCCACCTCTTGCGGCTCAATTTATCAGCCCCACCCCTCACCCTCTCTATGCTCTCTTCCTTCTCTCGCTACCGTCGCACCCTTTCCAACAGAAACACATTGCCCTGTCCACCCTCCGCTCTTGCGGTTAATCGCGATTTGCCCTGTCCTCCCCACCCTCCGCCTCTTCCCCCCCACCCTCCCTCTCCTCCCCGCCCGCCTCCCCCCCATCCAGCCCACTAGCCGCAAAGCCCCAGCTGCTGGCTGCCGGCTCCGACCCTACTCCCCCCACCCGGCCGCCCCCTCCTCCCCGTCCCCCGCCCTCCGCCTCGGGTGCAGTGCGCACGCGTGTGCCCGCCGCCGCGTACTCCTCCGCCGCGCCCCGCTGCCCGCCCCGCCCGGGTGCCAGGTAGGGAGCCACCACGGATGTGAGCGCCTTGTCAAACAGCTCCTGAAGGGGGAGGGGAGGAGGGGGCGGGTGGGCAAAGTGTGTGTGGGGGGGTTGCTAGTTGTGAGGGGGAGCAGGCGGACCCGGCGGTTGTTCCGATATGAGGAGTGGTGCGTTTGGGGGCGTGGGGGTGCGTGTAGCGGGGGCGGGGCGGTACCCAGGGGCGCTCTCTCCCCCCTTGGCGGCACTGGACTGCCGGTTAAACACCGGTTCAAAGACACACAAACTTTGTGCTCACACGTACCGCCCCCCCCCTTGTCCGCTCCTATCCCCATTGTCTTGCCCCAACCTGTGGTTTCCTATGGTTCGGTATGGTCTTTGACCCCCCCTCTGACCCCTCCCTCTCCCCCTAGCAATTTGTACCATTATCACACCACACATTGGAATTTCTTTTTTCTTCCCCCTTACCGGTTGGTCCAGAAACACAAAGTGCCCCGCGTCCTCAATGATCTGCACCGCCAGGTCATGCGGGGCGGAGGGCGGGCGCTGGGCCCGCAGCCGCTCGCACAGCCGCACCGCATGCTCGGGGCGCATCCAGTCCTGGGGGGGGTCAAAGACCATGCACCGAACCATAGGAAACCACAGGTTAGGGGGGGTAAGGACAGACAGCGGCAGCATGCATTACAGCCCAAGTCGGGAACTGCGTGGAAGCACGCATGCCGGTGCACACTCCGGCGTCGGCTTGGCGCTCTCCCCCTTCCCGCCTCCTGCACCCTCCCCCTCCCCCTCGCCTTCCCTCCCTCCCTCACGTGTTTGCCGTATATGAAGGTGACGGGCACCCGCAGCTCGTGCAGCCGCTCCTCCAGCGGTGCGTGGGCCCAGGCACCCGGGGCCAACAAGTGGCGGAGCGCGTACTGGAGGGAAAAAAAAGAAATTCCAAAGTGTGGAGGGAAGGAGGGGAAGGAGGGGGTGAAGGGGAGGGGTCAGAGGTAGACCAAAGTACAGAGGGATAATGGGAGGATGCCAGTGGGGGGCCATGGGGGGCAGCCAGCACGGGTTGGGGGTTGTCGTGAGTGAGAGTGAGGAGGACCATACAGGTGGCAGCAGAAACAGACATACACATACGCGCGAGCTGCTGTTATCTACCCGCCCTGCCAACGCCAGGACGCATGCCACCGCGACACATGTTTCTGCTAGCCGCCAACTCCCCCCCTCCACGGTGAAGCCTTGTCATACAGCTCATTAGTAGCCTCGTTCCTTATCTTTACCCCCCCTCTCACCTCCCCACTACCCGGCAGCGCTGCGATGCTGTAAAAGTACTCCCGGAAGACCTCCACCTCGCGGGGGCTCAGACCCTCGCCTGGGGGGAGGGGAACTTAAATAAGTGAAACAACGAGTCCCAATCCCATATCCCGGGGGGGGTTGGGGTGTGCTTGGGGTGTGTGGCGGGGGTGGAGGGGCAGGTGGGGGACGGCAGAGAGGTGAGGTGGGGCGCAGCCGCCGCTGAGCCCCGCCACACACGCATTTGGGTGGCGACCCGGGGAGTTACACCCTACTCCCTTCCCCCGTTGTGTGTAAGCAGTGTGTATGCCCCCCGGTGTGCTGCCCCCCCCCTCCGAAGAGGTAGCCTGGCCCCCCCCCACCCTACCATGATGCGAGAAGCGGTTGGCCACGTACTTGAACACGATGCTCTGCCCCCAGGGCCCCAGTCCCCGGATGAGTGCCCCAGGCGTGAGGCCCGCCTCCCAGCCCCACATCAGGGCGCGGAACACCTGCCCGCGCCAGCTCCACCGCTCGCCCAGCCACCGCCGCTCCCAGTCCTCGGGGGCCTTGGGCTGATGTGGGGTGGGGCGGGGTGGGGTGGGGGGAAGGAGGGAAGTGACGTTGGGTCCCCCGCTTCGTGTGCACACGCAAGGCCCACCCAGCCAACCGCCTACGTCGCAACGCCAGCCCAGCCCGCACCCCCTCCTACTGACCGGCCCCTCGTAACCGCCTGTGTCCATGCGCCTCCTCCTCCCCTAGTGTCGCCTCCCCTCCCCCCGGCTTCCCCAGCGCTCCCTCTCCTCCCCCCTCCCACTTTGGAATTTCTTTTTTCCCCCCCCCCGCTCACCACCCCCGCCGGGCACACCAGCACCAGGTGCGCCACGTGCTCCGGGTGGCGCAGCGCGTAGCTGGCTGCCAGGTAGCCGCCCAGGCTGTGACCCACCTGCCCGGGGCGGGGGGGGGAGGGGAGGAGGGGGTGAAGAGGGAGAGGGGTAAAGAAAGGTAAGCTAGCCACCCGAACCCCAACGACCCCCCCAGCAAGGAATATGGCGACAGGAGGTGTACCCGCGCTCAACGGCAGTGTGGGTGACCCGGGGGCAAGGGGCGATCTCCAGCTTAAGAGATAAGCAGATAACCCACAGACCTGCAGCGCACCCCTCCCGCCCCCTCCCCTTGGGTATTCTTTTCTTCCCCTCCCCTCCCCCTCCCCCCCCCCGCCCCCTCACCAGCACCATCTTGCTCCCCTCCAGCCCCGCCTCCCTCCGCCAGCTCGCCAGGCTGTCCAGGAAGAAGTCCTCCGCCTGCTGCCGGGTGCGGGCGAGGTAGCGCGGCCGCCCCGACAGACCCGTGCCCAGCCAGTCAACAGCGAACAGCCGCAGCCGCTGAGCCAGGCCGGGGAAATTGCTGCGGGGGGAGGGAGGGGGAAAAGAGGAAACAACTAACTGACTGAGGGAGACAAAAACTTACTGACCCAGATCCGTCGCAGGCAGCTCCTTGCTCCCCTGTCCCAGTGGCGCTCGAGGTGGCGCTCGCAGTGCAGGGGGCCCTCACCATGCCACCTCCCAACCCCCGTGTCAACCTGTGAAGCACCCCACCCAGACCCCACCCGGGCCACCAGGGTAGGGTGCAGCGCACGTCCCCCTTGGCTAAACCCCCCTGCACCCCACCCATCTGCCTAAACCCCCCTGCACCCCACCCATCTGCCTAAACCCCCCTGCACCCCACCCATCTGCCTAAACCCCCCTGCACCCCACCCATCTGCCTAAACCCCCCTGCACCCCACCCATCTGCCTAAACCCCCCTGCACCCCACCCATCTGCCTAACCCCCCACCCTCCCTTCCTGCCACCCACCGGTAGTAGAACCCCACCCCCGCTCCGTAGCCCGGCATCAGCACCACCGGCGGGTCCACCGAGTCGGGACCCCCCTGCAGCGTGTGAAGGTAGTCCTCCTTGCCCGGCCCGATGCGCACGTCGCGAGCCGTCAGCGGGCCGCCGGGGCTGGGGGTTAGGGGAGGAGCGGCAGCGAGAGGAGAGGGGAAGGGGAAGGGAGGGGACGGGGAAGAGGACGGGGGTGAAGGGGGGTGTTTGGGGTGGGGCATGGTGGCGGCAGGGAGGTACAAGTGACCCTGCAACAGCCGCCAGCCTCCTCTACACTCTACTCCCCACACACCCACCCCGGGAAGAGTCCCAGCACCCGCTGCTCCGCATGCCGCCCCTCCTGCCGCGATGTCTGCCGCCACCGGGTGATCTTGGTCCACCTGCGGGGAGTGGGCGAGAGGGGGGGGGGAGCGGAGCTGCTCAGGCCTAGTCCATGCAGCCGCAGCTGAAGGCAGGCGGCTCGCCTTCCCAGCTGCTCGACTGCACGGGGGTTGGGCACCGCGAGGTGCAGCGCAGGGCGCAACACATCAGGCCGGTGGTGTTGGCGGTGGTGGTGTGTGTGGGGTGGTGGCGGGGGGCCAGTAGGGCGGGTTGCGCACCAGGGGACGGGGGCGGCCGGGGGCAGCGCGTCAGGAGGGGAGTCCATGTCCAGTGGCGGGGCGGTCAGACCGCTGCCGTGCCGGGTGCAGTACGCGAGTGCACCGGCACCAGCGCCCGCCCCGGGTCCTGCAGGCGCGCCGGGCTGGAGGTGCAGGCGTTGGAAGCTACAAGGGGCAGGAGGAGGAGTGCGGCAAGGATGATATAAAAGTGGATTATTTACGGGATAGCGTTAATGTCACTATACATGCTTGCCTGAATCGAGGTTTTGGCTCGAAAGAACGACTTGGGATTGGGCTCCGCAGCAAAGAGGACACCGAGTTTACCCACTGCACCACAGCTGTCTTCACTCGTTTGGTTCCCCTCGTCACACGTCCTGGGGTCACAGCTTGGCGCATAACTGTGCTAAGCTAAATTCGCGAGTGCAAGCCAAGTGCCTCGGCCATAAATAGGAAGTTAGCACGGCTGAAGCTGGCACTATTATCTTCGTGTTCTTACGCCAATACTGCTATAGCTCCAATCGCATGAGCAATTTTATTGTATTAGTAGTACAGTAAGATGAGGAGGAAGCTGCGTAAGCTCTAGCGCCACGTTGGCAGTCCAAGTAGCTAGAATGTTTTTACGGTAGAGTGAATTTAATCAAGAATGTTCTTACACAAGGGCCGCTTGCAGCGGACGGTCAAAATGTTAGGGGTGGTGTGTTACTAATGAGGGAGGACATCATGCAATGCTACACGCGCGGGCGCACGCACGCAGGCCAAAGCCAGGCAAACTATGTTGGGTGCAAGCGGCGCGCGCATGCATGAGCGCTAGTAGGCAAGCTAGTAAGGTTGAGGGATGCGTCGTCGGCGACCGTGGTATCGATTATCACGTGATGTACGTGGCGCGCTGCTGGAGGCTTGCAAGGCAGCCAAGCAGGAAAGGAGCGATGCATAAAAGCGCAAGCATCCACTTAAACCAACGCACTTTCTTAACAGACAAGAGCAAAGCACATTAAGATGAGCAGAGCAACACGCGCTGAACAACTTCTGGACAAACGGCTTGGGCTTCACCGTCATGTCATTGTGTGTAGGGCTGGGAACTGCTTGTGTGACGCTTAGGCGTGACACAAACGCAGCCTGCGTGACACCGTCACCCAACTGCACACCAACGCAGCGCGGAATGAGAAAACCAGGACTTGCTCAAGACGTATAAGCCTTATTGCACCACCCTAAGCACTTTCAAATGCCGACAACGCAAGGGACGCCCATTTCGACATAGCCACGCCAACTCCTCCACTTCATTTGCCTACCTGGGGCGAGCTTGCCACACCGTAGCTGTAAGGTTTTCTGTCTGCAGCATCAGCGCCTTTCCTGCAAGGCGCATTGTAGGTGATGAAGTCTTGCGGTTGGGTGGGGCCCGTCACCCTAACGCCTACGGCCACAAATTTCCTTGTATAACATTACATACCTAAAACCTGTACAGCGCTTGGAGCTGTCTACTAAATGCGCGCTAGTTTGCATATCAACGCCCCTAGGCAACCCTTGCATCTTCGGTCCCTATGGGAATACCGGTGTCACCTTAGCTGGCCAAAGCGACAAAGCCTAAACTATTATTCACAAAATTGCTGCAAAGCGACTTTACGCGCCGGTAAAGTGCGGCAAGCCTGCTCGAGCTGGCGAGCCAAGGCACATGTCATCGATCGCGGTTCACAGACTGCCGCGCTTGCGCTAGCGAGTAACCTTTTAAACGCTAACTTAATAGCATCAAGCAGCTGCACAGCGGCTTTGGCGGTTGGTTCCCCTCTGCTGCTGCTGCTGCTTGTGTGGCCCGGCAGCGCGGAGGCCATGTCGCTGTCGGGTGTTGCTGACGCCGCGGTGGGCGCAGTGGCCTCCTCCGGCTGGTTGGGCCCACTGGTGTTCGTGCTGCTGTACGTGGCAGCCACAGTGCTGCTCTTCCCCGCGTCCGTGCTGACGCTAGCGGCGGGGGCCCTGTTCGGTGAGATTGTATGTATGGAGCTCACATAAGGGCAAAAGCGTTGGGAGGGGTGAATAGGGCCCTACGGGCTGTCGAGCTCCATGCGCGGACTAGGCACTCTTGACGCCATCGCTACTGTGATGCTTCTTTTGTCGTCTCCAGTTTATTCCCTGCTTCGATCCGGAGGCCTCTGGTGGGAACTGCGGCAGCCCCTCGCTGGCTTCCCAGCTAGCTCCTTACTTCCCTCGCGCGCCGGCCTGACCTGGTTGCCTCCACCTCCGCTGCCGTCCACCCTGTGCTTCAGGGCCGCTTGCGGGCACGGCCCTGGTGTCCCTGGCTTCCACCCTGGGGGCCACATGCGCCTTCCTGGTGTCACGCTACCTGGCGCGGCCCTGGGTGGAGCGCAAGGTCGCAGGTGGGGGCCGGGGGGGGGCAGGGCCCGGCCCTTGCCAAAGGATTGCAGAACGGTTTGCAGTGCGGAACAGGTTGTGGGCCGTGTGCAGAAACTCTTGCGAGCTGCTTTTCGTCGCAAGGCATGCAACGTGAAAGCGCATTCTCCCATGGTGCCATGAGTGCTGAAGTACGGGTACCCTGCCAGCCAGGTACCGTATGTACGACCACACCTCAGCTGCATGCCCCCTGCTGCTCACTGCAGGCCTCCCGCGCTTCCAGGCGGTGCTGACCGGCGTGGCGGCGGGTGGCCCGTGGGTCGTTTTCCTGCTGCGGCTGTCGCCGCTGGTTCCCTTCAACCTGCTCAACTACGGGCTGGGACTGACCCCGGTGGGGCTGCTGCCGTACGTCGCCGCCTCCTGGGCGGGCATGCTGCCGGGCACCTTCGCGTACGTGTACCTGGGGGGCGCGGGGCGGGCGGCGGTGGACGCGGCGACCGGGGGCGGCTCCGAGCTGCAGATGAGCCAGCTGGTCCTGTACGGTGGGTGCGGGGGCAGCAGCAGCAGCAGCAGCAGGGGACACCGCCAAAAGGGAGGGATTGCCCATCCTGGTTGCTCAGGTAGTGTGGAGACCGCTCTGCTGCAGTACCAGTTTTTATGTAACGTGCATGCGTATAAGCATGACGCCAGGGGGTGCATGCCACGCTGTAGCCGTCCTGCACAGCCGCTAGGTGGGTGAACGTGCGGGTGTGCTGCCTGCGGTGTCGTCCCTCAGGTGTGGGGGCTGTGGCGACCGTCTTGGCCACTCGGGCCATCAGCAGCGCCGCAAGTAAAGTGTTGGAGCAGAAAGATGGCAGCTAGAGGAGCCATTGGGGAGACGGGTTGGTACCGGGCCTGCCCGAGGGTCCAGGGCGGGCTTGCCTGACAGCAACGACTTTGTGGTGACACCTAGTGGGCGAACATGTGGTCCATCTATGGTGGTCCTGTTCTGGCCCGTGAAGTACTGGGGAGCGCAGTTCCGGTCGGTATTGCCCCATACTTATGTAAGGATGCGGCTTACACTTGGCGTAGGTTCCATCCACAGTCCCCATTATACCAATTGAGGGAGTTGGGACAACGAGGATTCTTTGCACAGCAAGATACCATGTAATTAGGATCAACATTTCTTATGTCTTCACGCCAGCGGTAGGCAAAAGAGTCCCGATAGACCAGGCGCGGAAGTCGACCGGCCACTTTGCGATCGTTGTTCGCCGGAAACAAATGTTTGACAACATTAACGCTTCACAGTATATATTTGCAAAATGCAGACTCCGTTAGCTTATGCTTCAGTCCAACCCGCTAGCTGAGGAGCCGTGCTTCAGTTTTTTCGGTTGCGTCGCCACAGCAGCTTGCAACATCGCGGACCAAAACAAAACGAAGATTATATGTTGAACAGTATAATTGTGTAACTGGCACTAGTCATTAGTGGTCACTCGTCAGGGTTAAGCGTCTCCGGCCAGTGGGTCATGCCAAACCTTCAGCTTTAGACTGCACTGTAATGCGAGTACCATTGCAAATCTCCCTAATTGTCCAGATAATATTCTCGTCGGTATGCCTACCGTCGCAAGGTCTACGCTTGCGGGGCCATCATGATGCGCAGGACGGATGGACTTCCCCAGCTGGTTCCCTGAATACAACCTTAGTAGCTCAGTATGCGGAGGAGTATAGGCTTTACGATGTAAGTCCAAATATGCCATACATGCTCTGCCTCTTCGTCTTCCCTTTAGCCTTTTTTCTGGCGTTTGGGATGTGTTCCATGTTTGCGCCTCGGGCTGCGGTGTACCGAAGCAGTTGGTAGCGGACAGAGTAAAGCCAAGGGAGCCCTACCTGGTTATCTCCACTCTGATGCACGTCCTTGCAGGTAGCCAGCCGAGTCGTGCGCCGCCCGGCACATGGAGGCTCCATCCATGGGGGCCCGGAAGGCTGTGTGGCGCTCACCAACACCACCAGCGCTGCCAACAGCTCACGTACTCCCCCGAGTTTCCAACAGCAACGGCAGACCCTTCGGTACAACTTTAGCCTACCGTTGACCAGGCGGCTTGCCGGGGTGTCTTACATTGGACATGCAAGCAGGCTTCGGCTTTTGCTGCAGCGAGTGCGGCGAGGTGGGTACGCTAATCCTCTGCCACACACTTTTGCATCGCGTCAAGCGGGTACCCTCTTTTTCTGCCCCGCACACTTAACCAAGCAATTTCATAAAGTCCTTACACTGCGGCTCTGCCCGGACGGCGCCTTACCCCCGGGATGGCACACTGCAGGCGAGGCCATTGTGGTGGGTGCGCTGGGCGGCAGCATCACCGCGGGTCAGGGGCTGGCGGGCTCCGGCAACACCTACCTAGCGCTGCTGGAGAGGTGGATGAACGCCGCGCTGCCGCCGTACAGCCGGGCGGGCGACTGCAGGGAGGGTAGGGCGGTGGGTCGGGTAGCGGCTTCAAGCTGGGTGCTCCGGGGTCTGGTGTCTGGGACGATTTTGACGAAAGGTTGGGCAGACGTCGGCCGCAGCAGTGAAGGCCGCTGCCGGTTCCCATGTACCGGTATCACAGTGCACCGGTTCCCTCCTCGATTCCTCCTCGTTGCTGCTGTCGCCGCCACTGCAGGCAAACGCCGCAGCATCAGGCAGCAGCCGGGGGGCGCCAACAGGACGGGGGCGCCAGCGGGCCAGCCCCCCCGGCAGCACGTCTTCCGCAACGGCGCGGTGCCAGGTACGCATGTGCGCCTGCATGCGCGTAGACCCAGCGGAAGGAACACGTCAGGTCTCCCGCACAGGTTTTCATACGGTGCTAGTTGGTTCCGGTTCCCCTTTTCCTCCCTCCCTTGCCGCCTTGGGAAATGCTCCCCCCACAGGCACGCAGTCCAGCTACGTGGCCGCCTGCGTGGAGGCGCACCTGCCGCCGCACCCCGACCTGGTACTAGTGGAGTTCGCGGTGAACGACTCGCCGCGGCCCTCCGAGTGGTTCCAAGTGGGTGGGGCAGGGGGGGGCTGCGCGGGAGGGGGGGGGGTATTTAAAAGGAAGCTGTCGAACTGCGCAAGGGGGGGCTGTGGCCTTCCTGAGGTGATGCGACCGCCTTTGGAGGCCTGTAGGGCTGTAGCAGGACAACACCGTGAACCCTTATTCCCCGGAGGAACAACAACCCCGGCAAAATCGTGTCGCTGTCTTTCTGCCCCACTACCGGTACTAAGCTGCCTGCGCCCCCCTCACGCCCGCGGACTGACAGGACCCCGGCCGCCGGGCCTTTGAGCGGCTGCTGCGCAAGCTGCTGCGGCTGCCCTCGCGGCCGGCGGTGCTGCTGGTCAACATGCACGCATACAACGTGCCGGCGCCGGACGGCAGCGGTGGCGGCAAGTAAGGGAGAGTGGTAGCGTGCATGCAGTGCTGTTTTCTTTAGGGGGGCTGGGCGGGGGTAATTGACCTGTAAGCGACCTCGTGATCTTACTACCCGGTTTGTTGCCAGGGGTTTCCCGGGGGTTTCCGTCACGCTGGTTTTTGTCTTCCTGTCCTCTATCTCTGTAATACCTCACATCGGAAAGAAGAATACGTCATACTCCCCCCGCCCTGCCCTGCGCTGCCAGCTTCTGGTACAACGCGGAGCGCGACTTCACCGAGTTGGCGCTCTACTACGGCCTGCCGTCGGTAGGCAGCAGCAGCTGCGGGGGAGGGCTGGGGGGAGACGCTGCAAGGCGCAGTGGGGAGGAGAGGCGGCTGTGTGTGCAGCTCCCACCTTGACCCACTCTGAATGGCTGACTGGCTGACTGGCTGACTGCTGCCACTGGGCCCCTGCTGCAGGTCAGCCTCAAGGCCGCTGTATTTACGGCGGTCAAGTCCAACAGCTCGGAGGCGCTGTCGGCTGGGTCCATCTACAATGCAGGTGGAGTTACAGGTAGCGCAGCGCTAGCCAGCTGAGCACCGCCTCACTAGCCGGGGTGGTACGGTGGTGCTGCAGCCGCACGTGCTAGGAAGGGAGGAAGGGAGCACCTATCATACGCTGATACGTATGATGCACACCAACACCAGGCGCCCGCCCCGCCCCGCCCCCCGCCCCAGGTCGCTTCCACCCCGGCAGTGGGGGCCATGTGGCGGCGCTGGAGCTGCTGATCACCCTGCTGCAGGTGGGGGGGGGCGGGGGGGCGGGAGGGGGGAGGGGAAAGGAGGAAAGTGGCGAGCTGGATGACAAGGGCTCGCGTGTGTGTATGTATGGCAGTATGGGGGGTCAAAGACCATACCATACCATGGGGGACGGGGGAGGTCCAGTGTGGAGGGAGGTGGAGGGGGTAGCGTCCTCTAGCAATGCTGCCTAGGTTCTGATAGGTCTCCAGCGCTGTGGCGGGCTTGCTTACTTCTTCTCACTCACGCCCTCCGCCTCCCACACATACCCGCCACATACAGGAAGTCATCGCCGTTGATAAGCGCATGGTGGTGTCGCTTGCCAAGCAGTCGTACGGCAACGACACGGGCGCGGCGGCGGCTGCCCTGCGCGCGCAGTTCGAGGAGGAGGCGGCGAGTCCGCTGCCGCCGCCGCTGTCGAGGGGAAACTATGAGCCGGCCAACTCAACATGCTTCATCCTTGACGCGTAAGCTGGGAGCCCGGGAGCAATTGTGACTACCTGTAAGCGAGTGCCATGCGGGTACATGTGCGGCTGAACCTGATTCGGCGCTTCGAGTGATACCCCCCCCTGCAACTCCATAACCCAAGCAGAGTAGACCCAGAAATGCTATGCTGGCCTGCTTGCCGGGATATCACCACCATGCAGCTTGCTGCGCTCTCCACCTCTCCCACCCATCCGCAGTTTCGCACTACCCATTCCCACCCCCCACGCGTGCATGCCTGCATGCAGGTTCCCCGGTGTCGTGCAGCAGCCCGCTGTGGGTTGGAACTGGACTGACGAGGGGCGCGGCAAGTGGGGCTACGTGGCAATGGAGGCGGGCAGGCAGCTGCGGATCAAGGTGTGTCTAGGTAGTGTGGGTGTGCCACAAGGGGGTTGCCAACGGGGCATGAGACACCCACTGCTTGAAGCAGCTGCACGGCAAATGACGGGCCAGTGTGCATTTGGCCATATGGCCATTTGGCCAGTGTGCACGTTTTTTTAAAGTCAGGTACTGCGGTGCCTTCCAGAGATGCACGCCCCTCATCACGCCACCCCCCTGCCCCCCACCTGCCCCCTCCCTGCCGCCCCCAGGTGCGCACCCTGCTGTCTGGCGACCGGGAGGCGCAGGGGCACGTGGTGCTGCAGGTGAGGGGCGGGGTGGGGTGGGGGTAACATTAAGGAAACGAGGAACTGTGGGGTGGGTTGGGGGAGGAATGCTGCTCTGGGGTTCGTGCTGGCAACGCCGCCAGGGTGCGCCTTAAGTAAGGAAAAGAGCCGCGAATGACACCCGTGTGTGAAACCCGCGTGGGTCGGAATCCTACCCTTGTGTGGTCCCGTACTGCATTGTTGACTGCTCCCAGCCGTTCCTCCCAGCCTTACTACGGCATCACCCATTACTCGCGGGATGTGCCCCCCAACCGCCAACCGCCCGCCTACTGCTCTCCACCCCACCCCGCAGCTGGTGTACCTCCGGAGCTATAGCGGCATGGGCACTGCACGGGTGGCTTGTGAGGCGGGGTGCCAGTGCGAGGAGGCCCTCCTGGACGGGCACCACGACAGGCCCGTGTCGGTGGCGTCAACTGCGGACATCCGGGTAGGTATACCCGGTAGGAGTGCCGCGGTGCCGCGGGTCGCCCTTGTTACCGTGAAACTGCTGGGCCTGGGGCAGTGCCTGTCCGCGGACACGGCTTGAACTGGGTCAGACTGACGCAGTCAGCCTTCCCGAGCCGTCATGCATGATGTGTTGATGTCGCATTGGGTAACTGCATTGGCTGCTGCTGCATTGCCCGACTGGCAGGTCAGCCAAGCCCTAGAGTGCGTGCTCCTGGTGTCAACCCTGGGACCGTCGGCACAAAATGGCACCTCTGGCAGCAAGTTCAAGGTCATTGGCGTCTTGGTGAGTCATGTCATCCTCACCTGCCTAGGCTGGTCTCAGCTACCGTACTGCACGCTCGACAGCCCTTGCTGCCCTGTTCGCTTTCGCCGTGCCTGCGTAGGGCTGCTCACTTGCAGGCTGGCCCCCTAATCCCGCATTGCCTCCCAAGCCCGTGTCCGCGGCACTGTTTTCTGTTTGTGGTAACGCTGTTATCAGCTGTTACCAATCCTACCGATCGTGCTTGCCCTGCCTGCTGTCTGCCTTCGCAGCTCGGAGAGGACCCGCAGGCGGAGCAGGGCATGGTGGACGAGTTCCTGCGACCGGGCAGCTTGCAGCAGTCCTGGTCCAAGGCAGCACACTAGCGCCTGCTGCCCATCCAGCCAGCACCGACAGCGTAGCACCCCACCCGCATGGCCTCGCGGGCAAGCAGGGCGTGCAGCTGCTGCTCCCCCGCTGGGCGTCGGTCATCGGTGGGGGCAAACGCACGGCGGGGCGGGGTTAGGGCGGCCGCTTCCTTACTCCTCTTCTCGCTATTTACCGGTATGTCGACAACGCAATGACCTCGGCCCCGTGTTTTATGGGCAGTACCGGTATAGCATGCATAGCATATGTATAGCATGCATTGTTGTGATAAGCACGCGGCATGTGGTTGCGAAGGATGTGGTAGTGACATCTGGGCCATGGATCCAGGGCCATGCTGGGTAGGAGGAGAGGAAGAGAGAAGGATCCACATTCAGGTCGATGAGGGTATTCGGTTGTCGTACGTTGCGTTGGGCTGTACGCCATATTTCAGCCATTGCCATGCGGTGGCTTTTGTTAGGTGAACGGTGATAGGCCTAGACGGGCCCCATGCAAATCGGGTTACAGCATGGGAGATGGAAGATACTTTTCCATCCCGAATGCCGATGCAACTGCGCTTATACGCCGCATGAAGCTGCAAAAAGGTCCCGTTCCATAAAATTATAGCGAAAACGATTAAGTCAGGCGAACAAGGTAATTTCCGCGCAAAGCCAGACTCATGACTTATGTAGCCACCTTCACTGAAAGAGCAACTCTCCAGCTGCCTCCTATTCACGTACCGCCACAGAAAATGCTGTCAATAGGTAATTTCATTTTCTGAAGGCTAACGCCCCTAACGACATACGGACCCTTGTGCTCCGAGCTTTCCTCCACTTCCCATCCTACATTCACCGCAAGCCCACAACCGCCAAGGCCTCTCAAGAGGACTAACCCAACCCCAAACGCGCCACCTCACGCATCCCGTCGCGTAACCAGCCCAGCAGCGCCTTGTTTAGAACGGCCAGAACCACGACTTGCGCTTGGGCTCGGCCTCCGGCGCAGTCAGCTCGGAAGCGGCGCCGGTCTTGGAGTCGTTGCCAGCCTGGTTCTGCGGGCGGAAAGGTAACACATGGAGGTTAAGCGGGTTATCTACAGTGGCTTCAAGTGCTTTGTACGGAGTCACACGAATCATACGGCTTCGCCCCGCTACACGAGCCTCGCACAGGCTCTGTGCACTTTAGTTCACCGATGACGCGATTAGAAGAGAGCAAGCGCAGGGCAGGGCCCCCCTCTCTCGAGGCCGCGGCGGAGCGGCACGGGTAAGTTTAGGTTGTCATTCTCGATCTGCGGCTGTGCGAAGGACGCCACCCACCCCAGCCCTGCCCACCTGCCGCACGAAGCGGCGAGCTCACGGCTTTACCTGCCCGGCGTCCGCGCCGGTGCCAGCCTCGGCGGCGTTCTGCACGCTCACCTGAGGGCCGAGCCCGGATCCGTGCGAGGAGAGGTGGCGGTGGTAGGGAGGTGCATGGTGCGAATGTGCCGGCCTAGGTGCGGGCCTATGTAAGACACGCGACGTCTACCCCGGGACGTGTAAAAGGATAGCCAATACATGGATCCAAGGGTCTGGTTAGCCAGGTCGCCATCTGCCCCCACGCGTACCCGTTCCCTAAACCCCCGTGACCAAGGTAGCCGTACGTACCACGCTGAGCAGCAGCGAGTCCGAGCCCAGGTAGACCTTGTTGGAGGACTGGGATATCGTGCCGGCGATCTCGCGGGCAGCCTGGCACGGAAATGAACAGGGCATGGGAGGACCATTTAGCGGACGCCAAGGAGTGAAGCAGCCACACAGGTGGCAGGACGTGCATGAGCGTACATGAGCCACAGGACGACACTGCATGCTGCATTACTCGTGTTGCTAAGTGGCCCTGCCGCGAGACTAGACGTGTGCTGTTGTGCGCGCGGCGCACATGCGTACAGACCCCCTCCCGCTCACCTCAATCTTGCGGAGCGTAAGGAAGGCCGGGTTCTGCTTCACGGCCTCACCGATCAGCTTGGCGGATTGGGCCTGTGGAAAGGGACAGGGTGTGCAAGTCAGTTCCCACCGTCCCGCTTTTCTCTGCGCGCTGCAAGCCGGGACAGTGAACAACTACCCCTCGTCCCCACAGGCTTGGTTCCGTCTAGGACTGCGCAAAGCCGCGGACCCTCAAGGACCCCCAATCCTCAATTGAAACATGCGATTACGTGCAGATCCGCACCCTTTTCTTGTAACTCAGGCAACCCTTGCGCCCTTTACCTGAAGCCATTGGGTTAAGCACCGCACCCTCATCTCACCACGTTTTAGGAGGTGCTCTAGACCCGCCAACCCGTCCTGCAGCTGGACTTACCTCACCCTGCGCCCGCACGATGGCGCTCTGCTTCTCCTGTAGCGCCTTCTCCACCTGCGAGGGGGTAGGGGGGTGGGGGTGAACACATGGAGGGGTCAGCGCTGAGTGGTGAGTGGTTGCATCGATTTACGTCGACCCTTTCAGGGACCTTCCCATCCTCCGCCCCTCTTCCGGCCCGAAGGTGCGCTTGCTCTTCACAGTCTCTCGGCACGTCCTATCCCTTTTATCCCCGGCCCAAGCCCCTCCAAAAGGCCCCAGCCCCCCATGCAGGGAACTTCGGCTCTCCCCCCTACCCCTGCCCAGCTTTGTAACCTCACCCCCCCCACCCATACACCGCGCCCCGGCCCCCTGCCCTGCACTCACAATGAACTTGGCCCGCTCCGCCTCCTGCTGCGCCACCTGCTTGGCCTCCACGGCGGCCGTGTACTCCTTGGAGAAGGTCAGGTTGGTGATGGACACATCCTCCAGCACGATGTTGAAGTAGCGAGCGCGCTCGGTCAGGATGCGGCGGATGTCGCGCGACACGACCTGGACGAGGAGGGTAGGGATGGCGCAGGAGGGGAGGAGTGCAGAGACGATTTATGCAGGTGCAGGTGGGGCAAAGCGGTGAGCGGATACCCTGGAGCGGTGGCCGCCTGCCAGACAGGGCGTAAGCGGCGGTACTCCGTTATTGGGAGGACAGAGATTAATGCGAGGTCAGGAGCCACGCAGGAGAATACAAGGTTTGCTCCGGATGTGTTCCCCAGTGACCAGCTGAACCGTTTTAGTAGCGTAGTAGAGGATTGTTGTAGTACCAGCCTCCCGAACGCGCTTTCGATGTCAGAAAGGTAAGCAACTCACCTCACGCTGGGTCAACAGCTGGCTGGCGTTGTACTGCGCAATGACGCTCTTCAGGGTCTCCTGCAGTGGGTAATTGTACGGCAGCGAAAGATTCGTATACTGACAGCCAGTTCACCAACGTAGTGATGTTTAGACAGGGCATACATGTTAGTTAGTTAGGGAGAGAGGTGGATGGGTGGGTGCTTCCGCCGGGGAAGGTTCTAGCGAGGGTAAGCGGGAGTCAGGGACTTCGGCAAAGACGTGCGATACACCTTACGCCCATGCGGGGGATTCAGGACACCACGAACCTGGATGATGGAGGGCAGCACACGCTCGGCATAGTCAGTGCCCAGCGTGCGGTAGATCTCCGGCAGCTTGTCGGGATTGGGCCGCGTCAGTACTCGGAGGCCGACGTTCACCTAAAAGTAACGCAATATGTTCGTCAAGTGAAGTTCTTTTCCATCGTTGCAAACAGGTCAGGAGCAAGGAACCTACCATCTGAAGGTCCTTGCTTCCCGATTGGCTCTGGATGACGCTTGGCCGGGCACGCACGTCATAGATGACGGGACGCTCGAACCACGGCACCATAATATGCGTTCCTTCTTGGTAGACCTGCACCAGCGACGTTATCCTGCTTTACCGATGATGCCCGAAGACTTCGGAACTCCGCCGGCGGCACCGCCAGGTAACCGACAGCGCTCAAGCGCAATAAGTCGGAAGCCTTCACTGTTAACCTATAATACCCACGTTGTCCTTGATGCCCATTAGCCGGTTGAAGACGATGGCACGGTGACCACCCTCCACGTTGAACAAGCTGTTGGACCCAGCCCAGAGAGTCGCACCACCGAACAACACAACATTTGCGATGGTGCGCGCGGCGCCTAGCGCAGACGCAAGACCTTGGGGGTTAGCAGCCATCCTACTGATCGGTGTTGCTGACGGGCAAAACACCTAATGATAACCACTAGTGCGTCTCTTAAGTGCTACCACGTTCACAGCTTAGGAAAAGCTGGAACTTTGACAGGTAGGGCAGGCACAAGCAGCAGGAGGAGTACGGCAGCGTTGGCTTGCATGGACAGTATGAGTAAAATAAGCTTAATTTCTAGTCGTTGTCTCCCTCCCTTGCGTTTGCTTCTCTGTAGCCATGGCAACGATACACGCCCGCACGGGCGATGTGCAGGCTCTTAAAGTCTGCGCTGCTGCTCAACTCTTTAAGGCCGATGTTACTTTCTCAGCGGTTCAAAGCGTCAAGGATGTTGCCAGTAAGGGCAGTAATCCTTTCGGCACGAACACAATTCTTTTGGTCGCTCCGGCGGTGCAACTGTCTGAGCCATGCGCCGCAGCGGCGTACTTAGGTAAGCTCTTAGCTTTACCAAACGCTTAGGGTATACTTGTTGCTTCCGAGAGCCACATCGATATGTGTAATAAGTCCCCGTGTACGCGGTCGGCCTCTAGCATTGTCGTATTGCAGTCATATGAAGCCACCCTGCTTGAACCCGCTCGTGTTCACTCAATCCGGGCCAGGCTGTGGTACCCTAAACACCACAACGACCTCATGCTTCCGGGGCCCGACCCCTTAGCTTTTGCTCAGCAGGCCCCGCTTCTCCTCCGCTTTCCACATTGCCCCATCACCACATCGGCACGCCGCGTCGTACTTTCTTTCCTTCAAACACCTCGCACAGACCTTGCCTCTCGTTACTCGTCACCAACATTCGTTTTGCTTTCCTCACTTCCGAACCCATCCTAAAAGTCCATCCTCACTTCTCATCTGCCCATTTGCTCAAAGCCTTCCTCCCCTCCGTACCCGTCACCTCCCCCCTCACCTCTCCGCAGCCGGCGGCTCCAGCTCCCTGCCGCTGAGCACCCTGCAGTGGCTGGAGTGGAGCGAGAGCTGCCTGCGGCCCGCCACGCTGCTGGGCGAGGGGGAGGCGCTGGCCGCCGCCCTGCAGCACCTGGAGGCCGCGCTGGCGGCCGGACAGCTGAACAGCGGAAGTGCGGGTCTGGCGGAGGTGAGGGGAAGGGAAGAGGACCCAGTGTGCTGAGCGTGTTGGTGGCAAGCTGGGCGACAAGCCTGGGTGAGGGGGCGGGCGGATGGGTGGTCCCGGGGGCGCGGATCTGTTAGGACCCGATTTAGGTGTTCTCGGGTTGGCTAGGAATGCGGGCGATGTGGGTCAGGAGCTTTTGCTCCTTTCCGGGGTCGGGGTTTGGGTTTGCGTCTCCATGGGCCGCACACGACGCACCAAGCCGCGATGCTGCTACTACAGCTAAGGCCTGGGATTGTTCAAAGCAAAACGTTAGGTTAGGGTTATGGTGCATGTGTGGTTGCTTTGGGGGAGGCTATGGAAAAAGGTTGGGCATAATGCAGCTCGGCATGCATGCATGTAGGGACTAAGTCGGTGGAGATGGGTGGCGTTGTGAGTAGGTCGTGGGGCTAGGGGGTCGGGGTCGGGCGCAGTTCTCCCTGCGGGCTGGCCTTGGTAAGCAGGTAGCCCTACTGCCATGTCGGCGAGGCATGAGGGACCTTTTGCCGTGGCGACTGCACTGCCTATCATGCTACATGCGCTACGTGTACCAGGGAAACCAAAGTACGCCATTACATCGCGTTCCGACTCGCAGCCAGTTTCCTCAACACATCCGACCGCTGCCGCCCCCCACTCGTCCCGCCCCCCCTCCCCCAGGTCGCTGTCTTCGCCACGCTGCTGCCCCTGGCGCTGCGTCACAAGCTCCCAGCCGCCCTGGACGCCTTCTGCGCCACCCTCGCCAAGAACGATGCCGTACAAACCGCCGCCGCCGCCGTCGGCGCCACGCTGCCGTCCCCCGCCGACGGCCCCGTTGATGAAGCCGCCGCTGCCAACCCCACGCTTGCCGTATTCGACGCCGACGCCGTGGCCTACGCTGCTGCGGTGCCTAAGCGGCCCATCCCCGGTCGCCGCAACATCCTGATCACGTCCGCGCTGCCGTACGTGAACAACGTGCCGCACCTGGGCAACATCATCGGCTGCGTGCTGTCCGCGGACTGCTACGCGCGCTTCTGCCGGGCGCGGGGACACAACTGCATCTACGTGTGCGGTACGGACGAGTACGGCACGGCCACCGAAACCAAGGTAGGTTTTTGCGGAATTGTGGGGGGGTGTTTGTCAAGTCCGCTAAAGTGATACTGACCTTGAACACATGGGGGGTTGGCGGCATTGATTTGCGTCGTGTGGTAGTTGGGATGACAGGGCGGGCCGGGTGGAGGCAGGGAGGGACAGATGGAAAGCAAATTGAGAAGAGCGTGGTAAGCAGTGCAGTCTACATACGATGGCTCAGCCCAACGCACACCGCCCACCCAACTGCTCGCCATGAGCCTTGACTGATGGGCTTTGACTCGCATGGACTCGTTGTCCCCTGCGCCCAACCACTCACCCTACCGCCTTCTCCCTACCTGCGCCGGGTCGGGGGTTCGGGCTTCCAGTGCCCCACTTCTATTTCTCCTTCCTTCTTTTTACCCCGCTTGCCCGCAGGCTCTGGAGGAGGGGCTAACGTGCCAGCAGATCTGCGACAAGTACCACGCTATCCACGCCGACATCTACCGCTGGTTCGACATTGCGTTCGACCGCTTCGGCCGCACGCCCACGCGCGCGCAGACGGCCATCGCGCAGGACATCTTCAAGTGAGTGTGGGCGAGGGCAGTCGAGGAGCGCAGCGGGTAGCCGGGGGGAGGGGGGGGTCGAAAACCACATCCCAAACCATAAAAATCAGGAAGCCACAGGTTAGGGTAAAGCAATGGGAATAGAAAAGGCGACAGGATGAGTGCAGGCGAGGGATGCGTGATTTGGACGACGCGACATGGGGGACATGGGGGATGTGGTGGGCAGGAGGAGCTAAGAGACTTTTCTGAAACCTCTGACTGCGGTGTGTATTCGGTGTGCTTGGAGGGAACGAGGTGAAAGCAGCCCCCTTCTGCCCACCTGTGCTCGCTCCCTCCGCTCCCACCCCTCTCTCTCCCCCAACCCAACTATCCAGCCTAATGCGGAATATGTATCCCTATTTACCCCCCCCCCCAGGACTCTGCAGTCCCGCGGCCAGCTGGTGCAGCAGGAGATGCAGCAGCTGTACAGCGAGGCGGCGGGCAAGTTCCTGGCGGACAGGTTCGTGTACGGCACCTGCCCCAAGTGCGGATACGACGTGAGTGGCGGGGATTGGAGGGGGGTCAAAGAGTATCCCGAACCATAAGGAATCCATTGGAGGGGAGGCGCAGGGGGGGCCTTGGGAGAGCTAGTAGTGGTTAGGGGAGATTCCTTGGGGTAAGGGAAGGGGACGCCGGGGATGAGGCTGGGTGGAGGAGGACTCAGTCCTGTCCTGCTTCTCCCTCTCCTCTCCCCTACCCCCCTCCTCCCCCCTCTGTCACACCACACATTGGAATTTCTCCCCCCCCCTGTGAAATGTCCACCTCCTCTCCTCCTCACCCCAAACTCAACGCACCGGGTATCCTTCTTCCCCTCCCCCCCCTCAGGACGCCCGCGGCGACCAGTGCGACGGCTGCGGCAACCTGCTGAACCCCACCGAGCTCATCAACCCGCGCTGCAAGCTGACGGGCACCACCCCCGTGCTGCGCTCCACGCGACACGTCTTCCTGGACCTGCCGCAGCTCAGCCCCGCGCTGCAGGTGGGGGTTTAAGATAATGACAACTGCGGGGGGGGGAGGAAGGAAGGGCTTGTAGCGAATGGCCCTACGCAAATTGCCCTCGCCCTCCCTCACACCATCCCTTGTCTTACGGCTCGTTAGTTGCCTCGTCTTTTTTTCCTTTATATCTCCCCTCCCCTCTCCCCCTTCCCCTCCCCCCCAGGACTACATCACCTCCACCAGCCAGCAGGGCGGCTGGTCGGCCAACTGCGTGCAGCTGACCAACGCCTGGATGCGGGACGGACTCAAGCTGCGCTGCATCACGCGCGACCTCAAGTGGGGCACACCCGTGCCGCTGGAGGGCTTCGAGGACAAGGTGGGTGGGGTGGGAGGACAGGGAGGAGGAGGGGGGAGGAATGGAAAGTGAAGCAACTAGAGTCGCAATCCTATATACCGGTAATCCTCCTCCTCGTATATCTTCCTCCCATACCCTGCATGCGCCCGGCCGTGTGAGCCACACTCCCGCGCCTTCCCTTCCCCCTATCTCATTCAACACATTCTTCCTTTCCCCCTATCTCCCCCCCAGGTGTTTTACGTGTGGTTCGATGCGCCCATCGGCTACATCTCCATCACCGCCGGATACACGCCGGACTGGGAGGCGTGGTGGAAGAACCCGCAGGACGTTGAGTTGGTCCAGTTCATGGGCAAGGACAACGTGCCCTTCCACACCGTCATCTTCCCCGCCACGCTGCTGGGCACGCAGCAGCCCTGGACCATGATGCGCTCCATCTCCGTCACCGAGTACCTCAACTACGAGGGGGGCAAGTTCTCCAAGAGCAGGGGCACGGGTGAGGCAGCGAATCCACCCGCCCCCCCCCCCCGCACCCTCGCACCACCACCTCCTTCCCATCCCCACTTCCCCAATGCGCGTCCGGTATTCTCTGGACTGAACTCCACCTCACCCTCCCACCTGCCGATCTGCATTTCTCTATATCTTTTCCCACCTGCCAACACATTGGGTCGTCTTCTTTCCACCCGCCAACTGATTTGCCCTAACGTGCGGTATCTTTCAGTTTGGTTTCCCTCTGTCCCAACCCCACCTCCCCGTCCCCCACCCCACCCCATCCCTTCCCAGGTGTGTTTGGCAACCAGGCCCAGGACACGGGTATCCCGGTGGAGGTGTGGCGCTACTACCTGCTGGCCAACCGCCCCGAGCAGGCGGACACCGACTTCAAGTGGGCGGACCTGGCGGCCAAGAACAACAGCGAGCTGCTCGCTAACCTGGGCAACTTTGTAAACAGGTGGGGGGGTGAACTGTGTGAACAGGTGGGGGGGCTGGAAGACCACAGATCGAATTATAGGAAACCACGGGATAGGGCAAAACAATGGGGATAGGTTGCATGTGTAGCCAACCACATGTCGATGTGTGACTTCCGCCCCTCCCCGCCGCGCCCCTCCAATCCCCCTCCCCACTCACCCCCCGCCTCATGCTCAGGGCGCTGATGTTCGTGTCCAAGTTCTTCGAGGGGCGGGTGCCGGGGGCCACGGAGGCGGGCAGGGAGGCGGCGGAGGAGCTGGGCAAGGTGGTGGGACCCAAGGTGGGAGAGGGGGAGGGAGAGGGGGAAGGAGAAGGGGTAGGGGGTAGGGGGTAGAGGTGATTGAAGTTGCCTGAAAAGCCTGAGGGAAGCGACATCGCAGCGGCCGTATTAGCTCCTGCACGCCCGAAGCACTCCCCTTGCAGCTTAGCCTCCGCTTTACTCTTCTCTCCTTCCCCTCCTCCCCTCTCCTTCCTCCTGCTCCACGGCCCGTTTCGAGTATAACCCTAGACACACTCAGTACGTCCCGACTCGCTGCCAGTAATCACTAACACACGCCCCCCCCACACACACCTTGGAATTCTCCCCCCCCTCCCTGCCCCCAGGTTGCGGAGTACGTCGCGGCCATGGAGCGCATCAAGATCAAGGAGGGCATCCGGCTGGTCATGTCGGTGTCCGCGGATGGAAACAAGTTCCTGCAGGTGGGGGGGAGGGGAGGGCAGGGGCACAGGCATGGCTTCCGTCTCATGAAATCCCTGTGGTTTTTTGGTATGGGTAAAGCTAGCCTTCAGCGCACTTTGGGCAGCCCCTTGGGCAGCCTCGGCACGTGTGACTGGAACGCTGCTGCTGGCCCCCCTGCCCCTCCCCCCCTCCTCCCTCACCTCACCCCACATGGCCTCCCCCACCTCAGGACACCAAGCCCTGGGTGGCGGTCAAGGAGGACAAGGACAAGTGCGCAACCCTGGTCGCTACGAGTGAGTTGTTCCGCCACACACACGCGCGGGGAGTCCTTAACAACAATGCATGGGGAAGGATTGGAGGCAGTGGGGAGGGAGCAGAGGAGGCTTGGCAGAGGGAGGGGTACTGCCGCTGCCACTGCCCACTGCCTGAATAGGCACATGGGACTGTGCTTCCTTTCTCATCTCCTTTTTCCCTCCTTAACGCCGCCGCCGGCCCCTCGCACCCTCCCTCCCACGTCTCCTCTTCCCGCTTCAGGCGTGGGTCTGGTACGGCTGCTGGCGGCCCTCATGGCGCCGTACATGCCCTCCCTGGCGGCCAAGATCCTGATCCAGATGGCGCTGCCGTACGAGTCCAGTGTGGCCCTCACGGAGGAGCTGCTGGCGGGCAGCTACCTGCCGTACAGCCTGGTGCCCGCCGGCCACGTGCTGGGCACCCCGGGGCCGCTGATCAGCCAGATCACGGAGGAGCAGATCGAGGCGCTGCGGGCCAAGTGGGTGTATGGGGGGGGGTGCGCGGGCAGTTGCAATTGCACTGTACTACACTACACTAGAAGAGGAGGTCGCACGGCAGGACTGGGTGCTGGGACCCATGTTAGGGCGGACACTCCACCAGGCCCTCGCATGGCTTGCCCTTCCCCAACGTTTCCGTCCGCCTTTGTTGGCTCATGACGTCATGACACGTCCACCCTGACACACCCACATCACCAGGTTCGGAGGCAACCAGGCTGCGGACGAGGCTGCCGCCGCCGCTGCCGCCGCTAAGCCCGCCGCTGCCGCCAAGGGCAAGGGCGGTGCCGCTGCTGCTGGGGCTGCTGCTGGGGACAAGAAGGGCAAGCCGGCAGCCGCAGCTGGCGAGAAGAAGGCTGCCGCCGCTGCTGCTGGTGCGGACAAGAAGGCGGATGGCGCCGCCGCCGCAGCTGATAAGAAGAAGGCGGCGGGCGACAAGGCCGAGAAGAAGGCTGCGGACGGGGCGGAGGGGAAGAAGGCGCCTGCCGCCGGCGAGAAGAAGAAGGCTGCCGCGGCCCCCGCTGCTGCTGCGGATGAGGGTCCGGTGGACGTGAGCCGGCTGGACGTGCGGGTGGGGCGCATCGTCAAGGCGTGGAAGCACCCGGATGCGGACTCGCTGTATGTGGAGGAGGTGGATGTGGGGGAGGAGAAGCCGCGGCAGGTGTGTGCGACCGGTGGGGGGGTTGTGTGTGTTTGGGGGGGGGTGATGGTGGGTGTGGAGGGGGACTGCTGCGGGTTTGTAGGGGTTCGTGGGGCTGCCTGCCAAATGTGATTTGCCATGTAGCCCCTCGCCTACATGAGTTGCCATATTTGAGCTGTACCTTTCCCTCTCCCTTTCATGGCTTACCTACATGGCACTGGCCCGGACTGCTTCTACTTCCAGCGCCTTCGGCGTTGGTAATACTGTGTTCCCCTCCCTCTCATGTCCCTCTAGCGTCACCCTTCCTGCCCCCCTCCCGCCCGCCCGCCCTCCCTCCCCTCCCCAGGTTGTGAGCGGGCTGGTGCGCTTCATCCCCTCCGCCTCCGACCTGGAGGGGCGCCGTGTGGTGCTCATCTGCAACCTCAAGCCCGCAGCCATGCGCGGCGTGCAGAGCCAGGCCATGGTGCTGGCGGCGACCAGCCAGGACGGAAGCAAGGTGGGGGTGCGTGTGAAGAAAACTGGGCGCGAGGCGGAACGTACTGAATGTGGGGGAGCAGCAGGGAAAGAAGAGTAGAAAAGGGGATGGATGCTCCGCATTGGACTGAGGGCGCAATGTGCAGAAGGTGTCGAAGGGGAGCGCCCTCCTTCCCCTTCCCACCTCCGTGTCCAATCCCCTATATGTGTCCTAACCTATGGTTGCCTATGGTATTGTATGGTCTTTGACCCCCACACTGGCAAATGCGAAAATGTATCCCTACTAACCCCCACGTCGGGTATTCTCCTCCCCCCCAGTTGGAGTTGCTTGAGCCCCCCGCGGACGCCCCCCTGGGCGAGCGGGTGACGTGGCCCGGGTACGGTGGCGAGGGGCGGACGCCGGACGAGCAGCTCAACCCCAAGAAGAAGATCTTCGAGACGGTAGGCGGGCGGGCAGGCAGGGAGGGAGGCCGGGAGGGTGGGGCCTGCGGGATGGTGGTACGGAAAAGGGTGAAGGCCTGGCGCCCTTTGGTTATGGTTGGGGCTTCAGACGAATGTTAGAGACGTCAAGGCGTGCGGCTGCTTGGGGCATTCGTTGCGTGTTTCCCTCGTGCACCTCAGCACTCCTCCCCGCTCCCCCCCTCCCCTCCCCGCTCCCCCCCGCAGGTGCAGCCCGACTTCTCCACGGACGCCAGCTGTGTGGCCACCTACCGGGGAGCGCCCTTCACCACCAGTGCGGGACCCGTGCGGGTGGCGTCCATCGTGGGGGCGTCCATCAAGTAATGCGTGCGGTACGACAACAGTGCGGTGCAGTGCAGTGCGGTACGACAGCAGCGGCTGTGTTGCCGGGCGCACAAAAGCGTATGGATGACGTGTGATAGAAGGTGGAGGACCGCAAGGGCAAGATGCGGGGGTTGTAGAAGAGCAGACACGCCCCTGTTACAACTGAGGCGGCCTGCAACCTCTGCGCAGGAAGGCTTGCACTGGGCTGTGATCAGAATTCGGGTGCCGTGTGTGGGCCGAGTTGGTGTTACGGTTTCATGAATACGGCATTGGACCCGAGGGCGTGCGACATGACTTGGGGCAAGCAGCAACTCCGTAGGGGAAGTGGCAAAAGGGAAGGAAGCTGGTCTGCAGGTTAACGGTGAAACGGATCCGGGGGTTCGGGGGAGCTAGCTAGCTGGTTGCAGCCCGCGGCCCGCAGCCTGTCTCTTCGTGTGAAGATGACGCCTGTTGTGAGAGGCAAAACGGCTGTTTTTTGCTAGCAGGATGCGGGCTGATGCAGGCGGTTAGCGGTACAGCAGTTGCGTCGAAGGGGGGGAACCCCGGCTGCATTAGCAACTGGTTTGCGCTTGGTGGCAGGATGGTGGTGGTACAAGCATTGCTTAGTAACACCAAATCAAGGGAATTTGCTGCTAGACCCGCTTGCACTGTGTGGGTGTAGCGAGCTAAGACATGGTGTGAGGTAATCGATGCGCAGCAGCACCCTGCGTGCGTGCAGCTAAGCGAGCATGTGTGCATGTACGGGAAAGGCAGGTAGGCACGCACCCACCTGCATGTGAGCGGTGCGTGCGGGCGGTGACGAGGAAGACGCGGTAACTAACCGTGCGTGTGGGTGTGAGGGCGCTTCCACAAGGTAGCTAGTAGCTTTGTGTGAGGGAACATGACACCGGCATACACCGATGTAAGGGGTGTGTGTGTTGTTGTGTGCATGGAGCGATGGAGGGAATTTGCTGCCGGGAGGGTGAATCGTGGCGACTGTGTTAGGGCATGATTCCTACAAGCACACGACTTGTTGTACAAGTCCGACATGTGCTGACCTGGCACCGCACACCTCTGACCTGATATAGTGCTTGGGGTAAAAGGCGGTCCTTAACTGCCTGCCTTTCATGCCTTCTGGCTCGGCGCTGCGCATGCCCACAAGGCAACGGCCAAACTGTACGGTGCCTGCTACCCTCTTCACACGTTAGACCGAAGCCAAGCGAGGCGTTGAGGACGGCTTTACGGCGACGCAACCAGACACAGCGCGAATGATGTATTTTTCGGGCATGCTAGGCGCAGGAATGCCCGGCTTGCCTGCGCATGTAAATGGGGACTGCCGACGGCTCTTGCCTGTCGGACCATTGGTAATGAGGCGGCGTCGCGGCGACCATGTTAATCACGATCGGCTCAAAGTAATGCCGCAGTTCCATGCGCAAAGAGTTGTGTAAAGTCGCCATGGCGCTTACAGACTCGCGCAGATCCCCCGGTAATGTAGCGCAAATCAACGGTTGCTCGTCCATAATCATATATTAGTATGCTTCCTAAACACAGTAACCCACTGATCGCGCCCAGCCAGACTGAACACATATAAACAGTCTTAACCTGTGCTCAAATCTTGAACATCAGGACTTCAGCCGACGCTGCAAGCAAAGCAACGATGCAGACCCTCTCACGAGGCAACCTGACGCGGCTGGATAATTCCAGCACTAGGCGTCGTTTCATTACTAGGAAGCCAAATCTGCGGGTATCCGCGACTGTTAACGTCGAGCAGCTGAAGGCGTGCAAGCAGGAGCTCTTCAGTTACATCAACAGTCGAGGATGCAACCCGATCGTCGTCCGTCTCGGTTGGCATGACAGCGGCACATTTAATAAGGTTGTTGATGAAGATTCCGGTCCAAGTTCTGAAGCGTTTACGTAGTCGCCCCTCGATGCGAATCGTCTCTTCGACTTCGGTGCCGTTGTCCAAGCTCCTCGCTATGTCTTATAAAACTCTGGTCCATACATTCACGTATAATTTGGAATTACCCCGCTGCAGAATATTTCGGAGTGGCCGGCGCGAGGCGGTGCCAACGGCTCCATTCGCTTCAAACCGGAGATCGACCACGACGCGAACAAAGGTTCGTTCGCGTGTCGTGCTGTTGACTTAACGAGACAGCATTTACTAGGGAAGCGCGATAACGATCACTTGCAGCTTGGTGCAGCTTATTCCCACTTTGCAAGGATACGGCAGCAGGGGCCGGCCACCTCGCACCGTGCACCGAGCCAAGATGTCCGTGTTGTATGGGCCTCCGGCTTGACGTGGTTTCCCCTTTCCTTGTCTCACCCACACACAGGCCTGGCAATCGCGCTGGGGATCATGACGCCCATCAAAAAGAAGTACCCCGATGTGTCGTACGCTGACCTGGTACGACACGCAGATGCATACATGGGGGAGGTTCTAATTTCCGCCTCGCGGCCAGTTACCTAAGCAGCTATTTAAGCAGTTACTGCGTTATGGTTCAGGTTTGGTTACCTCTGTTTTGTTTGTACTTGCGGTTCACATGCAAACCTCTCCCAACTGCTTGCTCTTGTCCTACTCAACTACACATGACAGTACGGTTATCCTCCTTGCCAACGTTTTTTCCAGCATAAGGTGACCCGTGGGTCGTGTCTCCCGATCTCTGTGCCCTTCTCTATCTCTGCAGTTCCAGATGGCCTCTGCGGTGGCTGTGGAGGTGAGAGCCCCGCTGCAGGCACGGCAGGGGGCAGCGTACCCGGGAGTAGTGTGAACCCTTTCGCCTAGTCTCGCAACAGACACCTCTTCTAAGCCCGTTGGCGTGTCCGACGGCATTCTTGGCATTTCTCGGTTTCTGCATTCCTCCCGCCCCCCTCCTGGACTCCCCACCCCCACAGGCTGCCGGGGGTCCGCAGATCCCCATGCGCTACGGCCGCCGAGACGCTTCCGGCCCCGAGCAGTGCGCGCCGGATGGCAACCTGCCGGGTGAGCCCCTCTTTGCTGCTGGGGCCAGGGAGGGCAACTAGCCGGTTAGCTACCTTGCTTTTACAGGGCACTGCATGAGGGGTGTTTGGCTTTACCGTAGGAGCCCCAATGCATAAGCAAGGAAGGGCAATAAGTGCTTGGCAGGGATGGGGCCCTTCACATCCCCTCCCATGCGCAATTCGCAACTCACTTGAGCGCTACCTCACCCCAGCAACGACCCTCCTCCCGTCCACCCCTACACTTTCCATTTCACTTTCCTCCTCTCCTCCCCTCCCCCTTCAGGCGCTGCCCACCCCTTCCCCGACGGCAGCCCCTCCCCCGCCGCCCACCTGCGTGCCGTGTTCGGCCGCATGGGCCTCACCGACCGGGACATAGTGGCACTCAGCGGCGCGCACACGCTGGGGCGGGCGCGGCCGGACAGGAGCGGCCATGGTGGGGAGCGGGGCTGGCTGTTGGGGATGTGGGGGACATGAGGTTTGTGTGGCCTGTGGCGGTGGTAATGGTGGGATGGGGTGCATGGGCAAGTGCGCGCGTAGCCTTCTCAAGTCGTCGTAGGTGCAATAGTCGTGTGGTGGGAGACCACCGGGGGCCTGTCCGTCATGCTTCCTCTCTCTCTGCATCTTGTGCTTTCCTGTCCGCCATGCTATATAAAGGAGGTCGCTTGGCTATCTAAGTCTCGCATCCGCTTCCTCAACCCCCAACACCCTCCTTGCACCCTTCCCTCACCTCGCTCCTGTTGGCAGGCAAGGAACAGACACGGTACACGGCCGTGGGCCCCGGGCCCTCCACCGCCAGCCCCACGGGTGCAGCCAACCGTCCGGCGACACCGCGACCCGTGGGTCAGTTGGGTCAGAGCTGGACGGTCAACTGGCTGGAGTTCGACAACTCCTATTTCCGGGAGGTGAAGGCCAAGCGAGATGCCGAGCTGCTGGTGCTGCCCACAGACGCGTGCTTGTTTGAGGACGAGGGGTTCAGGTGGGGTTGAGGTGGGGAGGGGGTAGGAGGAAAGGTGAAGGGAGCATAAGATGGCAGAAGGAGAGAAGGTCATTGATTGCCTAATAGCCGGTTAAGAGTGAGTGCTGGTCACCCTTTCTCACGTTTCTTCCTCTCTCTGCATCCTTGCCTACATGTGATCTCACTCTGACTCCTCCTTCCGTGGCGCACGTAACTACCTCTTTATACCGGTAACCTGCTGCCGTACATACGCACATGTGCCGTACCTTTGCCGTACCCCTGCCGCCTCTCATCATCAGGCCCTATGCCGAGCAGTACGCAGCCGACCAGGCGGCTTTCTTCGCGGACTACTCCGAGTCGCACCGCAAGCTGTCGGAGCTGGGGGTGGAGTGGGAGGAGGGAGGGCCGGTGAGCATCTGATGATGAGGGGGACGCTGCGGATGGAGGCGGAGAGCGGAGTTGGGTACCGTGGCCTCACTACTCCCGTAGGCCACTTCCCCTTCTGTATTGCTGTGAGCTCTGTTAACTGTAATATATTACTGGCTGTCGAGGCTTTGTTTAACACTCAGTGAGGTCTGTCAGGGAGGCACTCGTACGCATGGACATGCATCCTGCATTACTCTGCTTGAGCCCTGTGGGTTTGTTGTTGTTGCTGAAGCCTGCACACGCTCTGAAACCACACATGCGCGTAGGTAGCATGCTAGCACACACACACTTTGCATGCTTGTGCATTGCTGACTATCTGCTGACTATCCGCTGAGGGGGCACACTTGGTCTACCGCCGTCACGTCATTGTACACAACATATTGCAACAAAGGTGTTGTAGCAAGAGGTGCCACTTACAGTTGCCTGCTGTTGTCATTTCTCTCCTTGAACTGACGCAAGAGGGACGGTGTCACATTCTGGCACCGGTACTCATTGTGTCGTCACGCGTGAATACGAATGTAAAACTTGGTGGCTATTCACCCTCCTCCTGCCGTATGGATAGGGACTCTTGTTGCTTCACTTCTTACTTATGTTTCCCCCTTCCGTACGAGTCCTACATCTGCAATTGCTGACACATGCAAGCCAAGAGACCCCAACAGCCATCCCCGCACTCTCACACACAGACCCTAGTCCAGGGCAAAATGACATTACCTACCCGCTGACGCCACTTGATCGGCCCTTTAGCCAGCTACCGGTATCAAGTGCTAATCCACATTCTAGCCCCCAAACCCCCTAAACTCCCAGAAATCCGCGCGCTTCCTGCTCTCCCTACCATAACAAGCAACCCCTCAACGACTCCAATAGGAGTTTGGGACTACATCGCCAGCAGCAGTACAGCACCCGCCAGTGCCGTACCAAACACTGCCACAGCTCCGCCGCGCCTCAGCGAGCCCGCGGACCCCGTCTGTGGCGCTACTGGCCCGGGTACAGGCGCTGGCTCCGCTGGTTTGGTCGCGGGAGCGGGAGCAGCAGCGTCAGGTACAGGCGAAGGCGAGGGCTCATTTGCTGGCTTTGGCGCAGGCGAAGGTTCAGCTGCAGGCGTTGGCTCCGGCGAGGGCACGGGCGCAGGTGCAGGGGACTCCGCTGGCTTGGGGCTACTGCTGTCACCGCTGCCGCTGCTGCTGCCACTGCCTCCGCACTCCTCCTTGCACCGCTCCACGCTTTCAAAGTTGTTCGGGTTGCCGGCGCAGCCGCCAAAGATGAACTTCTCGCAGGTCTTGGTGGTGGAGTTGAAGTAGTAGCGCTCGAAGCTGCCTCGGCACATGCCGGTCTCCGCGGGCAGGGCGCAGGGGTCCAGATCGCCGTTGGGGGTGCGGATGACGGCTGCCTTGGGGGCTGCAGCAGCAGCGGGCAGGGAGGCTCCGTCGCTGCTGCTGGCCTTGTCGCTGAGGGTGATAAGTGTGGATGGTGTGCTGCTGCTGCTGCTGCTGTTGCCTCCCTGCTGTGTTGTGTTGCTGCCGGCGGCGGCGGAAGCAGGCTTGGGGGCGGCTGTGTTGGTTGCCTTTTGTACGGCGCCGGTCAGGAAGATCGAGGAAGCGCCGGAGGCGTTGATGGCAGGAGCGGGCGTTGTGGTGTTAGAAGCCGCCGGAGAGGCCGTGGCGGAAGTGGCATCTGGGGCGGGGGCGGGAGCAGGGCGATCGGGCCGAGTCTCGGATCCGATTGCTACAGCTGCCGGCGCGGGTGCAGCGGTTGGGGTGACCGTGTCGTCTAGGTATCCCTCTGAGGTGGGTAGGGTGGTGTGGGGAGCAGGGAGAGGGAGTTGTACCCGGTGTTCATCATCAGTTTAGAGCCATGCATGACGGGTGTTCCGGGAGATTTCAGCCGCACGTTTTTGGTACG